ATTATAAAAATGGCCTTTCCAACTTCAAAGTACCTGGATACGTAGCTTTGTGCTTTATAGTAGTAATATCCGATACTTCATACAGACAGACAAACCGATATACTATACAGATCAACTCGTCTTGCCATGTTAATCTAGAAAATATATACTTTCCTCCTCCTTTTCTCCTCTTGGTTGTTACGATTCCATAATAATCCATTTAGATGCAGAGCTCAAAATAAGGGGAAACTAATTTAACTTTCGAATCGATTTTGAGTTAAAAGAGCTACTTTTTCCATTTCATACGAATAATTTAAAATGTAAGCTTCTTAAGAAATATAGTTATATTTTTGGCATTAACTTGGCTAACGCTCTAAACTCACTAATCAAAATCCAGGCCCAAAAAGCTTCCATTTAATAACTCATCTTCGACTATTTTTAGGTATAGATTTCAATTAGCGAATTTAAAACACTTCCATATTTGATCCATTCACGATACATACATATGTATATCGTCTCCCACACAATTCTTATCGCGGGCTTTACTTCGAGGCGTATTATTCGGATAGAAAGTAAACTTCGCCCCACCTCGCCACTCAGCGTATTAAAATATTCACTGAAATTAAAGTACTTCGGGGCAGACAAATGTGTCAAAAATTTAACCACTTAAAACCACTTCAAACGGCAGCAAGAAGAAGAGGAAGAAAGCCGAAGTGTTGCCTGTGTGGGCGTCTACTGACTGACATTAATGCATAAGCCCGTGCCCGGCACGAGCTGCTAGAGCAGCCAGACCCAGACCCGGAGCTGGCGCTGGATGTGGAGGTGGAGCTGGAGCAGCAACCGCCGCAAGTTAATCATAATCGAATTATATATAAATCTTCAATCAGCGTGGCAAAAGCGTGCCGTTAAACATTGTTGGGGGAATAGGGGGCTTCTCTTATATTGGGGCACTTGGGGTGTGGTCGGACGGTCGGTTTTATGGCGTCTCGTGCTATGCCGCTTCGGTCGCTCCGGCACATCAAAGGCAGCGACGCCATCTACATTTTCAAATACATATACGCATACAAACATACATATGTACATACATACCGTACATACACACACCTACATACATACATACATATGCGCAGTGACAAAAAACCGCTTGTTAATATTTTTGTCGCTAACATAATTACTTTGTCTTTATACTTGTTGTGCAGTAGCTGTTGTTGTTGTTGTAGTTGTTGCCGTCATCATCATAAAAGGCAAAAATAGTAATGTCACCAAAAAGAAAAAAAATAATAACAACAACAACAACGTACAAACAGCAACAGGAGTCGCTTCTTCGACTTTGACGCTTGGGGCTGGGCCTGCGACAGCAAAAGCAACAACTACAGCAAGCTGCTTGCTTATGAGTTTTTCAGCAGCAGCGCCACATGCGAGCCATTGAGCGAGAGCGCACAAGTGAGTGAGCGAGAGAGCAGAGCGAGAGGCTTAAGTGGTAGATAGAAAAGCAACAACGACAAACAGCAAACGGCAAACGACAAACTCTCAAGTGTCGCGCGCGTTGATTGGTGCGATGCCGAGGCACAGCCCGCCATCTTAACGGTGATTGGCGGAAATCTCGGGTGCGTGGTTGTTACTGCCACTGCAGCTATTACTGTTGTTGCTGTGGCCGCCGGCTGCTGCCTGCTGCCTACTGCCTGCATCTGTGGGCGAGTGCGCAGCATGCCAGCCAATGTATGAGTGTGTCCATATGTGTGCGTTTGCGTGTGCATGTGTGTGTGTGTCTATCTATGTCTGTATGAGTGTGCGTATCAAAACAAGTATGTATACGCATTCTAGCAACAACAACAGCAGCAGCAACCATAAAGTTTGTGCACGTGTGGGTAAAAGAAGCGAGCGGCAGACTGAAGAAGGTAGCGGCAACAACAAAGGCTAAGGCCGAAAAAAGGCCGAAAGTGACTGCTGCGGTTAAAAGATGCAAGACATACTATATACATATGTACCTATATATGTATATATAAATATAAATGTATGTATATTTGTGTGTATGTGCGCAATTTTCCAATCAATAAAGCAAAAGTAAAATACTTGATCAAAGAGATTGTCGCTGTTTATTGTCTTGCGTGAATGAAAAAAGTTACGATTTAAGAACCCAAGAATTCGCATGACGAAAGTTTTTTCGAAGAAATCTAAATTTAGAAATCACAAGCATCTTTGCAGTTTGCTCGGTTCTTGCATATTACCGTTACATTTTAGCTAAACAATGCATTGCCTAAGCTTTGCAAATAATGCTGTCCACGAATGACTTTGCCAATGACACAGATCCTAGGGTTCAATACATGAGAGGAGGCGACACACACGCCCACACACATACACATATGTGCACAGACACAGCCACAGATAAACGCTTAAACATTCCAAAGTAACGTCGATGTAGATGTAACCCGAGCAGCCTTGCCAGAAATGCAAACATACATATAGACAATACACGTTCATTACAGTGAACACGCAATAAAACAAACATTTTATATACTCAGAGGTCAAAATAGAAACTCTACTGAAATTAAGGACACGATTCTCACTATGTTATCTTTCATTACTATACTAAGCTATGCATTTCATGAATATTCTGACTGCTTAGCATCTTCATCTTCAATTATCCCTTTAGTTAAATATGTGCATAAGAGAATGTCGGACAAATAATAGTAAGCCTACATAATGGCATATCAAAGTTATACTGAAATGAATTGTATTTTTCATATTTTGCATCTGGATTAATCCCTATTGGAAAATGATTTTTGATTTGTTTATTTGCTTGCGTGCATCTTCATCTTCAGTTATCCCTTCAGATAAATATAATGGCATATCGAAGTTATACTGAAATGAATTGTATTTTTCATCTGGATTAATCTCAATTGGAAAATGATTTTTGATTTGTTTATTTGCTTGCTTGCATCTTCATCTTCAGTTATCCCTTCAAAAAAATATAATGGCATATCGAAGTTATACTGAAATGAATTGTATTTTTCATCTGGTTTTCATCTGGATTAATCTCAATTGGAAAATGATTTTTGATTTGTTTATTTGCTTGCTTGTGTATTATGATGCCCTCCGAATTGTCTAGTATTGTCATGAATTGTCTTATACGGGTTAGTGCTGTAGTGTAGGTTGACTTGTCTTTTGTGCTCTTTAAGGAGGGCACACTCTCCTTACATACACACATACAAACAAACATACATGCGGTAATATCTGTGCAACGCTTCTGCCTATGAACATTTAACGGCAAAAATGTATAGAAAGAGTACAAAAAAAATATATAAAAAAAATCAAGCAACACTGGCAAACAGCACCAACAAGAAGAACAAGAATCGCACTGCCACCACCGCCGCCAACACCGAAAAACGCCACCACAGCCACAGCCACCGCTGGCAGCGCTGAGCTCGTTGCGTACATTCTCTGTGTGTGTATGAGTGTTTGGATGTGTGTGTGTGTGTGTGTGTGTGTGTGTGTGTGTGTGTGTGTGGATGTGGATGTTGTCTCTCGGCTTTTTGGTTCGTCTTCATTGGCTCGCTGCAGTGAGTCGGGCAGTCGAGAAGTGCGCGCAAGCCGATGTGGTTGGGCGGTGGCTGAACAAGGACACACACATACACAGACACGCACTAACACAGCCACAGTCACAGTTGCAAACGCACAGCACGTTGACACTCACACACACTCACACACACGCACACGCACACACAGACGCATTGACATCCACACAAACTCTTGTAGGAAACCGTTGGTGGAAAGCAGCGGAGATAAGCAAAATGCCCTTAGTTAGATAACAAGCAAACCGTGCGCAGGATTCTCTGCGGCAGCGGCAAACAGTCCGGAAAAAATGGATAGCAACATCAACATTTTACGGCACGGCAGAGCAAATGACGACGAGCACGACGAACAGCCTGAGAACAAAAAAACGCAATTTTAATAAGTAAAACACCAAGAGCGGCAACTAACGAACGCCGCTACCACGACCACGACCCCGACGACGAACGACTAACGCTATAGCTATAGTTACAGCTACATCCAGAGCTATAGCTATCGCTGCTTCTGCTGCTGCTGCTGCTGCTGAAGCTGCTGCTGCTATTGCTAACGACAAGCCATGCAAAAGATCTCTACAAAAGACTAAGGACTGTGCCTGTGGACTGAGGACATCGCGAAAACGGGACGCGCGCGCTTACGTTGCACGTTTCAGGTTTCAGGCTTACGTTCACGGTCCATGAAAGTCGTTCGTCCAAATAGACAACGTCGCCAACTTGTTCAGTATCATCCGCGCCCAGCATCGGTAGCTGCCATTATCTGTAGATGTGGATATGGCCGTAGTAAACGTCTCGACCATGTAAATCGGCTGTGGTGTTGATTTTCGGTAATGCTCGCGTTCGCACTCGCATTCAACGGATTCTGTAATCGGTTGGAAAGTGTCCGCTTTAGTTGGTCGTCAATAAGAGATAACGGTAATGTCGCTGCTGGCCGGTAAATTATCACATGTCGACTACGTGAGACGATCATTAAACAAGCGCTGAAACAAACAACCAAGTGAATCCCCTGAAAAATACACACGCCCACACGCCATAGCTACAAGTCCAAACACACCACACATACACACACAAATACGTACACCTAAAAGTGCTCAAGTGCGACCCGACAAATACGAATATATAAATACATATATGTATATAAAGAATGTTAATGAAAAGTCCAAAAATGCAACTGAATGAGTAATCTGTGCAACGAAGTTAAAGGTTGATTAGGCGTGCAAAAAAGTATCCACATTCGAATCGAATCGAATCGAATCGCATTTTTTTAGTTTTGTTTTGTTTGAATAATCTGCCCGAAGCTCTCCAAATTGTAATGTGCAACAACAAAAACAACAGAAACAACAACAACAATAGCAACAACCAAACGTGAAGAAAGCCTCATTGAAATCACACGGATTCTTAATCAAGTGTTAAAACCCCGCTTAAACCAAAAACAACAACGACGGCAACATCAGGAACATGGATCTCTCTACGGCGTATCGCTACAACCAAAACATGATGGAATATTATACATGTAATGCCAAATGCTAACACTTATTGGAACATTTTGGATATATTGTTGCATGATTTTCTACACCTCCCCCATTCAATACGATTTACCTTCAAAATAGCTTAGAGTATTAGCGTAAAAGAAAAGAAAACATCCAAAAAATTCAGCTTAGCCGCACGTTTTCGCCAATAATTGTAAAGTAATGTAAAAAAAAAGCGAGTAACATTTCCCTCATTAATATGATACACTTCTAAAGCTAAATTCAATGCTGAATTGTAATTATATTGATAACTGATAGTGGCTAAAATTTCAATTTAATAGTGCCGCTATTTTTGGCTGTAGCCCCAGCAAAACAGACTATTTTTAATTTCTACAACATTTTGAAAACGAAAATCTTCAAAAGAAATCCATGTACGGTTTTAATGCGAATCTGTGGGGTTTGATTCGTTTTTAGTATTCCAAAATGATATTTATTTGAGGCTTTTTGTTTGAAACTTGCCTAACAACTCAACAACTGAAAATCCATATTGTTACGAATCAATTGATGTGCCTAAGCAGTACTAGCAACCAAAACTTTACTTTCCAAATCATATAAATTCAACACTATTTGAACAGCCAGCATTTTCACTACATCTGTTGCTAATTTCTGGTAGAGGGAGAGCTTTATCTTTATCTTGGTTTTCAGCCTTCAATTCAGTTCTTTTAATGCGCACTCAATCGAAAATGAAAACCATATTCCTGCACAGATCTTCGTAAATATGTATGGGAATTTAGAGTGATTTCTTTTCGCTTAATCTAAGAGTGAATTCTTTTTTGATTAATCTAAGAGTGCTTTCATTTGGTTTTCAGCGCACTTAATTCTTATATATCAAAAAGCATGTATTTCAATCGAAAATGAAAACCATAGTTCTTCGTAAATAGGTATGTGTATAGTAGAGTGATTTCTTTTCGCGCGGTAACTTCGAATTGAATCATCATCCGATCAAGTGTGATATAAAGTATGTGCAATATTGGTGAAAATCGTTAAATTGTAAACTATTTTGGGCGTCATCGTGTCTCCTCTACCGCCGGGCCCAACATAAGTATGTCTGTCCTAAAACTTTATTAGAATTATATATTCACTTAGAAATCGGAGTCGACTCGTAATCAATCTGCCAATCTGCATAGCCTTGTCATAAAACTTCGACAGTTGCTTTCGGCTGCTTTATTATTTCAATTTTCTGTCTTTTGTTTGTGCAACACATTGCTCCCTCAAAAGATTAATGCAATTAATTGTGTGCGTATGCGAACGATATACATATATACTCGTATATATGTATGTATTCATGTGTGTTGGCATGCCTTCTGTGGCTCGATTGCTCTCTTGCTGTTGTTTTTATTATTACATCAATCAATGGTAAGTCAGAGGCAAAGGTGTTGCGCAATATCGCAACTGCAGGCACTCGGGATCGTATCTGGCTACTCGGGCTCAGGCAGAGGCTGAGGCAGAGGCAGCTTCAGTATCCCTATCTCGGAGTGTGTGGCGTCAGAGTGAAATGTATTACACACAATGGGTATACGATGGTATGGCAAATGGCAAGCAGGAACAAAACTGCAAAGCGCAGAGCTCAGGTCCGGACCTGGCCGAGGGTCGGGCTTCAAAGGAGCGCTGACTGCAGCGACAATACAAATACAAACAATAACAACAACAACAACAGCAGCAGCAGTAGTAGTAGCAATAACAGCAACAACAACAACAACAAAATAGAATAAACCCCGAAACGATTGTGTGCTTACTTCCCTACTTACACATGTCTCGCTCAATGTACACAAATATTGGCTGAAACAGATGAGGATGAGCATGAGGATGATGATGAGGATGAGGATGATGAGTGTGTGGATGGGTGTTTGTGTGTATTGTGCGTACATCTATTGAAAGTCAATAGATACTTCATTAAATGACAATCGCAGTTGCCATTTGGCATTCTGCCATTCAAACAAAAGGCCTTTTGTCCACCTTGACACGCCGGCAATACCGAGAGAGGCCGCTTTCCCCCTCCCCGCTTGTCAAAATCGACCAACAACTGCACCAAAATCGGTAAATCTGAAAATCTGGAAATCTGAAAATCTAGCTGATTATCACCGTCGCGATGCGTCGGCTTCCCGCTGAGAACAGCCGTGCCAATGTCAAATGCCCAATGTCCAGTTTCTTGGCAATTGCCATGCAATCGGTATCATCTGCCATGGCCATGCCCAGGCAATAGGTATTCATAATCACCGAATAGCTGGAGCTGCCTGACTTCCAGCTACATATGTACGGCGCTTCAAATCCATCCACTCGACATATAGCTTAATGAAATATTTAAATATTTTGATTTAAATGTGTCTCTCAAAGTCATGATTTGCAGACCAGCTTTTATGAAATACCGATTCGGTTTATTCAACAACGTTGTCTGATAGCATTTCCCCCTCGATTTTGAAAACATTTTATAATTCATTTCGTGAAATAAGTCTTCTACAAAAATTCAATACTACATATAGATTCCGATCTAATAAGTTCCTTCTATAGATTTAAATAGTTTTTCCATCGGCGAATGTGGACATGAATCCATTTAAATAAGTCATTTATTTTCCTCTCTGTGGATATAAGGTGCGCGAAATAATTAACTAGGACGCTACGTTTTATAGTATAAAAACTGAACCGTTCAATATATTTTCAAAAAACAAACTATTGCTTAAACTTTATAATATTTTCAATAGACTTCAAGTTAAATAAAGCACGTAAGACTTAAGAAAATATAATTAAAAAATTAAACAAAATATTGTCAAACGAAATAATTAACTAGGACATATTCATTGTTTATATGTTAAAACTAAAAAGGAGCAAAACAAAGAATTTTAAACGATGAAGATATTTGAAATGGAACACCCGTCGTTGTTCAACACCTTTGTTATTCAACCTGGAGTTGAATTCACCAAGTTTTGCAGCATGTGAATTTAACCTACAAGTATTTCTCAATATCTTTCCATCTAAAGTAATGATGCTCGTAGTGCAAATGATTTTTTCATGTGAAGATACTTATAGGTTTCATTTTTTTTTTATAGACTCCTTACAGCTGGGCTAACATATTTGTGCAGCCAATTGAGTTTTCAAGATTTTTCAGATTTGGGCAAGCTCAGATAAAACACCTTCTGATAATTACTCCCAATCTGTACGCGTCGTATTGTATTATTGATTTGAATCTACATTAGCTCTAAAATTACAAGGCATCTTTATTTAAAATCATGTTCACATATTTAGGAAACAACAACAGCATCTATCAGTTTTATTCAAATCAATAAACACACTACGTTATCAGAGAAATGTTTCCACTCTCCAGTTTTTGCAAGTCCTATTGTAGTTACCTATTTGTTGTCAATAGGATTCGAGAGCCTTGTAGGGTTTGTGAGTGGAATGCCTGCTGTTGTGCGTGTTTTAATTCCGAATCGGCAAACGTCAAAGACATCTCTTTCTCAGCTTTGGAGACTTACCGCCTTCAATAGACGCCGTCGCTCGACTCTGCCATAATTAGCGGTTCCTCTTCTTCTTCATTTTGTTGTGCGTCGGTCACATTTTGTTTGATTTGGCGATGCAAGTGCAAAAATGTAAATGGACTGTAAACGACAACTCAACAGCATGTTCATCATTAGGCTGTCCCCCCTGAAAGGCAGCAGATCAGTGCCTATCCCTGCCCCCGTCCCTGCCCCTGTCCCTGTGCCTGTCCCTCCACCAGTGCCAGTACCAGTCCCTGGTAGCGACGATCTTTTCGTATTTTCGTGCAAGTGCTAAGTATGGAGCAGCATCCAAGTCATCTCTTTGGGGTATCTGCGAGCGAAATCTTCGGCGAAATGTCGTCTGTGATGTGCAAGTGCCAACAATTATAGGCACATGCTCCAACGGGCCCAGCAAATTGTGTGAGTCTAATTGTGAGATAAATCTACACACATATAGTACATACTTGTATATAAAAAAGCTATACTACGAGTGCGTGCTCTTGTCTAGCTAGGTTGCCAAACGACTTCGGCTTCCGAGATGTTTTGCAATTCGAAGGAAATGCTATCAACCAGTCCAAGAAGAACCTATGTATGGATGTGTTTTTACAAATCGAGACTCAAAAAATAAATAACTTGCTTGCTCTAGCGAGGTTGCCAAACGACTTTGGCTTCCGAGATGTTTTGCAATTCGAAAGAAATACTATCAACCAGTCCAAAAAGAACCTATGTATGGATGTTTTCTCAAAATAAATGACTTGCTCGCCTTTGCTTGGGCTTCAAAAACCTTAATTCTGTCAAGTAAATTAATGAATGTAAATTTTTTCCGGCTAGAAACTAGTATTTCTAACTTAGTTCGCGCATTGGTTTAGACAATTTGGTCTGAGAAACCCCTTGAGTCTTTATAAAAGTCTTTCACAATCCACATCTAATCAGAAAAGAAACTTGAGCTATACATTTTTCTTGCTAGCCATTTGCGGTTTGAAAATATGATATATAATGTCGCATATAATAATCAAAAACTTAGTCCGTACATTGTACAGTCTAGTGAAAATTTTTTTTCGATTTATGATTTGATTGCTTCCAAAAATTTCAAGATCCATCGATGTCAGCAGGGCTATTGGCTATAATCCTAATTTATGAGTTGTTATTTATAAATTCAATATTTTTCCAGATTTAATGCATTGAGTGCGGTCTGTCGGATTCCCTTGAAGGTTATCTACAGCTGTCATAGGCTGGATTGAGTCAGCTATAGGTATCAAGCGCAATATACCGATTTCATTATACTACCAAGTACATACAAGTATATGCAGACATGGCAAGCGCCAGAAACTAAAGACGATTCTGCTCAAGGCTGAGATCTGGGGCTCGGTCGGGCAAAATTCTGGTATTATCAGCTCTCCGAGACTTACCTTCTGTTAGGGCCGAAAAACATAATTGTTTCTCTTCTCTAAATAAAGTCAGCAAATTATTGAAGGCTGCAAGCCATAACCCTTCATATGGACACAACTAGCTTTGGTCAAATTAGATCAGAAATGCTATTATCTACGAGTACTATCTGGCCGATGTTGAAGCTGCATGGGCTTCGTTTATTTACTTGTATTGGTTTTGGACCCTCACCAGTGTGTGGCATGCCACTGCATTTTGCAATCATCGCCAATGTGCCGCCCCCCACCTGCACCACAGTGGCGCAATGAAATAATTACACACAATAATTGCATTCGGTTTTAAATATTGTTTCAATTTCAACGCAGGTCACGGCGGCGTCAATCAACTGGGAGGCGTATTCGTAAACGGCCGTCCCCTGCCCGATGTCGTCCGGCAACGCATCGTTGAACTGGCCCACAACGGTGTCCGTCCCTGTGACATATCACGCCAGTTGCGAGTCAGCCATGGCTGTGTTTCGAAGATACTATCAAGGTGAGTCATAAAGCACACTAAACACTGTCTGTACTTGTAAATCGGATTGAATTGTAGATAGATGCCATTAGGCATCCGGAATCTGATACAATTAGAGCTACAAATGATTTTCAAACATTTATCGTGAAACCATCGCTCAGTTTAAAATTTCATCGTTCGATCATTTTTGACAACAAAATTGATTATAACATTCGATACTAAAAATAATACCAACTGAAATTCCGTCAGAGTGAATAAAGGGAACTCAGAAATTACTCTACTCATACACGGATCTTAAGAAACTACTATATATATGCAGATAGAGCTACAAATGTTTTTAAAATATTTATCATGGGATTAACGCTCAGTTTAAAATTTCATCGTTCGATCATTTTTGGAAACTAAATAAATTAGGCCTTGTTTAAAAAGATTACATTCGAGACTACAAATAATACCGACTAAAATTCCGCCAGAGTGAATAAAGGGAACTAAGAAGTTACTCTACTCAAACCGGATATACGGATCTTATGAAATAAAAACACCTAATTCTGTTTTAACACGGTAGATTCGTGGTTCCAGAAAAAGTCGTGTAAAAAATACATTGATCATGTGTTATTTTGAATCGTGCTAAATGGAATAAAGTCGTGCAACCATATACATATAAAATTTTTATACCCTGTATCCGTAGGGTATAAAGGGTATATTAGGTTTGTGCAAAGTATGTAACAGGCAGAAGGAAGCATCTCCGACCCCATACAGTATATATATTCTGAATCAGCATGACGAGAGAAGTCGATCTAGACATGTCCGTCCGTCCGTCCGTCCATCCGTCCGTCCGTCCGTCCGTCTGTCCGTCTGCCTGGATGAACACCTGGTTTTCGGAAACTGCTGGGCGTACGTAAACCAAACTTGGCATGCAGACGCTACTAGTCTATAGCATAGTCTATATGAGTTTATTTTACGTTTTTGAATTTCCCCCCTCCCCCGCTACAGAATTGGTAATTAAATACCGTCCACATTTCAAAAGCTACACTAACCAAACTTTGCACTTATATTTTATATATACTTGTAGTTATCTACTTTTGTTTCAAATTTCATCTAAATCGGTTTATTATTGGAAAAGTGATTAATGAAGCAATTTTTCCGGTACTACGCCCACAAGCTGCAGCATCAAGTTTGCTCTTCTTCTTCCTTTTGCTTCTGCTATGTGTCGGATGTGTCGGAAGTTTTCCTGGGTACAGGGTATTTCACTGTCGGGCTTGCTCGACTGTAGCGTTCCCTCTTGTTAGTTTTCAAACCGTGTAAGAACAGTGTTAGGTGTAATAATTTGCTGAATTCACTTGACTGTACGATCTTAATGGGGACTAACCAGACTTAAAGGGACATTCCTAGCTGCCGGTTCATGCTGCTGGTTGATTCTCTAAACGTCAGTAATTAGGGCCCGGAATCGCGTTGGGATTCATTAGCTCGTGGCCTGAGAGTTGCACACAAATGCGACTCGTCTTCATCAGTTGGACACATATATGCAAATGCACAGTGAAATATATGTACATATCTATATGAACATACGTATGGATACAGTGTGTGTGTATGTGTGTGTGTGTGTGTGTGTGTGTGTGTGTGCGTGTGGGAGAATGAGAAACGGCCAGCGCACGTATCACAAATAGGACAATAAATCTTTGCGGTTCTATCCTGGGTCTGAGTCGGACTCGGAGTCAGAGTCAGAGTCAGAGTCTGGGTGCATTGGCTCGCATACATGTATGCGATATGTACACATGTACATACATATATAGGCTATACATACACATGCATGTACATACACATATATAGAAGTAGATGTGTCGTATGCGCCATATGACTCCCAATGCTTCAATTTGGCAGTCGTGCAGTCGTGGCTGGAATCGGGATACAGCAGCAGTCTGTCGGGCCTTTAGCCTAAACGTTGCTTGACATTCAAATTGTTTTTAATTGAAAATGGTAAAATTGCTGGTTCCGTTTGGAAATGGATGCATTAATCATTGCGGCCGTCGACGTGCCACCGAGCTACTGAGAGAGAAATGTGCAGGAGAGTGTGGGGGAGAGGTCCTTCCGAATGTGTTGGGCACCCGTGCACAGGCCACATACACACATTATTTATATATGAAGGCGCAAATTTGTCCCTTCATTTACATTTTTCGCTTCTCACATACATACTTGTACGTGTCTATGCTTTTACAGAAGTATATCTCATTCATATATTCTTTTTCTAGTATATTTGAAAATGCTTATTATTGGTTTGATCCTTCTATTTTCACAGATACTACGAGACTGGTAGCTTTAAGGCCGGCGTCATTGGCGGCTCGAAGCCGAAGGTCGCCACGCCGCCAGTGGTCGATGCTATTGCCAACTATAAGCGCGAGAATCCCACAATGTTTGCCTGGGAGATACGCGATCGGCTGCTGGCAGAGGGCATATGCTCCCAGGACAATGTGCCCAGTGTATCCTCGATAAATCGGTGAGTAGACACGTAATCCTACGAGTACGAATGGAAGAGCACCCTTCTGTCTGACATCAGGGACATGCGCACGTCCGCCTTGCTCTTTTAGTGTTAGTATGTTTGTTTGCTGTCATGCAGCTTACTTCCGTTTCCGCCGCTCACTTCACGTACAGTAGAGTACAGTACAGCTCCAACTCGTGCCGGTCCAACTCCAGCTCCACTGCATCCCACATTGCCATCGCCATCGCCATTGCCATTGCCATTGCTAATAAAAATATCTAAGTAGTTTTTAGCGTTCATAATTGCGGCACAATGCTTGACACACGACCACCACAAAAGCCAGCTTCCTTTCCGTCTTCCGGTGGCAACGTTCGTGCCGACGACGTCCTGCCAGCACAGCACAGGACAGCACAGCACAGGACAGGACAGGCGCACCCAAACACAAATATATATACTCGTCCTGTAATGTACGCACTTCCTCTTTGACCATAATTCATTTTACCAGTGGCCAAGGATGCTGCCAGCAGGCAGCTGCTCTAAAGCTTCTACTCCTCTACTCGTACTTACATACAAGTATACCGACTGCTATAAATTAGCCCACAGCGGAGCGTACAGTGACTGTAATAATTGTGTGATCACAGAGTGGGTGGCAAGCTGTGGGTGACGAGCGTCGGGTGTCGGGCGTCGGGCGTCGAGCGTCGAACGGCGTTCGAGGTGAATAAAGTCAATCCCCGACTGCATGCCGCAGCGCACTTGTTCGCAGCTCAACGCCGGCCAAATCGACACAATCGACACTCCGAGAAAAAGCAGTTAGTTCCACTTACAATACAAGTAGTAGGGTAAATACGAAAATATTTGTAACAAGTACAAAACACTGCATTTCAGCAGACATTCTAACTATCCAAATAATTAAACATAGATATTGAGATTTTCCAGTATTGAAGAATAATGCAAATGCAAATAATAATTTAATAAGAATAATTTAATAATAATAATTTAATAAGAATAATTTAATAATAATCATTTAATAATAATAATTTAATAATAATAATAATTTAATAAAAATAATTTAATAATAATAATTTAATAATAATAATTTAATAATAATAATTTAATAAGAATAATTCAATTCACACATCTAAGTATTTATACTAAACAACCACTTGGGAATTCTAGTTCCTCATTTACATTTGATATTCTAGTTTCAATATCAAATGTAAATGACGGACAAGAATTCCCAAGTGGTTGTTTAGTATAAATACTTAATTTATAATAATAAATAATTGGTACTAGATTTTAGAAAAATAAATTGAAAACCTGAAATCTAGGTCTGCATCTACTACGAGTATCACACAATATTTTCCTGAGACAACATGTTTGCAAGCACAGTTTTCTCAACATTGATAATATTTACGATGAATTAATAATTTAATTCACACATCTCAGTATTTATACTAAACAACCACTTGGGAATTAAAGTCAATTCTTGCCCGTCATTTACATTTGGAAGTGAATCTAGATTGATACTAGATTTTAGAAACAAAAATTGAAAACCTGAGAATCACCCAATATTTTCCTGAGTGTACGATTAGTTTTAGACAACATGTTTGCAAACACGGACACCCAAACACACACTACAACAACAGAGCACTTCGCTCTCTCTCTCTCTCTCTCCACTCTCACTCTTTTCTACTCAACAGAGATGGGGAATTCGCGACCGCATGCGGCACGTGTACCCATTCAGAATCAATTCGCTGCGCATTATGCAAAGCGCCTGACATGTGGCCACTGATGATGATGATGATGATGCTCCTGCCTCATCGCGGGCGAGGGGGAGCGGAGGACGGGGAACAAATGTAGGTGGAGGAGGAGGGTGTGGGAGCAAGTGTGCCCTTGTGTTGACACGAGTCTTACATTTTGATATGATGTGTTGTCGTCGCAGAGCAGCTAAATGAGCAATTCACGAGCAATCCACGACAGTGAGAATAGACTGCGACTGCGATTCATATCTAGAGACCCAGAAAACACCTCTCATGCCAATGAGTTCCCACACACGCAGTCCAAATCAAATTTTCCCGGACAAGTGTCGTGACAGTTATTTTAATTTTTTAAAGTCAAATAATTCATGCAATCTGTCACTAAGTCGCTATATATATCATGCTATATACGAGTATGTATATGATCAATCAAGTTTTTAAGAAACGACGAAAAAGAGATGTTCAGGCTGTAAAAAAAAAAACAAAAACCAATCAAATTAATAAGAAAGTTTTTAAGATTTTAAGAAACGATGAAAGAGAGATACTCAGACTGTAAAACAAAAACCAATCAAATTTAATTGCTGCTATATTTAAACAAAATAATTACTGCAGCTATTAAGTTTTAAAAGCAAACAAATATTACAGCTGGCAATCAATCCCAACTCCTTGTTTATTATAAAGGTACAAATTTTCTTACTACAAATTTTGAATTCGAATTAATCGTATAATATTCAAATAATGTGGTACTATATTTAAAAAATGATCGAATAATAATAATGTTTGTATAACGATCCAACTAAGAACATCTTCCCGCTGTAGGTAAGGACGAACCTGGCTTGTTGTCTAGGTGTAATGGCAAAAGGGAAAATAGTCCCACATACTCGTACATACATGGAAACGTGAACACGTTAAAAGTACTTGTAGTAATTAAAAGACATCAACTGGAGTTACTGTGATTTTTAATTAGTTTTTTACAAAAGCCATAGTAGAAGAAACGCCTTTTCAGGCTCTCTCGGAAGAAATATAAAATGATGTTAAAAAACCGTTCAACCCTAACAACGCTTTATCTTCTTCAAATTAATTTTCTACAATATGAATTCTTTGATTTCCTACATCTTGACAAAATAAACAGCAATTTATTTTAAATAATGCAAAAGTTAACTGCAAATTTGTTGGTGAGCTGTAAAAGCTTGCCACTTCCTGTGGATACCCATATTCATATTTATGCCACAGAGGCGCATCCTAAAGCTAGCTTTGGCCGCTTCAGCACTTTAATGCCAGCCTCTATGCACTGCCTTGATTTTTGCGCACTGATTCAATCCAATCCAATCCAAATGCGCATGGACGATAACTCCTTTGTCCCAGGAGACAGTCACTTAATAAAAGTGACTTTCATTGCATTCAAAGCCAGCCCCCGGCTAAATTTGTCGGGTTAGGGTTACGTTGTTGCTGCTGTGCCCTTCTACATTGCCAAACAACAATGCCAAATAAACAAATCAAAAGAAAGCAAAGCACGCCAGCGCACAACTCCGTGCATCCCAAACATATGTCCCAATTGTGTGCACTAACGCTGTCCAACTACCCATGCTCTATCACTCGACTCGACTCGACTCGACTCAACTCGACTTGAATCGACTGTGGATGTGGATGTGGATGTGATTGTGATTGTCCTTTGACATAATTCGATTCGATTCCGCCTGAGTTAGCCGCTACAAACAGCGAAGCCTCAGGGGTAATTTTAGCGTAGTGCTTCCTCCCATCGCCTACCCGCCACTGCATCATACTGTCACATCTACGAGTACTCTTCGCAGTACTCTCGCAGTCCCCCTAATGCACGCAGTCTATCTAACAGCCACTCACACACACACACACACACAGGCCCAGGCTAGCCAGTTGACGATTTGTCGCCAAATACATGTGCATATAAACATATCAAACAAAGTCTCTAATGCCTCATGATGATGTCAACGTTGATGTTGCAGGTACACTTATCCACACCCAGCTCCCGCTCTCTTAGTATGTATGTACGAGACAGCCACTTCTGTTTACTTACACATGTGTGGGGTACACTCTAAAAAAAAACGACAAGAAAGGAATGCTAGAGTGGAGCGGGCTCAACTCTTAAATACCCTGTATACACTCTTCTAATTAATCTACCATAATAAAACTTAATATACGGACACATAATCACTAACTGTATGTGACTACCAAATGTTCGTTCAATTCAAAATGCCAAGAATAACGGCAATTATAGAAAATCGCAAATAGAGGGGAGTGGAGGGTGTATCGGAAAAATGAACAAACTTCCCCTTTATCGGGCTTAGAAGAATCTGCATACCAAATTTGGTTATTCTATATCTTATACTTTCCGAGATCCTTGCGTTCATACAGACAGACAGACGGACAGGCGGCCATGGCTATATCGACTCATCTTGTCACCCTGATCTGTGTGTTACATATACACTCTCGTATTAAACTAAGACACCCTTTTACCCTTTGGGTACAGGGTATAAAAAGAAACAAATTCAAGCGAACAAAACTTTGCAAAGGAAAACGAATTATATTTATAGAGGGAAATCTGTTATATTTGTTGTAATATTACTTACAGTTTTTCTCTTTAGGAATTACCAATTTTTACGGGGGAGTTTGTTAATAGAGAAATCTCAGCTTATTAGCACGTTGTAATTAAGTAAGAAATACATTTTTGTACTCATACAAATAACTTTAAAACTTCATTTCCGATGAAATAGTTTCATATGGCGAATTGAAATAGAAATGTATAAATCACTCCTAAATGACAATCAATTTATTTGTATAATGAAACCTTTTCATTTATTTGTGACATCCTTTGAATTGTTTCAATTGTTCGTTAGTAGCTTTTTAAAGTACTTTCTGAAAGCCTGCCATAGACTGCAAAACTGGAAAGTAAGCCCTTAAAGTATGCTACGTTTCATTTAAATTGTGGTCCATTTTGACTGAACGAGTCAACACTATAGTTAGTTCTTTATTTATGACTATTTAAAATCCCACTAGGATTGGTTCAGTCGAAAAAACTCGATTCAGTCCTACAAATAAAAGTGATTTGTATTGCATTTTTTTGTGTGTAAAAACAGCGCCCATCGAGGCATCGGCCAGTCGATGGCTGAGGCTCAATTGCGATTTTCTCACCTAATGCGTACAAAGTAGTTGGAAGAAACTTGGCTTTGGTGTTGTTGGTGGTCGCACTCAAGTGGGTGTAAACAGTGAAGGGGGGGAGTGGCGGACAGGCATGTAAATTCTGGCATTTAGACGATACTCGTACTACTTGTACTTAATTGGCTGCGTGTGTATAACAGAAAAGTTTGTAAAAGCTTGCCACACAATTTTGAAGACATTTCAGTGGCTAAGATGATGTTGCGGTCTAACTAGACATGGTAGGGCCAGACCAGGCCAGGCAAGGACAAGGACAACTGTACAATGTCCTTACTAGTTACCCCCGTTTGGTGTATGCAGATAGGAATAAACCTCAAATCATGGCTGGGAAGTCAATGGGCTTGCCATAAATCACAATCGCTGCCACCGGATTTCCTTGTCCACAACCCATCATTTTACCCATGTCTGTCTAACTTACATTTGTACATACATATACATACTACTATATATATATGGATATATGTGGATGTATATACATATGTATGTATGTGCCTGTCCCCCACGTCAATGGCAATCAATTTCGCCTCTACTGCACACAAATCTTTCACATCAATGGCGAATGGAAAAAATCGAAATTGGCAAAGTAGGCGAACTAAATTTGTTGTCGCTTCAAAGTCCACAACATCGGCTTCACTTCGGCCAGCTGACAGAAATTGAAACATGTTTAATCGAAATTGGCACTGGAAATCGATGCACACGGGCTAAGCGGTAACGCCCCACAATGACATCGGGAGATTGGAGTGGAAATGGGTAGTGGGGCTTGGATTGGGCTTTGGGCTTGGATTTGGGCTGGGGCTGGGGCGTGGGGTGGGAGTTGTGTTGGACACGATTGAGCCAGACGGGCAGCATAATATTATGTTTTGGTTTGTCAGCTTGCCCTTGCCACACTACCCTAGCCTTACCTTCCTCACCCTAGCCTCACTGCCCCTCCCATCCATCACCTTGTCCCAGCTCAGCACAGTTCAGCTCGCTTAACATCACGTGCACATTTGTTGCTGTTAAACGACCCATTTTATACCCTGACATAATGTACAATATCTTTATACGCGTATATACTATATATTGAGAGAGGGCGTGGCAGAAGCCATAAAGTCCATGCTGCACAATTTTGACAATAACCATAATATCATTTCCAGTTACCCTTTCATATTCGATCGATGAGTTTAAATTGCAAAACCACACCTCTTTCTAAGTTAATTGCCTCAGCTTCTAAGTACTGCAGCTTAGGGCTTCCCTTTTGTGAGCATTTCATATTGTGGTCTAGACTTGATGAAGCCCAAAAATCATTCGAGTTTTATTTCAAACGAAAAGTCATAATAAATCGGAAACTTTTATCTATTACTTTGTTTTTGAAGCAAATATAAATTTCAACACTAAGAGTCGTATCCACCAAGTCTTGTATAATATACATAGAACAGATGGATTGCTCGTTACTGTAAATATTATTTATTGGGTCTGCTCTGAAAACAATTTTTAAGTTCTACAACTGTACATATCTTCATGTTATTTTACTCATTTAATTTCCCAATACAAGAAACCTATTTAGCATTTACTCTTCTTAGACGCTTCCATGCTTGAGTGAGACTGACAATTTAAATCTGAATTGCTCAATTGAAGGAGTTTTTGTCAACATTTTGTCTGTCCGACTATAGCTTTAGTTACACGCACAATTCAAATCTGAGAGATATTAATTTAGCGTGTTTATTGATTGATTGAAATATTATTTTTAGTGTTTATTTTTCGAAGTTTTTCCGATTAAAAGAATTATTTAATCTCTGCCACATCTTACAAGTGTTCCAATACGCCGCTGGCAGCGTATTCGAAAGTCACGATTGCTCTCTCCCCATCCCCCATTTTCTTCCCATTCCATTTGCCATATACACGTACATACTTATATATGTATGTATTTGCTTTTGTGCTTGCTTGGCTGTGTGTGTGTGTGTGTGCGATACAATAAAGTGTCGATGCTTTCTTCGTTTTGCATGTAAATTAGATGGCCGCCAATGCTAGCACAGTGTTTGCATGGCCCCCTTTGGCCCCTCCTCCGCCACTCTCTCGCTCGCTCTCCGCCCGCCCCATCGTGTCACATTCTCTGCTCTCCTGCAGCACCATCAACAGTTGCGACCTACAGCTTGATGTTCAGTCTGATGGCTGCCGTCGCAACTGTAAACTGTAAACAGAAATTGCGTTTATCGTTTTGGTTTTTTTCCCCTCACTCCAGCTCCAACTCCAACTCCTAGTCCACCTCCACCTCCACCTCACTTCACGTCGCCACCGCCACCACTCCATGAGAGAAATGAGACGCCGTTCCATTTTAGCATATTAAGTGACACCAGAAGGCAATGAGGAATGAAAATGTTTTGAAATTTTGTGCAATAGCATTAGACGGACGCCATTTTGTGGCTCCATTTGTGGCGCCAGATTGCCAGCCAGTTGACAATGCAACTGTACCTGTACCGTTTTCTTTTGTCTATCTCGCTCTCGAATGATACGATATTTTTTCTTAGCTTGATGTCTTCCAACTCTTAGATATTAGCATTCTATTAGCTTCTTAAATTTATGAGGTTCTGCAATATTTCTAATTATTACTTCATGAATTATCATTATTTGTATTCCTGAACATTATTTAGTTTTGTTATCTATAATCAGCTTTAATAAATTGAAAATGACAGTTTTAAGAAGTGAATAAATTGAATTTCGAAAGAAAACACTGGAAATAGTTTGCTTTTCATGTGTAACCAACCCAACTAAGTTCGTTAACCTTAGTCTCGATAGTGTTTTAAATGTGCGACTGATTGGTCGAAAATAAATTTTAAATTAAAGCGTTTAAAATCTTTTGCCGAGCACTTTAAATGGAATTAACGCGAAAAGGTGGCCAATTTATTTCATGCAAAGAATCCGCCCATATTCTAATAATAACCTACTCGAGTGCATAAAAATTTAGTTTTTACAAATTTATTGCCCGTGTTTTCTGATAGCTATAAAATCTATAAAAAGCATTTATACAAAATCTATAACAAATCAAAACCAATATTTTTGTTCGTTCATAGCTCGGCATCAGAAAACATTTTTTTTTACGAACTTTCTTAAAACAGACTTTGATTTTTTTCAAATACGTAAATCAGCAGGCACTTTCAAGTGGAAACTAATTTCCAAATGCTTATATAATTATTAACATAAATTTATTAGTTATGATATTTATATATTTGTCTATTAACAGAGCTTTAAATATTTGGAACTCTTTACATATTTATCGAGCTGCTATAATTTTTAAACCACGTTAATATCTTGCAGAATTGTGCGCAACAAGGCGGCGGAAAAGGCCAAGCATGTCCATCACCACCAGCAGCATCAGATACAGCAGAACATCAGCAGCGGGCACCAGGCGACCGAGAGTCTGGACAGCAGCACGGGCAACGGCAATGAGCCGCAGACCCAGAGCGCCGGCAACAGCAGCAACACCTCCGCCAGCGGCAACACGAACGCAGGAGCCAGTTCGGCATCGGTCATTACGCACGCCCCATCCTCCGGAGCCGGTGGTTGCACGGGGGCCGGCTCAGTGGCTGCTGTGGCAGCGGTTGCCGTCGCGGCGCACATGCAGGAATTGGGGGGCACGGGCTCGGCCAATGGCAATCACCACAATGGCAACGGGAATGCCGGCAACGCCAATAGCAATGGCACCAGCAACAACAATGCTGGCGGTAGTCATCAGGGCGCCGATCAGCAGCGCTCCACTGGCTATAGCATCAACGGAATCCTGGGCATACAGCATAGCCATCATCTGCACAACAACAACAACAGCGCCAACACGGATCCAAATTGCAAGCGCAAACGAATTGAGGATCATGGTAAGTACACCCATATTTTATTTTATTTTATAAGTATGTTTCAGAGATATACCAAGTATCTAGTGGAGGACTTTTGTTACACAATAAAGGCCATTTTATTAAAAACAAAGCCATTGGAAAAACGAAAACTATTATCGAATAAAATATTGAAAACACAAAGATGGCCGGAATCGAAAATGAATCAAAAAAATAATAATCTGAAACTTCCACAAATCGAAAAAGGGACAAAAGTTAACCCAACAGTAAAATGTGGGCAGAAGATTGATTTAATCTGTAACCTAGGAACAAAAAGGAACAGCAAGAATCAAATGCAATTCAATAAAAATATATGTATATATCAAAATATTGGATGGCTCAAGTACTTTTAAATTTCATTTTCAAAGTTGTTGTCAATGGATCAGTGAAGCAGTCGGGGTCATCACAATATTTATTAGAGAAACAACCTCATATGTTTTGTATCTTCCATGGAACTTTGATAGAAAATTGCAGAGCCAATTAGAGCTCTCTTTTTTGATAATCTTTCGCCCTCCCTCGGCTATCAACACTAATACATTACATTCTTAGTGATTATATATTTTGGGATTTAAATTTCATTTTCAAAGTTGTTGTCAATGGATCAGTGAAGCAGTCGGGGTCATCACAAATATTTTATTAGAGAAAAAACCTCATATGTTTTGTATCTTCCATGGAACTTTGATAGAAAATTGCAGAGCCAATTAGAGCTCTCATTTTTGATAATCATTCGTACTACCTCCGCTATCAACACTAATAAAAAAAATCACCGACAAAGTCGACGGCTAATGCACTTTGAGTGGTTCTCTTGACACCCAACCCTATTTGCATGTCTCATAATTTGCATATCGCGGAATCTGCCACTTGTCAGTCCTGCTGGAGTCGAGAAGAGCAAAACCGAGCGATATACCATTTTGTTTTGTGGCCATATTAAGCTCATAATGCGACCACAGCCGCAGTCGCAATCGCCGTCGCCGTCGCCGTCGCGGAGACAGTTGATGGCAACAGCATGGTCCTGAACATGTGTTCATGAGTAACCAGAAGCCCCGAGACTCCATCCAAAGGGCATATCCAGCGATAAAATCTTAATTAGGTGATGCTATGCCATTGAAAGACGGTATCTGGCTTTCACTTGCTCTGTCATATTTCATTGCTGGGTGCGTTGCGAGGGTTGGGCGGTCTGTGCGGTCTGGGCGTGTTCGGGCGGATTCGGGCGGATTCTGTAGTAGTAGGCATTAAGTAATAACGAAATCATACTCAACGACTGGATTTGTCGCGGCCGTCGCTGCGCGCACTTGTCGTATTCAATAATCGCCCACTAATGGCAAAGTGAGCAATCGCAACCCTCCCCTCCCCTCCACACGATATCAACAACAGCAACAGCAAGAACAACAACAACCACAAAAACAAGGACAGCATTTGCTGGCAGAAACCCAACAGATAATGATAATGTTTCACTGACAATTGACGAGCCGTTCTGGCTTGCTCTGCGCCTTCCTGGCCAGAAACAAAGCCCAACATAGATGTCAATGATACGACGCATCGCCGATAGGGGTGCGTCCGCATCCTCACCACGCAATGTCCTTTCTATTCCTCTTCTCATCTACCATATTGATATGTACAGATGTACTTACGTACTTGCCAGGCACCAGCGTGGCAATAAAAAAGCAATAAAGCCGAGCATAAGCTCGACACCGACACCAACACCAACACCGAATACGGACACAGAGTAGCACACCCGAACCCGCACCCGAATCTGAATCGGAATCTGAAAGCGAACCCAAGCCCAAGTAGTCGACCCATTGTTGTTCGCTGTACTGCAATTTCTTCGAGATTGCTTATCGATTCCCCCGGGGACAAAAGTGAATGTATGTACTTAGGCTTGAATTTGTGGCAAATTTGTTCAAATCATTTCAATTGAAGGTCGGGCAGGTTGATGGGTTGCCCCATACACCCCTTCCACCCCATCTGTCCCGTCCACCCACTCAAGTTGCTGCTGCTGTTAGTGTTAGTGTGATGGGCCGCCAGGGGGTTGCAAAATGGGCGTGAGCTCTACGCTTCTTCACCCTCGCCAGCAGGCAGTGGCCAAAAGGGTGTGAATTAAAAAGTTTACGATGAATCAAGTCAAGAAGAGCCAGATATTCACGCCCTTGCCATGCCTTTTCCAACGCCCTGTGCGTCCAAAGAAAACGATGCCATCTTTGTGTCTACAAGTCGCATCCTTCAAACAAACACACACACACACACATGGCCATAGTGTGTGGGGGACGGTCAAGACAAACGGGCGCCAGCCCTGGGCTTGGACACACCCGTTTTTAAATATAGTATTTCTCTTCTTTCCATGCAAAGTTTCTAAAAGGCTCAACATTATCGTAACGTATGCCAAGATGACCAAAATCGGTAGATAGAATTCTTTTTTTCCATAAATTATAGACACATTCTTGCAAATTGATTTATCTTTTATAAACCTAGATCTGAACTATCATATTAACCAGTGGACAAACTCTCTCTACTTGAGACGAGACTTAAATACACAAGAGTATATTTACTGCAGTTGTTACGAGTAAATGAAGCTTAACTAAGAAGGTTATCTTTATAATAAAATTAAAAATAGTCTTCGGATCCAACGATCTCCCATTGATAAGCCATTGCTATATTGCAAGCATCACAAAAATTTGCTAAGACGACCAATAGCTTTAAATCTGATTCATGCCATTGGAGCGATAGAAAATGAACATACCTATCAGGAACTGATAATCTGAAATCTGATTCATGTCATTGGAGCGATAGAAAATGAACATATCTATCAGGAACTTAATATAATTCTTTCAGTACCAGAAATAGCAATTTACTTGGTCAAGTATGGGTTTCTATGGGTCTCATAACATACTATAACTAATAAAAACTAAACGTATTATTTTTAAATTCGAATAATAGTCGATTACGATAAGTCATCTTCTGAATATCATCCATCATCAAAGTCATAAATAGCAAGGAAAGGTAAATGTTTGTGCTAACGAATTTATTGAACATTTTCTGATGTTAAAAAAAATCAGATCCATATAATACTCTCACTCGCCGACTTCTGCGGATATGTCTAGTTAAATAACGGGTATGATGATATATTAGACGGCGTTTTTAAATTTCTCACTGCCCTCATGTAAAGACGAAATTTCTAATTGACTCCCAAAGTTAGAGAAAGTTTTCTAAAGCAGAGAATGGTTAATATAATTCTTTTTTCTTTTCGATGTTCGAAAGATTGAAATAATTTCAACCAGCTACAAAATTTGACTAAAAGCTCAACAAACATTTCTTCGTCAATTGAGTTTTGTTAAAAAGTCAATCTCATTTGTGTAAATATATTTCGTTAATGGCATACCTGTGAACATACTTATGCATCTATTTGTAGAGTGCTTGTACAAGAAATGAAATAACTGCCCTATTACGGATATTTATTTATTTGTTCAGCCGATTATAAACACACACACACACACACATGTACTTGTATACTTATACAGTCCTTGAAATGTAGGACAAATCGTGTGGATGGATGGGGAATGACAATGCGGCCATTAAATAACAATGCATCCTTTGACGCATTATTTAGAGTTCGGGTTCGGGTATGTCTAAGAGTGCGTTCACACACCTAGCCGCTGGGTGCCTTTTGGGTGATGAATGGATGGAACGGTGCACTGGCAAGCGGTACAGACAATCACACATCCTCGCCGTCGCCGTCGCCATCGCCGTCGCCATCGCCGTCGCAGTCGCGTGTGGTTTGTGTGCAAACAACAACAACACACACAAATAAATATAAGTATACACACATGTGCATACAATCGCATCGCGCTTTCACACTCTCAATTCCATTATAATATGTAATTTCCTCGGAAAATATTTCAAATGTCAACGCCAACGTGCCGACATGTCCTGCGTGTCCTGCGTCGACAGCCAACCGCCAACAGCCAACAGCCAATGCTGTGTGGCCGTAAATACATATTTATGTATACTTGTATGTACGTGTATGTACACACACATACTATACATATGTACATACAAGTATGCATATATATTCTGCTATATTCTGGGTTCTGGGACACTCTGCTTCGGTCTCGGTCTCGGTCGTTGTGGTTGTGGCGTATGTGTTTGAGTTGTGACTCGATGTTGGCTCAATCCATAAATGCACTTAAGCGGCACGTGCGCCTGCCGGCGGCAAGGCCAGCTGACAACAAGACGACGACAGGACCGCAGGATAACGGGACACACCATAATATACATAAGAGGCAAATGTTACAGTAATTTAATTAACATCATAACGAGTGAGCAAAATGGCAGCGTTATTAAGGGCAGGACCTCCCCGCTAATGGACCCTTCTTACCCCTTCTTCGATATTGCATTTCATATCCTTCCTTCCTTTTTCCTTCCAGACGAGAACCGCGATGTCAACATGCACTCCGAAGACGACGTCAAGCGACAGCGACTCACCTACGGCGGCGATCAGATCTATCCAAACGTAAGTGCTCCCCCACATATTTTACAAATATTTAATTGTTTGCCAAGCAATTAACGCTCAAAAACTGTGACTTCATAATCTATGGTCACGGATTCAAATCATAGATTACTTATTTGAATCTACATCCACACAAAAGGATTAGGTATTTGGACTTTAAGAGTGCTTACCACTCGAGTACTAGCTCCAAGAAAAAGGGCTTCAAACCCAATTCAATAGTCACAACCATCCATGACATCTAATAATGGTCCTCCTTAGGTCAGATCTTAAATAAAGAATAAAGATTTAAAAAAAAAAACCCAATTCAATAGTTTTACGGATTGGCACACTTTACCGATCCCATTTCTACCTAGTTTTATCGAATTCGGGAATAATTGAAAATAAAACCAATTATTGTCTTCAGCAAAGTTAACCATTAATCAAAAAATTATAGTAATTTGAATACATTTTCTTAGGACTTTGTAGTGTTTAAAACATTCGATCTTCCGACGACACTCCCCTTAGCAATAGCATTTATTGTTCCCAAATAATTTTCAAATTAATTTACAAAAAGTGTATGTACATACTTGTATGTATATATAAATATATATATAAATATACCAAGCTAATCAGGGTAGAAAATCTATTTAACTCTTTCGGACCCAGATGTATCAATTTTTCAGTTGACCTTGAATGTCAATATCTTGACTTGTTTCTGACGTATGTATAGGAGAAGACTGTCGGTCTACATCGATGTTGCTCATTATTGCTCATCATGTTTTATCAGAATAATAACAAATTTGTGTCTTAAAATACAATTAAATACAATTTCACGATATAGACATATTTTTATGTTTCTAATGGGTTGATAAGTAAGTCTTTTGTCTTAAGTTTTTTTTTAGAGAAAGTCATCAAATAATCTATTCTGAAAGCAACAAAATTGCAATTAAACTATATGAAAATTTTAAAACCATATATTTCAAGAAAAAACGAGAAAAATTGCATACCTTTAAGGGCTTTACGAAAATAAATAATAATAAATAAATTGAAAATAATAATTAAAGTAAAATTATGAAATTATTAAATTAAATTGTTAGAATAGCAATCTATTGACTCCCGCGTTTTCATTACACATATTTTTATTATTTTAAATAATGAATAAGTGGTTTCATCAAATTATTCCCTTCATGCCAATATTAATGTATCGACTTACCCATTAACAACTTTTAAGCCATGCACCCGAAGACTTGGTATGAAGACTCTCTTAGTTATTCAATTTCCTCAATAATGTTCGTAATTCCAAAGCTACATAAACTATAGCCCTATTTTAAATGCCATCCAAATGGCGTTGTCTAAAAGAAAAGTTACTAGCCAAAGCGTCTTATGCCAGCACTATTATAGTAGAGATATTTTTCCCCTCTTCTTCTTCGTTCTCAGCGCTACTAAAAAGTACAGCGACGGAAGTGCTTTAGGGTGCAGGGTATTCCACTGTCCGGCTAGCTCGATAGTAGCAATTATATTTTGTTTTCGGTTAGCATTTAGGCACTATATTGAAACGCAATTGATCGTTTTACAGATTTGGTCGGGCAAATGGTGCATTAAGGATGAGCATAAGCTGTTATCAGAGCTGGGCAGCCTGGCAGCCACCAATGGCAATGGGGCGCCCGCATATTATGAGGCGCCCAACGGGTTTCCCACAACGGTTGCAGGCGCAGGAGCTGGCAACGACTCGTCCATGCTGTACGATAGCATTGCAACAATATCGCAGGGCCAGAGCACGCTCTACACCCCGTCCATCGGACCCTCAATTGGTGAGTAAATAGGGGCAGAGTAGTGGCGCCTTGACTTCTTCATACCGAGAAGTATGTTTGCTTGTTTAGCTTGTCAAACGCATGTGCATTTTAATTTGACTATTTGCTCGCATTTCTTATTTAATTATTTATAATTTTTAATTTTTCCCCCACATCGTTTTCCTTCGAAACTTGTTCAACTATATAGGCAGCGGTTCGTTAACGCCCCTAGTGCCTATTAGTATGCAAGACATGAAGTTCAGTACAAATGTACAGGAACAGACCATATCGCCGTTCTACACAGGTAAGAAAAGTATTGCGATCGGCACAGTTTAGGGACTCTACGATTACGTGGAAGTAGTGTTGGGAACGGGATATCTATTAGGGAGGCGGCTTGAAAAAAAATCAATTTATTTCTTCAGTGTGAGCCGAATGAGCCAATCCAGGGATAATTTTAAAGCTTTTTTTTTTAATTTGATTAAACTTTGCTATTGAGGCCCCAATTTGAATGAAAAGCTCTGTTTAGCAAGAGTTCTTCTCATAACTAAAATGAAACTAATCGACGGTTACCAATCAGCAATCGCCATTGAAAATGGCAGTTACGCGACAATAACGCCCTTGGACAATGGCGCCAGCTCTCCGGCCGGGCGTGGTAATGAAGGAAGCGGCGTCGCCGGCGGCTCAGGTGGCTCGGACTCGCCCAGTGTGGCAGCCAGCATAATACAGAGCGATCAGACGTCGTCCAGTCTGCGGCTCAAGGAGCCTCTCGTCGAGGCCAGACGGGACGAGAACGCCAACAACAACAAGAACAACCGGAATGATGGCAAACAACATCACGATCTACAGCAACAACAGCAGCAGCATCACATCCATCATCTCACGCCGCAGCAGACGCAGCACCAGTCGCATCAGCAGCAGCAGCAGCAACAGCAACAACAACAACATCAACAACAACAGCAGCAGCAGCAGCAGCAACAGCAAGAGCTGCCACCGACAAACACAAATACCTCATCTCTAATACTCCTGCAGCCGAGTGGCAGCAGCAATCCGTCGTCGGCGAGCAATGCGGACTCCCGATCCACAGCCCCCATCAATGGCAATAGTGTGGGCATCTATTCCACACCCACAATGCTGCCCAGTTTTAGTCACTACTCCGCAGGCAAGTGTTCAAGTCACCATTCAACGCACTCCAGCACTCCAAAAAGTTCACAACTCCAGCACTCCATTCTCTTCAGTTGAGTTCGTCGTCGAGTCGCACGCGGCTGTGGCACAAGTCAAGATTCTCAAGAGTTTTGGAGGAGCCAACACGCCCACTTCCATCTCCGTGGCTGTGCCTAATCAGTGCACACCAGCTCGGATGTAGACCCACTGCACTACTTAGCACACACAAATCATGGTGACGGCGCACATTAAAGACCAACTATACCGATATTTAATCCTTCACTAAGCCTCGTTCACACTATACAAGATGCATTTTCTCTCTATGGGAAACTTTTCAGCTTCGACTTTATAGAGCATCATTCAATCGGGGAAACAATTTCAATTGGAAATTGTCTCCCTTCTTGATATTTTGCCAAAGCTAAAACACCTGGCATGCCTATCTTCTAGATCTAGTTCAGTGTCAAGAAGCCCTGAAATCGTAGCCACACTATACTTCTTGAACTCTCTCTCTCTCTCTCTCTCTCTCTCTCCCTCTCTCTTCTGATAACCTATGTATGTTTGTATTGTATTTAGACTGTTTGTAGTCACCGTAGTTATGTTTTAACTAGGTATCTTGAGTTGCTTTTGTTTGATTGTTGCATCCCTTCGATTTGTGAAGTTTTATAATTACAAGTAATTGTGTTCTATTTTGTAATCGTAATACTCTCAATTTTATTTACAGCCTGCGGATCGGTCGTGCCCAGTACAGATTATGCATATAGTCCCGCCTATACACAATATGGGGGCGCGTATGGATCTTATGGCTATGGCACCAGCGGCAGCTTGATAAGTAAGTATTGCTGAAGATTAGACATCAAGTATTTAAAACCAATCCGGGTCTTCACGCCCAAACAAAAATGGCCATGCTACAATTTAGAACCAGATTAAATTATCGATGCTCTTATTGGTTCTCCTGTTGTTGGTACAGGATGTACGAGTGTGTGAAGAAGAAGGATAGATAACATTCAACTTCCCCATCAGTTAACCAGTTTAATGATCTAATCTTTTCCAATCTTTGCGCAATCTAAATGTAACTGTTGACCAACGAGTTTTTTATCGGACTATTCGTTATGTAAATGTGATTTCAGACTCATCTTATTACTATGAAGGAGGTCAAAATCAAACGTCCTTGAATCAAGACTTGCGCTCACCCCTGGCGGCAACTCGGGCTAATTCTCTGGCATCGGCAGCCTCACCGACTGGCAGTGCGTGCACCAAGTCGGAAACTTCTGACATATTCCTGGTCTAGTGTATGCAGCGACTCTTTATTTCCTTAGGCTAATCGAATACCTGTCCGATGCTACACCGAACTCTAGAAGAATATTCATAGAAGACGTCGCTGCCGCCGGAAGAGCCAGCCCCCCATCTCTTGGGTCTGATCAACGATGACTTGTAGCTACACTTGTTGGATGAGAAGTGGCAATGCCTTGCAGTATAAGAGACCGAAGACAACATGACTGAAACAGCGGACACACCAGCTCGAGATCAACCGAAGTCTACAAGTCTACAAATCACCAAATCAACAATTCTTCAACCAAGATTCGGGCAGGTCATGAAGTTGCTCATTCATTCATCGTCGGATGATCGGTAGCTTGTTTGTTGAATGCAACTGAACAACTCAACAAGAACAATTCTCATACAAATAGTTAATTTTGCATTTAAGATTCGATCGATTTGTATTCGTATTTGTATTCGCACGACGCAAAGCTTGCAATGTTGTACAGATGTTGTACCATTTACTCCTAGGGAAGCACACAATATGTACGAGTTACTCAAAAAAAAAAAAAAAAAAAAACAACAAAAAAACAACAACAACAAAAAACAAAAAACGGAAGATAACAAATTAAGAGAGAGACCTACATATATAGAGAGCATAGGAAATATTATATAAATATATATAATTATTCAAAGAAAGGAGAAGAATCAAACCAAAATGTCCATTAAGGAAAAACTCAACCAAAAACCATTCAAGTTTTTTGAAAACTTTCAAATTATGTATTTTAGTTAATAGGAATTTGAATATCATCTATACATATATTATGTAAAAATTGTACATATGTCATAACATGTATGAATCAGCATAATACCAATATTTGTCATGCATGTAGGCATTGCAGCATGTGTTGTACCAAATAATGTCAGCAGACCATGTACATATTATAAGCAGATGCCGATCCCTATCCCTATCCGGATCCCGATGCCTCTGCCGCTGACGCTGCTCCTCCCGAACTTTGGAGAACAATCACTGAAAGCCAGCACCTGTGATGTGTGATGTGTGCCCAAGATCAAGATCGAGATCGAGAAATTCAAAGAATACAACAGTTTTGGACCAGTTAATGGACGGCTTGACGACCCATTGAGGAGCAGAGGGCAGAGGGCAGTGGGCGAGGGGCAGAGGACGGGCGGGATATGAAAAACAAAAAAAAACAAAAACAAAAGAAAACATAACGCAATGTTGCATTATGAAAATACTTGCACGAATTAAATTTAAATTTCTTAACTTATTCATATGAAAATATATTACAAATATTGATAAAATTTTTTTTTTTTTTTTAATACGTCTAAGGTCTTCGTATATAAATATATATGCATCGTACTCTAAATCGTACGCGTACTCATAAATGTAATTAAGTTTAGACCGATTATGAAACCCGATAGCTTATTAAGAAAACACAAACCAAATTATGTTTACACACATATGAGGTACATAATAAAAACAACAACAAAATTGGGTGTATAATGTTTAAACCTGATCTCTCTCACATTTAATGGACCTGGGGAGAAAGCTTTCAGGACATTCAACCATTCTTGAATATGTTAGAGTGCTATTTATTTAGTTATTTTTCTAATTTTAATTCGACAGAAATTTTGGCAGCAACAGCGTCAAAGGAAACGAACTGCTTGGCACTGCTTGCCTTTTGCACAAGCCGCTCAATCTGTAAAAGCAACTGCTTGTCCGCATAGTGTCTTGCAGAATTGTAGAATTGATCAGTTGATCGTGAGCTGGAGAAAAAATATATTAAGAAATCGGAAAAGTATGTCTGGCTGGGATCACTCAAGAATCTCATCTTGAGCTCATATAGAAGGATGGACAGACAGGCAGACCGTTTACAAAAATATATGTACATATGTGTAATAAAAGTAAAATTCACTAACTAAAGAAGAGTAGGAGAGTAGAGTAGTACACTAATGTTTGACTCTTGTACTCGTATACCCTCTACTGCGCCTCTCTCTACCTCAGTCGTTCAACGAATATGAACTAGATTGCACCAATCGTTCATATAACAGCTATAAACTCCAGGATATAGAGTAGTGAGGCTTAATGGAACAATCAAAAATATTAAATTTGTTGGAAAGTTGGGTTCGTCACCCCACTATCAATAACAAGGATCAAGAGCAGAAAAGCATTCTGGTTGGATACCAATTCCATCGGTAAGTCTCTCAACGCTTTCAATAACTCACCAATATGCATTTTACAAGTATTTTACTGAAAAACATAACAAATAAAATGAGGAAGAAGAAGACGGTAATTTCAATATTTAGAAGCATTTATTTCTCCATGATATAGTATGCTCGTATATTGTATGTATATAGAAGGTGCGTTTAACAGGAGTTAGGGCATTACACGCACATAACGTCCTGGATAATTCGTCCTTGTTTATATACAATACATACAAGTATATTTGACTTAATTGTGTACTTTTTACTTTATAATGTATGTAATTAACATTATTATATATTTATGCGTGTGTGTGTTGTCTGTTTTGCTCTTAGCTGCCGCCCTTGGAATCGGAATGATCCTATTCGCCATTTTTTAGGGCCTTTGCGCTTGGATAACACTTCTGCTATATGTAGAAACAAAGCATAGCCGAAGTAACAGAAAGTCCATGACTTTGTACATACATATAAACTAAGATTTCAATTAATTTTTCGTTACATTTAATGGAATGTTTCTCCGTTTATTTTCTTTACTCTTCTTTATTTTTACTTTTTCGTTTTTCGTTTTTCATTTTTTCTATTATATTTGTATTCGTGCGACCCGCAACGACTTCACACATTACAAAAAATCATTCTGCGGTAATCTATGGAACTACGATACGATCTAAATATGGACGAAATTAAAGCGCTTTGGAAAGCGGCTTTTCACAAGGAACACAACTTTCATTGAGCCACAATGTAGTTCGATTGGCGGAGCTTTCATTTTATTCATCTTTATTAATTGTTGCTCTATTAATATAAATATATTTGTTTATATACACAAAATTTCCCATCAATGATCCGATGGTTGGGGGTACGAGCACTAATCGTGGCGTCTCTGTTTCTGTTTCTGCTGTCCTTGGAGAAGTCTAGTTAGTGGGTAATGGTCTGAATATTAGTGCTTATGTTATCTATGAGTAAGTAGGGAAGCTCGGCTTTTGAGGCCCCATTGTGTGAGACCTTTTCTCTATAACTTATTCTCCTCGCCAGTTCACCAGTTCCGAAACGGCTCGTAGGTAAATATGATTTGCAACTAAATAGCTGTCGTTATGGAACTAAAATATCTGAGTAGGTACACACATACATATGTTGTATGCTATAGTTTATTAACTGCTTTAGAAACCTAACTTAATAGGACGTCTATAAAGCACCATAGAGAATGGGGCCAGCAGAAACATAGAGAACCACTGGGATAATGCCGTGTCAAGCAAAATGTTGTTAAAGAATGGATTGGTATCGGTTTTGGTATGCTTTGATATTCCTTCATGCAGGCATTATACCTATAAGCGGATTGAATAGGTAGTTAGTATTCGTACATAGATATGTTTCTTCGATACAAAAACAGACCGACGGAAGCTGTATGCGAAACTATTTATTATCATATCATTTATAAGTGCAAGCTTATACACCGTTATTATTTAAGTTTTGAGGTTAACTTGAGCTTGAACTTGAAATGCTTCTTGAATCTAGACAGATCCACCGATCCACCATTTAGCACTATGCCGTGACTCAACTGTTGCAATCCGCCCTACTTACTAATCAATAAAAAAGGATATGTGCTACTATGTATTATCGCTAGCGGGAGTGCTTAGTTTTATTGTTGCAGAGTTCAAAGTACGATTACAATACAAACTGGGGAATAAAACCCTTACTTCCCATAACAGAAAATAATTATTTAATTCACAAATTATGTTTAAAAAAAAGAAATAATTATAATTACAACTACTAATTAAGAAAAACAATGGCAAATGAGCAAAATTCGAATCTTCGATCTTCTTTTTGCTTTCGTTTTTTTGTGGATTTCTTTTTCGTTTTTTTCTTTTTTTTTTTTTGGTTATCTTAATGAAATGATAACAGAAAATGAAGAAGATGTGCAAATTGATTGATTAATCAGTTTGCTTCGAAATGTTGCTTTTGAGATTCTAAACACATACACACATACATAGATATGGACAGCTCTTTAAATCTAACTTATGTGTGTGCAAAGGCGTACACTCATTATACACACATACACACATATGTATGTATGTATGCGTGCATGTACACACACATGTAGTATATAAACGTAAGTATATGTGTATATTATATATGTATATACGACTACCATCGTAAGTACAAGAGCAATAAAAAAAACACGCAAAACAAACGAAACAATGAAATGAAATTACATTTCTCCCTACAACTGGATATCATTGGCTTTGATGTTCTTGATGTTGTTGTTGTTGTGGCTGATGTTGTTGCTTTTGTTTGAAATCTTCTTTTCATTTTTTTTTTGTTGTTGTTGTTAAATTGGATGCATTTTTAGCTTTCAATGGATGTTGTTGTTGTTGTTATATTCTTTTTATGCAGATTTACATGTTAATGTTCTGCTCTGGCATGGAAACCAATACTTGCTTTTGTTTTGTTTTATTTTTGTTAATTTGTTGCTTCTCTCTTAGTTTTTGTTCTTGTTGGTTTTTGTTTCGCTAACTTAAAAATCTACCGATTTGTTCTTATGTAGTATGTACGTGTATATGTCATTTATTACACCGGCTCGACCGCCGTCTTGTATAATTGTACTATGTCTTAGTTACAGTTAGTGTACAGAATCTGTTTGCCACTGTGGAACACTGTGGAACGAACCCTGGGTACCGGTACCCGACTGGGTTCGGCCCGGCTCGGCTCGGCTCTGCTAGGCTCAGATTAGATCAGATCAGATCAGATTACACATGTACTTTCTGTCACTTGCGGTCACTTGCCCTCCAATTTTTCTTCTTTTGTATTTCATCACCATCTTCACGAACGTCAGATTAATTGTCATCTTCAGCTTCATCACCATCAGCTTCATGGCCAAAATCTGCATCTTCCTGTTGTTTTCCTTGTCCTTGCTACATACATACATATACGTAACGTATTTAAGATACATACATTCTCAACGAAAAAAGGTTCGCATATATGTAGTTAATGTACTCAATTAATTGTTTTCTTTTTCTGATCCCCTCTGGGGTATTCTGTGGATTACTTGTTATGTTATGGATCTTTGAGTTTATATTTAAAAAGCACATTTACATATTTTTTCTTTAATATTAACTTCTTCTTTTTGTTGTTTTGGATAGAAAGTTGCGCAAAGCTCGCACTCATTTTCGCATCCATTTTTAATTTGCCGTTGAAAACATGTTGGTGTTGTCCCATTCAAGCTGGTTTATGTTGATGTGGGCGAATCCATCTTTAATAACTACGAAATCAGAGATCACGCACATGAAGTCAATAACAATACAAACACATGTTTCATACCAATAGATACATTTGTATCTATTTTCCATACATTCCCAAACGCAACTTACCTTCATCATCTTCTGAATCGGAGTTCTCAGAATCGGAACTCTCTTCAGATGCAGCATCTGTTTGCATAGGATTTATAGTAATTGTCAATGCGGAATCATCCCAGATCAAACCCTCATCGGCAATCTGCCAAAGCAAAAAGTTAAATTATCGAATATCGCCTGCCTAATTGTATATATGTAGGTTTGAAAAAGACATACCTTTGGGCACGGCTGGTGTCGATCTGTATACTTCTGATTGTTTTTGATGCGAGCAATAGAAACTCCACAGAGCAAGATGACCAGGAAAACACATATTAGGATAATAAGCATGGTCGGGTGTGATGCTTCCGCTAAAAAGGGGGAAATCGAAAATTTTAATTAAATATATCATCATCATCATCTTTTATCATAGTTTCAGTTAATATCCCCACCTTTATGGACAATAGAGTGCACATGTGATTTCGGCTCCTGTACGTCATTGGTGTGGATCATGGCATATGAAAATAGTTTGGTGTCTGAAAACCATAATCATGTTAAAAGAGTGTGTGTAGGGGATTATTTATTTATTACATACCAGTAGCTTGATCGCCACTCTCATCATTGGAGACACGATCATTGATGCGATAAACAGCAGAATTGGAATTTCCAGCAGCCCCAGCCAGAGATGGAGCGTTTGTGGTTTTGGACAAAGTTTGTTTGGGATGTAGTACTGTTAGGGTTAGAGTGTATTCGGCACTCTTGAATTGTGAGCTAAGTTGTGCACAAGACAATTTGAACACACGGTTTAGATAATAGGCTGGCTTTTTGTTACTATAGACCAGCGCACGTAATACATTAAGATAGTTGCGTATGGAATCGGTTCCAAGCATTTCGACACCATCCTTATTAATATTGGTTTTAATATCCATGGTGGAGGAGAGCGACTCATCACCGTCAATCAATATCTCCTCATGGTCGGGATTCAATGAGGGGAACACAACAACGCTGCAAGAGTCCAAATATTCCTTGGACATTACTTTATGATCGTTGTCAACGGACACGCCAATGTGAACTTTATCTAAGATGTGGACGCCCGATTTGATTTCTTGATACGAAACCAGTTTGTTTGCTGTGCCTAAAAGCAGAAAATGAACACATTCTTCAGTTTTCACCCAATTAATATTGATATTTCAAACTGCCATTTTTTTTATGTATTTACAGCCAGTCGAATTATGGACTCAATTTGAAAAAATACTATTTCAAATAAAAGAGTTCATGAAGCTAGAATCTGGCAGACTGTTAATACAAAAATAAATGTCGTTTATAATTACCAGAAATCGTTATCTTGCTGGCCTCAACATGGACATCTTGGGACGGCTTTCGGACACCCTTCTCATGGTCCATTTGTGGGTCGACCTTCTCCACGGCATACATCGTAGCCGAATTAAGCTTATCTGCATCACTAGGCGGTGCTGAATCTGTTATGGCTGCTGCAACAATTGGCTCATTGACCATAATATACGTCTCAATTGTGGGCAGCCGTATAGCACTCTGGTTAATGCACATCATGGTTGTGCGAACTTCAATATTGCGACGACCGATAGTGGGACTCTGCTTGATATTGATGTATTGAATCTTACGCATCAACTGCTCGATTTTATGCTTGCTCTGTGCCTCAATATAGATCTCATTCATTTGTGCATTGGACTGAACCTGAGAATCGGAATCAGGGCGTGTGTCTGTTGGAGGCAGCAAATGCTCGGCACAGCTGGTGCCGCATTTAATGTCATCGACCGAGAGCACACCATTGACCGAGACCTTTACCTCGGAAATGTCGCCATTGAAGCCGTGCTTGAGGCGATTCTCGGAACTCTGATAGCAGGCTCCAACCGCCAAGGTTGTATTGACACCGTGAGCTGCGTGCAGTGGCCAGTCATCGATCACCTCTGGGTTGCTGTGACGGTCCTCAACGGAGCTCTCAAAGCGTACACCATCGATATAGAGCTCAACCTTAGACGACTGATCCACATTCAGCACATAATGATGCCATTCATTGTCGCACACCTGTGGAATTTTCCAGCGCCATTCCGCGGGACTAAAGATATTGAGATCGCCTTCATTGAAGTTCTTGCGAAGCAGTAAAATCAGACGGCAATTACGCACAAAAAGTGCCATATGATGACGATTCATTTTGTGATCATCGGCGCTGCAAACTATGTGCTCCTTCACATGCTTATTATTCGAGATCTGGCTGCCGTGACGGAATATGGTGACAATACCAAACGGATGGGTGGAGAAGTCATGGCGACCAATCAGTGTATCAGGAACAACGACGCCGGTCGACCCATCAAAGTGAAATATAGGCTCTGCACCCTCATCGTAACTTAATTCCTTGGTCCATTCCACGTCTCGTGGGAGCAGGTCCTTTAATGTAAGGCTTGCCGAACAGTTAGATATATCTCTATCGCATCCGAATGATATGTGCTTGGTCTATACAACGACAAAGTATTAAATGCATTTATTTAGTTCAAATATATGTACATACATATGTATGTATGTATAGCAAATAGTCGACTTAATAAACTGTAATTGCTCTCACCTTAAGCGCAATGGATGCATGTATGTTGAGCTCTTCGCTATTGCAAAAAATGTCACAAAGGTCGAGGCGGGCATTGGGGAAAAGCTGAAGGCTCTCAGTACTGCCAGACTGAATGATATGAAGGAAACAAAAATAGTAATAATAATATTGATAATTATTAAGCCATTCACATCCGATTTTTAAGCTGAGTTGACTTGGGCAAAGATTCCACACACATACTTACGGTGTAATCGATACGTTCAGGAATTCCCAAGAATTTAGCTTCGCACACGCGACGAACCTTAATGCTAACCATAATGGGTGTTGATTCTTTCATGGCACAATCGTAGGCGACTACAGAGAGAATGTGATTGTGGGATGCCTTGTGGGACAACGGCTCGGTGTTCTTAATAGAGCCCTCGTTGTCGATGGTGAAAGGTTCATCATTGTTCAATATCTCATATTTGCAAACGTCGCCGAACAGCGGTGTGCAATCCTTGTCCGATGCCTCCACGCGAATTATTTCGTTATAGAGACGGCCCTCATCCACTTCGGTCACATAGGACGGCTGCAAGAAAGTCGGCGCATACTCGTTAATATCGATGACCGTTATATGCACATTTGCTGTATTCGATGGCGTTCCATCGCAGTATATGGCCACAATCTCGAAATGATAGCTCTTCCTCTTCTCACAGTTCAGCGTACGACGCGCCTTCAAGATACCCAAATTGTTTACTAACTCAATCTGAAAGGTATACAGAATGTTTACATATATGAATGTATGTGTATTATTTATATGTTCGTACGTATATTCATTTGTATGTACATATATAATATATCATGGCGTGGAGTATTAATTTAATGATTGCACTTACCTGAAATGGTATTTCATGGTATGGCTTCTTCAGAATGCGAAAGTTACAGATTTTCTCCTCGTCTACTTTAATTAACGGCGTAATTTCCACTAAAGTCTCGTTTTCACGAATCAAACCGTGATAAGATTTTTCCAATATATTCTCTAAAATGCATAATGGAATATCCGCATAAATGTGTTGTAGAATGTGACAACAAAAATAGTTCTTAAAACATTCAACTAAATTTAGAATTTTCTATATTTACGTTACTGCGCAATCCCATTTTGATTTGTTAACACGTCTCTCTACCTGAAAGTTCTGCATCCGCTGTTCTTAATCTGGAGTGAACACATTCCACAGCTAATGCTAATGATGATGCTGATAATAGTATCATCATCTCTCTGGTTTCCCACCCACACACTTTTTTTTTCTATATACATACATACATAGTATTGCTTAAATAATTAAATCCGTAGAGCATGCGGTCATAAATTTATGTAAATGTATGTGAAATAAATCTATCTATGAACGTACATAAAGTATGTGTGTTGGAGTAAGGTATGAAAATAAAAGAACAACACATACAATGATATTTCACGGCTTCAGATTGCAATATCAATAAACATATCCTTATCAGAAATAAAATGCAACGTACCTCGTTGTGTGAGATATTCATCATCGTTTTCATTCGATGAGACAATCCCAGTGGTGGACGATGCCAAATTTGAAACGGAAGATGCAAATGCAAGACTAAGTATGGTTAAACTTAGAAGGACACAAAATATTCGGAGTAGCAACGCCATTGTTTTGGACGTCTGGATAAATGGCCAAGATCCTGAAGACTATTTGTAAATGCACCCTCGTTCTGAAACGATAGATAAATAAATATAATTATGATGACTTAGCTTTAGAGCAATAAATAACACTCTGCTAATGTTGATGGTGACACAATTTGGGGGCAACACACACACTCTATCTTATTAAAACGATGCCACATTGTATTCAAATTGATTGATTTTTAACTCAACTCTAAATAATTGATTGATTTTTCGTTAATCAGATCATATAAACACAATCACATAGATTTATACAAATGTAAGTCATATGTACATAAGTACGCATGTATATATGTCCATATGTATGAATGTGTATAGGAGATTTTATGTTAAAAAAAAACACACTCATATACATGCATATCTAGATATGTATATGTGTGTTTGTATCCAAGAGATACACATTTTGTCTGACTGACTTCCTTCTATACGGCCAAATACATACAACATAACCACTCACATATGGCTGCACCTGCACATTTAAACAAGTAGAATTTGTGCTACACATTTATTAATCACAATACATATAACTTACACTTTAATACCTATTTATATAAAAAAACAATTTTAATTTTTTCAGTAACTTGCAGTAAAATGTGCAGAGGCAAAAAACTCAAGAGATCGAGAGTTCGGCTTACCACCCACATATAAGTTTGGAAAAATCGATGTATTATACTAACATTTTGTTTGTTGCGTATTTTTGGATATATATATTTATGATAAAACAGCTGTAGTTGCACCTTTAACGTAATTGGATCCGAAGTATCCGAATTAAAACCGCACAAATCTAAAACGGCTGTTTTTTACCATCCGTTTTTTTTACCAACAGTGTACAATTAACATCTTCTTCTAATTTTTGCCATCCACAGCAGGTAACACAGACTCAGTCACAGTGCAGTCCAGGCTACTCTAAAAATCGCTAAATATATCGCTGTGCTGTCGCGCGATAGACTTTATTTCGATAGTACAGATATCGACATTGTGTTCTGGAACAGAGATATATAAACACAAGAAAATGACAGATAAATATTGTGCGGATCTGTTACGCATCGCTGTTGCTCAAATATCACAAACTATTGGCTACAGTAGCGCCCAAACTGCGCCCTTAGAGCTATTGCAAGATGTTTTACACAAATTTTTACAAGAGTTCGCCCGTGACCTGCATAGCCAGACGGAGCATGGTAAGTGCTTGCTTACGCTTAAGTCTTTAACATGTACAGCTCGTACATTTGCGTGTATGTATGTACCTGTGTGTACATGCACATTTGCGTTGATATGTATGTACATATCTACGTTAATCAATATATGCGTACATATGTACATATACATGTACATGCATATCAGGCGCGAATAAACACGTACATACATGCATATATATATACATAAATACATATATGATAATGCATGTTCCTGTTTTCGTAACTGACTTTTTATTTTCACGACAGCGAATCGCATTGAACCAAACCTGAAGGATACACATCTCAGCTTAAAGAGTCTGAACATCAATATCCCAGATCTGCTAGACTACATAGGCAATGTCGAACCGGTGCAATTTGCACAGGAGATCCCACAGTTTCCGGTAAAGAGAAACTCAAATATGAATTTCCTCAAGCCGGGCAGTTCGGAAACACTGACACGACCCGTACACATATATGAGCATTTACCACCCATGCTTCCAACAGAGCCAACTTCATCTGGGCATTCGTCGGCTGGTTGCAGTGGCAATCAATTGGAGCAGGGTGACATGGTGCCGGCATCTGCACTAGAAGCAGGAGGGGAGGTAACCTTACCAAATGGCAGCAAAAGTATCAGTAGTCCGTCTCCCTTCCCATCGTCCCAATTATTTCCATCACAAGAGCCAAATGCTGACATTCCATCAACAAACGCAACTCCATGGAGTAATTCTGTCGACGCAGGCATGCCGCTTCACCCATCTGCACGTAACTTGGATGTGGAGGGAGGTGCTACACGTGAAATCAGTAGTGTAGTAATGACAACAGGAGGATATATTTCACCAGCAATCGAAGGAAAGCTGCCTAGTGCCTTTGTACCTGATATTATTGGTAAGCATTGGCAATAAAATCTGAACATATTTCTGTTACTAATCACACGCACAATAATCTGATGTCCATTGCAGACAAATTCAAAGGTCTGGATGTACCACCTCCATCGCCACCACCGCCACCACTACAAACCATCAATTCTATTGGAAATGATACACCCATTGATTCAACAATTTCAAAAGATGTAATTTCAATGCAGCCCATGCCTACCGAAACACATGGTGTGCCCACCGAAGGGGCAACAAATGTCGATAAAAAGGAGCCAACTGTAACCCCAATTGCAGAAGTTAAGCCAATGGTGGCAGACATAAAACTTAAGAAGAAAAACAAAAAACGGCCTCTCCCACGCATTCCTTGGCCATTAGAGCAATCTGCAAACAACAAAGCTCTAGAGAAAGCTCAAAAAAAGGCTTTGAAAAAAGCATTAAAGCTGTCTAAATCAAAAGATACAATGGACCCCAGCGGCAATCCTCAAAAACCAAAGGCCGCATTTCGGGAGATACCTCAACTGCAAAAATTGTCGACTCTAGGAGATAAGCAGGCCAAACAGCGACTTAAGCAACTAAGGAAGGAGCATTTACAGCAAGTGAGAAAGAAGCAAATGCATCAGGAAAAGGAAATGATAAAGCAATTGAAGGGACAGAATCTACAAATGCAGCAGCAACCTACATTATCCACACCGTTGCCCTTCTATGGGCACCTTCCAGGTATAATGCATCACATTTCATCAGAAGATATAGCGGCGAACAAACCACCGATTGTTTTTGGAAACACTGACAACACTATGCAGCCAATGGCAACACAAATTCCGAAAACACAGGTAGAAAGCAAAGATATGGTTGCTGCAGCGTTAGCAAGAGAAGCATGCCAAACAGATGAAGGGGCAATGCCGCCGGAAATAAAACTTCCCAGCGAACCAGATCGCAATAAGCTAAATATTTTTAAGAAGCTGTCGAAGGCCAAAGTCAAAGCGGCTCTCTCTCCCACTCTTCCTATGGGTCTATCTACGAATATCTTTGGCAACAATTTTAATGGAACACCGTTAATAAATCTGCCATCTGGCACCACCATAACACCAGCACCTGCATTACCTATTCCTAACGTGGGCGGATTTGTATCTGTGACGCCAAATTCTATACCTCACTTGCGACAACCCAACATGATGGCCACAGATCTCTCAAAGCCCAAGAAACGTGGTCGAAAACCAGGCAGCAGAAATCAGGCAAAACTCTTAACTACCGATGCTTTGGGTTCACCTATGCAACCAGCAAAGAAAGTCAGATACAATAAGATGAATGCAATACCGTTTGAACAAGGCGTTATTCAAATGAATGAAGCCCAACTGATCCCGGAATTGACGCCCATGGAGCCATTAAACTTAAGCAACATTGACGAATTCCAAGTTGGTGAACCGGCGCAATTCTTACCGAGTAACCCCCCGTTGGCCCCAGTACCCAATCAGGAAACTTTGAAACCCAAAACAAAAGAGAAAAAAGAACGGAAAAAGTACAAATCAAAATATAATCCTCTTGGTTTAAAAACGGATGAAAGTTTCCCCATGGAAGCTATCCCAGCAGATGCAGTAAACAAGAAAATGCCGCCGGTCGTAAACCATGTTACAGATAATATCACACTTATACCACCAAGCAAAGCTGCGAATTCTGCTAAATCTCCCGGCAATACTAAGAAACGAAATCCAAATATTTTGTCACCAATCGTTAGTAGAGACCACAATATTGGTATCTCCGATACACTGATACCCATGCAGCCCATCCCTTTGTTGCCCATGCCTTTGCTGTCCTTTCCGCCAAGACCAGGCCTAATACCGTCGGGCCCTGGACTCTTTCCGACTCCAGGTCTCAACAGTTTCGGACCAAACATGCTTTTACCACAATTTATGGCATCCCCCGGAAGTGCAAATAACGTTTCACGAACTAACATCGAACCGCCTGGTAAGTGTCGTGCTTAAAAATCGCGGTTAATAATTACACACGTTTTTTAAAGTTCGTTTTTCTGTCATATAATCAAAATTTTACGGCGAACAAGTCCTTGTAAAGGTCAAATTTATTCATATTTAAAATTTGCATTACTTTCAGAAACCAAGCTGCCTAACTTGATGAAAGCTCCACTCCCGGAGTCACAACCAGAGCGAAGCTTTTGCAATGTCGCACCTCTGATTCCTGGTTACATGAAACGCATCATTGGAGATAATCAAATCGTATCAACACCGATGTCGGAATTTGACTCCTCAGCGTCCATATCCGGATCGTCGCAATCGAACACTCTTCGTTTCTTTGAGGAAACTAAGCCGAAAGCTATGCTGTCAACACCATCTGGCACAGGCAATCTGGGTGATCCAATTGAAGTGTCCGACGATTCGGATGAATCAAATGCTGTTAAAAAGCAACCGCCTCCAAAACCATCGCCAACAAACTTTTCTTTCGCACATACACACAACACAAAATCAAACTTAATTCAGCCACCAAATCTTCCATACGGACCGCCCCAAGTTGCCGATGTGCATCATACATTGACTCCACTTCCATCTCCAATTCCAGAAGCCAAAAAGATCAAGAAGCAGGCTAAACAGACGACTTCACTCAAACTAAATCAGCAGGAAGCCAGTATCCCCTCTAGTTCTAATACCCCTTTTGACCTAAATTTCATGGGTGGCAGCGATAAATTTTGTCTAGCTGGAGGCGCCGATCTAATTCCTTTGTCGCGTGAGGATAGTGGGTTGGCGTATTCTTCAAGAACAGTACCAGCTACAAGTTTGGCGGCTGGCGCAACCTCTGGCTCCATAACTCTTCCAACCTCTACTCAAGTGACCAACATCTCGGTTGATCAGTCTGGCATGATGCCCAATTATGAGAGATCGGGAAACTATGACGATGTCACAATTACGCCAACCAATGTTATGAGTCTAGACCTAATGAAAAGTCGGAACAAGGAACACAAGAAACTCAAAAAGCCAAAGGAGGGCAAGGACGGAAAAATTAAGAAGAAGAAAGACAAGAAAGATAAGTCTAAGAATAAAGAACGCAGCGAAGAAAAGCATCTTCATAAGAGTGACAAAATCAAAGCTCTAGATAAGAAACCGAAGAAGGATAAAAAGAAAATAAAACAGGTAGGTAGCTATTTATCTTTGTAAGAAAGTTAATAAATAATTCTCGTACAATAAGAAAGTAAAGTATTAAATACAGAATGTTTTCGTTCAATTTTATTTTAAATCGACTGCTTTGAGTCTTATTCCACTAATAACAATCAATTGGTTTCTTTTTTTTCTAACAATATTTATACTATTCGCTAAAAAGAAGTAAAAGGGTATATTTGTGTTAGCATCAAATCCTTTAACACTCAGATGGAATGATGGACTAGCATTACAATAAGAAAAAAAAAGAAAGAAAAAAAAACCTTCTTGGTGGGCTTTTTGGTTTATAAAAACAGATTGAGATTATGAGAACAGATCGAGAATTGAAAATCATGAATAGCCAAACGTGAAGTGTTTTGTGGTGGTAAACTTGGTAGGCAGTGAGGGATATATACAAGTACAATAACATATTGGCAGTTAACTTGTTAGCTAGATTTCTTTGTATTCTTTTTTGTTGTCGGTATTCAAAGTACCTAATCTCGTATAATTTCAGGGCGTAGGTGATGCAATGGTTATGATGAAACCACAAGAACCACCTATCGGTGCGCTTGAAGCAATACCTCTGTTTGAACCCATCAGCGTCGAACCGCCCTCCTTTGTTGGTCCCGAGCCTTTAGCGACGGGACACATTTCACCCAAGATGGAGCTATCACCCAATCAGGTCCCGAAGCTGACTTTAAAACTAGATCGTAAATCCACACCGCTGCCGATTGAAGAACCACAAGAGACAAGCAGCCATGCGACCGCAGTTCCAAGCAAACGAGACCAATCCCCAGAGCTAGCACGTTTCTCACCTCTTGTCACTGGGCCTCCAAAGCCCAAACAAAGTAGGAAGCAAAAATGCAATGTGAAGTAGTGTTGACATTCTTTCCTAACGAGCTTGTTTTCAGGTGAAACCAATCAGCAACCACTTGGCCTCTCACTAGCCACAGCTGCCTCACTCTGCACTGGCGTCTCCAGCACCATCCCAATCAATCCGAGCACCCAAACGATGCCAGCGAGCTCCGTCCTGCTACCTCATCAACTGTTGCCACCACCCAAGCCGATGCCTAGCGGCGCACTCGGATCTGCTGCTGGACCACCCGGTAGTAGTACTAGCATGGCTGTTTCGCCGCCAAAAATCGATGGTACCCCACAGGTACTTCAAACACAAATTGCTAAATCAAACCGCCCATCATCCTATGTAGATGCTGAAGGTAATCGCATTTGGATATGCCCAGCATGCGGCAAGGTGGACGATGGCTCGGCAATGATTGGTTGTGATGGCTGCGATGCGTGGTATCATTGGTATGTATTCTTAACCAATTATATACATATATAGATCGAATAGAACTGGTCTGATCTGATCTGGTTCCGATCGAAAAAGGCGAATTTCACATTTTTGTTGGCTTTTATTTTCAAAATCGATGTGTCCAAAATGTACAGTTTTGGCATAATTATTATTAGAAAAAGCTAGTCCTATTCTATCCACAAATACGTCTGATTGCTTTTATTAGTATGTATGCGAAATATGAAACGGCAATATATTTCTTATTCAGGGTCTGCGTTGGCATATTTGTGGAGCCCAAGGACAACGAGGATTGGTTCTGTCGTGTCTGCATCACCAGAAAGCGAGTCCATGGATCCGATAAAAAGCGCAAGCGTAACAAGAAGAAGTAAAAGTAAAACACACACTCTTTCACACATTACATATTGATTAGTACTCGTTTCATTGTGGAACGCAATTACATTCGTAAGCAAATGCATCCAAGGTTATAAATTTTATATTTGGATTGTAATTTTAAGTTTACTTAACTGTAACTGTAAAGTATTATTTAATAAAATGTTAAATATGGAAAAAATCAAGCAATTGTTATATTATCTGTACAATACATACTCTATGTAAGTACGTGTATGTATGTATAGTTGAAAATTGTGAAATTTTAGACCCAAAATGTGCTGACCATCTATTTTGAGTTTGTTTTCTTTTCTTGATTGATTCGCCCATATTTTTTACACAATTGTGCACACCAGTTTTTGTGTTCTTTCGTTTGGTTTTGTTTTGTTTAAGAATTTGTATATGTATAGACTTATAGAAAAAATAATAACAAGAAATGGCTTAGGTATTTAGTTATATTATAATCGGGAAACAAATTTTGCAAGTATTTTTTGGATACTTATTAACAAGTTCTGATACTTAGCATAGCATTGATATTGCGGCAAACGGTTTTATTTATCATTATCATATTTTTTTTTTTGTTTTATTACATCACACACCTGAAACCGCCGCGTTCAAATCATATACATATATGCGTGTGTAGGGTGGCCTCAAGGGCCAAGCAATGCATTCGACAGTTTTGGTTTTTTGTTTAATTATTATTTTGTTTTGTTTATTTTTTCAGCCAAGGGCAATTAAAATGTGCAGTGGAGCGCATTTTTAATGAACCACCTCCTATCTAATTAATATTGGTATTACTTGTTAATCTGTGCGTGGCTAATGCAAATACATGTATATATGTATGATATCACTGAATAAATGCATCCAAAATAAACGTTCAATGACAATGACTCTCAGTTTAAGTACAAACAGATGTGCATTACATACATACATATTTAAATATGCTTAAGAAGATTCTGCCAAGTTGTTTAGATAGTTTATTCAATAAGTACAAGACATGGACATTTTATCAATTCTAAGTGATGCCGGAAAAATGCTTATGCCCGATTTTGTTTTTGTTTAATTTTCTGTATTTTTTAAATAATTTTGTTGTTTTTTATAGATCCGACCCCCCCGAAAAACACTTAGGCTTGGGATTCTACTCGCTTGTGCATTAATTTGAAAGGCCTTTATGCCAAGATACAAATAGATATCTGGACAATATGTATCTTAGACTTATGACTGCTACACCTTACCAGTGCGACGTCTTAACCTATTCTTTATGCTTTTAATATTAATATTTGATTTTCCATCAACTCAAATTAACCTATTTTTTGAATAGAAACCCCTCATTTAGAATATTAAACGCGAAAGCTAGCTAATTTGTCAGATCCGCCCTTGAAGGGACTTTTTTCGGTTCTGCTCCATTTTGTTCGTCTAGACTTGAATCGATCTATTCAAACAAAACGAACAAAATGAAATTTCTTGAAGGAGAAGAATGTTACAAAATAACAAATCAGATTCGATACATTGTTGTTAGGAGAGATAGATAGATAGATAGGTAGGGAGAGAAAGAGAGATAGATAGATTTAATAAAAGCCCGTCTTTAACTACCGATCGAGCTAATTTGTGTGAGTACGTATGTTTGTAATAAATAACTTAGTTCGCATTGTCACTACCAATTGCAATTTGGCGATATTCTTTGGTGATACGATAGTTGTTCGTTTTTGTTGATGTTTTTGTGCATTTTGTTGTTATTGCTGTGCTTGTCATGGACTGTCTTACATATTAAGATTAATAACCAAGCTATTGTGCTATTGTTCTTTGTGTGCTATCTTGAAAAACACTGGCACGGCTACTACTGCCACTGACATTCCCAGATCCCTGCTCATCCCCAGCACTATTCCCATTACCAGTAGCCGTGCTGGAAGTGGTGGTGATGTTGGTGCTCGTATTGGTGTTGGTGGTCGACGTTGTGGAGAGTGTGGAAGTCGAAGTTGCTGTTCCTGTTGCCGCATCCAGTGCAGCATTACTATTGCTGCTCAACGCCATGCGCTGCATTTGACGGATTACTGTGGCCGCATAATACGCTTGCTACAAATAAAAAAAAAATCGTATAGAATCATATATGTATATGCATGTACATATATAGAATGCATTTTCCATATACACAAACCTTCCAGCGCGACTTGGCAAAGTTCTTCTTCAGCTGCTCAGAAACAGTTCCATGAATGTTCTTGCTGCTGGCCTCATTTCCGGAAATCCTACGGATAATAGAAATTAAATTGAATTGTAAAAACTTACAAATGTCCAAAAATATCTCACCAGGGATGCGCCAATGCCTGTTTGCATGTGTAACGCTTCTCGACGGTAACGCACATCATGTTCTTTATAAAGTGTTTGGCTGAGTCGCTTATTTCGTCCCAATACGGAGAATCGAATTCAAATTCACCTATAGGAGCATAGAATCAAGTATGAAATAGGTTTGAGAGGCGCCGGTCTAAAATATTCACTTACCCTTTAAGATTTGCGCAAACAAATTGGCATCATTTTCATCGTAGAATGGCGGATAACCACACAATAGGATATATGATATTACGCCTATGCTCCAAACATCAACGGCCTTGCCGTATGGTTTTTGGGCCAGTACCTCGGGAGCCACATACCCCGGTGTGCCACAGGCTGTGGCCATTATGCCAGAGTCCTCCATTTTTGAAAGGCCGAAATCACTTATCATAATTTTACTATCATCATCGGGACTGTAGTACAATAAGTTTTCGGGCTGTGAAGAACACAACGTTTCGGATAGTTTACGATATTTCGATTTCGCCTTCTTCTCCCATCTTTTAGGGCTTACCTTCAGATCTCTATGCACAACGCCCTGCTCGTGCATATAATCAACAGCCTCGAGAATTTGCCTTATCAAATGGGATGCATCCTTTTCTGTATATGAACCCTTCTCCACTATACGATCGAACAGCTCTCCACCGGTCACCCTGTATATTAAATACAAATAGATTGCAAATAAGTGAGTCAAAAATTTGGAATGGGTTTTGCAAAAAAAAAAAATGGGAAACATACAACTCCATGACTAGATACACCTTGGACTTGTCCTCATAAGTCTCCAGCAGCTGGACTATATTTGGATGAGTCAGCCTGCAAGTAGATTTGCGGAAAATGTGAGAGCATGAGCAAGATAGGAGAATGGTAAATGGTAAATTTATTTGATTTCATTTAAATATAGGGTCCAACCTCAAAACCGATACGCTAGAATCACACATTATTATCGAATCAGAAACGAAATATTAGGGAGCGGTTAACCGCAAGTCAAGGGGGTCTCTGAATCATCTAACGAACATATCCTCATTATTAATCAGTTATATGTATAAATATATATATCCACCAAATTGTTCATACACGTATGTATGGAATTTCGGGAATTAATTGGGAATCGTTGACTACTCTTTCATATTCGAGTGGGATCGGGGTCAACACTCACCGCGTTCCATTAGGACTGTTGGCATCGAAATGATTTGCACTGAACCTACATAGAAAGAAAGCAAATTAAAAGAAGAAAAAGTTTTAAAAATGAAACAAAAACCAAACAGATCAGATTTTTAGATGGTGAACAGATAGGGGGGCATTGCCATAGAGACAAACAAATGCAGTTTGACTTGGAATTGGAATCGGAATTGGAGTCGGAATTGGAATCGGAATCGGAGTTGGAATCGGAGTTAGAATTGGACATGTTCGTGTTGCGGTCGTGTGCTAGGAGTGTGTCCTATGTAAGTATTTAGTAATACGAGTATCGGCATGCAAACTCAAATGCAACTGCAAATATGCAAACGCAAAAGAAAACGTGAGAAAATATTGGTAAGTGGCTCCGAATCACATTTAACTAAGGCATTTAAATCAAAATTGACACGAATTACATGGAAAGTGAAATTACTAGTAATCATTTTTGTTCATACACTAAAGACACGATTCGGTGGAATGTAATTCTGTTTCCTTTATTTAACATTTAAGCTCATGTCACGTTTCTCAATTGATCAACATGCCTGAAAAAAAAACTATTTGAAATTGTAAAAAAAAAATTTATATGTCTATATTTTTGGCTAACGATCACCAAGGTTAAGAGCTACAGAGTGGAAGACTAACCAAGGATCGATAAGATCGATTTACGATTTCTAGCCCAAGATTTGTATCGAGTAAATTCAGTCTTTAACAGTTTCTGCTGAATTAAGAAGCTGCATACATACATATATGTACATACATGTGCATTTCAAATTAGTATATTCTTGTTTCTATTGTTTTTAGAGTAAACAGCGGGAACTACTAACTAGAACCTATTATTTAATATACATACACATATTTAATACATATATCGCATATGTTGTCAATAAAATTGTGTCTCAGTGCATTCAACACCATTCAAGTATTAAGCGGCATAGGAATGGTTGCATTGAATACCAAAATCGTGATTTGTTTTGCACGAACAATTGAGCGATTGTTTGTTAAACAGGCGTTGGCCTTTTCATCTTAATAAATGCTGTATCTAGACTGTGTAGCGGATCTACAAATACCTGCAAATCAACCATTCAAATTAATTATTGAAGAATACACTAGTGTACACATAAAAGATTACACATTCTATTGCACAGGAAGGGACTAGTTGTGGCATTTAAAATTTTACTTACCTTCTCAATACCCGTATTTCATTTTCTAATGATTCCTCTTTGCCCTTTAGAGCTTTTTTGTCAATAATTTTAACCGCATAATGTTCACCCGGCGAATCTTTGCTCTCGGCCAAGCGTACCTCAGAAAAGGCGCCTCTATTATTATTAAATAGAGAGGAAAAGAGAGAGAGAGAGAGAGAGAGAGAGATAGAGGGTGAGAGAAAAGAAAGAGGGAAAGATTTAAAAACAAACGGGTAACGCAAGATTCCAATTAGATTTAAAAATAACGGTAGACGAGGGCGGGACTATACTTACGTGCCCAGAAGACCATGAAGATTGTATTTCTCTTCGATTGACACTTGTTTGTTTAACTCTTTAAGGTCCTTCATGTCCTTCGTTTTGGACTTTTTGCCTGAATCTTTTTTGCCAAACAGTGGCATGACTTTAAATTGGTCTATCGTATTCCTCAGCGTTTAAATTAGATGCTCATTACTTCAGCATCAAGAGGAATAACATCTACCGTTGTTGTCGAAATGATGGGTGCGCTTTCTGAAAACAAATTTATAAAATTTGAAAAATGTATATATGTATACTTATATATGTACACACATATATGAATGTATATATGATTGTATATATGAATGTTTTTTTGTATATGTGTACATATACGGGTCTTTCTTATCAGCACCAAGCTATTCTATTCTTGGTTTTCAACAGGGCTTTAGTAATTTCGTTGTCTATAATGCAGGAGTGTAACGCGATTAAAATTGTATTTTCCATTTGATTTTGAAAGCATAATAATAAGTATCAAAGGTTATTCCAAAGATTGATAAGCCCGCCAATCAAAAGTCTTGATGGCTTTGCTGGATTCATACAACAACAACAAATTCATTCTTTCAAAAACAAAGCAAATAAATTCATGCATTCGGATCGCCAGTGAGATTGTTTTATGCATGTACTTATTTATATACTGTGATCCATTTCTGAAAATACAACTCATATATGTAAATACATTGTATATAATCTATGTACATACACATGTATGTATGTACATATATTGAAATCGAAGCGAACCGATTTGCAAGTAAACACGCAAATTTACATTCCTCAAGATAATTACATAGATACTATATCATTGCAAAGTCGTAACGTGCACGGAAAGGAAAGTTGTTATTTGAAATTAGCTTTTAAGTAATAGTATACGCCTTTTAGCCAGATATACATATGTACATATGTAGGTACGTATGTTGGTATGTATGTAGACACTTTATGATGCTGATGCTCGTGACGAATACACACGCACATACATTACTATAGCCTAGCCCACACAAATCGTAGAAGTTGGCGCCTCTCAGTTTCAGTTTCTTTTCTGAGCCAGAGCCAGAGCTCTATACATATGTATGTATTTACATACATGTGAACAAAACTCGAACAAAGGTAATGCATACATACGCAATACGTGCTTGTAGTAGTGTTACATACCTGATCTCTGTGTTGAAAACTAGAAGAAGGCCAATCGTGCTGCTGCAAATGCGAATGCCCCCACATACGATTAAACAAAAAATAAAAAAGTTGTTACTGGACCACTTCAGGTTTCAGCGCAAAAGCAGAATATTAAATTTAGATACACATGTATGTAAAATGTTACCCCAGAGAAAAAGTTTGGGTTACGTTACGTTGGAGGGCGCAAGCCGAGGACTTAATACTGGAATGCCTGCACAGGTATATAAATATTTTCTCCCCAACCGCACACTCCAATGGACACACGCACACAGATGGTAGGCAAATACAAAATCAATTCTACTAACTTTAAACTGAGGCACCCCGAGCAAACTAATAAATTGCCCAGCACGGGAAATCAGCTCGTATTAAATTCGTAAACGTAAACAAATTCTACATTTCGAAGATGCATATGCCCATATATATACAAACGTATATGTGTTTATGTATGTACGTATGCAGATGTTGAGATGTATGTATATATGTGTGTGTATACCAAGTGCTTGGTTTCCACCAATGCTTTTTATTATCATCTTATTCAACGTACTGTTGTGTTTTTTCTTTCTTTTTTAGTTTTTATTTACATGAGTTCGTTCGATTAAATATACACCTACATGGATGGTACACATACAAATATAAACATTTCGACATATATCAATTCGTATATACATATATTAAGTTAATTGTATATATAAATCATGGCTAAAAGATTGTTTAAATAACGTTCACGTTCACGTTTCTTATTGTATGCAAATTTGTTTTTAGCTTAAGGCGCAAGGATACAGTAATTAATACGTTAATGTCTAAATTCCGGAAAAAACAACTGCTATTAATAAACCTACTAAGCATTCCAGTAAGAATTTTCAAACACGAACACCAAACGCACCCGATTGATTTTTCAAGTCGCTGTCGCCACTTCGATTTTAATGCATTAGTGATGAGTAATATTTACGTACCTGTGACTTTTGACACAAGTTTCAGAATCACAAATTTTAACTGTAATATAGTTTTAGCGGCAATATCAAAAACCTTATTTCCCAATTTAGAGTCTAATCGATATGCACATTCACATTTTCACAACGCGCTCCCTAAACGTTTTGAAAAACTAGTTGAAAAGCTTAGAAAGCCGTTGTGAATATCTGAATACTCAGACTCAGGTGAGTATCGCTCATTTAGACCCAGATTGGTAGTGGTATCGATGCCGTTCTAAAATCTGATTCTGAATTGATGGGCGGTTTTGGTATTTTTTAATAGTTCTTTGCCCATATACACTATTTAACAGGGTTGATTCCGACTCTACCTCTGCAGTGCTGCATAGTGACAGTGTGCAAAAACATCCAAACCACCCTCCAATATAAAGACAACAAAATACCACAGAAGCAACCGGTATTAAAATACCATGCGCCAGAGCTAGGAAACTATCGCGAGTTTGTTGAGTGTTGTGCTGCTCATTTTACTTATACTAAAAATGGCTAGCACGATTGTTAATACATAATATCAATACAACAAATATAATAACTATGAATAATAGTTGTTTGCGATTGTGATGTGACCAATTATAATATACGCATGCAACCTTTTCAGTGATGCTGAAATTTGTGGCTTGTTGTTGAGGCGTACAGGAAAATTGTGTGTTTGTGTGTACTTGTGTGTATTTGTCAAGCTGAAGCTGAATATGAAAGAGAACAAAAATGAAAATGCAAAAACAATAAAATAAGTTCATCCTTGGTGCACGTGCTGGAAATATATAATGCTGCAATAAATGCAGTTGTATAAAAAATATATATTTCAACGGAGTATATAAAGGAATACATAAAAACCCAGTCGCGGCATATGTGTATATCTTAACACAGACAGCTGTATATGCAGGTATCTATACATATACATATGTACATACACGAATACATGTGTGGATTACATGTGTGGGTGTAAGAGTGCAAATAAACTTCTGCGTCCTCGTTCGGAGTAATTTTGATTTAAAATAAATTATGAACGAGATTGGCTCTTAAGTAGATATATGTGCCTACATATATGCACATACTTCCAATATACATATGTATGCACATGTATGCAGTTAGAGCACATTCGCTTGCTGGGCATAGGAAGCGGCCATAGCGTATCCCCAATACGATTTATCTGGTGGCTCACGCACTTACATACATACAAACATGTAGGAGATACATTGAATTGGATTAACGCTCTTTTAACCCGATAAATCTACATACATACATATGTATATAAAGCCGAATATATTTCTGTATAAATTTAAAACCCCCACGCATATATGTACATATGTCTATACCTACTAAACAATATATAACCAACCTCCATTATATACAACATAAATTCCATATCTGAATAGAGGGACATTATTCATACACATATGTATGTATGTACTCTTTTTTATTTACTACTTATCTATTCATTTCTATAACTCACTTTTTTTATCGTGCGTTGAACCGCATAAAACAGATTTTCGATTTATTTCAGGTGGTTCAGCACCTGTATAATTGTTTGTTTGTGTTTTCTTTTGTCAAATATTAACTTTTTGTTAACCTCTAGCACGATTTAAGAGAATTTAGATATTTCGCCATCGGGTTTTCCATGCCCATCTGAAGAATTTACAAAATCGACCTTGAAAAACTTTGTAGTTATATATTAACACTCATCATTCGTATTTCATTGTCTTTTTTATCCTTAAAATAGTACGAATGTAACGTATAAGAATTGTGCAATAAACTCCAACTTTAGAATGCATGTTTTCTTTTTTAATAGCAGCTTTGGGGATTCTGTTCTCCTGCATCAACATGACTTTCCCGCAATGCTTTCCCAGTGCTTCAGACGAAGACATTTGAAGCAAAACCCTTTCCGTTATAAGGACAAGTGAGAGAGAGGTACAAATAAAAAAGACATCCAGTCAATCCCACATTTCACAAATCATCACAAAATGCAATCAAAGCATTGCAATATGCTACAGAGCTGGAGCAGAAGGGGTAGCAACGGAACAACTTCTTCCACAACAAACAGATTGGCTTCCATAAACACAAATAGCAGGGTCGAAACTGCGTCTGTGCCAATGTTGAGGACTTTGACGTCAATACGAAAAGACTCTTGCGGCAGTGGAACTCAGGAATGCATTCCCCAACACAATGCTTCACAGTGCTTATCAGATAATCGTAGAAAGTCATTATTACATTACCTAATTGTGCTCATCGCCATTAATTTTTGTTATTTACAACCTGCCAGCGCCGATCAAGGTAAACTTTCGAAGGATCTGTATCTTGATTGTGTTATCAATTCTTGTCATTCTTGTTGTCTATTACAGTTGTATTATTAGATACAACTCGGGAGGCCACGCTGGAATGGACACGATACCCATACGGTCCCCAAGCTCAAACCCCAGGCGTAAGTATACATTTTTCATCAATTTAAGCCTTTAAATTTTAATTTGTGAGCTGAAGGGACAAGTTAAAACTACATAATGATTACTATTTTCGTTTCCATTTCCATTATTTTATGTAGTGGGTGGAAGAATCGTTCACAGATTTCGTTAAGGGCATTAATTGGCGCAGCTATGTGGTTTGCGATGTCGCCTATCATAACGTAAACAATTGGTTGTGGTCCCCATTCATCGATCGCGGGCCAGCCAATAGACTTTATATTGAAATTCAATTTACTATACGAGACTGCTCATTGTTTCCTGGTAAGTACGAAGCCAGTAATAACCTTCAGTTAATAAGTGTGAAAAATACCTTTGTACATTAATAATAAAATCCCACAGGAAATGCATTGTCATGCAAGGAAACATTTAGTTTGTTGTTCTACGAGTTCGATGCAGCAACTAGAGAGCCCCCGCCATGGCAAACAGACAGTTATAAGTTAATTGCACGCATTGCGGCTGGCGAGGGGCGCTTCAATCAGAACTCTGATGTTGATATAAACACGGAAGTCAAAAGCATAGCTGTAACGAAGAAAGGCGTGTATTTCGCCTTCCGTGATCAGGGCGCTTGCATTAGTGTCCTGGCGGTAAAAGTATATTATATAACATGCCCGGCAGTAACTGAAAACTTTGCTCACTTCAACGAGACACCGACGGGAAGGGAGATCACAATTATTGAGAAACAAAACGGCACTTGTGTTGAAAATGCGGAACCCTACGAACCACCTACCTATCTGTGTAAAGGCGATGGCAAATGGACAATCCTCACCGGCGGCTGTCGCTGCAAGGTTGGCTACGAGCCGAATTATGTGAACAAAACCTGTACCGGTATGTCCCTATATTTGATTAGCTATGTACAACCTTTTATCATTTTTAGACATTCGGGACAAGTTAATTATTTAGCAATTTGTTCGATAATATCGTGTTTTATTTATTACAAATTCTTGAAAACTCGAAAAATAAATAGTTATTCGGCTTACAAAACAGCTAAAGGAAGAAAAGTGGAACCATTACGGATTAAATCATCTCTTTCGATTAAAAAGATTTAAGTAAAGCCTTGAAATGCTTAATTCATTTCAGATCGAAGGCACGATTTAAAACTATTTGTAAACAATATTCCTATTGTGGTCCATTAGGTGGTTTAGGAATTGCAATTTTTTGTAATATTTTATTTGATTTATTAATTTATTTGATTGGATTCAAGACACAACTTATTCAAACTTTTATTAATTATTAATTTGTAGAATGTCCTGCTGGGACCTTCAGGTCAGCTGAGGTTCGGAAATGTGTGCCATGCCCGCCGAACTCCAGCACTTCAAGTACAGCGTCGCCATTATGCAAGTGCATACCGGGCTTCTATAGACATCCACGGGATGGAAGACATATGCCTTGCTATAAGCCACCAGGACCTCCAACCAATCTCACAGTATTATTTGTTGATCAAACAAGTGCAATAATATCATGGAACGCGCCGGCGAAGGATGAGTTTGGCATGGGCCAGACAGAGAAATATCGCAGTGATGTCGTGTACAAGATTCGCTGTAGCATGTGCAACTCAAATGTTATGTTCAATCCCTCAACGGACACTTTCAACGAAACAAAACTGACGCTTACCAATCTGGAACCGGTTACCACATATACTGTGCAGGTGCATGCAACCAATGGCATATCGTATTTGGTTGATCCGACGCTTTATGCAAACGAAACTTTTACGAACAGCGAAGTACAATTTAGCAATGTGTCAAGTACAACAACGAAGAATCAACAACTTGATCTCAACGAAATCAAGACTGAACATGCTGAGATTATTTTCACAACCGAATCAGCCATACTCTCAACTATTTTCAATTTACGCGTTCTGGCTATAACCAGCAAGGATGCTGATCTTGTCTGGGACAAACCGGTGCAGAGCGATGCGCCGATAGAACTCTACGAAGTGCGTTGGTTCCCTAAGCCTGAGCTGGATGCAATGAATAAAACCGCTCTAAACACCAAGGAGACAAAAGCTCACATCGAGGGGCTAAGTGAGAACACAGAGTACGGTTTCCAAGTACGCTGCAAAACCGTCAATGGCTTTGGCTCATACAGCAACATTGTCTATGCCCAAACCCATCAGCCAGTCAGTTCTGGTATGACAACTAGAACCATCTTTTTTTGAAGATATTTCATTAATTTGTTATGTCCATTATTTTTTTTTTAACAGTTTATGATGATTCTGTTCAAGTGCGTTTCATTGCTGGAGCGATTGTGGCAGGTGTTTTCTTCTTGGTGATTTTCATAGTGACGACGGTTTACTTCTTGCGTTCCAAGCATCAAGATGAGCTCGATAAGAAGTCCAGCAATCACTTGCCACTGCCCATGGACTACGCTAGCAACGAAGGTACAATATACAACATTCCACAGATATCTAAAACTTTGAAACATAAATCGAGAGCGACCCTCCTTTAAAGAAAGGGCGTTGCGGTCATGTCCGTCTGTTTAAATCAAAATCTAGCTATCAGAGTTTTGTCGGAGCTCTGAAATTTGTTGGTTTGGCTATAATATACTGTTCGTGTGCAAAGGTATATATTTTTGGTATTGGACGATCGAAATATAGCGTGTCAATTGAAATGGGGGCTTTGCCTTCGCTGGGTTGAATATTTGAATTGTGTAAAATATGTAAGATTGTTAAATTTTTTGAAAAACCAATAACGTTAACCATGATTTACCCTTCCTTCAATCCCATCAACTACTGTTCTCTCTTTTAAGGACTCGTCGTGACATATAGTAAGTTATGCGAATAATAAATTCAATTTAAATAATTATTAATTAGTTAGCTTAAACCGACACTTGCAACAATTGCTTTTAGTTTTATTTTAATGCAATTAGTATTAACATTGATTGATTGATTCATTTGTTTATCACTAATGTTGTGCCTAGATTGATTGTGATTTGTGAATCTACAAAGGTACACACATAACATCCGTCTTGAAAAGGCAGACGTGAAGCACATTTAATAAGTGCAAGCGTCTTATTTAAAATAGTATGTATTTATGGAGATCGAAACTTTCTATGCTTCGTTTTTTGCCAGTTACATTAAATTATATTACTGTTCTCTACCCCACCAAAAAAAAAAAAAATATAAATAAAATAAAGAAAAAATAAGTGTGATCTTAGATCTGCGACGACTTACTCAGCCCGATGCCGGATTATTTAACACAAATGGCCTCTGGCTATACAGTATTTCTACATACAACAACAACGCATTGCTAAATACGTATACATAATACCCTGCATCTAAAATTTGTTCGCTATAAGTTTGTTTTGTTTAATATATATTTCTATATATATATATATTATAAATATATATGCTATTATGTTTTGAATTTTATTTATTTTTAGTAAATGCCATGGATACAACTCCAATTGTCAAGACTCTGCATTCAAATGGTATATATTTTGTATATGTTTTGCTCTCCTTACTTCTCTTTTGGAGGCGTGTACTTTTAACCTTTAAGTGGTGCAGGAAATCATTTTGCATGTCCCGCAGCCTCGAGTCAAGCTTTTCAACTCACTAATTATTACATATACATCCAATAACAAACAAACTTTTACTAAAACAATTATCAATTATTAAATACCTTTATCATAAACAGGAGCAGGATATTACAAATATGTATTGTTACATATTATATCATAGAATTTTTAAAACCACACACACACAAACACTCACAATAGCGTAAGAAAGCATAAGAAAATGATTTAATTTCTGTGATATTTCCTTCTCTGTTTACAGTGACAACCCCATTGTTTGGCAACAGCCGCAGTTATGTGGACCCCCACACATATGAAGACCCAAATCAGGCAATTCGAGAGTTTGCGCGCGAAATCGATGCAAATTATATAACTATAGAAGCAATAATTGGTAATATACATATAATAATGCATAATACTCATTCATTTATTGGCTGTCAAAACTTAAATAATAATTTTAAAATTACTCGTATGTTCAGGTGGTGGTGAATTCGGCGATGTCTGCCGTGGCCGCTTAAAAATCCCTCCAAACTTTGTCCAGGACATAGATGTTGCTATCAAGACACTAAAACCAGGTATAAACTGATTTGCAAATCAATTAAACTGATGTGCCAGATAATACAATTTTCTCAAATTTATTTAGGATCTTCAGAGAAAGCGCGCTGCGACTTTTTAACCGAAGCTTCAATAATGGGCCAGTTCGATCATCCTAATGTAATATATTTGCAAGGCGTGGTAACGCGCTCCAATCCCGTCATGATCATAACCGAATATATGGAAAATGGCAGCTTGGATACTTTCTTGCGTGTCAATGATGGCAAATTCCAAACAATCCAGCTAATTGTAATGCTGCGGGGCATCGCTAGTGGCATGTCATATCTGAGTGACATGAATTACGTGCATCGAGATTTGGCGGCACGCAATGTGCTCGTCAATGCCCAGTTAATATGCAAAATAGCCGACTTTGGACTATCTCGGGAAATCGAGAATGCTAGCGATGCTTACACAACACGGGTAAGATGGCAATTATTCCCAATGTTTTATATAATACAATGTAATATAATGTGCAGGGCGGCAAAATACCTGTACGGTGGACCGCACCAGAAGCGATTGCATTCCGCAAATTCACATCCGCCTCAGATGTTTGGTCATATGGAGTCGTTTTGTGGGAGGTTATGTCATATGGAGAGCGTCCGTACTGGAACTGGTCGAATCAGGTAAAATAATATTGGATAGAAAGGGATAGAGAGATAATGAGAGAGAAAGAGAGAGAGAGAGAGAGAGTGATACAAATTTGTACATAATTTGCTGTTGTTGGTGTCGTTTAGGATGTGATAAAAAGCATAGAGAAGGGGTATCGATTACCCGCGCCAATGGATTGCCCGGAAGCGTTGTACCAGTTGATGTTGGATTGCTGGCAAAAACAACGAACACATCGTCCAACATTTGCCAGCATTGTGTCCACTTTGGACAATTTAGCCCGGCAACCCCAATCACTGCTCACAATCAGAAATTCGCCTGAGAATGATGGCACACAGGTTTTGGATACACAACGCGGGCACAACATATTCATAAGCACTGACTTATGGCTTGAAAATATTAAAATGTCCAGATATAGTCAGCATTTTAAAGAGGCTAATTTAGTGAGTGCTCAACAGGTAAGTCACCAGCATTGTCGCCACTGAGATTGTGAACTTATCTGATTTTTTGTACAGATCTCAAGGTTAACAGCTCAACAGTTATCCGATATGGGTATAACATTAGTAGGCCACCAAAAAAAGATATTACATCAGGCGAGGCAGCTGGATATCGTAATATAGCCCGTATACTAATACGATGTAAATACACAACACATATGCATAGGATTATATATATGAATATATGCACATATGTGCTATATGTACGTATGCGATGTGTTCATCTATATAAGCCACTGCATAACTATATAATTAAAATTTAAATAATTAATAGCACACATATATACAAATAGGACGACATTAATGTGCGAATTACAAAACGAAACGAGAAAGAACAGATATTACAAATTAAGGTACATTTTGTAGTTTAGTAGCTGTAAGTGCGTGCATTTATACATTCATGCATACATAGACAAACGAAAAAGCAAACAAACAAACTGCCCTGTTTACATTACGCTAATACATACATACATTTTATATTACGTGTGTACATATGTATGAAAAACATGTATGTACTTTATGAAAGGGCTATATTACAATTACAATGGATTAGTATTGTTTCGAGAGATGCGAGAGTTGTGTTAAAACAAAAAACAAGTGACGTTGTACACCAGGGAACCAACCGACTTGGGGTTTTTTTAGTCTAAAGCTACCAATAACTTAAGTCTCTCATGTTTCCCACTGCCGTTTCCTTGTCCACTGCCGGTTTATGTCATATCACATGACACATAACACCTGAGCGAACAAATATACGCATACAAACACACACACACACACACAGATCCCTGGAAAAATGTTATATGAAGTTTTTAATAATGTATGCATTTAAGCGTAGCGTCCATACAGCATTTACATTAAAACATAAAATGACAAACGAAAAAAAAACACAAATAACAAACAACGTTTTGCACCTTCACACATTCTACCGAACATGCTGTTAATGAGGCTGAACTCAAAACCCTGTTTATATAAGGGGCGAATACCTCTCGTCTTACCACCATTGAGAGAGTTTTTATTGCGAGGAAGCTAAAGTAATATACATAAATGGACAGTGTTAGTGGACCAGACTACTCGTATTCGTCCCTAATGCAAACAGGCTCTTTGAATTGCATTTACACATATATACACATATACACATAAACATACATACATTCATAATTTAGATGTACAAAATAAATTCTTATAATTAGTTTTGGTTTATCTCAAAAGCCCCCAAAATGGCTCATGGACTTTTACAATAAGTTTATCGAATTGATGGCAGCATATACATAAGTGTCTAGCGCAGGCAGTGAATTACATTAATAAACCATTTATTGTAGGTTGATTGCGTCTTCAGATTTGGACTTCAGCCAGTATTATTTAATAATAACAAACGCATGTATTTTATTTTAATCTGTAGCGTCAGTCGTTTTATATCGTTTAAAATTAAAACTCATAATAAAGATCGATACCCAATGTAATGTTGAATTTCACTGAATCTGCTGACAAACTCGTACATATGTATGTACGTGGGATTGGGATTGGGTTTTAATTCTAGTTAAATATGTTTCTATGAAAGCTCTGGTTGCACCTTCACAGTAAAAGCCGATTTAAGATGGTTGTAAACACAGCATTCAAGACACAAAATACAAGATATCCGAAACAATTAAATATTTTAAGCTTTTTGTAAAATGTATATTGTATGATTCTTCTGACCACAATTGTTCATGGAGGGGGAATTTCGAGCGATGCGATGAATAATATATCTTAATAATACAATCAGACAATCAGAATGAAACAAAGAATATTCTTCGTCATGTTTATTCTTTATATATGCGTTGCTCCTTAATGACATGTGTACGAAGCACAATATAAATAGTAAATTATTTACAAAATTGGCGCAATGGCTTTATTCAAAAATTTAAATGAGTGCACTTCCCCTATTTTGCAAGAATTAAGTCATGCATAAAGATTTATCGTTCCTGTTGTTGAATTTTGGTTGACTTTATTTAATTCGCTTTTAGCTCTTACAGTCCCTATCCCATTTATGCAGGTATCAGTATTTTTCGTACAATTAATAGTTTCTCAAAATATTTTTTGCTCTTGTAAATCGCATTGTTGAAAGTGGCGCCCGAACAGGGACTTGAATCCTGGACCTTCCGATTAAAATTCCAACGCTCTACAGACAACGCTGGATGCTATGAAACTTTTTAGCCTTGATCACATCTGGCTTAACCTCAATTTCCTTTGGGAGCGCTGCTCGGACGCCATTTCCAATGGCGACCCGAATGTGCCATAAGTTGTGCATCGAACGCAGAGGCAAGCACTGCGCTGCTGCAATTAAGTTACTCGAATAGCCTAGGTGAAGGGGAGACTGAGACGAGGGAGAATTAACGTGGCCAACAGAAGTAAATGCGAAAAATTATACGCCGTGGAGCAATAATAGCTGGCGACTGGCTGGGAAAAAGCTGACAGCTACACAACGCCGCAACAGGTGATGGGCAGCACTGTCGATTAGCTGAGAGCGCCAAAATGCATCACGCAAAACTAACAGAGAAGTAATAGGACCGAGATGGAATAATTTTTGCAGCGTTTAATAAAATGCTTATGACAATACGGAAGGATGGCATGGAGGCGCAGAAAGCACAGTCAGGGGAACCGAGTCGGCAGATCGAGAGACTTGTTACTACGAAGCGCGACGCGCAGCCGCAGAGCAGCAGCGACACCAACAGCAGCACCCTGCTACCCTGGCGGACTAAAGGGGTAGTGAAACGACGTCACAGGGTTCCATCATAAAAGAGCAGGACGACGATAAGTGTTAAAATAGGCATAGTTTGAAAGAGTAATTGTAATAGTGTGTAGGCAGGATATTCTTAATTTTGCAACAATTTTTGTAGCAATCCTCCTCAATTCTTTGGGATGCTCGCCGACTAGATTGTGATCTTATTTTATCTGTTTAGTGCGGAAAAATCGAAAACGCTCTTCCTCCGTTGGCTGCCAAAGCTTCTCCAAAACTTCAATTTATAATTTCACTTATGTATGTTACGCTTATAGGTTGCGCTTATGACTATCCCCTATCGTTATTCTCCTTTCGTAGCAACACCCTGTGATGGTCACTAGGACGTCGTCTGGCCAGGGATCACCACCCGGCCGGAGCATCGTTGCAGTAGCTATAGTTTGGTGTGAAAGTTTATAACACCAAGGACAAATGGCTCATGCATACATGTGTACATACATACAAGTATATGATAGGCATGACAAAGTTAATAAAAAAGCAATGGTTTCCCACAATCCTAATTTTGTCGCTAAAACTTTAACTTTTATTAGACAACTATATAAATATGTACATATTTATTTTGTTCATTAATGTAATACATATACAGGGCGCGTCATCTTTTATGTCGGTATGTAAACATTGAATATCTTTGAAAATAAACAACCGATTTTCAAGTATGAGATATTTTTATTTAATTTGGTTCTGTACAATTTCTTGAACTGAGGTTTTCAACACTGGTCTACTCAAGTCAATCGGTTCACTAATGACAAAGTTATTCAATATTTACATACCGTCATAAAAGATGGCGCACCCTGTATGTATCTATGTATGCTAGAATCTAGAAAATAGTTATTGAAGGGCAAAAAGCTTATTGAAATTTTGCCCAATTGGTTTTTACTAAGTAGCGGTGCTGTGCCGATACCTCCGCAGGTATCGACATCTTCCGATACACCGAATCTGGCTGCCATCGCTAGTTGGTTCAGAGTCAGTTTTTTGTGGAAAAGCTTGTGGCATAGAATTGTAACTGATACCGGTATTTAAATTAATTTACGATCATAATTAAACGGAGATGTGCATAGCAAAGCGCGCACAATAAAAACATATAACATCTGCGTGGGATGCAGCCTGTGTCGGCCGCATTAATTCAAGTGTGTTTCAAATATGTATTGTGATGGCTTAATACATACATACATACATACATATGTATTTTTGCCAATGTGATACCTTTCTCTAAGTATATAGATTTAGTGCATACATATACATATTGAAGAGAATGTACCCGAGTTATAGCTTTAACGAAGACTAATTTTGCAATTTGTAATTTTAGGCCATTTAAAAACCTGTTTGCAAATTTAAGTGCATATGAATGTGTGTGTATATATAACCTAAATATGTATGTACGTCTCGTGTATGTGTATAACAAATTTGCAAATGTGTAGCTCTCGATGTGTAGGTGTATGTGCGTGTGCCTAAACACTTGCTGCAGGGAGCACATACATTCAAATATACATACATATGTACATACATACATATGAAAGCCAGACCTCTAAATGTGATTGTAAGGTGAAAACTAGCACATACATACAAATGAGTATATGTATGTATATACATATGTATGTAGCATGTTTGTACATATATACGTGTTACTTTGTCTAGCATTTAGATGTGGTTTCGTACACCAAACCATTCTAGGATCGAACGAAAATAAATGCGAGAAAAGCCAAAGGTTTTCGATCATTCCATGCTAGTGGCAGTGACATATTTTTATGCCTTTATGATCGGCCATTTGACTGTTATACATATGAATGTACATATATATGTATGTACCTACATAATGCCGTATTGGAAGCCGCCTATATAACAATAACAACATTTTCGATTAAAATTGCATGAAAAGAATGAGGGAAAAAAGTCATCTGCCCTCTCGCTTTTAATTGTGCGCCTCCGCCGCGTGTTGAAAAGAGATAAAAATACAACCTCAAATACAGAGTTGCCGCGTTTCGCACTTTTTATATAATTACTCATGAATATCTTTTAAAGCATTAAGTAGCGAGTGACCGTCGGAATACAAAAGATTCGTTCAAAATAATAGATGGCTTATATAACACACAACAAAAATGCGCAGAATGTAGGTTCATTAAATTGTAATTTTAACCTCATATTCAAATATTAATACTGTAAGTGCTGCATTTGTAGTTTTAACGTTTACGTTGATTTGGCAACCATTCAGGGCTGTTGTACAGCAGTGTTCATTGGTAAGATGAAGGGCCGCGACTAAACTGTGACTAGGTGGCAACGTTAAACAGCAGCCATCGCCATGTCCGTGTCCGTTTTGCTGCATATGTGTTGGTGTTCGTATTTCGTCGTTCATTTCATACGCTAGTAACTCGTACCGTCCCCATTGAACGTGCGCTTCGTCGTGGTTACATTTTCACATCGAAAAAAAGTAATTATTGTTATTTTAAAATGTTTTAGTGCCCTTAACTAATTTACTGCAAGAACTCGATAGTAAGTGCAATAATACTTAGCTGTTTTATAAAACACAAACCTTCAAAAAGTAATAAGAAAATTTTATTTTATGGGTGCATACTTGTATGTATGTATGTATGTACTTTGTGAAATCGACGGAACGGCTTGCTCAAATTGTTCAGTGCAGCAAATGTGAATATGAATGATTTAAATCGATACTTTCGCATAATATTTATAAAAAAAATATTTTCCGCCGCAATCGTTTCGTTTTCGTTGACTTTTGTTCGTTTTCCCCCGTCTTTCTCCATTTTGTAGAAGTTTTTTTCAAGTTCTGTATATTTGTATGTATGTATTGCTTGCTTAAGCGTACATACATACCATATCCATATACACACTTATTTAATCGAAATCGCTGAGTATGTGTGTAACATGTATATATATAGTATAATTCATCTGTATATGTACGTATATATATACACAGAATATGTACATATATATTACATATATATATATATATATTTATATATGCATTTGTATATATATATATATTTTTTCAGATGTCTGTATTTGTGTATGCGTCTGTGTGAGTGAACAAAAAGTACAGAGTTAAATAGGGTGATTGCGTCAATGACTGCCGACTAGAGTTGCCAAGTATGCAGATAGACGCATGTACGTATGTGTGTACCTACTCAAAACATACATATCAGTAATTATAAAAAGTGTGTATTGTATTAAATATTTTTCCTGTGATATTGTGCATGATTTCCAACGGCGTAACCATATTTATATATATATATATTTATGTTTTTTGTTTTGCAAACTAGCTCATGTGCAAACGCAAGAGGTTTTATTTTCATTTACGTCTGTGTTTTGTTATTATTATGGTTAGACATGAAAGGTATACCTCCTCAAACACATACATGTGTATATAGATTGCATTCGACGAAAACTACTTGAATTTCATTCAATACTCATGTGGCGTTTATGTTTTTGTTTGCTTTACCCCTTTATGTCTGTTTAGGCTATACCAAATAGTGATCATTGTGGAAAGACAAATTTTGCCCATAACGGAGTGACTAGAAATCACACAACAAACATCATCAGCTGCAGCAACGTCAGAACAATTGATAACATAAACGACATTATTACCGACAATAGTAATAGTTTATCAATTAACAATGACGTTGGTGGCGAAATCGTTGCGGAACTAGTTGGGAATGCAACAACAGCTAGTGCAGCTAAGAATCAGTTGGAACAATTGAATACAATGCGCGAAGCGCTCTTTTCTCAGGATGGCTGGGGATGCCAGCATGTCAATCAAGATACAAATTGGGAGGTGCCCAGTTCACCGGAGCCGGCTAATAAGGACCCATCTGGGCCGCCCATGTGGAAGCCCAGCATAAACAATGGTACGGATTTGTGGGAATCGAATTTGAGAAATGGTGGCCAACCGCCAGCACAACAACAACCGAAGCCTTCTTGGGGCCATACGCCCTCATCGAATTTGGGTGGCACTTGGGGCGAAGATGATGACGGGGCAGACAGCACAAGCGTTTGGTCAGGCCCGGCAAGTGCTGCAGCACCGGCGGCTGCTGTTGGTGTCAATGCTGCTGGCGTTGGCACTGGTGTCGGGTCATCGGCGGGTCCTCAATGGGGCCAGGGTGTGGTAGGCGTGGGCCTTGGAACCACAGGCAATAACAATTCTGCGGGTGCTGGTGCCCTGCCTGTGGTAACCCCAGGAGGTAAGTTATATCCACATATGGATAAAAATAATTGTTATGCATCTGACTTTTCATTTGCTCGTTTAGGCAGTAGTGGTTCTAGCAACATTGCAGCGCCAGGAGCAGTTGCCGGAGGTGGGGGTAATGTTGGTAATACTGGGAACGGCTGGGGAGATCCCCGGGAGATACGTCCTCTCGCAGGAGGCCCAATGGATATTCGCAGTGTCGATCCGCGTGATCCTATGCGTGGTGCACCTTCAGGGGATCCACGTGACATGCGCATGTTAGATCCGCGCGACCCTATACGTGGTGATCCCCGTGGTATATCTGGCCGACTTAATGGAACGTCCGAAATGTGGGGACACCATCAACAAATTTCCCATAATCAACTTCCAACGTTGAACAAGATGGTCGGTCAAGTTGTTGGAGGTGCTGGAACGAATGTAGCTGCAACAGCTGGTGGTATTGGTCCTGGTGGTGTTGCTGGTGCCGTGTCTGCGAACATTGGAGCACAGTGGGGCACAGCTCAGGCTGTAGTGGGTCCAAAGGATATCTCCAAGCAAATAAGTGGCTGGGAAGAACCATCGCCGCCACCTCAGCGTCGAAATATACCAAACTATGACGATGGCACGTCGCTTTGGGGACAACAAACTCGAGTACCTGGTGGTGGTACGCACTGGAAAGATATGACCGACCCAATGAATCGCAGCCATTTGATACGCCAAAATCAAGCAGCCGGCTTAGTTGGCAGCGGCATTGCGGGAAATAACAATGTACCGGGTGGTAATCCCAATAATCCCATGACGGCTGTCGTTGGACCTCAAGCTCGCCTAGCCCCATCGATTGTCCCTAGTGGTGTGGGAGGGCAACATAAGCCGGACGGAACCATGTGGGTACACCCAAGCAATAGTGGCAGAAATCCCGTAACCTCGTGGGGCGATGAAAGCCATAGCGTCGGTGGTCCCAATGTCGCTGGCACCAATTGGGCCGACGACAAGCCAAATGCTGGCCTTGCACAAATCGGCGCTAGCTCAAATTCTTGGAGTGACAACCAGTCCGGTGGTGGTTGGGGTAACAAGCAAAGCAAACTGCCAACAGCAAGTGCCACTTCTGGCTGGAGTACGGGAGCTGGTGTTGGTGTCAATGATAGTGGTGACATCAGCACTGACTGGAGTGCCCATGGAGGCATTGTGGGAAAATCACAACAGAAGCTTCCTGGCATTAATGTGGGAGTAGGGGTCCTCAATCCGGATATGATCAAACAGAGCAAACAATATCGTATACTTGTTGACAGCGGATTTAAGAAAGAGGATGTTGAACGTGCTTTAGTAAGTGCCAATATGAATATTGAGGAAGCAGCTGACATACTGCGAGCCAATTCATCACTAGCTATGGAAGGCTGGCGCCGTCATGATGAAACACTCGGTTCCTATGCTGATCATTCGAACTCTACAAGCACCGGCGGTTTTCCTGGACGTTATCCTGTTGCTGCCGCACAACCTTCGATGTCATTCCCTCCGGTAAAGGAACAAACTTGAATAGACATAATTTGAACTTTTTAATTGAAATATTTTCTTTGTTATCTCATTCTATTATATTGTAGAATAACCTAATGGGTGGAACTGCCGTAACAGGAGGCAGCAACAACCCCAACATAGCCGCCCTGCAAGTGCAAAAATATTTGAGTCAAGTTCCACACACCGTAGCTGTCGGACCTCAGTCAGTTAATTCAAATGCTTCGGTAGCATTTGGTCAGAATGCAGCAAATGCAGCAGCAGCTGTCAACATCGCATCAAATACTAATAATCAGCCGTCTGGTCAGCAAATACGCATGCTTGGACAGCAAATTCAATTAGCTATACATAGTGGCTTTATATCCAGTCAAATATTGACCCAGCCACTAACACCAAATACCCTTAATCTCTTGAATCAACTACTTAGCACTATAAAGGTAATTATTATACATTTATAAATATGTCATATTTCATAGGTCCTCACCAATATACTGATATTATTTTCTACACATTCTTACCTTATGCGTTTGCAGCATCTCCAAGCCGCGCAGCAATCACTAACACGAGGCAATAGTGCAAATCCTATGGCTGTCAATGTCGCTATCGCGAAATACAAGCAACAAATTCAAAATTTACAAAGCCAAATAAATCAACAACAAGCAATCTACATTAAACAACAGAATTTGCAGCAAAACTCACAACAGCAACAACATCCGCCTGCACATGCAAGCAGTGAATATTTGAGAGGCCATGATGCTATAACAGCAATGCAGGGCAGCTTTTCCGAACTCAATCTAAATAAGGTGAGTCGGAGTCGGAGCGACTTTTGCTGCTTTTATGACATTTGAAACATGTTTAACATATGCACGTGTATTTTCTCTTTCTCTGTCTATCTCTCTTTCTCATTCCCTCTTACCAGCAGCCTAGTGGATATCAAGGAGCGCCAAATCAACAATCCAGATTAAATCAATGGAAGCTTCCAGTATTAGAAAAGGACATGACTGCAGATAGCACGGACTTTTCACGTGCTCCGGGTGCAACAAAGCAAAACTTAACAAGTAACTCAAACAATATGGGTCCATTGGGCTTACAAAATGATGGGTGCGTTTCGATTTTATATTCCAAACAACTAATTCTGATATAGCTTACTAATGTATAACCATATATTTCATTGTTATAGTACATGGTCAACTGGACGGAATATTGCAGACGGTTGGCCGGATCCATCACCTGATAACGAGAATAAAGACTGGTCAGTTGCTCAGCCATCTACAGCAACTACTTACACTGACTTGGTGCAAGAGTTTGAACCTGGAAAGCCGTGGAAGGTAACTGTAACTTTTTTAGCATGTCTATAACATATTCAAAGAGAAAATTATTCATAAGGGTTCTCAGATCAAGAACATAGAAGACGATCCCAGCATAACTCCAGGTAGCGTAGCTAGATCTCCGTTGTCCATAAATCCGACGCCAAAAGATGCTGATATTTTTGCCAACCCTGGCAAAAACTCTCCGACTGATCTGCCACTAAGTTTAACGTCGTCAACATGGAGTTTTACCCCAAACCAAAATTTCCAAAGGTATAAATAATAAAACATTCTTTTCTTCCTCATTCTGTAATTGGATGGTTTTTATTTTGTAAATATATTTATATATATAGTTGGGCAGACAACACTCAACCATGTGCCACCTCTGAACTATGGGCAAGTCCTTTAAATAAAGCAGCACCTCGAGGACCACCGCCAGGATTAAGTACAAACAAATCTGGCAGCGGGGCTACGGTTACAACAACATGTACGGCTGCCGGAAACGTTAACGGCTGGTTAGCTAGTCGAGGTGTTCCAAGCACCAACACAACCTGGACAGGAGGTAATACTTCTTGGGCCTCATGTTGGCTGCTCCTGAAAAATCTTACTGCGCAGGTATGTCACAAAAAAATTTCAATATTGCAAATCGTATATGTAAATACTCTTTTGTTTATTGTTAGTATCATATAATAACAATATTCTTTATAATACATATAAGTTGGTATATGTATTGTACGTTTATATAAACTTCGCCAAAAAAAAAACTATTGTGTTGAGAATCTGTATTTCAAAAATTTGTTTCCTTGTGATTTATTGATTGTTTACAATCAGAATCGGCTCTTTGAAAATGTGAGGGCCAACTAGAATTATGCCTATGTACATATATAAGTAGATCTACATTTTTATCTATATATATATAACTTTGGCCGGACTTGGCCTGGGCAGGCCTAGATTCATTTGTTTAAGTAATCCGCAAACATGAAGAGTTACATTAAAAATATACCAATTTGCACTTCGTCCTCAGATTGACGGTCCTACCTTACGTACCTTGTGTATGCAACATGGCCCCCTTGTTAGTTTTCACTTATATTTAAACCAAGGAATTGCCTTATGTAAATACGCAACGCGGGAGGAGGCTAACAAAGCACAAATGGCTCTAAATAACTGTGTTCTCGGTAATACTACAATATTTGCTGAATCGCCAAGTGAGAATGAAGTACAGAATATACTGCAACACTTGCCACAAGCTCCGTCCTCAACCAATTCCGCAATAACACCGAGTGGAAATAACGGTGGCAACGGCAATGGTGGCTCTGGCAACAATGGCGGCGGCTCCAGTGCTGGCGGAAATGCACCCGGTGTTGGAGGTGGCGGCGGTGGCAACAATGGAAGCAATGGTAATGGCGGCAACAACGGACCCAATGCAGCCAATCTGCTTAGCACCAGCGGTGGTAACAATGGCGGAGGAGGCGGCAACGGTGGTCCCGGCTCTGTCGGTAGCACTAGTACAGTAAGCACCAGTAATGTAAGCAGCTCAGTTAATGGTGGTGCCGGCGGCGGCGGTGCCGGTGGTGGTGCTGGATCAACTGGTAATAACGGTGGCAACAATGTTGGGAAAAATACCTCGAACTGTGGTAATAACTCGGCTGCGTCACAACCGAACGTTTCAAGCGTAACAACCGCCGTTGGCAATAACTCGACGTGGCGCCAAACTACTCCGAATCAGGCGGCACTTCAAGGACAAGCCAGACCAACCGGTAGAGAATCTGACTTCGATTATATATCTCAATTTGTTTGTTCGATTGTTGATGACTAGTTTGACCATGGCCACCACCTTTCTGTGACTCAAGACACACATTAGTTTCAAAATTGTTGAATTTGAATACAATGTATGGATTAGCAAGAGCATGTTGTGAAGTATATAAAAAAAAAAAGTGGATCGACTGATAGACGAATGGACTTAGAATTTTGTATGCATGTAGATTTATTTTTCTTTATCGTTCATAGAGTTATAGGGTTGTAATATGTAAGATGAAAATTGAAAACCAATATATGTACTTCGAACTAGTACTTGAATCGTTTGCTTATATATTGACTTGCATACAAGTGTTCCGACTCTTTCGCTCCCATTTATTAGATTTGTGGGGTGACCCGTTCAGTTTATAGTAATCCAACGTCCTCTATGTTTTTTTTTTGTTTGTGTTTGTATTCCCAAAAAATCACCTGTGTTATATAATAGGAAGTTATAATCATATTACGGTTTTGCTTTCACTAAAGCATTCCCACCGAAATAATTCGGTTATACATAATTAGCTCTCAATAAAATACCAATGAAGTTAATTAGAAAACATCGCCTTTAAATATTGGAGTCCATAAGAGAAAAGATACGAATATGAACTTTTTGCGAACTGACTTCACTACTCCAGTGTACTCTACATACTTGCTATATTCCACGACGCTAACATTCTTTTTTGAGGGAATTGTAAGTTTCCCCACATACACATACACACACACACACCATACACTCACACACATTGTTACCTTTCGCCTGTACGTCGAATGTGAAGTGTAAAGCCTAATGACGAAGAATACCACACATAAGAACAAAGAGCAAAACAAGAATTCAATAAGAACAGAACACAACAAGAAATACATACCTACATACTACATACATAATTAATGCCGCATTATAAAGAATTTGAAACATGTGCTTGCAAGGTCAGTAGAACTACATATTGACAAATTTAGTGTATGTACATACATATTTAAAGATATAATAGGTAAACAAAACTTAATTACGAAGAAATTGCTATTATAATGATAATAAAAAGAAATTTTGAAACAAAAAAAAACAAACAGAAAAAATCCATAACAACTATAGGAGAAGAAGAATCTTGGGATTGGCCTTTAAAGTGTCGTGATGTAGTTATAATGTGAACTAAGGTTCAGATCTAAGAAAAAAAAGAGAAAAAACGAAAACAAAAACACAAAAAAAAAACAAAAAACAAGAAAAACTGAACCCATTACCAACGTTGCCCTCTAGCCAGCCAGATTCCAGTTGCAGCTATTATGTCAAGCCTGGCTTGGGTCTTGTTTAATTTAACCAAATGTTTAGTGAAATGCCATCACTCTTTGGGTGCACCTTGCCTCTTAAGTGAACAGAATACAGAGACTTTGACAAATTTCGAAATTAAACGAAGCCTTTAGGAGGCCTAAACTAACTAACTGCTATCCTTCGGGACGTTAACGTTGACGTTGAGCACAATAACATACCATAAGTAACATTTCCAACTGCTCCACGTTTTTATCATTATTTTATTTTTTAAATTGTTATTTTTACTGTGATGCATTAAATTTTACAGTTATTAAATTGTTTTTATTTGATATCATATTCGGATCGCGCTTCCCATCGCTCAACTTAAATGAAACGCTGTTTAAAATGCTCTTTCCGAGCTCAAAACTGTGTTCACACAAAGCCGAGTCTCTGATCTTGAGCCTTACACATTCATACATACATGCATATATACTAATACATACATAGGTATCCGTCTCTAGTTTCATGACGCCGATCGGAGGGGGTTGGGGTTAGTGGAAAGCGACTTGCGAGTGCCTATGAAAGCCAAGACTTTCGAGATACACTCACAACACACACACACACACACAACTCTTCAGCTTGAATCTTGCTCAGGTCTTATGCACAGGCAGCTTCGACTATGAAAAAATCAGATAAGAAAAATCATATATTATTGTATGTATATTTTATATGGAGAGAAAGAAACAAACAAACCTACACTATGCCAACAGAAATACATACATATATAATAAATATGTATAGATTACCTTATTATATTTTTTTTAGAGGTGGTCCCAAGGATGACACTGTGGAATACACATTTTATGTGCATGCACACATACATACATACATATGCACATGCACACATATGTATGTACATAAGCAGTGTATGTGTGCATACGTATGTAAATATGTTGAATTTATTAATTAAACTTTCGGCTATTGTGTATGTACAAATAATACTCTCGAGTTGGCATTGACTTGTCCGTATCTGTAATCTATAAGCTATGAAACAAACAATTCTGGAGTGCGCCAATAAATGCTTCAAAGAAAAATGCGAAAGCAAAAGAAAACAAAAAGAAAACGATTAAGAAAAATGAGAAAAAAATCGTAAAATGAGGAGAAATTGAAATGAGAAACCAACTGCTTCTACATACATACATATTTTGTAAAACTGTGATTTCAAACAAAATGTCAGCAATGCCAATAACATTTCAATTCAACCAGAAGGCAATATGAACTTTAAATACGATAACTACATACTTACTTGCTAATAGGAGGTGAGAAATGGTAATATCTAAATTGCCAATTCGCATGCATGCATACATACACACATACCTATGTACATGTAACATTGAGATGTACACTCATACATATATATATATATATATATATATACATATATATATATACATATATATATACATATATATATGTATATATATACACATACACACAGTAATAGACACAAACAATAAAAACAGTAAGAACAACATGCAGAAACTTTTAGCATATAGTATGTATGTAAGCAACCAACCAACGATAATTGTACGTCGAATCTTCACATACATATACACACACATACATACATTAAAGAAACATACATACATGCATACATACAAATATGTAGATGTGCGTTCATGTTCATATTCACCATCTGTTTCACTTCTAAACTGTAGCAGAATAATCGAAGTACAATTGTTTTAAGAAGCTCACTGAGAAACAAGAGATAATGAGAATACCATTATTATAAATAAAAACAACAAAACAAAACAAAAAACAAATACACTACCCAGAATAACAATAACAAAATTATTTGTAGTATAAATGTGTTATATGTGTAATTTGATTAAATGCCTACAACTATTTACAACAAATATGAAAATATTGAAACAAAATAACGTTAGCGAGAAGAATAAAAACAAAAATAATTATAAAAACAACAACAGTTATTGCGAAAACAAACAACAAACAAAAAAGGAATAAATAATTATAAATTACTTTCATGTCTTTATATGAGTCAAATAAACGAACATAAGTGGAACTTCGAGGAAATCAGAATGGAGGAGAAAAGTTATTTAAGATATACAAGAGACAATTTATCACATACCTAATACATATAAAACTTATTTAAAATAAGTCTTTGAAAATAAATATTTTAAATTCAATGTACCCGCTTACTTTTCTTTATCAAACATCAAGTCTGCTTTCCATTTGAAAGCGGTACCGGCCCACAACCGTCGGGGTCACCAATGCCAACCAAGGGTTGTTTTTTAGCCACTGGAACAAACAGCTGATTCAATGATATCGGGGCATTTATGTGGCTTCTTGGTAGAAGCAGGTAGTAGGCCAACAAATAAGTTGCACTCTGGAATTCAAAAATAAAGGTTTCTCTGCATTATGGGGAACACGGCTCTACTCAGCCTTTTACTGACTTCGTTAGCCCAAGTGGAGTCGGCTCCGCCAGTGATTAAGATTGGTAGGTGCCAGCCTCTCTAGCTGATGTTTATTTGACCACCCATCCATTCCAATCTATGCTGCTTTAAAGGGGCGCTTTTTCCAAAACATGGGGCCCAACAAAGTTATGCCGAGCTGGCATTCAAATATGCCGTTTATAGGATAAATCGAGATAAGAGCCTCTTGCCCGATACAACGTTGATCTATGACATTCAATATGTCAGCAAATACGATTCATTCGATGCTGTCCAGAAAGGTATGGTATGGGTTATATGAATGCAGATGGGTAAGCTCTCCCTTTTGTATGAATAGTGTGCAGTCAAGTTGAACGCGGCGTTCAGGCCATATTTAGTCCAACGGACTCTGTTCTGGCCACCCACATAAATTCCATATGTGACGCTCTCGATATACCAGACATAGAACGTAGAAGCGATACGAAAACCCAGGAGTTTTCCATAAACGTGCATCCTTCGCAGCAATATGTGAATCATGCCTTCATTGACGTAATACGCTACCTAAACTGGACAAAGTTCGGTATTCTGTACGAAAAGGACTATGGTAAGGTATATTATTAGTTCACTTTAAGGACACTTATTTGGATCTGGTGTGGCAATGGTTTTGCAGGCATTATCGAACTCAATCAGCTATCGCGAGCGGTTCAAGCGGAAGTCCACATTCGGCAAGTCTCCACATCGACTTACCTCACTGTGCTAAATGAGTTCAAAAACAAGGAAATCCATAATATCATAGTCGACACCAATTCGGCCGATATTTCGCTCCTGTTGAAAAATGTGAGTTTGAATTACACATCGTGTACTCTATGTTTTAGTTCTGATACTATTATTTGCCATGTTGTAATGTCAAAACAGATTCTGCAACAACAAATGAATGAGTATAAGTATCACTATTTGTTCACCAGCTTTGATTTGGAAACCTTCGATCTGGAAGATTTTAAATATAATTTTGTTAATATCACTTCGTATCGTCTGGTTGATATGAGCGATGTTGCTGTGAAGGAAATTCTGAAGGATATAGAAACATACAACAGACAAGTATTGAAGCACAATGAATCCAATTTTCATTTGAAAAATGCCGTTGGCATTGAGGTTGGTCATCGTCCTCTAGTGGGGTGTATTGTGACCAAAGGTTTCAAATTTTCAAATTTCCAGACCAACCCAGCTCTGATGTATGATTCAGTGTATGTGTTTGCCATTGGTCTGCAAACCTTGGAGCAGTCCCACACACTACATCTGTCCAATTTGACCTGCGATGATGAGGTTCCCTGGAATGGAGGGCTCAGCTTGATAAACTACATAAACGCGGTATCCGATTCAACTTTACCTTTTGCAGATTATCTGTGTATTCTAATGTTGATCTTATTCAGGTGGAGTGGAAAGGGCTTACAGGTCCCATTCAATTTAAGGAAGGTCAGCGAGTTCAGTTTAAGCTTGATTTGATAAAACTGAAGCAACACTCCATTGTAAAAGTTGGGGAATGGACACCCCAAGGACATCTGAATATTACTGAACCGTCTCTGTTCTTTGATTCTGGCTCTATGAATGTCACATTGGTGGTCATTACCATTTTAGTAAGCACAAAGCTCCGACCCTAGCCGACTCAATTTGACAGTTTGTTTTATCTCAAAGGAAACACCTTACGTTATGATGCATTATGAGAAAAATTTTACGGGAAACGAACGGTTTTACGGCTTTTGTGTGGACATTTTGGAGACGATATCGCATGAGGTGGGATTTGACTATATCTTGGACTTGGTGCCCGATCGTAAATATGGTGCCAAAGACCCAGAAACCGGTCAATGGAATGGCATGGTTGCACAGCTAATGAAATATGTGAGTATATCTGTCTTGGAAGTTGCTCATAAGATCTATAATATACTCGAATTTTTTATTCTTAGAAAGCAGATTTAGCCGTTGGATCCATGACCATAACATATGCCAGGGAAAGTGTAATTGATTTCACCAAACCGTTCATGAATTTAGGAATCAGTATATTATTTAAAGTTCGTAGCCAAACCAGAAAAAACTTGAGTTGCATCTTTTATTTAACTATATACTTTTCTCTTTAAAGATTCCAACCTCTGAGCCCACCCGACTTTTCTCTTTCATGAACCCCTTGGCCATCGAAATTTGGATTTATGTGTTAGCTGCATACTTTCTGGTGTCCATAACGATGTTCGTTGTGGCCAAGGTGTCGCCAATCGAGTGGCGTGCCATTCACCCCTGCGACTTGGAAAATATAACCATAAGTAATCAGTTTTCAATTTCGAATAGTTTCTGGTTCACCATTGGCACCCTAATGCAACAGGGTTCAGATATACATCCAAAGGCCATTTCCACACGCATTATAAGTGGCATTTGGTGGTTCTTCTCTCTGATAATTGTTGCCTCCTATACTGCCAATTTGGCGGCATTTTTGACTGTGGAGCGGATGATAACTCCCATAGAAAATGCCGAGGATCTCTCTAGCCAGACGGAAATCTCCTATGGAACTTTGGAGAGTGGATCAACAATGACATTTTTCCGGGTACGTCGCTCACTTATCAGTAAGAGAACTATTATAAATTTCCTAAAGATGCTCCATTTAGGATTCCATGATTGAAACATACAAAAAGATGTGGCGCAGCATGGATAATAAGAAGCCCTCGGCCTTTACATCGACTTATGAGGATGGCATTGAGCGAGTCAAGCAGGGGAACTATGCGTTCTTAATGGAGTCCACGATGCTCGATTATACTGTACAGCGTAACTGCAATTTGACTCAAATCGGGGGATTGCTGGATACAAAAGGTTGCTTACGTTTTGGCTTATCTATCGTTTCTAGAGTTTTTCATTCATCCTTTCCAATATGCTTAGGCTATGGCATTGCAACACCAAAGGGCTCACCCTGGCGCGACAAGATCTCACTGGCCATATTGGAGCTTCAGGAGAAGGGCGACATTCAAATGTTATACGATAAGTGGTGGAAGAACACGGATGAGACCTGCACGCGAAAAAGTGGCAAGAAGCAATCGAAGGCCAATGCTCTCGGCCTGGAAAGTATAGGTTAGAAGTAATTGTATTAATGAAATGATGAAAGAGTCTTTAATAATTATCTCCATGTTCTCCTTTAAAAGGTGGAGTGTTTGTCGTACTCATTGCTGGAATATTGGTAGCCATAGTAGTCGCTTTCTTTGAGTTTTGGATCAACTTTCGTAATCGGACTAAGGCACAGCATTTAAGCATTAGCGATGACGACGGTGACGTAGCCGGAGCCAGAGGAGGCGATGGGGGCGGCAGCGGTAGAACTCAATTAAAACCCAGCCCAGCGGCAATTGAATCAAGTGGAGCATACATACCCCAGACTCGATCGCTCTGGCTGGAAATGCTTGAGGAACTGCGTTATGCCCTGCGCTGTATGAGTAAGCGTCAACGACCCGAGCTCAGTCGCTGTTGCAGTGAGTGTCAGAACTTACCTTATTAGGAGGATTGTGGGGAGGATGGGGATAGTTATGCTGATGGTGGCCTGATTTCGCATTTGTCACAATAAAACACAAGCCGACTACAATTTGTAATTTATGTGTGTGTGTGTCTTCTTTTTTTTTGGTTTATTTTACCAGACTAGCTAGCTAGCTAGCTAGTTGGCTGCTCGCTTCGGCCTGCCAAAGTCAAATCGAAATACATAATCGTACAGACATACATACAGACATACATACATACATACTTGTAAAATAATACAATAGATAATACTACAGTAACACCATGCTCTATGTTCTTGTGCGATACCAAATACTCGTAAGGTTACGATTAGGTTAGATTTCTGGGACTCAGGTGCCCTTGAACAGCATCCTACAGAGCTCCCCACCGCCCGCCTTGTCCTTCTCACAGAGTAGCAATTGTCGTGAGCGCTCCGCACTCTTCCGCTCATTGCCGACGATACGACGGGTGCGAGTCTCCAGCCAGTACGGAGACTCGGATGAGGTTGGATGATGACCCCTTTGTGTGCTTTGGATCGTCGACGAGGTTGCTATTGGGCTTAGGGGCCGGTAAGTGGTCGACAGTTGGTCGGAATCCATGATCGATTTAGTTTTTCTTTTAAAAGTTCTGCTTCTCTTTGACTCCCCATTGGGCCTCTTATGAGTTTTACCCCTTTTGTACGGCTTCTCTGTTAGATTGGGACTACCATTCTTTAGATAGTGCATCTGAGAGGTGGCATTCCTTTTGGACAACTGCAACAGCTTCAGACTTATGCGTCTTATGAACTTTCTCGTTTCCAGATCGTAATCGTCATTTTTCGGATAGTTCTTCATAGAACTAAGCGGTTCAGTTGCAGCTCCAGGCCCAGCTCCACTTCCGCTGGCAATTTGCTGGCTATAGAGCTCATCGCTTTCATTATCGTCGTCGTCGTCGAAGAAGCCATCGAAGAACTCCACATTCTTGTTTGTTTCGGAAGCACTATCGATTGAGGGTGCAGGCTTTGTAAGTTTGGTTACCTCGATTCTATTGAGCACACTATACGTTAATTTTGGATCCTCAGCGGGCTCTATAATATCGCTAGTATTTGCTTTAACTGCATCAGCATTGGCGTCTGAAAATTTTGCCACCTCGTCTATATATATGTGCTGACTTTCCATATCCATTTCCGGTATTTCATTGTGATCACTGCTCTCCTTGCCCTTCTCTCTCAAATCGTGGGCACTGCTCTTGGCATGCCCGTATTTCCAATTTTGGATGTTCGCATTATGCGGTATCGTGTATTTATCACTGTCGGCACCAATCTCGCCAGAGTTGAGGGAAAACGGTAGCTGGGCATTGTTGAAGACGCACATCAGAACGAAGATGCTCATTACTGCAAAGGTCCAGGAGAGAAAGAGGAGCATGAGCACCACATGGCGAGACGCAAACTTTGGATATATCATCTTCTTTTTTGTTTATGGGATGTCTCTTCCTCGCATAACTCAACAGCTGGAATGATTATACATAAGATAATGAATTAATTGCGAGTGAATATTTCAAAGGTTTCATAAATACATATTTATTTAAATGCAGAGAAAGGTTCCTAAATGTGTTTACGGTTATGTAGATGTGTAGGTCCGTGTGTGTGTGTGCGTGTGTGTGTAGGTACGTAACACTTGTGTGTATGCATATGCCCAAGGCCCTGCACATTTCCTTCTGCATCCTCAATATAAACACACTTTTCAACCGCTACCCAGATAAGGAGGCTGGCTATCGATTTTTATAGCCTGTACCCAAAGGGTGAAAGGCTATACTAGTTTTGTGCGCATGTATGTAACACACAGAAGGAGGCGTGGCAGACCCCACAAAGTATATATATTCTTGATCAGGATGAGAAGCCGAGTCGATATAGCCTTGTCCGTCCGTCCGTCCGTCTGTCCGTCTGTCTGTCCGTCTGTCCGTCTGTCCGTCTGTCCGTCTGTCCGTATGAACGCAAGGATCTCAGAAAGTATAAGAGCTAGAATAACCAAACTTGGTTTCCATATTCTCCTAAGACCGAGAAAGTACGAGTTTGAGTTTTTTTTCGATGCACCCCCCCACTCCCCCGCAATTCGTGTTTTTTCTTATAACTTCCGTAATTCTCGGAATTTTGAAATCAATTTTGGTAGGTACATCCAGTTAGTACTAATGTGTCCGTGTGCCAAATTTCATCATGATAGGTCAATTCTGAAGAAAGTTATAGCCATAAGTAAAATCGCTGCTCATGCGCTGCCTCTGTCGGCAGCGCTGCCCGCAGCTGTTGTTGTTGTTGCTGCTTTGGTTCAACTTTGTGCTGCATACATACACGCATATAAACACGCATAGGTACGTGATGTAAATGTATGCTGTTAAAACTAAACATAAACATATATTCTAATTTAATTTAATTAATTAATTCATTAATTTTTTTTAATAATTTAATTTTTTTTTTAAATTTTTTTTTTTTAATTTTTCTTTTTTTGTGGAGAGTACAGGCTATTTTACTGTCGGGCTTGCTCGACTGTAGCGTTCTATCTTGTTCTCACTCAAGTGTAACACAAAAACAAACACACGCCAAAAGCCTCCATCCGGATGATAATCCCCATTTGCTCACGGCAAAATAAGGCCTGACATCAATTAACAAAGCATCGGTGATGCACTGAAGTTCGTTTATGTTGATTTTGTTTATGGAACACGAACTCACAGAGCTCGATTTATTCCTAAATGTATATACATTTGCAAGCAAAAACTACCGGATGAAGTGTTTCCGGAACTAAACCCTTTTTGAAATATTAGATGAGCTCACATTTTGATTGACTTGATTAGTTTTTAATTTATTAGCTGCTTGAATTGGGACTTACGCAGGAGATTTTTTTAAAATAACAATCAGCCTTTTGATATGTCCTTTCGTAGTGTTGTCGGCTCATGCGCTGTGAGGACAACAAAAGGACAACACACATACCCCTCTATGGTGCATCCAAGGAGCTGCCAACTTCATATTCGAAATCAGGTGTTTCAAATTTTATTTTGAATTTTAATTTCGCTTTCGAATTATGCCAGTTTTTAGAGAGGCATTTAAAATTATATTACAATTAATTTCTTTGATTATTAAGCTTTTTCAATTTGCATTTACGTTATTTATTGAGCCAAAGAATACCTTTGAAAAAATTTCTTCAGTTGGGGTCACGAAGGGCTTCAGCTTGATGTGGAGAAATTTTAAACTACAAGTATATGCATCTGATTTCTAGGAGTACAAAGCTCGTTTCAGCCCTTTTATACTTTAGCTATGCATACTGATTATTTTTATCCCCCTTATAGAAAAATGTAAGGATATATTGATTTTGTGCGTAGATGGAAGAATCGTAGATCATATGTAATACTAGGTACATACCTATTGATGAGCATGACGGGGATTCCTCTCGACACTATGACGAGACTGACCATTTCAGATAACTGCTTACGTGTATATCATATAGTTTTCATACAACGAACTATTTGATTTAAAAATAAGTAGTTTTTCAAAAACTTATATTCTTATTTCGAAGGATATGGGAAATTGGACATTGGCTTCGCATCACTCGCTTTTACAGAAGGCTATGCACATAAAAGGGCTGGAGTTTGATAAATAAAAGATTATTATGACTTGATCAAGTAATATGATAGTTTAAAACTACTTGTATATACACATTCTTTCTTTGAATATGAAGCTCATTTAAATTTATCGAACGAGGCTATTACTTTTTATACTCAGTACCCCAGGGAAAAATAGGTTTACTAAGAGGTAAACAGGTAATGCATATAACGACTAATATCGTCTAAAGTTCATATCTGTCTGTTGGAATGAACAACGAGAACTATTGAGCCATAAAAAAAGTTTCCTTTCGTTTAAGCGCACTTAAAACTAAACCTGCTTAAATAAAGAATATACAAGTATGTATGTTATGAGAGCCATTATAGATGAGTTGTTGGTCCTTCTCGATAATTGGTATTTGTGTGCTGTTCAAAAAGCTAAAACAATCGAAAGTGTTTAAAGTCTGGTATACATTTGATGAGCCATAGGAATTAACATGAAAAGGTAATAAATGTATAAAATAAAATACCAGTGTTTCTGTAGATATGTATGCACATACATATGTACATATGTATGTGTGTAACTAAGTGGAATGTCACCTGGGCAGTAATAGACGACTGATGTCTATATGGCATATTTGTACAACACATTTGTACCACACATGTACATACATACGTACATACGAATGGGCATACTACTTATATGTAATCGGATTCGGAAGTGGGTCTAATGTAAGTGATGAGCACATACATCAATACATGCATATATACCCTGCATACATACATACATGGCAGAAAATGCTCCGTTAAGTAATTGAATTTATATTTTATCGCGGCATTTGTGTTCTACGTCCGCAGGCATATTTTTGTGTGTGGCACATACTATACAGTTAAACATACATATATATGTACATATATACATACATGTATATAGTACGACTGAATCATTGTAGATTTGTGTAGGTATTTGCCATTTAAGAGCTAGCAGGGCACAAGTATGTAAAATAAATATATATGTACATACATACATACATACATAAATGCATATAATACTCATATTTAGATACATACATACATACATATGTACACCGACTGTATCTGTGAATGCACAAAAACTCAATCCAAATCCAGAGCTAAGCCAGAGCCAAAGCTAAAGGCAGAAGCAGAAGCAGAGCTTGTGTGCGAGATGTGCCACAAATGGTTTGGAGATACATAGTTTGCTGTTGTTCTATTGCTAATGTGACCATCCATACAAATATGTAAGTGCCTACACTTAAAGAAAAATCGCGGGCCTTCTACAATGAGTTTTATGGAATGATCAAAACACACACACACACACACACACACACACACACACATTCTTCGCTAAGCCCGCAGAACGATTTTAGTTTACATTTGGCACACATTTGAGGATGTTTCATATAATTGATATTGTTATATAGTAACATATCCGAAATATATTTTGGAAAATATTGAAATATTATTTCTACGTATCAAAAATATATCCAAGCATTAATCCGACGTGGTTGATGACATGTATTTCTGTTAATTTTCTTTGTCCCTTTTAAATGAACAAGAGAGGACGCTACAGTCGAGCAAGCCCGACAGTGGAATACCCTGTACCCAGGTTAGTTTCCGTCACTGAGTTATATGCGCACATAGCAGAAGCAAAGAGAGGAAGAAGAAGAGCGCACTTGTTGCTGCAGTTTGTGAGGGTTGTACTGTAGAGAATTTGTTTCCCTAATAACTTTTCTTAGCATGAAACAATTTCGATAAAATTTGAAACAAAAGTAGAAAATTATGTATATATTTTGTATGGTTTAGGTAACTTTTGAAATGTGGACGGTATTGACGAAATTCTGTAGCGGGGGAAGGGGGGGAAAATTCCAAAAAAAAATAAACTCGTCCTTTCTCGGACCTAGGAGAGATCTGAGATCCTTTCGTTCATCCAGACAGGCGGACAGACGGACGGACGGACATGTCTAGATCGATTTCTCTCGTCATGCTGATTCAGAATATATATATATATATACTCTATAGGGTCGGAGATGCTTCCTTCTACATGTTACATACTTTGCACAAACCCCCTTTTTACCCTACGGGTACAGGGTATAATAAGAGCTATTTTTCATTTGCCCTGAGGACAGTGAGCAAAGCAAAAAGATTTTATATTAGGGTATGAGTTCTTTATGATCTAAAGTCTCTCGCCCCTTAAAGCTAGTCAATTGAGTGTTCCAATTTTCTGATTTTGCCAAAAGCTTGTAATCGATAGTATACACCTAAATCTGTTTCTACACGGTAGATTCGTTCCATGTGCATGTGCATGATCATGTGCAAAAATAGGTGATTGGTTCCTAATCTCTAAAGAAATATATATGAAATTTTTAATTTTAAAAACCGTGTTATATCAAAATCGTATAAATAAAGACCGTGTAAAAACAGAATTAGGTATATAGCCTATAGCTGGCACTGATTAAGATCGTCATTTTGCCGAAGCCAGCGGTTTCAGAGTCGATAGTGGTCCTGCAGGGAGTTAATCTTTCCCTCAGTGTAGTTTTCATAAATGCTAGTTAGCATGGACCGTAAACTCTTTACTCGAACCTCGTAAGCACACTTGCGTGTTTGTGATTGTGTGTGCATGTATGTATGTATGTAGATATATACATACATATGTATGGTCTGCATATCAACCTTATTATAATGGGGAGCGGACTGTAGACAGCACCCGTACCAGAACCGTGTGGGACATGGGCCCGCATATATTTATGCGCATGCGGCCAGAGGGGTCAGCGGTCGGCGATCAGAGTCAGAGTCAGATACAGATTTAGATACAGATTCAGATTCAAATACAGATTCGGAGGCCCAACAAGCATTGTGGCAGCCCAGCAGGTCGGTAGCTCAGCAATGGCCTGGAACCCCCTTAGTAAATCATTATTAAATTAAATTGTATGTAAAAATGACAGCCAGCCTTGTTGAAAATCTAAGCTTAGCTTAAATTACTCGCATATCAGCTTTGATTGATGCACAAAATAGCGTTTCGCTGGTACGAATAGAATATCATGAATATCAACGGATGCTCTGAGTTATATTCAGTTGAATGTGAGCAAGTGGCCTGTTAGGTGTCGTGGGTGCGTGCAAGATTCCTTTGCGTTTAGTTCTGCATCCATTATGTAAATATAAACACATACAGCTAGTGAAAATAGCCACAAAAATAAAACAACAGCACAAAAAAAAAAACAAATAAATAATAAAAGCAACGAAAGCTTTGCAGTTTAATACAACAACGAGTGCGGTTAAATATCCTTTTGAAAAATGACAGTCACATGACGAAGGGCTTCTTAGGAAACTTTAAAGAGATCTGATTGCGCTTTTTTATGAATTTCCACAGTTAACAGTGAGTTCAGTTCCATATCGGATACAACAATATGTAGAGAGATCTATAAGTATTATCCTTCTTTTTTTTTTGTATACTACTATTCAAATGTGTCACCAGAAAGTGGACATCTGTGTGTGTGTCAGATTTCAGTGAAGCTCTGCAAATAGGCGCTTAATTGAACGATTTTTTTTTTATTCGCAGCTGTGCCATATAACCTTCGTTAAAAATAGTTAAATAAAAAAGAAAAAAGAACCAACACACACTCACACACAAACCCATCTATACATTCGAGAGAGAGAGAGAGAGAGAGAGAGGGAGATAGGGATAGAGGCCAAAGCGGAAATGTCCAGCAATTGTGGGAGTGATGGCGATGGGGGGGAAAGACAGAAACACGAGACCATTGAAATGGGTAAACTGATGTGTCCAAAAGACTTAAACACCGTAGCACAATCGACAGCGACGACAGCAACGCCCACAAATCAACAGGTTGGTTCCAAAATCCTGTCAATCTAAAATATCTCATCAACACGACAAACTGCACATACATACTATAATATGCATTTATCATTTTTCCATTTATCACATTGATGCTAATTCTTGTTATCGATCGATTGCTCGGATTCATTTGCAGCTGGTCAAAATCGATCAGATGCCTGAGCGCGGATCATGGTCTTCCAAGCTAGACTTTATATTGTCTGTGGTCGGTCTAGCTATTGGTTTGGGCAATGTCTGGCGTTTCCCCTATTTGTGTTACAAAAATGGAGGCGGTGCTTTTATGATCCCCTACTTCCTAACGTTGTTCCTGGCTGGCATACCCATGTTCTTCATGGAGCTGGCTCTGGGCCAAATGTTGACTATCGGGGGTCTGGGAGTGTTCAAAATTGCGCCCATATTTAAAGGTATCGGGTATGCTGCTGCCGTAATGTCCTGTTGGATGAACGTCTATTACATTGTCATTTTGGCCTGGGCGGTCTTCTACTTCTTCATGTCGATGCGATCGGGTAAGCCCAAAGTCTTAATAGTCTAGAGTGTGATCTGAAATGCAAAACTCCATTCAGATGTGCCTTGGCGTACGTGTAGCAATTGGTGGAACACCGCCAAGTGTGTCAATCAGTATGAGCGCCAGAGTCTGCACTGCTGGGACAAGATGATTAATGGAACTAGTCAAAAAATTTGTTCGGTGGCGGCGGCTAACATTTCATCATCGGAGCTTACAGATCCAGTGAAAGAGTTTTGGGAGTACGTCATATATTTGAGATATTTATTTATGTGATGGGAACTGAATTATGAAATCTGTGTTACCTCAAGGCGTCGCGCTCTTCAAATATCATCGGGCATTGAGGAGATGGGCAACATTCGTTGGGAGCTGGCTGGCACTCTGTTACTTGTATGGATTCTCTGCTACTTCTGCATCTGGAAGGGCGTTAAGTGGACCGGAAAGGTGGTCTATTTCACAGCTCTGTTCCCATATGTGCTACTCACCGTTCTCCTCATACGCGGTATTACTCTGCCAGGTGCTCTGGAGGGTATCAAATTCTATATTATTCCCAATTTTTCCAAACTCTCACATTCAGAGGTAAAAATATTATCCTCCAGACTCTCTTTCTACCTTTCTCTACAACAATTTTATATATAATTTAAAGGTATGGATTGATGCAGTTACGCAGATTTTCTTCTCATATGGCTTGGGCCTGGGCACACTTGTGGCCCTGGGAAGTTATAATAAATTCACAAACAACGTCTATAAGTAAGTTAAGCAAAAGAGTACCTTTGACCCATCCTTTCTTGATTATAATGTAATGTAAATGCATTGTTTTTCGCCATAGGGATGCATTGATTGTGTGTACGGTGAACTCCAGTACCAGTATGTTTGCGGGCTTTGTCATCTTCTCCGTGGTGGGATTCATGGCTCATGAGCAACAGAGGCCGGTGGCAGAAGTGGCTGCATCAGGTTCGAAAATGTTCAATACAAGTATTCCATTCCATTCATGCCGATTAACTTCTGTTGCTACGTGTTTTTCAACAGGTCCTGGCTTGGCGTTCCTCGTGTATCCGTCGGCCGTTTTGCAGCTGCCGGGATCACCTTTATGGTCTTGCCTATTCTTCTTTATGCTGCTGCTAATTGGCTTGGATTCGCAGTTCTGTACTATGGAGGGCTTTATTACAGCCATAATCGATGAATGGCCGCAGCTGCTGCGAAAACGCAAGGAGATATTTATTGCGATTGTGTGCGCTCTCAGCTACTTAGTTGGGTTAACCTGCATATCCCAAGTAAGTTCGGTTGGCTGTAACTCTGATACTGATCCAACGATTTTGTCTACACTTATTACTAACTTTGGTCCCACTACTGATTCCCATTTTCCTAGTCAGTCTTCCTTATGAAAAAATCTGATTGCGTCACCATGCCTTTTTATTTTTGTGTTCATTTTTAGGGCGGAATGTACATTTTCCAAATACTCGATTCGTACGCAGTAAGCGGCTTTTGCTTATTGTGGCTCATATTCTTCGAGTGCGTTTCCATATCATGGTGCTATGGCGTGGACAGATTCTACGATGGCATCAAAGATATGATCGGCTACTATCCCATGGTCTGGTGGAAGTTCTGTTGGTGCATAACAACTCCAGCGATATGTTTGGTAAATACACTCTGGCAGCATGTCAAAGAAAATTTAAACCACAAACAAATCTATCTTGTGATGCAGACTTTTGATAAGATTAGATTATGTACAAGTATTATGCTAGACTATTTATAACTTACTCGTTTACTTTTGATTCTATTCTATTGCTAACGCAAACACAGGGCGTTTTCTTCTTCAACATTGTGCAATGGACGCCAGTTAAGTATCTGGACTACAGTTATCCTTGGTGGGCGCACGCCTTCGGTTGGTTCACCGCTTTGTCGTCGATGCTTTACATTCCAGCGTATATGGTTTGGTTATGGAAACGGACACCCGGAGATTTGTGTGAAGTAAGAACGTTTCTCGCTCTTTTGTTTGCATTCATAAGCCCCGCACCCATTCACCCATGCACCCATTCAACCATTATGACTCAGATTCCTGCGAACTGGACACGCTTCCTGTGCCGTTTTTCCTTTGGCATTCGGCATTGAGTCAACACCTAAACAAATACGAATGCGAATACAAAGTCATCCCTCATCACATTACCATTACCCTTCAACAAACATACCTACATACATACACACATACATACATATGTATGTATGTATGTATATACATATGTATGTAATAACATACATTATGTGCCATACACCTTTATTTCTTGGACGCAAGTTGGTTTTTCCCTGACAGAAGCAGAATTAGCACAACAACAATAATCGTGTTTATAAATACTACATCCCCATGCCATAACCAATACGAATACGAATCCGAATAAGAATAGCAATATCCAAATAGAAATAGAAATCGAAATCACACATAAATACATCATTCCATTCATATTTTGAGTCTTATCGCAGGCAATTAAGTATTACCCATGATTCACCACAACACCAGAACGTCCCACGCCTCACAAATTGGAAAATTTCTTGTACTTAGTGCCACAGCGGTCTTTAATTTCATTGTCTGTGCGTAGTTGGGATTTTAGAATTTAAGTACTACATGAGCGAAATCAAAAGTCAGAAATAAGAAATCAGAAATTAGAAATCAAAAAGATCACACGGCACTAATAATAAGCAAGCAGTTGGCTAACGTAAATTTTTAAATTAAAACGTCATAAAAGAAACAGCATAAACAAAATGCCATTTAAATAATCGCCCGAAGGTACAAAAAAAAAAAAAAAAAAAAAAAACCATCTGCATAAAAAACTGGAAATTTTAGTCATTAAGACGTGGGGACTGGGCCATTAGACTATAATTACCTCTCTACATTTAACATTTAATGTTAAAGCGTACGTTTTATTCAAATAGGAATCCCCTAACACTTGACTTTCAAATTCATTCACAGAAAATACGAGCGATCGTTCGAATAGACGAGGACGTGACGCGGTTACGGGAGAAAATGCAAAGGGAAGCGCACGCGAAGGAAATCGAGTTTAATTCATCATAGATTATCTAACTATATGATACATACGTAACGTAAGTTAACTCTAGGATACTACACCAACAACAACAGCAACAACTACAAACAATTCACCGATATCAACACTTTTGCCGTTGTATACATGTATGTATGTATGTATTGCCGTATGATATTCTTACTTTCGAGTCCGTTACCGACACCGATAACGATAGCGATACCACTGTTGCTAACACGCCCCTGGACCACTAAGTAAGCCGGCTTAGCCTGAAAAGTACTAACTAATGACTACCTACCATCTACTGCTACTACTACTACTACTACTATTCAATCTAATCTCTACTTACATATGTATATCACGAAGGCAATTCTAACAACTCTTTTTTTTTCGAACTACAATACATCTTTGCATACCCCCCCGTAGTATGCGTAAGTTGGAATTACATCGACCAGTCAGTATTTAGTACAAACTGAAATTTTCTAAAGGGAAATAATTTTGAGAAGTTACGAAATAGCTTATGAATAAGTGTAACTCCATTGAAGCTCTGTAATAGTCTAAGAGTTTTCTGTTCAATTCATGAATTCAATCCAACACTCTCAAATCAACCTAATGTTAAAGATCGAATCAAAAGCCAAATCGAATTGAAAGTGTAAACGAAAAACGATCTACTTTGTTTTGTTTTTTTTTTTCTTAAATCTGTAATCTGTATTTAGTGGTAAAAGTTACAAATTTCTATCTCTACGAGCTATTTAACTTTTTCTTAACATGATATGCATACCACATATGTATGTATGTAGGTATATATGTATGTGTTGAATGTATGTGAGTGGCTGACTTAGGCTTTATTGATAAATTTAATTTAAAATAACTCATATAAATTAGAGCTTATTTAGTAAATATATAATAAAAAAAGAAAAAAAACCAAAAAGAGTTTTATGTTCACAGCCATGCATATGTAGCACATATCAATATATACATATATATACATATATACTGACATATTTTATATGGAAAGGGAAATCGAAGTGGAGGAGAGGGAATGGGAACAGTATTCACACATACAATTATGTACATTGTATGTATGTGCAAGTATATGTGTATGTTTATGTGACATGTTTTGCGTAAATATTAGTTATAATTTAACTTTAAAAATATCTATACGTTAATTGCTTGTGTCAAATAATTTTACTTTTTACAATTATTGTAACAAAAATCTAACTAAATAAACGAATTTAAATTATTGTATTAACCGAAAATCAAAACACACATCTACTCCAATTATAATACATATAAATATGTATACATACATACTAGTAGGAGTATGTTTGCATCAAGAAGGTGGTTCCCTGAGGCGACTAGAGTTGAAGAACCTGAGCGCCTTGTATTAGTGGGTAGGGAGGCGGCTGCGAATACGGGTGTAGGGATACGCTCTGCCCTTGGATTCCATTTGCTCAGCCCACCCACACCTGGGCCGATAGGAATCAGTGCAGTTTAAATGGAACTGATCGTATCAGGCGACTTACCCATGGAGCTGGGGGGTGAGCATATTTTAGTGAGCGTCGGTATTTCTAAGAACAGAACATACATATGTATGTATGTACATATTTATGTACATACATATGTAAGAATACATAGTGGGTACATATGTATATATGTATGTACATATGTATACATGTAGGTTGTGATAAAAAAAGAAACAAATGTTTCTAAAGACAGATGTGCCTTCATGTATACACTTGCACACACACACGCACACACTGGGAAGCGCAATACTGCTTATATGCATATACATATGTATGTATGTACATACATACCGGGTGGCCCATAGACAGAGTATCTGAATCTGCTGCCAACTTCACACCTGTCTCCAGCCATTACCCTATAACCGGACCTTGTCACGTGTAGATACTCGAACCATTCCCATTCTGTAAAACCGGCAACCGCAATCGCCGCACTATACATACAGACATACATATGTATGTATGTACAAATATACAAACATACATACATAGGTGTTGATTATCTGTCAAGTTAAACCGAAACCCCCTTGTGAGAGAGCCGAAAGAACACTTGGAAAAGCTCTGTTCTCATAAAACTTAAGCTCATGCCCAAATACACTATACTAGGGAGAACGAAGCATTTGTGTTGGCATAAAAAATTGATGAGTTTACATTTATACTGCTAACAATTATTATTTCCAGAATTATTAATTATTTAAGTTGCGATCAAATGTTTTCGAAGTTACAATTTTAAATGAGTATGTATTTCGAAATAAATATCGGTGGTTTTTCAATCAATCGAATGATCAATTTGAAATACATACTCTCAAATATTTAGATTTCACTTTTCTTAATACATTAACAGAATCAGAGTGCCGAGTTCATTGGCCACAGCTACTGAATGAATCCCTCCCTTAAGAGGGTATTTACAAGGGGTATTAATAGGGTAATTAGCACATCATCAAGGTACAAATGTAAATGAGTATTTTAAAATAAATATTGTTGTTAGTTTAGAATTGAAAGCAATAAACCATAAATTAGTACTAAGAAGTGCCCACACAACTATTAAAATCGTACTCGTCTTGTCTATATACATTAAATAGATTTATCTTTAACGATTCGAGAAATTTCAAATGAAATTCAAAATTTTACATCGCAAACAAAAGGAGAATAAGAGTGCGGAGTTCATTGGCCACTGTGCAACTCAACGAGACCTTCTCCGTAAGACATCATTAACAAAGGGACTTAGGGCCGCTACAGATCGTACCAGAGGCCCTGTATACGCAAAATGCGGTCTGCAGATGTTAGCTGTGTTTGTTTGTATGTATGTATATATGTATGTATGGATGGATGTTTAAATGTATGTGATGATGGCAAATGGTATCGTAGGCGGGTAAACATATTCTCACAAAGAGGAGCGTCACAGACAAAATACTTTTTATCAATGAAAAATCTGCAATGACCGTTGCATTCAAATTCATAACGTCGCACGAATAACGTGTGTGCCTTGCCTGCGCCTATCCATGTGTGTGTGTGTGTGGGTGTGTGAGTGAACCTTCTCTTACAGGATGTTCGGAGTGAGAGTGCGTGAGTGTGAGTCTGAGCGTGATTGTGACTGTTATTGAGAGTGTGTGTTAACGGGGACCGGGCTGTTGTTTGACGTTGACGTTGACACATACACAAATGCTTAACAAAACGAATGTAGGGTATGCGTTGTACACAAATGCATGTGTACCTGTGTGCGGCGTGTGTGTGTGTGTGCATGTGTGTGTTGCGTGTTGTGTGTTTATTTTGCGGTTGTTGAGTAAGCATTTGCTTTCGGATGTTTTAGTCGAAACTAAAGTGCTGACCGAACTGGTTACGCTCGCTGCCGTTTTGTAACTGTTGATAGCGACGTGCGAACAAGAGAGAGAATATTTTTTATACACAATTTTTTAAAATATTTGTTGTTGTTATTTTATTGTTTTTTTTTTATTGTTGTTCGCTTCTGATAAACTGTGATCTTTAAAAAACTGAACAGTATTGCGCGCCGATCGCTCGACAAATTCCTCAAGATTGTTTTATTACCAGAGGAGATCTCCTCTCTGGCATAATCATCATATAGACGGATTCATGTGTAAATTAAAACGCATAACAAAACCGAAAACGAAAACTCAAACGATACAAATACACAAAACGAAACGATACGAAACGCACGAGAGACCCCGCTAGGCGGCAGTGGAACGCGCATATTTGTTTTTAATGCCGTATCTCATAATTAGCACAATCTCAGATCGGAATGCATTAGTGGCGGCGCCAGAAGCAGAAGCAGAAACAGAGTCCGAACCCGAACCAGCACTATCAAACAATATCATTCTCGATTCGGCGGTGGCCATGTGGTATAACAATGAAAATACGTAATGAACAATCTTTTGCGGCAATACTGCAAGACGTTTTAGATCCCCATGGAACTCGCATCGATGTTGGAGAGGCAATTGGAAAGGCAGTGCCCCACAATTATGACGGCCTCCACAATCTGGGGGAGTTACAACAGAACTTAAGACAATGCGACTATTATAGTACGTGGTCGTCTCGTTTGATTGACAACAGCAAACTAATTCGGATCATTTGGGATTTTTGTTTTCCCAGTTCGCGACCGCGACCTCAATATAGACAAATACAAACAGAAGAAAATCAAGCGGTAGATCGAGTGACTCGCCGATATAGACAGAGAAACTCTTTGATTACATATCCATTACACAAATTAGCACAATTATGCCTAGTCATTGTTTTGCTGTTGCCATTCCTAATCACATCAACTACATTGGTCCAGCAAGCCAGCGGCCAAAGCATTTCAAATCCAATGTCAAATGTAAATTCAAACGCAAACCCAATAGCCAACACGACTCAACAACCTCAACTAAGTCATCAACAGCAACACCATCGAACACCAAAAAGTACACAAATCCAAACCGGCTATGGATATGCTTTTGCATACTCGCTTAACGCACAAAGCCCAAATCACATCCCACTTAGTGACACCAACACCAACACCAGCAACAACAACACCAATATTTCCATACAGTTTATCAACAAAAACTATAGCATTAATAACAAAACTAAATCAAACACAACTACAAATATATATACAAATACAAATTACGAATCTGAAAGTAGAAAGCCCATTTCTAATCTTCGTTCAAACGAATATAGTCTGATAATTCTAAGTCAAGCAGCTAATAGAATAAGTTTACCAAACACAACCCCGAACTCAACAGTTACAAAAACAGAAAGCAGTAATACCAGTACCAACACCAGTACCCACACAGATGATGATGATGTATTACATCATTTTGTAAATGGCATCGGTGGTTTGAACTCTCAGTATTTGTCTGGAAATGCCATTCGAAGCAAAAGAGATATTTACTCACATAGGAGAAGACAGGAGCAGGTCGATCCCAATGCTAATGCCGATAGCCAAATGATGGTAGAGGCTTTTGAGAGCTTTAAAACGAACAAAAACCGACAGCGTCCCAACAGAAGTATTGATAAGGAAAAGCTTACAAAATTGGTAATGTCCGGACTTGGACTGAAAAAATTGCCGGACATGCGAAAGGTAAGAACAATACAGAAGAATAACACAATTTACACATAAGAAGCTTAAGCCAAGAACATCTAGTTCCGCATTTTTCGACGAAGCTGTCATTCTTAATCCGAAGGCTCAATTCAATAAAAATTAGTCATGATTGTTTCAAATGAAATCAATTTCCGACAGTCACAATTGACAGTGTTCTCATCATCAATTTATTGATAAAAACCTCTGACTACTTCATCTTTAATTAAATTTTCTTTATTTATTTATTTTTGTAATAATTCATAAGTATGATTGTTTCGCTTCTCTGTTTTACTTATTTGTAAAACAAACGATACTAAGATATCGAAAAGAAAATTGCAATTTATTTAATTATTTTCTAAGAATTTTATTATATGGCTATCAATTCTACAGAAATTGAATCATAAAATACTAATAGTGTCGCGTAAACAATCGGAAAAAAACGATGAAAGGAATACAAGATACTAAGATATCGAAAAGAAAATTGCAATTTATTTAATTCTTTTCTAAGAATTTTATTATATGGCTATCAATTCTACAGAAATTGAATAATAAAATACTAATAGTGTCGCATAAACAATCGGAAAAAAACGATGAAAGGAATACAATTTACTATTGAAGACATAATCCTTATTTCTTAAAAATATAAACTAGAAGAAACGATATTCAGGCCTGCTTCTGTTTTCGAATTCGATCAAATTTGTCGAAATATATTTGTCAAAAAGCGCACATTTTCATAAATTAGGTGAAGCGTCGTGATCATCATACAATAATACTGAATTGGTGATTATCTTTTTAACATTTGCTTAGAAGTTTCTTCAACTGGCGTTTCGCCCACTTTATTTACAAATATATATACATACATAGATACACAAACGTACTATATATACAAAAAACGCAGCCTCATCGGTGCTCACATTGTGATATTGTAGTTTCAGCAGGTAAGAATATGCCTTGCTTACAAGTATCGGCAATTAATGGTTTCTAAATTGCCCATAAAAATAACCATATAGAGTGATATTGTGAAAGTTTCAGCCCAATGTGCTAGTATGCTTGCGCATTATTGGGCTAAGATCTGTACTCTCTGCTCGAACACGCACACAATCTCTGATGTGATGAAATACATAGAAGCAGGTACACAGCTTTTTTTGTTTTAATCATAATGGGGGCATCTATCTATTGAATATTCTTGAAAGTATTTCGCCATCGATAAAGCTTTCGAAACGAACGACATGTACATGGGAACGATAATAGATAGATTGGATGTTCGTTGGCAATTAAAATAAAACTCAAATGTCGCTGTCACCATTTATTATTTGTTAATGTCTTCCTATGTTTTCTTTGCAGGCCAACATAAGTCAAGTAGAATATACTAGCAAATATTTAGAATATTTACAACGACTCCAAAGCATTGAGGAGCGGCGGGGGAAGTGGCCAGACCACTTAACAGTGCCCGCGACCGGAACTCTGCACATCTTCAGCATTGCTTCAAATAGCTTCAGCGACATAACTGATAAGCGATGGCGCCACAAACGTGCCGCCCGGGCGATGGCCACAAACAAACAAAACCAAACAAAAAAAAAGAAAAATACAAACCTAAACTCAAACAACAATGACGCACGTGATAAAACAAATATCCTGTTGCACTTTCCACTGGGCGTCAATGACGCACATTTTCACTCTGACAGTATTGATGAGGCTAATGTTAGACTAATGCTATTATTCAGTTCGTCGCTCTCGACCCAGCGTTGGGGCACCAAAAAGAAGATGCACAATCAGCGATATGGAAATGGGTCAGGCAGGAAGAAGAACTGTGGCGTCGGCGTTGATGAGGCAACATTATCGACGCAACAGCTGTTCGAAAGAGGCCTCGATCGTCGAAAAAAGGCTCGCATTCATATTCTGAATTTAAAAGTTTATCAGCTATTGTCGTCAAATAAGCGGGAACTGTTGGATGCACGCAAGCTAGAATTTGAGAACCCAGGTGAGGCCGATGAAACGCGCACCCAGTGGCTGGAGTTCGATGTGACCAAAGCGGTGAGACGCTGGCTAAGCAAGAGCCACCAGAACTTGGGTATAGAGATTCAGTGCGACAAATGCAGGCGGGTGGGAGCTCGCATCCTCAGCGACGTTTCTGCAAGTTCAGATAACATAGATGAGGATGACGATCGGTTCCATCTGAGACCTGTTCTCAATATTATCGGACATTTGGGTCACACCCATCGAGAGGGTGGTGTCCATCATCCGAATACATCTGGCAATCAGACAAGCAATTATTATCACCATCGTTCGGATCACAACAGACTTAAGCCCAATAATTGCTACAAGGCTCACCAGCGTTGCTGCAGACACCAATTGGACGTGGCCTTTAAGGATATAGCAGGCTTTGAATTTATCATACAACCGAAAATGTTCGATGCTGGTTACTGTCAGGGCCGTTGTCCCCCACGCCATAATCCTGCTCATCATCATGCTCTTCTACAGAGCCTGATATGGCAGAAGGACCATAGTCGCGTTCCGCGGCCCTGCTGTGCTCCCTCAAAGCTCGTAGAGCTCGAGGTTCTGCATCTAGACGAGGAGCACAGCGATCAACTGAAAATTTCAACGTGGAGCGACATGCAAGTTGTAGAGTGCGCCTGCTCCTGAAGTCTGTCACTTAAATTGGATGCTATTCTATAATATGTATTTATTACTAAATTATTTATTCTATGTATCCGCATTGTACAATCTATAATATGTAACAGGAATATATTTACCAGTCTAAGAAACATTTTTTCGTATACCTTTACCTACATTTTAAAAACGCTTCTTTTGTAATGAATTTCTAACTTATTAGGGAAGAATAAAACAATCGATATTAATGTTTAAAGCCACGCATATAAAAATTCTTTTGCACACCTCAACCATAAACAAACATATCTAGGCTACTGATAGAATAGTTCAAATAATAGTTGCAAAAGATTTGAATTGCATTTTGAATTTTGTGAAAATGGCGCTCAAAAAGAACGACGAAAAAACAAACGACAGCTCTTGAAATTCTAAGCGAGTTGGCAGAGTTGCGTAAGTTTTTGGAGCTGACCATTTAATTTCAAATTCATGAATCAGTTCCCTTTCCTCTGATTGTATATTGCACTAAATACGTAAGTTTGTTTGACAGTTGGTTGCTCAGTTTGTCACAAATTAATGATAGTTTTATTTTAAATTTTTAATTCCATGCGAACTGCTTATGAAAAGCAGAGGTCGTGAGTTAGCGACCCCAAATTGCGTTCACAGGTTCAATTGGGTGGTTCATTGAACGAATCGACACAGCTCTATATTCATACACAACATATATATGTGTGTATATACATATGTATTACACACTGCGAGTCGACTCTGTTTGTTTTTTTTCATAACCAAGACCGCATAAGGATACCATACAAGGAACAGAAGGACTTCGGATGGAAAATTGGTGCCTGCTTTTCGAAAACAAGTGAGTTCTGTTTTTTGTTGCTAGAACATTTGCATCAAAAATCAAGCAATTGCAAATCGTCTTCATATATGTACATATACACATACACAATTGTACGTTTATTTGTATGTATTTATTGACTGTGCCGCCTATCAATAAAATCGAATCTGAACTAGACAGCCGGCAATTATTATTCCTAATGTGTGAAGTATTTTCAGGAGATAACTTACAAATGCTTTGGATTTCCTTTTGGAATTTTGTAACAATATAATTAAGGCGACGGTCTGCTTAAGAGAACAAAGAACAGCGGATAAACAAGATACATACGTACACAATATAAAAATATACTCACAGATGTACACACATATGTACATGCATATGTATATGTCTCATTTAAACTAGATGAAGACGGAATACTGCCTATTCAATTGTCCCAACGCTCTCAAAGAACTGTTTATGGTGGATTAAGAGATATTCTATATTCCTATTAGTTTTGCCATTGAGGTCAGTTTTAGATTCTCAAGTGAGTACTCGATTATTGATCAATTTTTCTATTGTCTCTTGTAGAAACGAAAGATGCCGACATATCAGTATATACAAAACTATTTTTCAAAACTGAATCCTCTTGCTGAAAAGATTGCTCGCGATGTTAACGATGCCAAGTCTGCCTATGGACATGTGTGGCTCACCTTAACTCTTGTTGAACAGGAGAATATTCTTAATGATACCATAATTAAGCCGGAAATAGCTATACAATACTATAACAATGCTTCAACGGTAAACGGTGTCGAAGAAGCGCCAGGCTCGACCAGCAAGAAGGCAGCCAATGCCCAGAAGCTTTGCGGTGTCTATGGATATGACAAAAAAAATCTGAGGACATTCATTTACCAAAGCGTTGGTCTTAAAACTCTACACGATGAAAATATTGGCGATTATCGCGATGAACACTCTTTCCCATTTAGCTTTCGAACCAAGTCCCAAATAAATCTCTCAGTATTAGCTAGTAACAGTAACACTAATGTAATTAAGACTGATAACGATTTCTGCAAGACATTTATCGTGGAAGTCAGCACTAATAGCCTAAGTTTACCGCAATCTTTGCGACCTATTGCCGAACCCGTTCAGAAAGCCAATGCTGTTTGCAATGCAAAAAAGTTTCCTGAACGATCGAAAGATCATGAGAAATCCATCGATGGGACAAACTACAATGATTCCCGAATATTCATGGCCGATGAGCAATCCAACCTTTTGGCGCATTTCGGATCGAATAATACGTTGAGCGGCTCGTCTGTCGGCTCTACAGACGATGAAACGGACAATAAAGAGCAGTACGAGGAAAATACCAAACTCTTGCCGGCTGAAGTTGAAATACCCAAGGGCTTTGACTTTTTAAGTAATTGGTAAATTGTAATGATAAACCTACTAAGAAACAATCTAATACTAATAATAAAAGTCAAGTTTAGAATGAAATTTAATTTTTTGTAATCAGTTCAGTACACTCGCAAACTCGCTTAGAAATAATACAAAAAGAATCCACATACATACATATGTATATATTTTAGAAGTCAACCTACATTTACCGATTTTTCATCATTTTTGGATAAACACAACTTATTAAACCGTATCATATATTTAATAAAACAGTAGACATTTATTTCGCAAAGATTTTTTTTATTATATAACCATTTAGTGATAGATATCTATGTATATATATATTTGTTTGCTTTTTTTTAAATATATATATATATAAAGTATCATATTTCTTATTCGAATATGACTTTCTTTTTGTCTGAGTAATGTTAAAATGTATGTCGTTTTAGATTATTTATGAAATGTATTTTTATAGATATTTTTATACTTCTTACGAACACAATGCGGATATTTCACTATTTGTAAGAATATTTCATCAATAAATTACTGAACCTTTTGTCGTCAATTTGTATTTAATTTATTTATTAATACGTATATGTATTTAATCCTCACAATTTTAATAAGAAACATTTATAAAATATTCGTTGTAAATTTATACATATTTTAACCTCCGTCTACAAATTGGAAGTAAAAACTTACATATTGCGTAAAAAAATATTTTCATGCGGTCGGGTATGCATATACGTACACCTACTCACAAAACTATTGAGGTTGTCTTAATTAGGGTTCAATAAAAACTCGAAAACCCACTCCGAACAGTAATATCAATGCAAATATGAATACGAGAAGGAAGAAGTATTCTTAGAGCACCCAAAACTGCACATCGTCTATTCTTTGTTTTACTTTTTCTTCTCCTTTCTGCTAAACTTATATAGTTATCTGCGTACATTGAATTGTGGCAAATGTTTTGGGAAACTGGACTTTGGATCATCGGTTTCATAAACTCTTAATATGAGAATGTATATACTTGTATGTTTTGTTGAAACGAAGCAAATCTATACTTGTTTGTATGCATACATATTGGTGTATGTATGTATTTATGTATACTGTTGAGTATTTCTCCTGCATGTTGATGTACATACATATGTATCGTAGATCTTGTGTGAAACTAAACATTCATTATAAGCGGTTCGGTACGGTACGTCTATACCCAATATAATAATACATAGTATAAAACATTTTCAAACCCGACACAAATATTCAGTTCAAAGTACATACATACATACAATTTTAAGATGAATACTTTATAATAGAAGTCTCGTTTCTGCTCATTTTCATATATCCTTTTCTTTTTTTTTTTTGTTCTTTTTTGGTTTTTCTTCTTTTTAGTATTGATATTAGTATTAAGGGGTGAATAATGCAAATGTGTGTGATTAGTGTGTATCAAATTACATTGTATTAACAAACTACATGCGATTAATTATTTAATCGAGATGTTCAAATAAAGTTAAAGATGTCTATATTTTGCGCATTTATTGAATTTTATTTAATCTCACTCATTTTTTTCTGTTTGTTACTCTACAAACGATTTCGTATGAAAACGGAATAAATCAAAATAGAATCCTTTCATTCGTATATGTATGTAATAATAATTATAATAATAATAAAAATATTAAATAATAATAAAAAACAAACACTTTCTTAGTTATTGTACTACTTAAATTCTGGTTAGACTAGATTTATTTAGCTTTAAGGGGTAAATCATATATGTATATATATATTACACCTGTGAACCAACTTTTTGTTCTCGGCTCTTCTCTTCAGTTTTAGTTTTTTGTTTGAGGAATATTCAAAAATCAATATTAAAAATAGTTAATTTCAGTGAAAGCAATATTAAATATAAATTTATATATTATATGTATGTATATATATGCATATATATATATATATATATATATATATATATATATATATATATATATATATATATATATATATACGGACTAACAATAAATAGATATTAGAGACGAGTATTTATTTGCTTATCCCAAACAGCAAACAGAAAAATAGACTTCTACGATTAGCTAGTCTCGTTTTCTGCGCAATATATGGTTAGTTTGTCTTTTAATATGATAGACTATGGATATATAAGTCTTTTTTATTCACATTAATAGTATAACTATACATAGTTGTAACATGTTCAGCTACAATATATATATATATGTGTATATATATATATTTATTTACTTCTTTATATATATATTTTTTTTCTTGTTTTCCTTTTTAGACATTATATAAGTTTTGTATATGTGCTTGGCTTAATATTACCGCTTATTTATCAGTCAACTTATTTTAATATAATTTTCTTCTTTTTTCTGGATAGAGATACTATATAACTTACATAGTTATAATGACCTCACAACATCCAGCAGTAAATGTTGGAATTCTGTTATTATTCGTTTGTTGATGGTTGGTTGGTTAGTGGTTTGTTTGCCGTTGATTTTTCTTCTTGTTTGTGTCTTCGGTTTTCTTATGTCTTGGGTATTTAGGAGTTTTTAGGGGACATTTTGTGCCTGTCACTTTTTTTTTCGTTTTGTTTGCTCCTATGACTATTTATGTAATATATGGCGAACAAAGCGGCTTAAACGTCGTAATAATTTAACTAAATTGTAATATAATATATGTTCTTTCAAATTTATATGATCTTCTGTTTAAAATTCGTTTGCTTTTTAGACTATTTATGTAAAAAATTTCATTTATCTTAAATACAGTTTGATGCATTTAGTTTATCTATGTATGTATTTATTCATATACTCGTACATACTCGTATAGTATGTACATATATGATACAACTTAGCAAAAATCTATAAACCAGGAAAAACTTAACACAATATTTTCACGATATTTCGTTCAATCACAAAGAGTAAAATAATAAAATTAAAAAAATTCCCGTCACTTTTTGTAATCTTACATAAATACTCTAGATAGGCGTACTTTTCTAATAAAAAAAAAAAATAAAATAAACAATATTGAAAAAGGGGTAAGGAATATATATGTATATATACTATGAGAAGCCTTGACAAAAATGCGAAAGGCCTTGAAGGCGATCCAGATCAACTAGATCACCAGAAACCCTACAATTGATCAAATTATTGCGTGATCAGGTGAATTAAAGATTTGGATGGCTAACCTTTGAATGCGTATATATGCCTGATTTGAAATATTTGCTACTTTCGGCGATAATATTCTGATTATTTTTGGCTTGTTTTTCATTACAGTATCGTTTATATTATGTATATATATATTTATATATTATTTAACATGTTCATAGATATATCATAGATATATCATATATATATTTATATAAATATTTTCGTTTTTAGATTTATAAATATATATGTATATATACTATGTGTCTTCTTCTTAAACTAAAAAAAAATGCTAAATAAAATATAGGTCTTGACAAGACTGCATCGTTCTTCAAGCAAATACAAATGATGAGTATTTGTGAGTTCGTTATTTATAATAATGCCTGATATAAAATCTTCAGAGTGAGAAAAAAGGAGAGTTTTGGGTACACGCACATCTAGTGAAGTACAAACATGTAGATTTAATGAATGAATCATTCCCTAATCACCTAACCATCGTCAACTTTCGGGAGACTACTTTTTGCGATGGTCAGGCCACATACGACCCTTTCTCTAGAAGAATTTAGAGCACGGGTCCGCTTCTGGTCGTACGTTTAAGCCAAAATACGCATGGCATGGTATACGATAGAGTTGCAAACCGGACAGACGGCTTCCATGGCCACACAGATCTGATTGGCGCAGTCCATGCAGAACATGTTATGTCCACAGGGAACTAGAGCAGTGGTCACCTCTTTTTCATTGCAGACGAAGCATTCGCGATGTGATGAGAGCTTATCTGGGTTGTTGGGCTGCGCTGCTCCTGCACGTGGAGGATGCTGCATGGGCGCATTATTTGCACACGATCCCTTCGCGTGGCGTATTCTCTGATTTGTCATATTGTGATCTCCGAGGAGCGAATCTGTTGGGCTTATCGAAGCGGCTGGCGAGCAATGGGATGCGGCTGCCACCGTTGTGGGCAGATTCCAAATGCTTGGCGAATCTCCGATGCCCTCGTCCACATCAATCGAGTCGCTTAAATTCTTCCATATATTCAACAGCTCTGGGGGAGTATTAACGCTGTTAGTACTATTGGCGCTGTTATTTGTGCTTTTTGTTGATGCGGTTGAGGAGGCTGATGAGCATGAGCGCGTCAAAATGTTCGCCGAGTTCGATCCGGTGGAGATGCATTGAGTGCTCGTGGATGTGGGGGGAGGACAAAACGATTGAACCTTGTTGGCGGAAGAGTTACTGTTGTTTTGGTTATTGCGGAATATGTTATTTACTTTGGCGTTCTGAATATTGTGAAGCTCACTTCCCGATATGGGAAAGTGTTTATCAGCGCCCATTATGGGCATTACATCGACGGGCTCAGAATGAGGAAAACAGTTTGTTGGAGGCATGGGCTTCATGTTCGAGCAAGAGGAATTGGAAAGGCTCAGGCTATCGATGCTCTTCAGCGTTTTATCCACGTAGTCCACAGTTGGAGAAATATCGTTCTTATAGATAGATGACAATATGTCTGGGTTAAAATCATCGTTCAACATCTGGGTCAATGTATTAATTGTATGTAGAGTTGCGAACTCATTCGAGTCCAATGATTCAGTGCCGTTTTCACTGCCGTGTGTGCTAATACTGCCTGTTCGAAGTGCTATGTGGGCCTCGATTTGCTTGCGTGCGGTTTGAACATTTTCGGGCAGACCAGTCACCTCAAAGATCGGCTCTTTTTCCCGCGAGGGGGTGACAATATATGTCTGTGTTTCTTGCTGTATGTGTTTTATTGTTGCACCTTTTGGACCAACAACTAGTCCCACAACCCGATAAGGTACACGTACCTGTATGGTAATCTGACCGGGAAGGGACGGTGGCCCCGACTGAGTACGTCCAACCATGCTCCCGGTAAAGGATCCGCTGTTCCCAGTTGCTCCATTGTTGTGTCCATCCATGGCTGGCTTTCGTGAAGCTCGAATCAGACTAAAGTGATCAGCAGCCGAGAGTATTTCCCTTTTAGCCTTATTAACATCCTCCTTGCGTCCTGTAACCACAAACACTGGCTCCTCGCCACGCACTGGAGTCTTAATATATGTGTTTGTCTTAGCTCGTAGAGCCTTAATCTTACATCCTATATAAAGGAAAATACAACATCATTATTTGATAATCAATTAGAGTAAATGTAAAAGAAAAGGTTACAATTATTTTTATGCAAGGGAGATAATTTATTTGAAACATTTTTACGTATTTATTCGATAAGGTCAAGAAACTATTATTCAAAAGGTCAATGAGTGTAAAACAGTATGATGACTAAATATGTATGTACCTCAGGTTTAATAATAATAATAATAATGTATACATGGCTATAATAACTATAACGTCATAAATAAAGTCTTATTATAGTAGAAATGTTGTATTTATGAACTTACCTTGTCGTCCAACGATTTCCGCAACATGTTCTGAGCTCGGAACCGGTACGCATTCAGTCATGTTTTGAGACTTTTTTGAGCGATCCTCTATGCCGGCCGATGGCATCAAGAGACCAGTTCCAGATGCCGTGGGAAAGGGCAGGTTGTTCATGCTCGCCTCAGTCCTGGTAAAAGCTGCAGATACGACATTAATAGGGCCCAGTTCAAAATCGCTTTGTGCGGTTGGCTGAACGTAGCAGTTTTGGTTTTCATTCAGGCCAACCAAAGATAATTCCAATGCCAATTGCAATGTGCGTGGATCTTCAGAAAGCGGTATTTGCTGATGCACTTTTTGTTGTTGCTCAAGCAATTGATGATGGGGTTGATTAATTTTATGAATTGACTCGGCCATGTTTATATCGTTTAGCATTTTTGGTGTGATTTGTGTGGCAGCTATCGTGGTAGCATGACCAGACATTATTGCAGAGGAGCGCCTATCGCTTAGCAATGATGAAGGAGAATCGGAATGCAGTGGTGATTTAGTCATTGGTTTTGATAAAATTTCCGTATGCACATGGGCATGTGACGATAGGGAGCTATCCCTCACCACAATGCCACTCTCACAGGACGACGAGGTCGATGATGATGCTGATGACAGGTTTGTGTTCGTGTTATTGGATGTGGGCGATATTGATAGCGAAGCTATAGCTGCTGAACTCACTGCACTATATCCACTGTGCGGCGGCAACGTGTTCATTTGTGCTGCAGATGACAGCTCGAAATATTTCCTTTGTTTCGCAGTTGAGCTTAAAATGTTCGGATTCTGGATTTGGTTTGTTTCCCCTATCCCAAGCGCTGGTTCAGTATCTGCTGTGGCAAATGCAATTCCTCCAAGCGTCATTCCATTCACCGACATTGTAGTTTGAAAACACAGATTTCGATCTCTGTGACCATATTACTGCCGTTTCTATGTTTTGTTCTGCGCGTGCAAGGAACCGATGCTTTAGAGTCTTTTACATTTTTTTAAAATTATTTCTTTTTTTGTTTTTATTATTATTTTTCTAATCTATAATTGTTTGTCGTTGCCGCAGCAGCTCGGGTGTCCCTTTTCTGTAATGGACAAAAAGACCGAAAATGCATTTGGTATACACACACGAGTGTATGTGTGTTTGTGAGTGTGTGTATGTGTATAGGTATGCAGCATGTACAATCTCACAATGACCAAAAATAAAATGCAAAAATCAAAAAGACAAACATAATACGCATACGCACATTCAACGGCTATACAATGCACTATTTTTTAATATTTTTTTCAGGATTTAACCTGATTTGAACTCGGCAGATATTTATTTCGTTTGTATGTTTTAATATTTCGCTTTTTAGCCGCGTTGTTATCCGACTGTGTACCGCGTTCTCTTCCTCGTAACAACCCCTAACTTAAGCGAAATCTTGTGTCACTCACCCTTTGTAACCTCTCTCGGATACGCTTGCTCAACGCAGAAATATCCCACACCCCAAACATTATTCTGACACTGACGGTATCCTTACTGAAATGTGTATGTAATACAAGTTACACCCCAGGTATGTAATGTTTTCCAATCGCAATTTTGGAATTGCAAAATTGCAATGTTTGTACTCTTCAGATGGAGCGTGTGAGTTTTATTTTCAAATTTTACTTTTTATTCATTTTTTTTGCGGCTTGCGTTAAGTGTATTCTGATTCGACAATGTTCTATATCTATGAGATTCATTCGGCACCATAGAAAGTACTCGCTGTTTCTACCCCGTTTATGATTATATGTATGTAGATACATAAAAACATTTACTTTGGTAGGTACACATTCCGGCAGGGACCACGCCTATTATATCAAAAACTACGGGCAACTAGCAAAATTATTGCAGCGGAAAATGCAGTGCACAGTGCACTATTCCTCAAAATTTCTATTTAAGTTTTACCGTATAACACACTCGCACACATGTTCCCGAATTCATATTCACAACATATATTTTTCTGTATAGATAAACAAATTAAATTAAACAACGCACACGCTTGGCAAATATATTACATACTAAGTTAAATAGTTAAGTTTGCTGAAACTTGTGGCAGATTACAGTGTAGATACAATTTGTTCTGGATTTGCGTTCTTTTATTAAATCAACCTAAAAGTTTGTTTAATTTGCCGGCTTGGGCTTGCCAACTTAGAGTTGGCACTACAGACTACACTGCAAGTACTCATTTACCTTGTTCTATTCGATAGACGAGAAGTGTTGGGCAATTTAAGAGAGCTGCCACCCAACAAGTATCGGCTCCAGGGGGTTCGTTTTCTATATACAGTGCTCGGAAATGCCAGCGCATTTAAACGAATCTCTTCGGTATCGATACTGCCTGACGGTTTTTCTTGTGGGGGTGAGCTTTGAATTCCGATGCATGGCCCACGAGTTTGAGTTTGCGAATCAGAGGGTCCTTTCTCTTGTTCTTGCCAAATGGGCGTTTTATTGGTGTAGAGAGTTTTCTAGAAACACCGAATGCCAGCAGTGCGAGGAGGATAGCACTATTCCTTCAGTTCACCACACCGATTGAAACATCGAACCAATGATCTAGAATTTTTGCAAAAGCCACAATAGCAATTTTTGAAGTACTAGAATATTAGTAAGATCATGCAATTATATTTTTAAAAAATTAAGCTAATTTTTAAGGAAGTAGAATTTCCAAACTACAGCTTGATCTACATACATATGTATTTAGTTACACAATGCCACTCGGAATTAGCGTCAAAAATTAGAAACTCAAACTATTTTATCTAGTTTAAGCCCTTTGATTCGTAATTTGCAGTTATCCTTTGTCCTGTAAATATTTTAAGGTCCACAAAATGAAATTATTTTGTTTTGTTCGTTGAAACTGTTAAAATAAAACGCTAGAACCTTGCCATTTAAAGATTAATTTATTGTGTGGGGATGATTGGTAATGTGAAAATTGATGTGTTGAAAAATTGCTGTACTGTTTTAGTTTTAGGACAGATTCGAATGCAATAAAGGCAAACGTTTTAGAAACTTAGCTCATCTTGCTTCCAACAGTGGAATGGAGCTTTGCGATGCATATTTGTCGATAACATATGTATATTATATACAATAACGTGTAGGGTATACAATTGTAAGTATGTAATAAATTGGCATTGGCTATATTTGTGTTGCTACGTACATATCTGTTTGAAAGTATTTTTGTATTTTTTTTATACTACTGAACTTAGTTTTGATTTCAAATGCAATTTCTAATAGGACTTTTTTTAAAAGTCGATATTTTAAATCATTCTTAACAGTAATTTTTTGTTTTTGTTTTTTAATTTCCATATTTGGCTTATAGTTGTTGATTCGGAGCTACATACACACAAATAAAACTGGCTAAAATGTTGTATGTAGTATTTGCATGCTATGATATTGTAGTCGACCAGCTGTTTAGTAACATTTGGGCGCTCTTGAAACCCGACATTTGAATAACAAATAAAAAAGTGTGTTTAACCTACAAGTGGAGGTTATTTAAAGCTAAATACGTATATGCTTATTGTATTGGAAATTGTTGTTGTTGTCGCCGTTCTCGAGCCTTCTCTATGTGTCTTTTACGCTCTTCCTTAGTCCAATAGCGTCCAATTTTTACCTCCGATATTGTGTCATCCTCAGTAGTAGTTACTTCATTGTTACGTATATTCTTGCGGATAACAACAGGTAAACGGTTTCGTACCGGACGCTTCACAATGTATCGTGTTCCGTCCGGGCGACGTTTCACTTTCCAGACCATTGGAATTTCTTCATGGCCATTTTTCGTTTTAACGAGAATGGAGTTGCGATTTGAGACCGAAGGTATTTGACTCTTGTTTGCAATGGCAACCTGTTTATTTAAATATGGAAGGGTATTTCAATTAATGGTGAATCTGGTGATTAAGACGATAGTTATGCAAAGAACGTGCATATGTACTTACCTCTTGACTGCTAACAAAGTGATAACGACTTAAGTTGGGGGCGTTAAACTGTGGGCAGTGGCTGGGCTGCTCTTCAGTTTGCTTAAGTCGCATTCTAGCCGCAATTGAGTCGTCAGTCTTCACCTGAATAGTGCTCTCTAAAGAAGAAGCTTAACATAGGTCAATATACATACAAAATAATTACAAATATAGGGACCTACCACTGAGGCCGCATGGCTGGAAATTCGATGAGCATAGTCCCATGCCGGCAGACTTTCCGAAAGCTAACATGCTGCTTAGGGGGCTGGTAACGAGTGGCTCTTTGGGTGATTGCAATGGCTGCACTTTGCTTTGATAAGAGCTGCTCATTATTGGGTTCTTGCTGCACGGCGTTACGTTGTCATTATCTTGAGTTAATATATTTTGACTTTTATTTAATGCAAATGCTAGAGGCGAGGCGCTGTTATTTGAGCCTCCAGTGTTATACGCACTTGACGAGTTGTCGAGTTCTTCATTGAGATTTTCACTGTCGACATTAGCAGGTCCGCAAGCACTACATCCAGCACCACTGCTGCTTGACCCACTTGTGTTGGTTAATGCGCTGCGTAATGTGGAAACTCGATTGGAGGAGTTGCGTTGCTTGTGCTGTGAAGTTGGACGGGCCCCCAAAGTTTGTACAGTTCTTGCCTGCGATTTTATGCCCAACCATTGAGCAACACGCTGGGATTGCTGTTGCATTTCCAACGTTTCGGCCATTGTCGCAGATGAGCAGGAACCCATGGCTGTCATGTAGGTAGAGCTCTGATACGGTGAACAGTACAAGGGTTCCGACTCTGAATCCTCTGGTATTGTCTCATATATGTGCTCGCTCTCATCATATTCGTAATTTTTGGCCTTGGCACTTGCGGCACTATGCGTTGTGGGTAAACTTTTGCCTTTGGATAGTTTCAACGTTTTTTCCTGACCCAAATGTGTGTCTAAAGATGGTTTGTTGTGTGTAGATAATATTCTTGGTGGGTCAACGTTGCATTTTTCCATTAGAGTACTATTTGTTTGACTCTTAATGTGGCTGTTATTTGATTCTGTCGTTTGTGCGGAAGACTGGGCCAGATCAATGGATTTGACCGATTCGATTTGATTTGATGATTCATTGGTTGCGGCCGGTTTCATTGATTGCGCTTGTGCCATCAGTACTTTGTCTAGCTTGTCCACAACATTTGTGTAATCATCAGTAAGGAAACTATTTGCATATTCAAAGTTGCTGTCAACATAATACTCTTCATCATCGTCATCTTCATCGTCCTGAAAGTAGAGAAATAAACTATGAAAAACGTGTTTTATTGAGAGGTATTTCTGAACACTCTTACAGGATACAAAATGCGGCTAACCAGCAAGGTGACAGCCATACTATTCTCTGCAATTTGTGATTCCGCCTCCTCTTTGCTTTTGATGTCCTTGCCGTTTATGCGAAGAATCTGATCACCACGCCGTAGACGACCATCGCGCTCGGCAATGCTCTCCGGGTGAATATCACTAATAAATACGTCAACACAGGCATCGCCTTTGTTTGATATCAATCCTATATTGCTGTTGTTATTGCCAACGCTTTTGGCACTGCCCTCACTGTTGCTGAAGAAGCCATTGCAGCATACACTCAATCCAATTTGATCACTAGGTACATCGCCTTTCGAGAGCGTAATCTCCTGCAAGTAAAAAATGAGAGAATTATAAATGCTTAACTGCAGGAAAATAAATATATATTAAATGTTATTACCTCTATATCAATTTCAGGCTCAAGACACTGCTCAAACAAATGATGTTCCTGCTCAATAAAATGATCCGCGATCCGCACTATATCGTGTTCAGTACGCGCATGATTCAATTCAAAAATGTTTTCCACCGTCTGGGTCTCCTTAGTGGCTATACTTGGTTTTTTGGCAGGAGATGCTATAATTGGGTCTGCACTGAAGGCTCGTAGTGTGACAATTACTTGGTTTTTTATTGGCGAGGTCATTAACGAATTGGAATTCACTTTTGGTGAGGCACTGGAAGTTGTTCTAGCATTTGATAAGTTTAAATTCTCTAATTTTGCAGAAAGCTGCTGTTGTTGTTGCTCCTCTTTGTTGGAGTTGGACGTCAGGACGTCATTGTCATCAATGTCCGTTGGGATGTTGCTGTCGCTAGCTTTTTTTAATTCAACAACTAGGGTTTCTTTTGCTTGAAGGAACATTTGAACCGCTTCATATTTCGACAAATGACTGATGTCACTGCCATTTACCTGCAATCAAAATACCAGAACGAACACAAATAATTAAACAATCGAAACGGCAGATACAGATACACAAATGAAGCAGCAGTGGGAGATAGCTGAGCTATGTGGGTGTGTTTAAAACGGTAGAGTACGACAAGTTCGCTTTGTTTGATGTCTTATATTTTACGTGCCTTTAATACAACATATTCCAATTCTAATAATTCTACAATACACTTATTGGAGCACATATTTAGAATGCGTAGTTTTGGTTACTCGTCCCATATATATATATACATATACATATTTTCCCCCTCTCTACGTTTCTAACTTCATATGGTTAGTGCTGCCAACTACCACCGAAGACCTGTAATTTACAACAACCCTTCGCAGTTTAAGGCTCATGCATATCGAAGCCTTATCGTTTGTGCAATCGAGTAGCTTATCGATTAAAATGAATATGTTGTCAACATGCCAGGTGTCGTGTCTGATCGTCTCTAGGGCACTTTAGCTCGCTTCTCTTTTCTTGCGTTCTTGGTTTCTTTTGAATTGTTTTCGCAGCCATAAAATAATTGGTTTTATTTTTCTAAAACGCGATATTCATTGTAAATAACAAATGCACAAACGTTGACTCCGCACATGCTCAGTCGGCTGCAATAGTACGCGTTAAATAAAAAGTGTTTATGCGACAATGAGCGTGCTTTAGTTTTTGCTGTCCGCCTGCAACACGGCGCACACACACAAACACCAGCGAAAATAACATTGTAAGAATGTATGGCTAAGTACACGCAAATTTAACTAGAGTTTTGGACTAGTTATAGCTTAAAAAGATATAGGTAGCGCTTTATATTGTGTTGTTTCTAGTCGATAGAATATGCACATATGTATGTTTTTATGTGTTTCTTGATGCACTAACAAAAATTGGGATCTTCAAGTTCTTGTAAATTTTGCAATCTATGTATGTGTGTAAATCAACACAACTACATACATAGCTGCAATTTAATAATGCTGTCGCTCAAAACACATATTTCTGCTTGCAATTATGCGTTGGAGCCTCAAAATGGAACACATTAGTACCATTGAATTTCTACAAGCAAGTGGACGCAAGCGGACGCCGTTTTTGTTTTCATACGTATGGTAATATATACATATATTTGTACGTACATATGTTTCCTTTATATCTTTTAGACAACATCATCCAACGGTTCGCTACATAGTTGTGCTTTTTACTAAAACATAGCTCAGGAAACTCAAAGAAACCTAGAAACATACTTATACACATTTATACAACAACACCTTAAAAGAAAGTTATAGCTTGGCATATGTCTCATATGTCTGGTATGACCTGTGAAGTACAAAACTCAGTACAAAACGTGTCCGGTAGCATCAGTTCAACAGTAATGGATTCGAGTAACTGTAACTTTATGGGTTACGAACGTTTTGGGATACTAGTCCAAGATGATATTTCCAAAGCCGATGATCTCCGATCTATAAACCTTCAAAATGGTGAGTTTAACATTGCTTAATGCTAGGTAATTGTTATGTATAGCTTGATATGTCTAATATGTCTATAATAAATATCATTTAGTTATAATCCCAGATGGCATCGCTCACACTGATGATATTACTGGAGCCCTCAATTCTGAAGATGCTAAAGTTTTTGATTCATTTATTCAATCAGAGCCGCACTGTAGTGGCGCCTATTTAGATGGGAAATCATTATTGAAAGACAGTATGTGTTTGGCCTTAAACAAAACGTAAGTCGCCATCATTGTGATGATTCCCATTCGCATATAGCTATTTTACTAATTAATATATTATAGGAAGAAAAAACCCAACAACGTAGTGCAGAGCAACGATATCATGGTTAAAATAAACAGTTCAAAACCAACCTTCAACAATAGCGAGCAGCAAATTCCCCAAACCATAGTGAATTGCATTCAAAATCTGCCAGAGCATGATGTGACCAGAGTGCGAACGGTAGACCCAGGAACAAGCCTTAATAGTAAAGATATGGGTGCAAATAATATGAACTTAATGGCCCCAAATGTCAAATCAAGAAGATGGGAGCAGAAATTGGTGCAAATCAAAACAATGGAAGGTGAATTCAGTGTGACAATGTGGGCTTCTGGGACATCAGATGATGAATATTCGGAATCCGAACAAAATATCGAAGATACAGAAACCGTTTCTAATGCAGCTGAAATTTCCCCACTATCGAGGAAAGACAGTATTTTTCCAACCGATGAAACATTGTTGCAAGAACACGTTTTCTTCCAGCACCCGCATGAAATATTATTACACCATCAGCTGGTGGCTCCTATGGCAGCGCCATCGTTGGAGTTTGTAGAGCAGGAGAAGGATTACAAGAAATATCAAATAGATGAGAATAAACCAAAAGAGAAGAAACAACCCACACAAACCAAGGCCATATCGATTAATAACAGTAAACTAAGTCCAAACTGTGTAGCACAACCATCGTATGCGATTGCAGCACAGGGGAATCAGCTCCTTGGTGGACATGCAGTTTTACCTGTCGATACCCAAACGCTGTCTGAGACCGAAGCTGAAAATGATTGCGATTTGCCTTCCCAAGTATCTGAATCCAGCGGAGCTTTGCCCTTTAGGATGGTTCCTCAAGGTAGGCTGCAAACTGATGCCAGCACAATGCCACCTCAATTACTGTACAATAACGGCTCAATGGGTAATAGTGGGTCTCTATATATGCAGTTCCATGTAAAATTTATAATTTGTACTCATTTTTGTATAAACAGCATCGCCGGCAAATGATAATGCCCCGAATGAGTCAACCGAAGTCTCGCCCTATGCAAATGATAAGAAAATTGCCTGCCCCCATAAGGGATGTCATAAGTATTTCCGCGACTCATCTGCGATGCGCAAACACTTACATACGCATGGTCCCAGAGTTCATGTGTGTGCCGAGTGCGGCAAAGCATTTGTGGAAAGTTCAAAACTAAAAAGGCATCAATTAGTTCATACAGGAGAGAAGCCTTTTCAGTGTACCTTTGAAGGTTGCGGTAAACGATTTTCGCTTGACTTTAATTTGAGGTACATACATGGATAATTTATAATAATTATAATTCACATTTTCATTAAATATTTGATCAATTGTAGAACACACGTGAGAATACACACTGGAGATAGACCATTTGTTTGCCCCTTCGATGGATGCAACAAGAAATTTGCCCAATCCACAAACCTCAAATCACATATATTAACACATGCGAAAGCCAAGTAGGTAGATGCGCCTTAAACTAAGGTTAGCAGAATCAGTGTAACAGTGTTTCATTATTTCACCACGATTTGTTTGTTGCAGACGGAATGCAGGCACTGTGCGTAATAACACCTGTCCCAGTAACGAATCAAGCAGTCCCGTCGAGGGAAGCTCTACGAATTTTGTAAAAGTTGAAATGCGTGATAATGTGTCGGATACACCTTTTATGTATGCAGAGTGAAATGCAGAACATAGGTCTAGGATAGGAATAAGGATATCATAAGCCTGTTTATCAAAGGATTAGTAAGAGAAACAAATGTATGTATACATTTTAAGAATACTTTACATACGTATGTATTATGAAATAATGAATTAAAAAAGAGACATTTATTTTCTGAATATGATACGTCAGCAACTTGTGCAAAATCAACTATACAGTGTATTTCATAGCATCTCAGGATTTAAAAACCATATGAGTATTAACATGGATTTTAAACTGAACAAATTAGGGACTGAACGCTGAAACAGCCCCGCTAGGTCTTAACTGTCAACTAAAGCTCATTTATTTTTAACTATAAAATAAAAAAACAGGTTGTACTTGCAATGGTATTAACAGCCCTAATTTTTTTTCTCGATATAAGTGCAACATATTTTATTACATATTAGAATGCGTCATGCGTGTATAAAATTAAAAAATATTGTGTGCTCTACTTATTTACAATACATCATATACATATGTATGTCATCACTATTTTTCGTCTATTTTCGGCTCATATTGTTTCAAAGTGTCTTTTTCATTAGGCAGAAATATTTTGGGAACATCCGCAGATCGTCTACTAGAGCCTAAGGGAGCATGGTACTGTTTCTTGAGATTAGCTGGAAGAACGTATTTTTTGGATTAAATTGAAATAAGCTTTTGTTTATCGTGCCAATAGCGAACGGAATAACATGAAATTGTAAATAAAAATTGAAAAATATATGCAATTATCACATACAGCAAAATGTATATTGATATTGTGAATTTAGACTGAACATGAAGAGTACAACGGTGAGAGCAGGACAGGTTATTGTATGACATGAATTGAAAAAGAAAGCGCTCATTGTTACGCCTACCGTTGCTGAACTCCTCTGTTCTAGATGCGCTGTGCTCCGATTCTGTATCGTTCAGTTTGTTTGGGTATTGTACCAAAAGTTTGTCCACAACCACACTGCTCCAGGATTTGTTTAAAGGATTATTAATTCTCAAGAAATCATAGTCGGACGCTGATTTCAAGTTGATGTCTGGACGCGCCGATTTCAGCCCATTGATGGGAAGGGCGTTTCGGTTGCGTAGTATTATATCTGTAAACAATTACAGAACTTAATTCATATTAGCCTATTGGGGAAAAAGGGAGAAAATCTGATATAAAGTGAGCATCCTACATACTACATGTGTTTAATGGTGCGTACCGCTACTTTAACATATATTTACCACCTTTCCACACGTGTGAGCTCTTTGTTCGTTGGCTATAGTCTTTATTTTTCTGACGATTCGGTCGGAAGTAATTTTTCAGTATGTTGACTTTGTAGGATTCGGACGAGTCGTCGACAGAGTCCTGGTTTTAAAAAGGATATAAACGTGTACTTTCAATTTAAATGCAGATACAATACTAACCTTGTCGTCGTCCGACTTGTGTACAATATTATTGTTACTACTGTCCGCATTGTTCTCAGTCCACTTAGTCTCTTCAGACGTTAAGTTATTGGTGTGCTGAAATGCGGAGTTTAGATTGGCAGGCGGCAGCTTAAATGGGTTTATGATTGTTTCGGGTAGCTGCCACATCTTTTGATCATCATTCCAAATAGAGTTTTCCAGGATACTTTCGGGGTTCCTGAAAAGAAATGCACGTTATATAACAGCAAAAACTATAAGTGGAAATGATACTACCAATGTTTGCCATTTTTTCGAAGTATGGGCTGAGCTTTGGAGAGGAGCTGTTGATAAAACTTAATATTACGCCCGAGATGACGAATTTCGTCTAAATAGTCCTCCCGATCGAGCTGGAATTCAGAATTCAGATCGGACACTTCTCTCTCAAGCATTTTGATTTTTTGGCAACACATTTTAATTCGCTCGTTCTTAATGTTGATCTCCTGTTGGATGCTCGCATAGTGACCCTGAAGCAGATCGCGATCCTCGCTTTGTTCCACTCTACTGAGAGCATGGGCGAGAGCACTTAGATGACGCTGAGCCTCTATTTTGCGTTTTCTATGCCGTTCTCTCAGCTGCACATCATCCACACGTTCGCCACCAATTAATGCTTGCTTTATAAGATCGATTCGCTTTCGCGCTTGCAGTTGAAACTCTTCTTCCGAATTTGTTTCTGAATTTGTAGCTGCCGTAATTTCGTTGGTGGACACTGGCAGTACCTCAGCTATACTCTCGGGTTCTTGTTGCCGCTCAGTGTGCTGCTCTTGAGTGCTTCTCATTTTGGCCATCTCTTCTTCCATTTCCTGCCTTAACTTGGCCTTTTCCTCCTCCAACCATAAATGCCTGGCTTCGTTATTGTCCACATACATCGAATTCTCTAGCCGATGGCTTTCGTTGAGCAGTTGCTTCAGCTTCATTATTTCGTCTTGGTAAAGTCGCAGCTTGGCGTCTTTGGGATCCTCGTTTATTTTCGGCTTATTCGATATGTTCTTTGCTCGAGAGGCGTAACGCAATGTGGATAGGGTCTCATCGTAATTGGTATCTGCTGGCGAGATACACGATATCATAAGCGTTTTCGTGTTCCCGCCCAATGAATCCTGTGAAGATGATTAACGAGGACAATAGAGAAATAAATCAAAAGCCCCTATTATTGTTATTTTTTACCTGCAGCAGTCGGGTGAGTTTAGAGTCTCTATATGGTACATGCTTAGTTTTTCCATCTACCAGCGAAGATATAACATTTCCCAAGGCCGATAGTGATAAATTGATCTTTGTAGCTTCTTTCAGTCTGTCGCCGAACGCTCCAGTCTTTCGCTGTCTCTCCGAACCGGCCAAGTCAACTAAATTCAACTTGCCTCGACGTATGCCCCCAATGAGCACCTGCGTTCCATCGGGTGTTGAGGGCGTTGATCCTTGGATCTGTTCTAGACTTATGGTAAAGATCGTGTGTGATCGCGAACTCTTCTCGTTCATCAACGTGGCGGCTGTTATACGGGTTTTGTTGCCAATATTCAATAAATCATGACACTCCTTTGCGTTTACAACCGTGTGCGTGGTTAGGGTGGGAACGGTTATCCCCACCCCTGGCACATCTTTAAGCGGATGATTCGTAATGCCCGAGTCGTTCGCACATAACAGATCTCTAATATTCTCATTGTATATTTCCAAATAGCTTACCAATGCCAAGTACCTAACGCTCTTGGCAATAGAGATAGTTTCGAAAATATGATCAAAACATCTTGGTATTATGCCATTGTTAGGCCCATGCCCAAAGTTGCCTTCGCCCTTAAAGAAGTGTAAATAGAGTGTTTAAGCTTATGAATAATTGGAAACTTTATCCAATACTACCTGCATTGTGTGGGTTTTCCCACATCCAGTTTGTCCGTAAGCAAATATTGTTCCATTATAGCCTTCGAGAGTGCTTTCAACCAACGGATAACAGAGCTCATTGTATATAACCTCGGTAGTCGATAAGGAATCGTACACACTGTCGAAGGTGAAGGTCTTTCTGGGCGCGTTACGGTCCGATGGATTAAGCACTGATACGACATAGTCTCCGATTTCGACGATTTTCTACATGTGAGCCAATATAAAAATATAAAGGATTACAAAATCTGCAAAATTGTTCGATAATTCTTAATTCGTAATACTAAGTACATATATAAAAGTATATAGGTAGAACTTGCCTTTTAAGCAATTAAAGCTAATTGGCGCACTGCAATCATCATAATCTTGGGCCCTGCAAGTTTCATGTCATTTCGCATTGACATGCAAATCATTCAAATAATACTGGACACATGAAAGCTATTTGCATGTGCCAGATACAATAATTATCTCTACTGACTGTACGTTTAATGTATAAATCGATATGCATATACACTAGACAGGATGAATTTAATTTATGGCCGAAGTGCATGGGTCAAAATATGAACATATTAACATACAATTGATTCAGACTTACTTCGCATTTGCTTTCGGTCTCCTTTTGATTCATCGGCCGACATCGCACCACGACTTTCACATTTTCCCCCATTTTGATTCGTCTTGTTTTCGTCTATTGTAGGTCCGCGGCAACCGCTGCACCACCGTTCGCCTGTAAAGGCGCTTCGAGACTGACTCTGCATAATCATTATTTTGAACTTGAACCAAATACCGAACCCCAACCAATACCAATCTCACACTCCTTGCTACCCGTCCGACACAGGCCCAATATCTTTTATACATTCATATATACTACATACATACAATGTATGTACAAATATTAAATGTGGGTGTTTGTCATTAGCCTACACACGTGAGTACAAAAGGACACTTGTACCTTGTCATGGGCTCCAGCAAGTTCATGACCAATAATTTAGTCATGATGTGTCCCAACTTACACTCTCATACACATACATATGTATGTATGTACATACATATGTAACTATATAGATGGGAATACGAATACTGGGCGTCCCATTGCAGGCACTTGACTGTATCTTTAGGCATTCGATTTGTCTGTATTATGTATGTAGATCTGTACTCGTTTGAAGAAGGGTTAACTACAGCTCACTTGCCGTATCTGCCAGTATGTACATATCTACATACATATGTATGTATGTATGTATGTTTGTATTTAGGCCAGTGGCCGTTAGGCTGCTGCGAACGATGGCAGAAGAAGCAGAGATTGTTGTTGGCTTCCTTGACTTACCCTCGCCACTACCAACCGGTTGCAGTTTTGTGCGCGTGCCTTTTGAAAAACGTTTTGGGTGAAAGCTTTTACCGGGCTTTGGAGAAAAGCTTCTGGCGACTCACATTGAAAGCATAAATACGATAAAAAAGTTAATGGTGGCCCAAATTACAAATTGACTTTGTTGCTGAACAATAAACGTCGGTTTTGTTTTTTTTGCAAAAACATTTCCCACCACAAAATCGTAATAGAGATGTGTGTGTGCGTGTGCTCTATATGTGTGTGTTTGCGCCAATAAATATACTGCATTATATAGTGCAGTTACTTAATTTGCGTGCGCTGGTGTGTGTGCGTTTTGGAAAAGTCAGTTGTTTTTATACGCGAAATGATACTGTTTAATGTGCGAATGCTGTTATCATTCAAATCAATATCCATGCAGAATTATTGTGCAAAAAAATAATCGATACGCATGGCATATAGTACGGCTTTACCGTGGGAAACAATTAAAACGAGCAGAATTCAAATGCAGATTGCCTTTAAGAACCACAACCACAACCAGAACCAGCACCAGTACCAGCACCAGAGTTTGAAATCGTTTGTGTTCCAAAGCTGGCCAAAGTACGACAGGGCTTCCTATTTGACCACGACAACGACCAAAAAATATGCCATCCACATTATTGGAATGTCCAATCGATGCTAACGTTTTCTGCGTTCGCAAAACCCATCAGCAATACAAGAGGTCAATGGGCAGAGGTGCACCATACCTGTGCCACTTAGATAGGTCTTACAGGATATTCGTTATCCAGTTGTTGTTATTATCTATGATATTAATCGCTAACGCGCTCCCACCAGTTATACGAGTAGGTAAGTACACCCATACATACATACTATATGTATGTAAATATGTACATATACACAAATTTAGCCGGGAAATATGCGTACATTCTTGCGTTTGCAATTTAATTTCTGCAATAGGTGCCATATTTACTGAAGACGAACGCGAAAGTAGCATCGAATCAGCCTTCAAGTATGCTATTTACCGCATCAATAAGGAAAAACACCTCCTGCCCAATACACAACTTGTCTATGACATCGAATATGTTCCTCGGGACGATTCATTTCGTGCAACGAAGAAGGTGTGTCGACAGTTGGAGTCCGGTGTTCAGGCAATCTTTGGACCAACCGATCCACTACTCGCCGGACACGTCCAGTCCATTTGCGAGGCCTTTGATATACCGCACATTGAAGTGCGCATCGACTTAGAAACGAATGTTAAGGAGTTCTCAATAAATTTGTATCCGTCACACCATCTGATGAACTTGGCTTATCGGGACCTAATGGTGTATTTGAACTGGACGAAAGTCGCCATTATTTATGAAGAAGATTACGGTATAAATGAATTATTCCACATCCCATACACAGTCATAGTTTAATTTGGCTATGTTTTTATAGGTCTTTTCAAGCAACAGGACCTGATGCACTCATCGACGGAGATGCGAACCGAAATGTATATAAGGCAAGCAAATCCGGACACATATCGCCAAGTTTTACGGGCAATTCGCCAAAAGGAAATTTACAAAATCATAGTTGACACAAATCCAACAAACATAAAAGCATTTTTTCGATCAGTACGAAAAATCTTTTTATTGACTTTTGATATAAATATACATCTGTATGCATTCAGAACATCGATTCTGCCTCTCCTTAATCCATTTACAATATTGTTTATACGATCACACAGTGAAGTCAAGCTCAAATTTTGAATATCGGCAACATTTTAATGCTTTCATACATATGTATATTTAATACGCATTCATCAGGAACAGGATTTCCTTTACTAACTATCTATCATTACAGATATTACAATTGCAAATGAACGATCATCGATATCATTATATGTTTACAACCTTTGTAAGTATTAGACCAATTCTGAAATGCCTCTTAAATATTCATTTTAAAATTAAACTCAACATATGATTTCAATGGTATTTAAACGATAAATTGTATATTTGATCTTTATGGCAGGATCTGGAAACATATGATCTGGAAGATTTTAGATACAACAGTGTTAATATAACCGCATTCCGTTTGGTTGACGTTGAGAGTAAACGATATCAGGAGGTCATAGATCAGATGCAAAAGTTGCAGCACAGCGGCCTGGATATGATAAATGGTGCCCCATATATTCAGGTGCATTATTGTGACTATTTAAAATGTCTGCATTTTATTTTTAAACCTTCGTCTATGTGTATCCATTTCAGACACAATCTGCTCTCATGTTTGATTCGGTTTATGCTTTAGCATCTGGCCTTATGCAATTAGATAGTAGCCACACACTTACGTTCAGAAACATATCCTGTAACTCTGACAAAACGTGGAGCGATGGATTATCTCTATACAATTATATTAATTCGGTAATTAAATGCAATCCGACTAAGGCTATGGTCAGACAGGCAAATAATTCTTTTAAAATTAACTGTCGGCCTTATTGTAAAATAACACCAATTTGTGGGCAAATTATTTGCATGTCTGACCGCTGCTTAATGCTTATAGGTTGCTTATGTATATTTTTGAATATTTGAATATTTTTGCTACGCCTATGAAATATTTGTGATGGTTTACAGGCGTCAATCGACGGCTTAACTGGAAAGGTCAACTTTATTGAGGGCCGCCGTAATAAGTTTAAAATTGATGTCCTGAAACTAAAACAAGAACGAATTCAAAAAGTTGGATACTGGCAGCCAGATATTGGAGTGAACATATCCGATCCCACAGCATTTTATGACTCAAATATTGCGAATATTACACTTGTGGTCATGACAAGAGAGGTGGGTCTCGAAATACTCTATAATACGAGTATAAGCTATATACATACATATATTCGATATTTGCGAATTTATTGTTTTAGGAGCGGCCCTATGTTATGGTTAAGGAAGACGCAAATCTCACTGGCAATGCGAGATTCGAGGGATTCTGCATTGATTTATTAAAAGCCATAGCTGTACAGGTTGGCTTTCAATACAAAATCGAGTTGGTTCCGGATAATATGTACGGAGTGTACATACCAGAGACAAACTCATGGAATGGCATCGTCCAGGAGCTAATGGAAAGGGCAAGTATATCCAGGAGAGCAGCCAATATTTATAACGACGTAACTAATAAAAATATCCTGCAGCGAGCTGATCTAGCTGTCGCTTCCATGACCATAAACTATGCACGGGAAAGTGTAATTGATTTCACAAAACCCTTCATGAACTTGGGTATTGGTATTTTGTTCAAGGTATGTTCAGTAGTTTCGTTTTTATTTTTGTATGGTATTCGCGAATTGAAAGAAGCTTCCTTTACGAAAGTAGTTTAGCTTTTTTGGAAGGTATATGTACATAGAGTTAAGTGCTGATACTCGTATGTAGTATTAATAGTATTTACCAATGGCTAAATCCAATAGGTGCCGACAAGTCAGCCTACACGTCTGTTTTCCTTTATGAACCCATTGGCTATGGAAATTTGGTTGTATGTGCTAGCTGCTTATATCCTAGTCTCGTTTGCGCTGTTCGTGATGGCTCGTTTCTCACCCTACGAATGGAAGAATCCCCATCCGTGTTACAAGGAGACGAACATTGTGGAAAATCAATTTTCCATATCGAATAGTTTCTGGTTTATAACGGGAACATTTTTGCGACAGGGATCGGGACTGAACCCAAAGGTACAGTATTGATTACGGTAACTAAAATATTTAAATCACACTGATGTTTTCATGATGTCTTCTCTCTCACTCACTGTACATACGAACTTGAAATGTATATAAATTTGTGTATTGTGTGCTTAGTTTCCCCGTTGTATGTGTTTTTAAAATGCTGCACCCTCATTTAAACAAGTTGTTATTGTATTTCAGAAATCAGATCGCGCGCAAACAAAGTTTTTCTCGTTCATGAATCCGCTTGCTGTTGAAATCTGGTTCTATATAGCATTTGGATACGTACTTGTTTCATTAACAATATGGATAGTGGCACGATTTTCGCCCGTCGAATGGGTTCACTCGAAGCCGCCCTGCCCAATGGCATGTGATCATATCTTGCATAAAATTCGCAAAGCCCATCGCAATGAGGAGCAATTCGAGCTAGAGAAACTGACAGGCCTGCAGTCCTGTAAACACGACTACTATTCACATCCCGAAAATCAGGGCCCTGATGAACACAATGACTTTGATGCCAATGCCGATCCCGATGCTGTTGCTGATGCCAACGATGAGCCGAATGGGGGCCCCAATGCAGGACATTTGCACAACGAAAACATTTTACACCTTACAAATGATGTTGATGGAGATGATGAGTCAGATGACAACACTCTGGAATTAGTTAGCATACAGAATGATTTCACTTTGAAAAATAGTTTTTGGTTTGCAATTGGCGCTCTTATGCAACAAGGTTCCGATTTGTATCCTAGGGTATGGATATCAATACTTTCACACTCACTTCTATTGTGCCCTGTTACTCTTCTTTCATTATAATGTGTATTCATGATTGGCATAGAAAACTTATTGAAAAACCTTCACAATGTGGGAAATAGGAGAGCACAATAATATTGGTTCCAGTGGCCATAAACACATTCAAATATTCTTTGATGACACAATGAGTAAAACATATTTTAAAGAGCTCCTATTTCTTACAGGCAACATCAACGCGAATCGTTGGCGGTATCTGGTGGTTCTTCACCCTCATTATTATATCATCCTACACGGCTAATTTGGCTGCGTTTTTAACTGTTGAGAGAATGATAACACCCATTGAAAGTGCTTCGGATTTGGCTGAACAAACTGAGATATCTTATGGCACTTTGGAGGGCGGTTCAACAATGACATTTTTTAGGGTGAGAATACCTTTAATAAACTATCATTATAATCATTGAATGGGGTCTTTTGTGATATTTCTCATTTCAGGACTCTAAAATTGGAATATATCAGAAAATGTGGAGGTACATGGAAAATCGAAAAGCCTCCGTCTTTGTTAAGACCTATGAAGATGGAATTAAGCGTGTGATGGAAGGCAATTATGCCTTCCTAATGGAATCGACAATGCTGGACTATGCTGTCCAGCGCGACTGCAATTTGACGCAGATAGGAGGCTTGCTAGATTCCAAAGGTTATGGCATAGCAACTCCCAAAGGTTCGCCATGGAGGGATAAAATTTCATTGGCCATTCTGGAGCTGCAAGAGAAGGGCATTATACAAATACTTTATGACAAATGGTGGAAGAACACTGGAGATGTTTGCAATAGAGACGATAAGAGCAAAGAGTCAAAAGCCAATGCCTTAGGTGTTGAAAATATTGGTAAGCTTTCTCATAACATATAATGATTGATGATCAGCTTGTGCTAACATCGTTTATTTTCTTAAGGTGGGGTTTTCGTTGTGCTCCTCTGTGGACTTGCATTGGCAGTGGTAGTAGCCATACTTGAGTTTTGCTGGAATTCAAAAAAGAACTTGCATACCGATAATCAGTCTCTGTGTTCTGAAATGGCGGAGGAGCTTCGCTTCGCCATGCACTGCCATGGATCAAAGCAAAGGCCAGCTCTGAAACGTAATTGTTTGAAATGCTCGCCCGGAACCACATATGTGCCTACAAATGTGGCAATGCCAAATGTGGGCGTCCATTATAACTATTTTAATTAAGGACGAAATTTGGCGTAATTGAGCCCACACATATGCAAGTGTATGAAGCTGTATGCTCATTAAAGAATCCTTATTTTTTATATCACTATTTTCCAAAATAAAAAATGTGTGCCAACTAGATAACACCTTGTTGTTGTTTTATTTAGCAATAGCAGAAAAATTAATTACAGTCCATTAATTATTGGCAGGACTTTGTATCAGTTTAAAAGCTCAAGAAACTATTTCATAAAGCATATGCGAATCATTATAAAAAATTTAAATTTAAAATAAAAATCTTGATTTCCCCAACGACTTCAAAAATCTAAAGAAATGCAAAGAACAATTGTACGTATGTACTTGTATATAAGTACATATGTAGATACATTCATATGTATTTCTAAATACGACTAGATACATTGCATGTGTGTGTATATCTAGAGCATCTTCGATAACGCTCGATATATACATACAAAATATTTATTTTATTCATCACATAAAATTATTGAAACCATAAGCTCTTAAAGTTTCGAAAAAAATTATATAAATATAGTAAATTAACATAAATATGCCAAAATAGTTTTTCGTGCATATAACGGTTTCAACCCCTGTTCACATACATACATTCACAAGCGACACTCAACGATATGAAAATGGTTGGTCTATCGATATTTAGTCGCATACCATCGCTGAAATTTATCGTGTGGACAACTAAAAGCCAAAAAAAGAAGAGGAGGTCATAATGTAAAGTAATAAAAAACATAAACCTATACCAATAAACACCAATTCAAATACATAAATATGGGGGCAACAATGGTGAAAAATGGAAACTTGCTGGATGCATTACCATCACAGGTAATTCAAAGCACACAGACAACGTTTTAAATTGTTAGATTGATCAGCAACACTGATTACATACACATTACAGGGAACGCTTCATATTGTCATGCTTGGATTAGACTCAGCTGGTAAGACAACAGCACTCTATAGACTAAAGTTCGACCAGTATTTGAACACAGTGCCCACCATAGGATTCAATTGCGAAAAGGTAAAATTTGTGTTGATGCTGTAGTTGAGGCTGGAAGAATTTATTGACCCATGGTAACGCTTTCGTTTATAGGTTCAAGGCACCTCGGGCAAGGCGAAGGGTGTACACTTTCTCGTTTGGGACGTGGGTGGACAGGAAAAGTTACGGCCGTTATGGCGAAGTTATACACGGTGAGTTAAACAGCTGTTTTATAATGAACTGGTAACATAAATATGAATTGTATATTATTACAGATGTACAGATGGTATTTTATTTGTTGTTGATTCTGTTGACACTGAACGAATGGAAGAAGCCAAAATGGAGTTAATGCGCACTGCAAAATGCCCTGACAATCAGGTAAATGGTTCAGACAAGTGCAATATATTAAACCTGGCAGGAAATATTCTACGCTTTCATAATATCAGGCGAAGTCATTTTTTTTTACTGCGACTAGTCGAAGTTGTGTTACAAGAATGAATCTAAAACATTTGTCGTTTTTTATAGGGTGTGCCTGTGCTGATTTTAGCCAACAAACAAGATCTTCCCAACGCTTGCGGTCCAAAGGAACTAGAAAAACTTTTAGGACTTCACGAGCTGCATCATCCCGCACAGAATCTTTCCATGCTAAGTTCAAGTTCATCTTCGACAGGTAATATTGTTGGATATAGTACTCCAAACCAAAGTTATGCTGGACGTTGTTTAACTCCAACGGCTCAAATGCAATCTCCGCTGGGCTATGCCGGACCCACGAGTGAAAAAAGCTCCGAAAGGAGCCTATCGTCAAGTAGGGGCACCCTGTCATCGCATCTACGCGAGGACTCCGACACCAAGGAACAGAATATTGGACACGATGCCAAAAGTTGTGTTTCACTCACAACATCTCCCACATCAAACAGCATACATTTAACAAAGAAAGGCAATAATGCTAAAGCACCCACATCGTTGCAATTGAAAGGCTGGTACATACAGCCAGCGTGCGCAATAACTGGCGAGGGTCTACAGGAAGGCTTGGACGCCCTATACGATATGATTTTAAAAAGGCGAAAATTAAATAAGTCGCATAAAAAGAAACGGTAATAGTGCCTCTGCGCAATGGTTTAGAAATTAAAGTCTGTTTAGCACAATTAACTTCAATGCACATGCACAAAAATAAATACATGTATGTATCTACATTCTGGTTAGACAATTTTACTTCTCGATTTGCATTAACGCAGAGAATTGGGATCGGGAGAATGCTGCCGAAATAAGGAAGAGCTAATGCTAGTCTTTTTGTTTTTAAATATTGATGGATGTAGTTCTGCGTTACAGCACTTAAATCAACATATGGAAAGTAAATTTGTTTTGAGTTTACAGAAGAATTTCCGTGTGTTTAATCAAACTATTTTCAAATATACGTATCAAGCAAGCTATAAAGCCAAATCCGTGACCTGCACTTGCTGTGCGTTCTATCAATATTGATCTTATTTAAAAGAAAACACATCTCTCCTCCATATCTATGCACATACATACATAAGTGTGTATGTTTGTATGTTAATATATGTATGAATGTTGTACATATATACTCGCGGCATTTAGCCGCTGTGAGTGAGTTTGCGTTCTCTTCGGACAAACCACTCATACATAAATGCGAACGTGCATATACATATAGTGAGAATGTGTTTTAAATAAAACTGTATTGAAATGTGTATATATAAAATACAAATTTTGAATGTGAGTGGACGTAGGCATTGTAGTAAAAAGATAGAATGTGGACAGTGTGGAAGCTATCTTTGATGTGCACTCATATTCTTTGAATTGAACGGCATACGTATATTCTTGTTCGCTCGAGGTCATTATTTTAGTCCGGACGGCATTTTTTTTAATGTTATTATTATCTTTCAAAAATTCAGAGCGCTAATTTCTGTTCGATTGTACGGCTTTATTGTACACAAATTAAATTATTTGCAATAATAATTCAAACCTTGGTAAGTAAAATTCTAGTTCAAGTGTATTCCAGAGATGCGTATTCGTGTATTATTATTTTTTTTTATAGTTTTTTTCAATAAAGTGGTACAAAGAAAATTTGAAAATATATTCAAAATGCAACCGGGAATTATAAATATAAATATGTAGTATGTATCAAAATATATCCCGTACTTTACGTATACATACATACATACCTATATAATAACTACTATGCGGCGTGATAAAGCAGCAATAACGGTATTGCTATGTGCAGTGATCGAAGAAAAATTGAAAAGGAATACCCCATCATTGTGTAAAATAGCGAATATTTATAAAAAGCGATGCTAAAAGTTATGTAATGTACAAATTTGAGTGCCAGCGTGGTTTATATATACATATATATTTATATACATGTATGTTTATATGTACACACAGCCATTTGTAAGTAAAACGTGTATGTGTCGGTCTTTTATTCAGCCTGACGATCGCAAAATATCGGTATCATAACTCCTTGTAATTGAGAATAAGCCTCATACGTATGAGGCGGTGTTTTTATATACATATGTACATACATACATACATACATATGGATTCGTAGAAGACTCTTTTTCGAGTTGGCGCTAACAGAAAGGTTCTGAGGCAACGATCGCCGAAAGATATATAACACTTATAGTAAATGGGGACCAGAAGTAACAATTTTATTCACAAAAATTAAGCTTTTGGTGCTCAAAATTGGTAAAGTGATATGAAAAGAATGAAAACAGAAGAGAGCAATATAAAATCTATATTTAATTCTGAACAAGATTTTGAACACCTGTTATGTCTTTTTTTCGGCGTCTGGCAACATCGAAAGTTCATGCACATATATGCTTTCACTTTTTCCCGTATCCCCGCGATCAATTAATTGATACAATTTTATGAATATTTAATATTTTAAATACCCAGCTCTTTTGCGCAGTATATTTTACTTGGCTTTCGCCCCATTTGATGATCAGTTTTATAACCAAAAGATGTTGCTACAATTTCCAATCAAATTGTGTACACACCACCACGTACATATATACATATGTACATACATATGTACAAGTATGTATGTACAAGAACATATCAAATATTCTGAAAAAGAAAAGAAAATGTGAATAGCTACAAAAATATAATGTACACAATTCTTGCCTAGTCAATTTCTTAATATTCTATAACTCGGACAAAACAAGTTTGTTTTCAACATTGTTTTGTTTACACTATTGCCCGAGATTTGTGTTACGTTTAAGAAATACATATATAATATTTTCCGAAATGAATTCAACCTTTAAAGGGTTTTCGCGTTTAATATTTGTGTGTAAGTGCTGGGCTTCGTACAATAAATTTCTCTATATAAACGCACTATACAATCAGAACCAATCAAGAATTTTATTTCTATACCAAATAGTGACAAGGTACGATTAGCTCGAAAATTCTTATACAAATTAATTCTAATTAGAAACGTTTACTTCAATTTCTTGCTTCTTATTTATGATTACATAGTTTTTATTCGTCCGTTGGGCTAAATTTAAGTACAATTTCTACTTGACATTTGGTTTAATTTTAACACAGTTTGGGTGCGACTCGAAGCAAAATTAAACTTTTTTCTTTTTCTAGTAGCGCGCAGATATAAATTCGTATATTTTTTTTTATTTATTTGCAATAATTAGTTGGGGCGGGAAGCATCAACCATAAAATAAACATAAAATCTCTTCTACAACTTTTGTTAAATTGTATTATATTATACTTTATTTATTGTTATTTTGAAAATAGATTTTGTATCAACAACGAAGCTATAAGGCATAAAAATGGAGTCTAACGCTGAAGTCGTGGTAAGAAAACATTGTTAATATTCCTTTATTTTACTTTCATAGATCAGAAAATAAATAATTCATCTATATACCGTGTATATAATGTTTGCTCAGAGTCATTCATTTGTGCCCATTCCTACTGTTTATGCATGTTTTAATTGCTATGCCACATCCACATTCAGAACACATAAACACTCTCATAAAATAATGTTGCACAAATATTTTTAATGGTTTTCGCATTGCCTGGTAATATATACATATATGTATATATGCGGTTGAATAATAAAATCAACTAGAAACCTGAAATAAACATTGCTAAATAATATTGTGATAATGGTTAGACAAGAAGGGCTTTAAGAGGATTCAATTCGAAGCAAAGTCGCTGTTGCTGACCGGCTCCATTAACCAGTTTTGGATCAAAATCTTTCGCCTGCTACTGAAAAATAAAAAGCAAAACTTATGGATTGTCAGTCGCTTCCCAAAATCTGATTTATTGCCTGCTCGTGCTGCTGCTGCAAAAGTTGATCGATAAATTGCTTCTCACCATCAGAGCTGCCATAATCTTTTTACATATGTATATGAATATTGTTTTCTTTTTTTTTTAAATGTAAAGACAAAAGTAAATGAAGCAGAGAGTGAAAACAAACCCACGCAGGCGGAGGAAAATCAAAAGGCAGTGAATAGCTCTGCCGAAACGAACGAATCAGTCGGTGCAGCCGATGAAAACAAAAAAGAACAGGAATCCAAAGAGGAAGTAAAGGAGGAGCCTAAAGAGACCGTCAAAGAGGAAGTTAAGAAGGAAGTCAAAACGGAAGAAGACGAAAATGGCCAAACAGAAACGACTACTGTCACAATTGTCGCAAAGAAGAGCGATGGAGAGGGCAGCCAGTCCGAGACAACGACCACAACCACGACCACGGTCACTGTTGTAGCGAAGAAACCGGGAGACGATGCCGACGCTGATGTCACGGACTCTTCGGCCAACACCGTGGAAACAAAAACTGAAACAACTATCGTTACAAAGTCCGAGAAATCAGCAGAAGCGGGTGCTGCCACCGAACCCACGGTCCCAGACACTTCTGTCGAGGAGGTGGAAGAAACCGTTGTTGTAGAAGAAGAGGAAGAAGAGGCGGAAGCTGAAGCGGAAGAAGTGGAGAGCACAAGCAACCAAAAGGCTGTAGCTGAACCTGAGCAGGCTGAGACAGAGTCAGAGGCAGAATCGGAGTCAGAATCAGAAGAAGTATATATCTTGTTTTCCTATTGCTTTTTATCTGTATTAAAGAGCTGGGTTAATAGGTGCGGGGATCTAGGGATGCATAATATGTAGGTTCCAATGGTTTGATAAAGCTAGCAATTGATGTTGCCATTCAGATCACCTACAGACAAACATACATATGTAAATATGCATATTTTATTTTGTACATAAATTACAGAACCCACTAGCTATGACCTAAACGTACCTGCAACGTCCTTATGGGACAAGTATATGATTGTATTCCCTTTCACGTTTCTTCAGTTCTCTGTGTGTGCATGTGTCTTGTTTTTGTCCCTCTAGATTTCTTTTAGTTCTTGCTATCTGTGTTTTGTACATATACGTACGTATATATGTATGTATCGATTTGATTGTTAAATTGTATTATAAACAGACATGTCCTTGTGTCCTTTGATTAATAAGGCGATAGGGTAAGTTTATGAGCAAAGACAGGTGCACTTTTGGTGCCCTGTATCCGATATCTCATATGGTCCGTCTGTCAGTCCGTATGAGTCCTCAGATAATGTATTTGGAATAGACTCTGCAAATATGTTTTACTGCAATATTGTATTTTGCAGGAAGTTGAGGAGCAACCACCCCAAGCAGCTGAACAAAAAGAAGCAGAAGTGCCGGAGAAGGTTCAGGAGGAAGACACTGAAGAAAAACCGCAAACAAAGGTAATTAAGTAATTAGGTACAGAGCTGACACCTTTGATATTATTCGAAAGTTCTTAAATGTGATAAACTTTACATTTTTGATATTAAAAAAAAAGTGTAATTAATTCTTATTGTCTAAATTTCTTTATCTGTTATTTATTATGCACTATTCTTAATGTTTACGTTGCAGAAAGACTTCAATGATCAGATCCAGGATATTATTTCGGATATCGATAGCAATATAAAAGCTCAGGAGAAAATAACGCAACTGAAGGAACAAGAATTACAGCTAATTCAAAAGCAACAAGAGCTGGCCAACCAGATACAGCAGCAACAGATTTTGGCGCAAAAACTGATCGCTCAGAACCAATTGAAGGAACAAGAGCTGCAGGCGCAGCAGAGAGTCCAACAACAATTGCAGAATCAGCAATATCAGCAGCATCAACAGGTGTACCAGAAACCCGCACAGCCGTACGCAAATGTCATTAACCAGCAAGAGGACTACAACAATGTCAAGGTAAGTTGTTTGTTGTTCTATGTGTCGTTTGCCTAAATCGGTTCCGACTCCGACTTGTATATATTTGTAATGGTTGGCAACAAACACATTGACACATTTAAGTATATTACTCATAAAGCTGACATATGTACATACACCAACATACATATATACATACAGATATATATCGAATATATATAAATATTTATATACACATATATAAAATATCTGGGCTACCACCCCACCATTATGATGCTCAAAGATAAAAAGTGAAGGTCGCTCTCAAATATTTTTTGATATTTATTTATAATGCTACCTACGTTGAGAAGAGCAAAAGGAAAAGCAAAAAAAAAAAAAAAAACACGCAGAAGCAAAAGCAAATGCTTGCATATAGTACTTCCATTTTCAGCAGCGATATCACTCAAAAGATCTGGGCAGGACTTGGTACTCATTAAAGGATCAGAGCTGCCGAGCCTTGCCAAGTAATTCAAGAAGCGGGCTCGATCGAAGAAAGGCAGGGATTGTACATATACATATATATACATATATACCAGAAACGTACAAAATGGAACGCGCGCTTTTATTGTTGTGTTCTTGATGTTCTCGATTCTTCAGTTGATTCAGATTGAGTCAGTCAGAGAATCTCTTTAAACGTTGTCCTGTTTAGCTAATCTACGCTAATCTACTGTTTTAACGCAAGCCGCAAAGCAAACCAACCATCTAGCATTTGCTTATGTTTAGACAGTTTTCTCAATTCCTGACAACTGCCCCCCCATACGAAAAAAAAGTAGCACATATTTTATTTATAAAAATTTCATGATTTTTGGGCATGCCATTCCGCACACACAAACGCGCTCGCAAGCATTTGATATACAAGTATACCTATACATATGCAATATATAAAGGCGATCTGAGCAGACAATATACATGCATACATACATCTATGTGTGTATGTGTGTGTGTGTGTGTCTGTGTGTATTATTGTTATTGTATTAATAAATGAATGTGTTCATTTCTCGTGTACATACATACATATAAAACACACTCATTTGAAAATCAGAAAAACCTCCGACACATACATACATACGTACATACATATGTATGTATGTATGTATGTATGTAAATACAAATACCCTCCTTTGAAACTGAGCTACTCGTCGTTTTACAATAGTATATTTTGCGAGAGACAATCGGACTCTCTAGAAGTCTCCGTCTCTATAATTAGCAATTGAAGAGAATTTTGGCTATTTGTGCATACATACATACATACATACATACACACACACACACACACACACACACACACACACACACACACACACACTCACATACACAATATGTATGTATGTACATAGGTGTTATACTCTTGCAAAGAAATTTTTTATTTATTCCAATGTTTAGTGTAGAAAACAAAGCGGGTTTTATGCATTACGGTCAAGAAGCATTTTCAAATGCCGAAAATGCTGAAAAGTGCGAGTTCGTACAATTTTAAAACTCTGCCCGAAAATTTCATGAGTTCGTATGGCTTGCCAAGGTCGCAATCCCAATTAAATAACTGTACGATAGAAAGGAAACGCGGTTTCAGGCCCAGTGATCGCCACGATCCGACCAAACGAAAGATCTTATTAGAGCTGAGCACAAAGCTGTGGCAAAGAAAAAATGTACGTAATTCGACTAGTGTGGTGTGAGCGGGGGGTTGGGGACATATGCATATAGTACTATATATTCTTTGCATTCTAAAGAATTGTGAATCATTGTCGAGACACACACCGTAAAACACACACAAACACACACACAACACATATGTATGTATGTACATATCTAAGTATCTTCTATCGATTCGATCTTCTGCCTTCGTGTGACAAACACACAAATCGGTAATCACCTTCAATTGAAAATGAACAAATGGACAAGGACATACGGACCAAAGGACCAACGGACCAACGAGAACGAATTTCAATATGAATTTTACATAAAATATCCGTTGGGCGTGCTGCCCTTACAGAGTATACAAGTTTTGTTAGAACATTTGCCTATGTTATTAAAATAGGAATCCACAAATGTATCGAGGACAGTTGATTTGCGCAAGATATTTACACCAGCTACCGATGCGCCCGAAATCTTACCCAAAAACCGTAAGTAATGCCCACAATATATAGAAACAACAACAACACAAAAAGGTGATACGTAAAATTGAGAACGCTTTGAAAACAAAATTCAAATATCCGTTGAATTTGCCACAAGTTTACCCAATATATCAGTGGTTCGAAACATGCTCCTTTCATGCTCCATGCATTCCACAACCATCCACCATCCTTCACTTCAATCTCATGCATTCAGTGCATTCAACTAACTAGCTGATGGCTTGGCCTAATCCACAAGCTAATTGCAACTAATTGCCCTCCGATTAGTAGTCTGGTATTTGAAAAAGTCGCACTCGTACTCGTACTCGTAGTTGACAGCATCGATGGGTCACAGTGGGCGTTATATTCCACACCCTACACCGATCTCGAGATCGATGATAGTATCTCAGCCAACATACTCGTACACACACACACACACATTGATTACGTATCGCCTTTTGTATGGAATTCTTTGAATTGTAACTTTGAATGCAAAATGAACTGACTTTAAATTTGTTTAAAATAGGAAAGCTATATGCCTCATCAGCATTTTATTCTCCGACACTACACCCAACTGTGGAGGACCAGGTTGAGCTTGCCCGCCGAATATCGCATTCTTTGAGCGATATAAGTAACCAAAAGTCTAAGGGCCAATCAATGTATGTCAATCGAAAAAAACGCTCTGTAAAATGGGTTCATGAAGGTTGCGCTCAAGGTAATGGATTTCTAGGTGCATGTTAAGTGTCATCTTATCTGAATCTTTTTCAAAAAGGATTTATACACATACACAAACATTTAAACACATCTAGGACTCTCGGAAGAGTCAAAATCAAATTTGGTTTTCTAAATCACGTATTGCAACCATCGTTATGGCAACGATATCAGATACTCTGGACCTACAGAGAGAGAAGATGTCCATTTAGCATTTAATGGGGCTATTTACAAATGTGGTGGATGCCGCTAAATCCCTCCTAAAATAATTGTGATTAAATAAATAACAATAATAATACCGTTGCTGGTCCAACATGGGAATCAGATGCTGGATAGGAATTAAATAATTTCTTTGTGATTTTTATATGATCTGGTTAAAGAAACAATTGAGCGACATTTCAAAATACTTGAACCTGCATAAGCAATTCTCCGAGTCAACTGACGTTCTGGAGAATAAGAGGATAGTTTTCAAATTTTATGAAATGAGGACTCTTAGTATTGGAGACAGATTTGGACTTATAGATCAAAATAAGTGATTAAGATTACGAGTAGATTAGCAGCTGAAAATTAAATACGCGGAAATTGTTTAATATTTAAAAGTCTACAAGTATTACAAATTTAGTTTTTGAGATCGCAATTTCAATTTCAATTTGAGTTGAAATTTAAAGGCGGAAAAGCAAAATGATTTATTTCGTCAATCTATAGTTGTTTTCCGGATTCAATGTTAAGTTAGTAGCTCTAGAGAAAATTTTAATTACAATAATAAAATCAAGGTTAATTCTTAGTTCTTTAAGTCGTGTAGTCAGTTTCTTCTGAATGTTTCAAGAATTTTTGGCAAATATTATAACCCTTTGCGCTCATCATTCACATACAAATCCATACACACATACTGACACACATATCAACTACACTTACTTATAATTCCAACAAATGCATATTATTGAGACTAATTCGAATAATAAAGATTTCAATTAATTTACATAGCTCGGCGAGTAATAAATACAATTTTTTACTTTCCAATTTAGCCGCAGCAGCTTTTTGCAATAATAAATTACTAACTTTATCATCTTCCCCTACTTGTAACGCCCTCTAGTTATTATTTTTTTAAAACTCTATGACTTTTATGACTTAATTCTCACTTATTGACACCCAATTATATGAAATCGAAAACAGGGGAAGATGATATAATTGAGAATCATGCATTGTACAAAGAAAATTCGGAATCGAATTTGACGCCGGAACTAACCAAGTTGGACAAAATGCCCTTAAAGTTAATTATGAATCCACGAGGACAAATGCGCGACTATAACTCACTGAAAGAATCAATAAATGTCGAAACAGGTCTTTTATCACCTGATAATTGCGCTGAGCTAATAACTGCGCTGCAACTGCATAAGGGAAGAGGTAAAGCTTTAACCATATCTTAAGATTATACATTTTGCACAACAATAAGCAATACTCGAAAGTGCAGATCAGCTTCATTCTGTAGAATTGGCTGTAAAACCATATGCAGTCCCCCACAAAAGTGATTTTTGAAATTACCGAAAACAGAATTGAATAAATTGTTCTAATATGTAGTTTCCAACCAATCATAGTTTGAGATTTGGAAAATCTACCAATTTCTATTACGCATAAGAATATCGAATTTGAAAACGGGATTAGACCTCTCTTATCTCTAGCGTGGATTTACCTATGATAGGTTAGTAATTACGAGTAAGATGCTGTAAGCTTTTGGAAATACCTGTCACTTTTTATTAATGAGTTCTCAGATCATTATATTACACGTCCTACTGGGCTGGGCCTTTATCGATTCTGCAGAGTAGAAATTGGATAAGGAGAAATATTTCATCTACTGTACTTCTTTTTTGTGAAGGAATGTTTAATAGTGGGACCCCAATTTGCGATATTGCTGCTACTATTACAAAATGATATAGTATTAGCAAGGATATTAAGAGATGACGAAGGAAAGATGAGCATTTAATGCATCATGGATAATCTGTTGATATACCTAGGATACACGAGTATTTGTGATCCTTTCGGCTTAGCTTGTATTATCGATATGATTGCTTATGTTAACGTAAATGTTACTTGTTGTGCCCGTTGATTTGAAAAATAAAACCATATTTTGGAGAATATTTTAATTAACATTTTATTTTCATACATGTGTACTACAACGCGCTAAACTTTGCTTTGCCTGCCTTCACCCGCTTAACTGCGCCATGCGTGAACAACAACAACAAATGCCAACCGCCAAATGCCAACAACAATATCATCGCCAAATAGGAGCTGAGCTTTTCGCGAAGCGGCGCCGAAAAGCTGATAATTGGGTAGTCGATGAGACCAATGCTGGCACTCACAGTCCATCTGGTATTCCAGATTACCAGCAGTATCAGCCAAAGCCACCCACCTCGCCCAGTATTGTGCCTGCATATTCAGATGCTGGCAAGCATCGGGTGCAGTTGAATATCCATCAGGATCAATTAATTGAGAAATACTCGAAGCCAGGCGTACAGGTTGTCAAATCACCATGGGAGGCGGCCCTCCAAACTGGTTCGGCCAGTTCGGCATTTGTCGAGGAATCGAAATTTCCCAGCCAGACACCGCCAGCTGCATCGCCATCGTACTTCAATCGCGATTATGTCGATTTGCCTGTAGCACCAGCACCAGCACCAGCTCCCACCACCTATGGAAGCCAGCAGGATTCATACAAAAATGTTTGTATTCACACTTTTCACAAAAAAAAAAAAACCAATACTTTCCAAACTTAAGTTTCTATGAGATTAGATGCTTATACATAACTTTATTGAAATGTGGAACTCCTTTTAGACTTACGATACAAGCGCTGTCACTCAACGATCCCAGCCGCTGCAGCCCGTCAACCCCCAGAGGGAGTTGGCTTACAAGCCAAGTGTGGCCCAGGGCTGGAGAGGTCCCCAAGTGGAATTGCCAAGAGGTAACTTTAAACTTTAGCAAACTCTCCATCTATACGTATGACTAGATGTATGGATTTAATGCTACCGCTATTCATATACATATATGCCTCAATCATTCTCTACTGAGATTCATTTCAAACAACAATTTAGCTCGAATCACTAGTTTCTGCACAATTGTTCCAGAATATCGCGAATACTATGAGACATTAGCTCTTCAGCAGGCGAACAAATACAACAACTTCGGCAGCATTGATTACGATAGAGATAGAGATATATATTATTCGCAAAACTCTGACATTGACTATGAATTGTATAAAGAAAGTCCTGACATCAGTTTCACGGTCGATGTCCGGAACAGATTGGAACAGCTGGAAGAGTTTCAGCAGCACTTTTTGCAACAGCAGAGTCGCGAAAGAGAGCTCCAGAAGCAACGCGATCTGGCTCGTTACCTACGCTCCCAAAAGGAGGCGGAAGAGAAACTGAAACTGAACATTAAGAGATGCGAAATCGCACGTGAAAAGGCGCGTGAAATTGCTGCTGCCAGCAGTACAGAGCCCAAGGTCTCTGGGGATGGCAACGAAGAAACTAGCGAGCAAGTAAACGTTCGCGAATTGATATCGTCCTTTGAACAACAATCGTTAAAGCAATACGAAGAAGCTCTACAAACGGCCTCCAGATTGTCGATTCTCAAAGAACGATCGAAGAATGCTGAATTGAAGATGCAAGACGCATTCGCTTTGGAAAATATGTCGAATCGGTCAATCGATGTTCAAGGCAAGATCTGAACCTAAATAACGATCCTCTTGTTTCGTGTTTAAATGTTACCGTGTGTGTCACACCTAAAAGTGCAAACTCCAATCATTCCTTCAATCCCATCGACAGAACTCTCGCTCTCACTCATACGCTTAATCGGCTCAGCCCTCAGCAAATGTAAATGCTTGAAAAAGATTCGATCTGTGGAAAATAATGATTATGATACAATTGCTATATTATCTTTCAGGTCTTTATGTGCCTAAGGAGATCTCCCTAGCTAGCTATGCACCACCTCCGGTACAGTCTCCACCACAGGTGCAGTCCCCATATGCGCGGGCCCAGTCCCCATATGTGCCGCCATCGAATAATGTGGGCAATGGCTATGGACGTCCCTCGTCCTATGCACCATCTTCTTACGAGCCAGCTGGCCAGCCTTCTTATGAACCAGTCGGCCAATCACCGTACGGATCAGGTGGTCAGTCAGCTTATGGACCAGGTGGGCAGTCAGCTTATGGACCGGGTGGCCAGTCTAGTGGTTTCCCCTTGTCGAAGCCATCGACTGGCTTCTCTTCAGCGGTTCCGCCGAAACAACAGCTTTATGCTCCATCTAGCTACCAGAAAGTCCCACAAACCTCGTCACAAAATGCGCCCCCAGTCAACTTCAATCCCTCGCCCTTGTCCTTCGACAAACTATCGAAGTTCGAGCAGCCCGAGCAGAGGAACGTTGGCTATCAACCCCAACGCAATCTAAATGTGCGCGGCTACTCCAAAGTTCGCAATGTATCACCCGCTCCCTTCGGGGGAGCTCGCTCACCCATCGGACAGGGATCGCCCATTTCGGTGTCGCCGCAGCCTCATGCGCAGCAGTACGGTGGTGGCGGTTATGGAGGCTATGGACAGAGCGCTCGAACGGCCTCTCCTGGCCAGAGCTTCAACAACTGTGCTCGCGGATGGGGAGGTGGCTCCGGCAATGCTGGCCAACGGAGTTTTTTAAGTCAAAGACCCGCAGTTGCAGCAGACAGTTTGCCATACTCGGACTTTTAAAGCTGATAATAATAGCGATAATACGAGTATTGTGTGCTTTTCGATCGATCCTTGATTTACGACATATTATTTATATATACACGAATGATTGCCTTATATAAATATTTACTGCGTTTGTTCATTTGCGTCTCAACAATAATAATAATTATAAAAAATATATTTTATTTTTGATTTATGGTTTGCTTAAAGAACAAATTGTAAAGCTTCTAGCGCCATATACTATTACATATGTAATTCCAGCAAAATATAATTTCTTGCTTAAAACGATTACTCTCTGATGTATAGTATGATGTACCAACATACATTTATAGTATGTGTTGACAGTGTCTATAATTTCGTTATTTCAATGCCCGGATCCGGGTTGAATGCACAGGACTTTGAGGAGAATACTCGTAAGTATATTAGCTGGCATCGGTATTGAAATATCGTATCGGTTGCTGCGCAGGTTCTGTCGCAAAATGTTGTTGTATCGAAGCGAATTGCGTTGAGTTGGCCCTCTCGTCGTACAATTATTAGGGTTAGAAGTGCCTTCCATCTGCCACCTACATACATACTACACGTATGTATGTATGTATGTATGTATGTATGTATGTAGCGTGTATCTTGGCTCTCTTATACACATCCTGCAAAGAAATCAGCGCGCGTTTCAACCCCGCATGCATGAGCTTTTGCCAAACATTACATGAACAGCAAAAGCTCTCGTTCCTCCAAAAAAAGCTCCCCGTTTCGCAAATATGATGTAGAATGTACTCGGAATATTGGATGGTGGTGGATGAATAAAACTGAGTTGCGCATTAAAGTGCAAAAAGGCATTGTGGATTCAATTGGCAGCATAACCAGTTTTGACCAGAAATAAAACAATAATAATGCAAGAAATATAATAGAAAACCAATTCCAACTATCGCCAATACGATACTAAATACATACATCCTGTTTTCCTTCGTCGCGAATTAATATTTTAAGATGTCCGCACCGATTTTTTGAGCGTCGAAATATTGCAATCGTCGCGTTTGTTGCCCGTGCCCGGACGCAGCGACTTTTGTAGAAGATGTTTACAATCGTGTGTGGATAAGTACATATTTCATAAAAGTACGGGGGAAAAAGGTTTCAAGCATCAGCATCAGTATCAAAATCTGAAAAGTAAGTCGCGAGCAGAGCTCGAATCGGATATTAAACAAATAGGTGCCAGACAATTATTTATGTATTAGTCGAGCTTGTTTGTCTAAATCTGAACGGAATGGGGTTCCACAAAATTTCTACAACAAAACATCATTTTATGTACACCTTAATGCAATGCGCCAAAACAAAGTTGAACAACTAAAAAATTGTGACGCAAACGAAGCATATGTACACCCATGCGATTTTAGATCCTTATGCGACGATTAGTTCCCCAAATCGCCCTGTGCAGATAATGTATACACGCATACATACATACATATGTACATACATACGTACCCATATAGTATGCAGCGCCGTATAAATCCATCGGAATCAGTGTCCTTAAGGGTTCGTAAGTCTCATATTGATATTCTTTTGCTATTTTTAAGGTTTCCGGCAAACAAATTGTAGAAATTATTTCAATAAATGCTCTGAACGCGATCGGCTTGAACTTGAAGTTAATGCAGCGGTATAATGATAATGATAATGCTAATACTCACTAACCGGCCGGTGTTCACCAAATTTCAAGGTATGATACTCGTCTATAGCGCCAAACATTTGCATTAGGAACTACTATTTATCAATTGACTTGCTTGCTTAAATTCCAGGCACGTGCTATCGCATTTAAAGAGGTTTAGCAGTGAAACCAAAAGGAAACAATAAATAGAACTGGAGAAGAATGAGTGTACCGTTTGTGAGGTCCTCGAGTTCGGATAACTCTTCCAATAAAATCAAACCGATCATATATTTGATCTTGCATTTCAACATTTGCCTTCATCATATCAGCGCGTCTTCATTTTTGAATGTCAATGGTAGGCCCGAACATTTTACAATATATTCAATAGTTTTCCTTTTGCTTCCCGCATCTAATTTCATCTTTCATGAAAATTTAGACTTGACAACCATAGATCGGCCTTACTTTGACGACATAAGTCCAAGGAATGTGTCTGCCGTTGTCGATGAAGCTGCAATTCTAAGATGCCGTGTCAAAAATAAAGGCAATCGTACTGTAAGTTAAAAAATCAAGCTGGAAATTTCGGAATTCTAAATGCATCTTCGTCTTGCTTCGCACCTTCCATTGCTACGTGCAGGTCTCCTGGATGCGTAAGCGAGATCTCCACATTCTAACAACAAACATATACACCTATACCGGTGATCAACGCTTTTCGGTCATACACCCCCCCAGCAGCGATGATTGGGATCTAAAAATCGACTACGCACAACCAAGGGACAGCGGAATTTATGAGTGTCAAGTAAACACTGAACCCAAAATAAATTTGGCAGTTACACTGGAAATCACAGGTGAATGAGATAGATCTTGAATGGGCCCATTATTTATATTTTCCAGTGAATTGGCGAGAGACGGCGAGAACGATTACTCAATTTGCCCATTGGCTTATGACCTTTTCAAAAGAGTATTTGTTTTCAGTTTGGTTGTGATTAATAGACAAATCCGTGCGCCAGTCTGTACTAAACTTATTTACACTGGTCGGCACAATTATTTTGACGAACTGTACTCACGACTATCGGTGCTGGTTGCTTTTAGTTTCAAGGAATAACGGTACAATTTTCATACGGGATATAGAGTTCATAGCAACAACAATATGTAGGCAAAATATTTTGCCTATTACTCTTCACACCTTCTTTCTACAAATGACAATGTGAGTTGACTGCGGATTCAGGCACGGCATAAGTATTTTGACCAAATCTTTGTCGCCGTTTTCGCGTACGTTTTATCAAGTGATACTAAAATAACTTTGGTGTAACAATTTTTGTTGACCTTTTTACATTATTTTCATTAAAATTTGATTCAAAAGTAATCGATACAATGGTAAAAAAGACAGAATTAAGTTATGTTGTTAGAGCCTCAATAGTGGCGAAGTTTAATGCCGGCGTAGCACCAAAAGACATTGCAAATGAATATAATTTGTCGCGGCAAACAGTCCACTATCAAATTAACAAATATAAGACCCACAATCACGTCAAAAACTTGCCTAGATCAGGTGCTAACCGCAAAACAACACCCATTGAAGATCGAGTCCTATTGCGGGAATTTAAAAAAAATATTCATTTAAAGCCGCAAGCTGCTGCAGATCAATGGAATAAGTCGACCAAGACTCCAATCAGTGAGCGTACTGTTCGGCGACGCCTAAAAGAAGTAGATTTTAAGACATACAAAGCGAAGGACATACCTTACATATCAAAGGTGAACAAGCTCAAAAGATTGGCTTTTGCAAAGGAGCATCTGCATAAGCCAAAAGAGTTTTGGAGAAGCGTTCTATGGACAGATGAAAGCTCCTTTGAATACAATTCATCAAAAACAAAGATTTTTGTAAGGCTCCCACAGTTTCAAAGACAAAAAAATATCCCCGTATGTCAAAAAGTGAGCCATGGCGGAGGCTCAGTCATGTTCTGGGGATGCATTGCGTACAATGGGTTAGGTGATTTCGTTCCCATCACCGGCTCAATGAACCAGCAACAATATTTGAGTACCCTTAACGAAAACGCATTCCCTTCCGGTGACAGGCTGATTGGAGAATCATTTATCCTGCAACAGGATAACGCCCCATGCCACAAAAGCAAAATGATAAGAGCATTTTTAACCGATGTTGGTGTTACTACTCTGGATTGGCCACCACAAAGTCCGGACTTAAACGTTATTGAGAATGTGTGGTCTCTTGTAAAACGTAAAAGAAATGCGTCTTTGCATAAAACCGAAGAAGAAACTATTTCCGAGGTCACTTCTCTTTGGAAAGAGATACCATTAGAGGTCCTTCAAAATTTAGTGGACTCAGTTCCAAGACGTCTTCAAAAAGTTATCGAAGCCAAAGGCGGGTATACATTTTATTAATCTACCATCAATTTCTTATGTTTTGTTTAGTATTAAGCTTTGTTTTTTTTGTTAATATCCATTGTCAAAATACTTATGCCAACCCATGAAAATTACCTTGATTTATAATTTTAAAAGTCCTTATAAAAATATATCCTTTGAATTATTTTTAAGTTTGTAATACCAATATGGAATTGAGAAAAAAAATTTCCTTTGATATCTTAAACCAATAACCAGTTATTGACAAAAATGTATGATTTTCTTCTCGTCAAAATAATTGTGCCGACCAGTGTATATTTATCTGGCATTGAAAGTTTCGTTCAACCTTGGTCGGCCCAGTGCTGATTTGTTGGATACAATAACCAGTACTAAAAACTACCTAACTAGGCATAGCCTCACATAGCCCAGCAAAATCTAACGTGATGTAAAGCAAACCATTCCAATCTTATCGCATCTGACCTAAGATAATCCAACTTTATCTATCCTTATCTAATTTACATACCCTAACCTAACCTAACACCTTCTAAAATAACAACATATAATCCAATTAAACCAAATCTTTTCAAATCGAAATGAATCTAACCTTATCCTACATAATCTAACCCACATACTATCTGTAACATAACGCAGCCCACCCTAACCTAACCTAACATAGCTCCAAAGAATTCCACCTTGTAACGTAATCTAATATGGAAGCAATCTAATCTAATTGTATATATCCTAATCTAGCAAAAGCAAATACCCGTACTCATAAAACATAATAAATGACATTATCTTTACAGCTGAGAGCGATATCAGGGATAGAAATTCGGAGAGACTTTACTATGACTCTAAAGGTTAGAATTCATTTATGCATATGCACATACACTTATATGATAATCAAATATCAAACAATATACATATACACAGTGTAAATACAAGTTGGTTATCAGTAAAGCTAATAAGTTGTACAGATTTTAGGTTACCATATATTCATGGAAGATCCAGTATTTAAAAATAAGGATGATGGAGTAAGAATTCTTTTTCCAAATTTCATCTTTCATTATCAAAACGATAACGATCATCACAACGATACAAAATTGATCTTTTTGGGAATAAATATCGTGAACCATCGATGCCACCTTGTAACATGATAGTGTTTGTTATCAACCAACTTATTTAAATATATCCCAAAAAAGGGCTGTTAGTAGGAAAAGTTAGCGATTTAATATATAGTGCTCATAATTCAAAACAGATTTTGTAGTTCAATAGATAAAAAAAAAATGTATATGAAATAATTAGGATATGTGTGTTTGAAATACAGGGTAGTAATATTGATATGAAATATATTTAAAGTGAATCTTTTTTAATATTGATATCTGCAATGGGAATAAGCCAAGATTAGCAATAATTCAATATTAGTTAATACGGACATGCAATTGATAATTGTTTTTGAACTCGAAAAATACATTGGTTTTCAAAAGTTGCTTGGAAACTATAATTCCACACTATCCACTTTCGGAGCCTAATACTCGCAACTCAATCGTTTTTTGTATACAAGCACTAATTTTGATTCCGCAATACTTAGAAATCGGTGGAAGGCATTCATATATCAATGTCTTAAGTTTTTAAGTTAAAAACCAAAGTTACTGTAAAAGAACCACACCTTTCGCATTCTTCTCAGTTTGGGCTGCAGTCGATGTTTTAGATCATCTATTTTAATATTAAATGTATTGTTATTTGCACCGTTATGGCGGTCTTAGCACCATAGAAATTGTGTTCTGGACCAGACTGATCTTTTTAAGTACCTATGTACGAGTAGATTACGAGTAGATTGTAATGAAATATATAATTTATGATACAAGTAGTTTGGAACCGCTCGTGAAGAAGCCACTCCGTTTTGAAATTATTTGTGCTTATGTGATGCTTGTATTGTAATATTCCTATGCAGCTGCCCGGGCCAAAATATTGGGATCTACGGAAATACACGTTAAACGAGATAGCACCATCGCCCTGGCTTGTTCTGTAAACGTGCATGCGTCTTCTGTTTTATGGTAATATGTGTGGTGTTAGGAGCATTTCCGAAGGTTTCGATATGGTGCTGATTGGAATATTATATGTGCGTTATAGGTACCATGGCTCATCGATTGTTGACTTCGATTCCTTGCGTGGCGGCATCAGTTTGGAGACCGAGAAAACGGATGTAGGCACCACAAGTCGATTAATGCTTACTCGGGCATCGTTAAGGGACTCTGGTAACTACACTTGTGTGCCCAATGGGGCCATACCTGCCTCCGTACGGGTACACGTGCTAACAGGTACCCAATATTCTTTAGATTTTGGATTCATGTCATTGCTATAATAGATATTGTTTTTAAAACAATTTGCAGGCGAACAACCGGCAGCGATGCAGACGAGTGTTGCCAATGGGAATAGTGCTTGCTCCGCAATCATCTTTATGTGTTTGATCATATCAGAGGAAACGTTGTTAAGAATCTCAAATTTAGCCCAATATATACATCGAAGTCAGAGATGACTAACTTAGGAAACTTAGCCATAAACTGAAAACGTACTTTTAAGGTGCGTTTAGAACTAATTTTATAGTTGATATGTATAGGTACATATGTATGTATTAAAATGCATATACATATACATATATATATTATATATAATATATAATACATACATAAAAAAGAAATACAATAAGTGCATATCAGAGATGCACTGAGATAGCTAATAATGATAATGAGAAATGAAAGAATACAACCTAATACTACTACTAATCGTTATCGAGATATTTGAAAAATGCTAACTATACTTTATTTACTCTATTCTTTTACAGCTTAAAAACATATTTCAATGGAACGATTGTAAAAGAACGTGTTTACCAAAGTATTCAATATACAATATTAAGTGTAATTCCTATAGTCATATGCAATAAAAATTATAATATGTAATACATATATACGTATATAAAACAATTATAGTTGTACGCAATTGCTTTTATTATTTTCTTCGAGCCATGGCTATAAGGTGGACACAATATACAAGTACAAATCACAAAAATGTTCAAATCTCAAAAATACCTACATACATTTGCACACATGTGTGTATGTCTGTATGTATCTGTATATATGTGTGTATATTTCAAAGAGTACATATGTATGTATGTAGTATATGTATGTATGTGCTTAGATACCTGAAGAGCGTAATTTTGAAAAGGGCGTGATCGGAACAGTCAGTGTCATCAAAGAAAATACGAGTAGACAGACGAGTGCGACTACTCGGGTACTACCTACGGGTATGCTAAACAGACGGAGTTGCCGACCACCCCATCCCATCCCATCCCATCCCATCCCATAGTCGTCTGTCCATAGCGTATATTTGTAGATATCTGTACATATGTGTGTATGTATGTATATTATAGTGCTTGCATATATACAGACTGACTATTGCCTATGAGCATGCTTCCCCCATCATTTCAATTTGAATTTCGAGAGAATAGTTTGCATAAACAGAACAGATGAACATGAACATATAAATCGGAACGGGAACGACACGGCTGCGGCAACGGCAACGGCATCGGCATCGGCGTACAAAAGCCAGACAGGCAAGCGCACGCAGATAGATAAACGAACAGCAGATACACTTACACACACATACACTCGAACACACACACACACACATACATATGTGCATGTACAGGTGAAGAGGCTTCATTTTTAAAAAGTGTATCAAATCCCGAGAGTGCTCAAACAAATGAAATATTGGATATTTGTACTAACCTGAGCAACGTGTTGGTTGCCGTTTCTTGAACATCATCATGATCAGCAACAACATCATGATTGAGATATACATACATATGTACATGTACATGTACACGTTTATCGTTTACTCTGCGCTAGTAGTCGTCTGTTCTGTCTATTTGTCTATCTGTCTGCCCGTCCGCCCACTCGCCCCCACTCGCCCCCACTCGCCCCCAACCGACCGTCTGCCTCTAGAAATGCCCCAGCAGTGGCTGTGAGTGTGTGAGCAACAGTGTATTTATATTCAGATGCGCACATGTATGTATATAAAAATACATAATACATACATACATACATCCATAATTTCTCAACAAGACAGCTGATTTTTTTTTCGAAAATGTATTCCATCTTTTTATACATGTTCTCAAAAAAATTTCGACGTTATTCTCGCGAGTTGAGTTCGTTGAACAGTTTCAATTGTCGGAGTTTTTGTTTTATTATATATTTTACAATATTGTTTTAAACCTAAACCGAAATCACAATTTACCAAAATACATACATACATACAAACATACGGATACACAGATATACGAGTACATACATACATACATACAAACATATCAATAAATAATTGTATTCCCATGCATGAAAATGTTAAGTGAGGATTCTGATAATATCGTATAACTACAATACATTGAGTATTGAGGTATGTATGCATCATAATGCGATAATTTTTGTGAGTGCTAGCCTTTATGTATATACATACATACATATGTACATTAGATACATACATATATCCATGTACATATGTACAAATTGAAGTGGAAAATATGTACATACATACATATGTACACATACATATGCATATACTTACGTATATACATACATATGTATAAATAAATGTGCGTGTGCGTGTGAGTGTGTGTCTGCTATTTACTTGTATTTATATACATACATACATGTATGTTTAATATATGTATATATAAATAAAAAAATGTATATATATGTACATATATGTATGAACATATTTGTGTTTGAAAATGCTCGAAAATGTGCTTCTCGCTTATTATACTCGTAATATTTTCAACACTTACTATATGTTCATATCAAAAAAACCAAAAACTAAAGGAATAAAAAGGAAGAGCACTTCAAAACCGTGTATCGATCACATTTTTTTTTTTGTAACTGCCATAACATTTGGACTACGCCTCTATGTGTGTATGAATACGAATACAATACCTACAATAGGATGTCACGGGTATTCCTGCAGCTCCCGAAACTTTTAACAATTGGCAAAAGTTAGGCACCTCTGGTGACATCTTTTGAATTGAGCGGCCCGACCCGGCACGGCACGGCACGGCCTGTATAACCGTATTGCACTATATTTATCAGTTTGGTTGATATACTACACTATACTATGTACCTAGATGTTTGATCGGCAAATATTATAATACGGTAGTGATTATAATTTTCTATGTACATTTTAGAGAGACTTTTCTTGTGGTTACAATACTTGTAACTAAGCTCAGAGATTGCGTTTGAGGGTGAGAGGAGCAATGGACTTGGGCATTTAGCCATTTAGAATAGGAATCATCTGAAATGTGTAGAGCATATGTGGAGAAGAAGGTGGTTTGATCCATACCCATTCACTAGAAGGAAAAGCTGTTGGAGAGACCTTAATGTATTCATGATTGCGTTTGTTTCAGATGGCATCGAAAAAGAACCCCATTATGGAAAAGCAAAGAGATAACGTGATAAGTCCAAGTCCCTCGGGACAGCAGCCACAGCTAGCCACCTTGCGTCGTCCGGTGGCCGTGGTTAAAAAAAGATCGGGCCCATTAGATGGTGTGCTTGATGAGCTTAATCAAATGGAAGGCCAAGCTACGGTTGCCAAGCGAGAGGATCTTCTTTCGACAGTCGCTAGCCCCCCCGAAGAACATGCCTGTGCCATTCGTCAGCCGACAGCTAGTTCTAGTACTTCAAAGGCCGTAGGTAGAGTTTTGTCAACGACATCCGGACGACGTCGTTGCAGTACAAAAGAAAAAGACAAAAAACGGGAACGCTGGTTACTCACTCGCAAAACCTGGCGGTATATGACGGATGCTGGTCGTAAACTCATTCCCGATGGGGTAACGCATGGAGCGGACGATATTTCCCAGATCGAAGCCCAGTTTCAACGCGTTTGTGCCTCCGAGCCCCGTTTCATTTTGTGGCGTCGCAAGGCATCCTATCCCGGAGCAGGCGCTGCCAAGAGCTCGAGGCGACGTCTCAAGCTGCTCTCCCGACACAGTAGTCAGAGCCAAAACGCCCAGCGTACCACTCAGGAAGAGAATGCTGATCAAATTATAGAGCTTTTGCAGTCGTATCTAAAAATTCGCGATGCATACAAAACTACTGCCCTTCTAGGCACCAAAACAGTTAGACCCGACCAAACCGCCTCCCCCAGCTCCCAGCGTCCATTGGGCAGCAGCAGGTCTGGTAAGTCCCTGGCCGGTTCCTCAAAGTCAACAGCGTCGGCGCAATCGATTGAACAGCTGGGCGAAGCTGAGATATTGGCTCGCCTGAAAATTTTATCTCAGAGCTCTATGCTGGGTGGGTTGTCCATACCTGTAGAAAGTATAACTCCAACGATTCTCGAAGATAAAGCGCTGCTGAAGAAAATATACAATACGCTAAAGAAACAACAACTTCACCGTATATTAAGTGTACATTCCACTCAGCCCCCCAAAGGCAAGTTCAATCTATCTCGTGCTGCCTCACTCTCAAGTCTGTTCAACTATAGTGGCTACGAAAATACCTCACCGAAAACTCCTACATCTAAGGTAGATCAAACCAAAAACGCTTATCGACCGGACTCAACAAAAAGCCCGGTCACGGTCAATGTGGTGCCAGAAACACCGAAACGGACACGTAAACCACCAAATACCCTGAACCTCAGTTCAACCTCGCCAAAAAGTAACCTACTACCCCCAAAACGTCATCCGCACGTTGAGAAGAGCTACAATAGTTGTGGAACGCAAACCAACTTCATACAATTGAGCGAGCTGAAGCGACTGGCTGAAATCTACAAGGAGCAGAAGCAGGAGGAGTTGATGTTCGAGAATGGGAACAACAATTCAGCAGCATCCGAGGAGGAGTCGGACCGCCATGGAGGTCATGCCCACAGTCACGGCCACGGCCCCAGCACTGCGAATCGCAGAAAGAGTTCCATTGACAACGAGGACGTTTCCCAGTCTGTGAGTGATACCATCAAACGTTATTTGAGGATGGCCAGGAAGAAGAGTGTCCACGATGCTGATGCAAACCGATTTAAGCGTGTCAACTATGACCGCAACTTGCGGAATATCAAAGCAAAGGGTGAAATAAATCCACCCGGAATGGATGAGGACTTTAACAAGGCCGTTCAAACTTTGGATGCCTGGCCACTTATAGCACTCGATTACATTCGGGGGAATGAGAGCTCCAGAACTTTGGAAAATGCCCATATCGACTGGCAGAAAGCGCTCGATGAGCGCATCAGAAAGAAATTGGAGTGGGAGAAGAGTATTGGGGCAGGTCGTAGTGAAACAGATGCTGGCCATCCGAATCCGAATGTCCCTACCTCCACCAGCAATGCCCCAACCGTTTGCACATCAGCCCCAACCTCACCCACAAACGCCGACCATTATGGAAAAGAACGAAGCGGGAGGGGCGCTAGTGGCTTACTTACCTCAGGTTCCCAGTTCCTTTCAAATTTTTGGCACGCTAATCAATCTCAGTCCTCAAGCAATCAATACGGCAAGAATGGGAACATTAGTGAAGCACACTTGAGTAAGTATTTGAATAAAGATCAAAATGTCATCTGAGGAAGCGTGCTCATCCATAACTTTGGCTTATTATCACATTAAGTCGCATCGCAGACGATCGATATGACTGGTCTTCCTCTATTTACTGTTCAACTAAGCTATTTAGGCCCATTCTCATAGTGCAGTTTTGAGTCCAAAACAACAACAAACACTACACAATCCAATCAAATTATTATACATAAACGTATGTAGATACATATGTACGTAATGTTGTCGCTGCAGGAAGAACCGCTCCAACACTTACCCATCCACACAATATATGGATAGTCAAATGTATATAGTATATGGATGATCGGTACAGCGTCTTGCCAATGCACACTAACCTTACTTTTATGCTCTACCAAATGGCTTGTTTACTAACAGGAAGAGAATCTTGTTATTTATATTTGTAGGCCCCAAAAATGAAACAACAAATATGCAAAAATCGAAATCATTATCTAACGTTGGGCAATTCGTTTCACGGAAAATTTGGAGAAGTCGTTCAAAAAGTCAAAATCGACCGAATTATGATCAACATTTCGCATCTATACATTCTCAAAAGTGGTCCCCCACGGTAAGTATTATTAGTCAACAGCACTTATCTTTTGTCTATTGTTTGACTTTTTGTGTGTTCAGGATAACTGTACATGGGTATCGGACCACGGCGATAAATTTCAAATTACCGATACTTCGTTGGAAAAACTATCGGAAACAGAAGCAAAGCTGTTAATGCATATTGCCGTTGAGAAAATCAAGGAACTAAACATTGCAGTTAATATAGGTCTGATTTACTATAATATTCATATGGATTGAATAAAATGTATAAAATGTGTGAATTTTTCTACCCATTTTCAATAGATTTTGATAGAAAGTCTCAGAAACGACGCATTATTCCAAAGAAAAAAGCTATAACCACAAGCTTTTTCGATATTGGAAAAAAGGACGATCACAGTAAGGCATTATTTTTGGAAATACTGTTTACTAACAACAAAAAACTAAACAACGCGAGCAATCGCATTAGCGGAAATCTGCTATCCAATCCACTGATAAATACTTTTGGATGCCAAGCTATGACAAAACTTAGCGGTTTTAAATAACTATTAACGTTACAAGGCCAAGAAGCTAACCAACAAACTGCCGCTGCTCTTTTTACTGCAACCCGAGATTGCAACTTTCGGCAGAGAGTCTCATAAAGTATACTTTTATGTCGTTTTAATCAATCAAGATGGGCGCGATAATTTATTTGGATCAACTTTGGAATCCTGCTTGTCGAGGGATAGAAAACGTGAGGTCGACTTACCTGGATCAAAACATTCACTGATGTCAGTATTTCGCAATAGTGTTGCTGGAAGTGCAGGTGCTACCAAACTGAATGACAATGTACGTATCCCTAAAAAAACTTACTCTAATGCTGTTGCTTCTCGTAGTTGTTTAAGGAGTTATCGAATTGATCGATTGTTTTGCCATTCCAGGTGCGCTCATGTGAAAGTTTGCCGTCGAAAACATTGGAAAGTGGTTCCAATGGTTCTTCAGAGCGAAGTAGTTTTGCGGGCTACTTCACAAACCTGAAGAAGTCGTCGTCCATGCAAATTTCCAGAAGTCAGTCCGACATGAGACATGACGAACTGGAGCTCGGGTACAATAACAGCAGCGATGCCGCTATAGATGCCGAATCCAAAGTTACTTCGGAACTAAATGTTCCCGCATTCATAATGTGCTGTCTAGCATACTTGGAGGAGCATGGCTTACAAAAAGTAGGCCTCTTTCGTGTTAGCACCTCCAAGAAGCGTGTGAAACAAGTAAGTATAATATTAGACTATTTTGTTCTAAAAAATTGGAAACTTAACTTTGATTTCGTACAGTTGCGTGACGATTTCGACAAGAGCTTAAACATAAGTATTCCAAATAATACATGTCCACATGATGTAGCCACGCTACTCAAAGAATTCCTACGGGATCTTCCAGAGCCGTTGCTTTGCAAAAACCTATATACATCCTTTTTGGAAACCCAAAGTACGTCCATCTAATTACCTTTCCAAAAACCATTCAATAAATAAAACTGAGCTGCTTTCAGGAATACGAAATCGCCGTCTTCAGCTGGAAGGTATATCTCATCTAGTTAAACTATTACCAATCGCCCATAGAGACACTCTGTACGTTTTGCTCAAGTTTCTGGCGAAAGTCGCCGCCCACAGCGACGATATTCGGGCCAGTGATGGAACCGTCCATATGAATGGTAACAAGATGGACAGCAGCAACCTAGCCACAGTTTTCGCTCCAAATGTTCTGCGCGACGCGGCTATTAAAACAGCCGAGAATAGAGAGCACGAGTATATGAGTGATGCTATTAATGTAATTAGGTAATACGCCAGAGTATGGGCTCTCAATAAAATTATAGTAACATAGGTATTCCGCCATCGACATTTTACAGGACAATGATTGATCACTATGAGGAGATCTTCAAAGTACCTGGTGAAATTATCGATGTGGTTTATTCCCAAATGCTCGACGAATGTCCCGAGAAGCTTTACGCTCTAATTTCAAGCAAAGTTAACGTAACTGAATGGTAAGTAATACATAAAAAACTAATCAAATAGGTCATTACCTATTACCCACTGCTCCAATACAACATTACAGCTGTGAAGCAGCCAATCCGTGTCCAACTCACATGCATTTGGCAGAATCGGCTATGAATCAACCCGATACCTTCAGCTCGTCGGATGAGGTTTTCGAATCCCCGAAGGAAACCATACGGTAAACAAAACCTTATGACTTATCAATTGATTATGTTGAATATAAATTTGTACTGTGTTGCAGATATGGCATACTCGGCCCCGGGAGCAGTGAAAAGGGGTTACCTTATGATTTCAAGGATCTGTGTGAAGAAAGGCGCCAATCGACTCCTATATTGTTAGATAACTGTACATCCAACAACATGAATGTCTTTTCGGCTAGCCTTCAAATATCAATTCCAGAACAGTCGTCTTCAAAATCTACGAAGCGCGGCGGACTTCAAGGCATGTATAAACGAGTATCCCCATTACGATTCCGTTAATAATTTGAACTCTATTATGTTTTGAAGAGCGCGAGATAGCGAGCAGCAAGGTATCGGAGCCGAGACTACCAACAAGTATATCTAATATTGGCGGAGCGACACTGAGCGCGAAAACTGCAGAATTCGAAAGAAATGCCAACAAAGATATGATCTCTCCAAATACTTCGCAAGGCCAGACAGTCAGAAGAAAACCTCTATACAAGCGGCAGCAATTGATACCAAGCTCTAAGCGAATTAATTAAATGTAAATACTTTTAAATATATTACCCTAATATTAGGCTTACATAAATAAATACAATGTACTTAGTTCACGTACCCGTACATGTCTCTTCACTTTCCTTATTCTTCCAAAAAAGAAGAAGAAGAACAAAGAAACACAGAAAACTACGCAAAGCATTATCTACTTTTAAATGAAAACCAAAAGTCGGTGGGAGAAACCGACAAGTAGAGATTTTCCCGGTGATGGCTATCGAGACACATAGTAAGAGAGACAAAAAGAGTGTTTTTAAGAGAAGGCGAGAAAGATCAACATTATACAAGTATATATAAAACAGTTTGTCCTGCCATACTTACTTCAAACATAGTTTGTATCTTCATTTTTCCACCAATCAGCTTTAAATTTTATATGACTTTTAATTAATTTTATAATCTATGAAAGAATACAAAAAAAACTGCATACTCTGTTTTTTGAAATTTGTCTTGGAGCTTGAGTTATTGGGGTTTTAATATTCTTCAATATTTTTAAAATGAAAAGTTTGTGTTACTAATTTTGTCCGATCGATTTCAAATTTCGGGCCCGCAATCAACATAACTATATCTACAAACAAGCATCCAACGATTTTCGAAATATATAAAAATATGTTTTTCACTTTAGAAATACAGCAACAATAAATAACAAAGAAAGCGAATATCAAACAGTTGGGGACATCACATACACACACTCACAAACTTACAGTCAAAGCAAATAGTAGAGCATGAGAAATATCGATGGCACTATTGATACTAACATTGATTGCTGGTGTTTTCTTAAGCCGCAAACAGTGGATAAACCATTGTTTTTAATAAAAATGTTGATTTCTTCTAATTGATTTCAAATCTCAAATCTTCTTTATATTGTATTCAAACTTCGATGGAACTATCGAGAGTATCGATGGATGCAACTATCGATAGTTTGAATGCTGTAAATAGAGATAGACAGAAATTGCACAATTAAATTCTCGACTAGCCAGGGCTTAGGTAGTTGGTATGAGAATCACAGAGGAGGGCGCCTACAATTGTTTTATTTAATTTTAAGAAATTTCACAATTTAATTTCACAATATTACTATTTAATTTTGTAGAAATTTCACAATTTAAATCTCGATTTGTCAGCGCTTAGGTACTTGGTATGAGAATCGCAGAGGAGGGCAGCCACCATATTTTAATTTAATTTATCTGAAATTTCATAATTTATTTCCAAAATATTACATATCATTTCATTTTTCAGAAATTCCACATTTAATTGTAGATTTGCCAGCGCTTAGGTACTTGGTATGAGAATCGCAGAGGTTGGCGGCCACAATAGTTTAATTTAATTTATCAGAAATTTCACAATTTAATGCCACCATATTATTATTTTATTTATCCGAAATGTCTCAATTTAATTCTCGATTTGCCAACGCTTAGGTACTTGGTATGAGAATCGCAGAGGAGGGCGCCCACAATTTTTATATTTAATTTTTCAGAAAATACACAATTAAACTTCAAAATATTGTAATTTAATTTTTCAGTAATTTACATACATACATACAATATACATATGTATCTAAATATTAAATAGTATGGTCACAGTAGGTATTGTACTGTATGCCCTAGCTTTCGGAAAAAAAATACTGAGTCCATCAAAGACGGGCAAGACTTGCTAGTTATTTATATGTAACCATAAAGCCCAAAAACGATTGCACATCTAGACGGAGAGAATAGAGACATGTTAACCAGCTAAAAGTGCAGAGGAGTCTCTAATATCAACCTACAAATAATCACAACACCAGGCAGAGTCCTACGAACTACAAACGATGGAAGATTTGTAAATGGGGTACGATGGAAAACAAAGTAGTTATGATTTTGTGAATTTTAAAGTAAAACAAATTTGATGTTACTTGATGCGAAAAAAGCGATTATACTAGCAGATGTAGTAGTAAGGATAATTCAAATCAGCCTTCAATTTGATTGTATTCTATTTATTGGTGTGGCCGAATTTCCATGCTCTTCATGGTCACACTGCAATATGTATGTTTAACAGCTGACAGGCGAAAGCAATATGTTTATTCGCGCATCGACTCAGCTGTTCGTTATCGGCATACAATGATGTAAAACGTTTCACCAAATTGGGATAAAAATTTGACTTAAATTGTAATTGTGCCAATAACAAAGAAAACCTTTAATCAAATAAAGCAAACAACAATATTCGACCCCGTGTGGCCACCAAAAAAAAAAAAAAAAAAAAAAAAAAAAAACAAGACAAGAAACTGTTTTTTCAGTCATGGCCGTAAAATCTACATTATTTCTTAAGCAGTTGCAGAATTTCAAATTAAACATATTAGCTGTGGTGGGAATACATATTTTCCAATATCTTACAACGACTTCCACTCTTTGGAGGAATTTTATTCTAGTAGAGTATTGAACATAATAATTCAAAAGAATTAAAATATAAATAGCTACTTAGTAACGGAAACTGAAAAAGAGCAATAAAACATTAGGGTCAAGAGCCAGAATGGGAGAGATAGAGAGTAGGTCAGAAATATCATAACAGTTGAACCAACAAATAAGAATTAGAGTCATAATTGCTGCTTGACAATAAGATTGTGAAGGGAAGTATGCCAGAGGTGGACATGAGAGATGTCTAGCGATTCTCCAGACTGAAAAGAAACACTTCTAATCGGGAGAGAAATTGAAGTATATATTTTAGAGAAGAGATTAAGTAGGGCTTACCAGTTTTGGAGAGGAATCTCGTCAGCTCGTGGAGGTGAAGAAGTAATTGAAATGAAAGGCCATCGTTTTTGTTTTTGTTTTTTTTTATTATATTTTAACAAAATTGACTTTCTGACCATTTGAAATGTCAATATTGTTAAAATTTTATTGATCTTTACAGTTTGCATATGAAGTTTCTATATAATATATAGATATATATATATTTATTTATATATGTATATGTATATTCTAATACATATAAATTAATTGAAAGCACTCGTAGTTTATACTAAATTACAAACATTAGCAATAGCATTAGATTATATTCACAGCCAATTCGTAAACGTACTATAATTATTTTTTTCAGTTTTTTGCACATGCCCGTTGCCTTAAAACTATTATTGTACTAATCATAATTTAAAAAGGTGTAACACTTTGAATTTTTATACCTTTTATCCTGTATATTCTTTTAGTCTTTCATATAAATTTTGCAAAGCACTATCACCTATATACGACCAATATGTAAATGAATGGGTGCATTGCGTATTTATAAGTATATAGTACATACCCCATTGCCCCATCAGACAATGCAATAATCCAACTCATAATACTCTAGTGTTTACTGTCTAAATAATTGAATTAAACAATTGCATATACATATAGTACATAAGTACAAAAGAAATTGACAGATTTAGTTTCGTTGCATTGTGTATAGATTTGTGCGTTTTCGCAAATATCCGAGCAGGATGTCTGAAAAGCATCAAATAATTTAGATATTTCAAACGATATACATTCGTACATAGTACATAGGTTGGTAGGTATTTACTCGTAATTAAATTGCGTACCTATATTTCGGAGACTATAGCTTGACCAGTACTACAGGTCTTGAAACTAGGCATAGTAATGGATAAATCATACATATTCCTCTTCGGTTCGTATTCGTTCTTAATTCGATTACACTCTTTCAATTTTGCAGTTCTGTATTTGTTTATTTTTTTTCTTTCTTTTTTAATTTCGATTTCAGTTTCTTTTTTCAAGACATTTTATTTGAATTCGATTGCAAGCACTGCGACCAAAGTGCCGTTTCATATACGTATATATTGTCCCTCTTGTACTCGAGAGACTATTTGGATTGGACCAAGTTACAAATATAAGTATTTTGATTCCCCGCTAAGGGTTATTCATACATATCTATGTATCACTAGCAAACTCAAATAAAACGTTTCGAAAAGTTGTGTATTTGTGTGTGTATATATATGTGTGTGTGTGTGTGTCTGAGCTTTTAACCCAAAATCGTTATATATGTATGTATGTACTAAGTGTTGAAATTATCAAATTTTTTGGTATTTCTAATGTGGATTAAAATATTTGTCACCTTTTTTTTAAGCCTACTATTGTCATATTTTTTAATCTTATTTAGGACTCTAATTCGTTACATATTTAGTCTTTATTGTTACTTGATTTCCTATAAAATATAACTCTCACATATTTAAAAATACACCTGCTTGCTTGTTTTCAGTAATGAGTTTTTAGTTAACCTGCGCTAGGTGCAGTTCAGGCCTTTATACTCTTTCCAAAAGGGCATTTATATAAACGCATTTATGCAACGCATACGTATACATATAAATATACTTGCTTAGGCGATTATACAGCTTGATTTAGCCATGTCCATCCGACTATCCGACTATCTATCAGATCAGTATCAGATCATCAGCCAGATATGACCTTGTCAAATATAACGGTTCACAGCTTCGATTAAAGGCGACCTACGTACACTATGAACAGAGGATATACATAGTAGAGTATATATATGATGGGAATGATGGAAATCAACTCAATGCTCAATGCAAGAAAATCATATATATTTGTAGTACATAGATGGACTATTTGGACAAAATCAAATTTGAAAGGCCTTCTTCGTCCTTACTCCTTGCCCAGAAAGCAAAGAAGAAAGAAATTATTGTTTTGGAAAGGGTATAACTCATAATTAGGCATATAGGTAAGGCTGCTCGAACCGTAGCATTCGTATAAACTTAATGGATCTTAATTATATATATATATATATATATATTTATATATATTATATGTACGAGTATGTATGAGATGATGGGAGTTTCCATCCACTACACAGAACCTATGTATATATGATGTTTCAATTATGAGATAGTATATACACATGAAATAATTCTCAAACACATGCCCATAGGAACAAATAGAACGAGCCCCCGATTGTTGGAACTAGTAATGATCACGAACACAACACACTTCCAATCCATTCCGTCTCAATCCATCCCAGCAATCTTTCTCGCAAAGTTGCTTTCAGAATATCTGCTTAATTCGTATTTCTTTATGCCATGTCTGCATATTTACGAGTATTTTTACATTTAGAATATCGCTAGTTATACTTGCTCGACCTAAGGTTAGCATTACATATTCTGGCATGCCCATAGCCGTAAGAGTCTGTTTGACAATATCTTTATGGTAGATCACGACACATAGTCACGATTCGCAGCATATTCATCAGTGTAGCGACCTGCTGCTGAGAAATGAAAAAGGGCAAACAATAGATTATATATTTAAATCTAAAATCTGAATTGAGGAACTCAGCTACGCTCAGACAGCCAGACAGACAGACAAATAATTTGCACACAATCTCATTATAATAAAGCATCAAAAGTAAGTATATAAATATTTTTTTGTAGTATAGAATCAATATATGCTGTGCTTAGAATTTTAAATTTAGAATAAATAATTTGCCTGTCTGGCTATAGCTTTTGAAATACTTTAGTCGCTTCTTGTACTTACAATCTTCCATTAAAATAACTTGTGCATTTTCAATATTTGTACTAGATACAGAGTGTGGAATTATGTTGAACTCGTCCTCAGTGAGAAGTGTTGAGTTCCATCGGGACCTGGCGCTCGAGCGGTGTGCGGAGGCCACTGCCATTGTAGGAGTCGAGTATAGGCTTAGATTTGTGGGGCTGATGACGCCAGACATTGTTGAAATAGAACCGGCATATCCGAGCAACTGAAAATATATTCATTGGACATTTCTCATAGGTTTCGCCAAGTCAATGTATTTTTTGAATAGGTTTTAAGCTGTTAGAAATCCCTGAACATTTCATACATATACTATTTGTATTTGTTATTGAGACTCTATAATGATGTCTAATTTCTATAAAATATTGATCTACTGATTTGCAGTGTCAAATATATACGAGAGAGATAGAGAGAGAGATCAGCGATCATAGAACTCTAATGCGATCTGATATACGAGCATAGATGGTTAAAGTTCTTGTTGCTTACCGATGTCGATTGCGTATGGAAGTGGTTGAAATATTCCCGACCATTGGTTGATGGATACATTTGGGTTGCGATCCGGGTCAACGAGTTACAGGCGACCGGCGACATTTTACACCGCCCTGTTTCTATACAGACTTGGGGACTTGTCGGAGCTTGGGGCTGAGGCGATGATGTTGTCACTAGCGTAGTGCAGTTGACGTTATGTGGTCCCGTTTCTGAGTTAATGGGGCTGTTATTGCTCTCCATTGTGCCTCTGCTGTCGTCGTTTAGGCCGCTCTTGCGGACGCAGAGCGTATCATTGGATAGACTGGAAGCCTGGTTTGCTGAGGATGGGGGCGGCGATTGGACCATTGCTAGGTCTCCATTTGTGCGTATTATTGCGACCGGCCGCGCCATCGGTGGCAGTGGTGGGGGCGGCAACATTGTACTATACTGGTAGTGTGTCGACGGTGCAGCTGTTAGTTTGGAGTTTCGGAGCTGTTGATGGATCTGATAATGGGGAGAATGGACATGGGTAGCTGTAGCGTGCGGATGGGTATGCTGAAAAGGATGATTTTCTGCGGTTCCCGGTGTTATTGTTGTTGTCGAATGGCCAGTATCTTGGCAAACGTACGTGACAAAATCAGATATATCATGACCTTCCGTTGAATATTTTTCGGAGTGATGGCTTTGGGTGTTTTGCGACTGTGACTGGGGCTGTGTCTGTGCCTGAGATTGCTCTTCGTCGGCCGCTGTTGTTGTTGTGGGTGGGCTGCTGTGCTGAGGATAATACAATGTATTCACGGGACTGACCGATGTTGCAAGCAGTGTGGAGCAATTATGGTGGAGAAGTGCTAAACATTGAAGACATGTCAAAGAAATAAATATGCAAGTGGGTGTAAGATAACAGATCACAGATTCTCAGATCTCTATACAACTATTTGTTTCTTCATCAATTTGAATTTTCTCCCTACCTTCCGTTGAACGAATCTGCGGTATACTTGTGATCGGTCGACTGTTCAATGATGTGTAACGATGCAATGAGATGGCCGAGTCTGTTGTCACTGTTGAGTCCCCGTTGGAATTGTTGCTGTCTGCCGATCGTAGGATCACCGAGAAACTGCTGCCACAGTTCTCTGTGGATGCACTTGTTCGGGAAATGAGTGGCGGGGAAGTACTCTGATCAATTTTACACGCTTCGTTCGATCCATTGAGGGCATCGGATCGCAGTAGAGGGGAATGCGACAAATGCACACTCCTCTGATCCACAAAATCAACTGAAATTTATATGATAATGATGATGATGATGAAAATGTATATACCACTATACACCTATTTGACTTACTACTGTAACCCCCTGGAACCGGATTGGCAACAATGGTGCTTGCTGGGGCTAGGCTCTGAGAACTAGGCATTGGTGATTCTGAAGACAGTTGATATGTATTGCAGTCATAAGCAGTTCCCATGTTTTCCCTCTTGATGACGTTGGTGTGTAAGCTGTTGACTTCATCTAATATGGAATCTGGCAGAACAGAATTTTCAATTCACCGATTTCCCCACCCATTGTCTAAATTGGATTCTTACCTTTTGACAGGGTCCAAAGTTCTTGGGAGGAAAATACACCCGTTGCCAAAATAATGTCATTACACACGACTCCATTGTATGGATTATGCCTCAGGCTCTTATTATTCTTATCCATGCTGTCAGAGTCGTCCTTTCTATCGATTGCTGCGTTGCTGCGATTGTGGCTATAGAGAGCCATTTGTGGTGATCTCACGGCCACTGATGGGGTCGATAGCAATGTTGAGTTTGTTGCAGGATTTATTGATGGATTGTGGGTGTTTATAAAGTTTGCCAAATATAAATCTAGTTCCCTCACAGAGACGTTTATGTGATATGGATTCACACAAAGTCCTGGATGCAAGCATTCTGGATTTTTTTCTAGACGTTCTCCGTCCGTACTTTCTAATGGAATAGCCTTGAATAGGATGACCATCACAAGGTCGAGACGCCATACTTTGTCAGCTTGCCGCAGGCAATCTATGCGTCGCATTTTGCCTTTCTGATCAGGATTAGAGAGAACGCAAATCGATTTGCGCTTCCCAATAATCGACTGAACGAAGTCTTCTCGGCTCTCTTGAGTGATATCTTTTCTTAATTTCCCCAGCAGCCGAGAAGCCCATTTCTGCTTCACCTCAGTTTTTTCATTCTGCAATCGAAATTGAAAGCGCAACCAATTGATGAATATATATTTGGATTGACATGTGAATAGCTCCTTACCTGTAGCTCGTCCTTGCAATGTCTTTCTTCTTCCAGAGACATTCGTTTCTCATGTTTTTTGTAATATTTTCGTTTCGCTGCTTGCAAGTTAAACCAAGAGTACGAAAATGATTTGACGTATGGTAAAAGCGCCTCAATGAAGGGGTGAAATTCATCCTATATGGAAAAGGATAAGGATAAAATACGTGAGTGTTCCGCTTCGATCCAACCGGCCAGCATACTAAAGGTTTCACACTTGCACTAATCTAGCTCACTACTAAACAAGTTTTTAACTTGTATATTATTTATTTGATTATGTATATGTAAGTAAGTGGGCACATACTATACATACATACATACATACATACATACGAGTACATACATCATTCGAAATTCAGAGCAATGGGTATAAAAAAGATTCATGTGTTACATTGAAAAATTCAGAGCTCAGGACATTGTGAAAGCTTGGATTTGCTGGATAATGATTTTACATAAGATAGACAGACATATACATTTATTTTACACTTAAACGCATTTAATTTAGATTACATTATGAATACAAAACATTATGGTATCAAGCATTCTCAAACAAAGAAAAACGTTTGAAATGTATTAGGTATGTATACGAAAATGTATTCGAATTGAATTGCTATATAAAAAAGATAAAAACAGAAAGACATCGAGTATAACATATTCTTCCCAAAAACCTTGGAGCCTATTTTTGTTTGGGAAACATTTTAGAAAGACTATGCTGATGAGTGTAAGACAACAATCGACATATTAAGTGTATAGGTTTTTTTTCCATCTAATCGTTTTGTTGTCATTTGAAAAGTCCATTTGCAATGAAACATTTCAAAAACAAACAACTTTGTTAAAACATATGTATCTTTTCAAGAAAAGATGACACGTGGACAGGTAAATAAGTAGAACCTTCCGAATAGTGCCACAAAAGGGGTTGAAGAGCGAGGAAAACGGGTTGAAATTCTGGTTACAATGAGGAAAATGGGGAAAAATCTTCTTACAAAAAGAAATTGGTAAAGCTATCTTTGATGCTTCGAAGATGAAAGATATGTACATATGCATCAGCTGTTCCATGCGAAATAAGATAAGGTTTTTCTGTTTCCAAAAAGCAAAATGGGTAAACTATTCAAAATCCTCTTGTAATGGTTACTTCAGACGTGGGCAGCTGTATATCAGCTGGTCTATACAAATAATAATGCTAATGATAGGCACACATCGGTCGATCTATTCGGGAATATCTTTGCTGTGTCGATGTTGGTAGACAGATCCACCTTCCAATGGTTGGTTGATAGCGCTCATCAAGATCTACATGACATACGAGTATGTATGTAGATACAAGTATTCCACACAGAATGATGTCTAGTATGTCGAGGTTTCAGCAAAATGATCTACGACCATATATACATACATACATACATACATATATATACGCTGTACTTGGAAATTAAACTAATAACAAGTCTGACTACATACGTTTTGTAGGTGATGTACATATGTATAAGTGGATACTGAATATGTATGTATGTGTGTGGGGTGAGCTGGTGGGCTGGTGGGGTGGATAAATAGCCCGGGTTTTGTTGTTAAAATGCAATAAATTGAAGACTGGCAATCGGAGTGTTGCCGGTACTTGTATGTGTAGGAGAAACCGAATCGAAAACGTTATCTTAGTTGCTTACAATAATAGTATGTAAAACAATGATACTAATAGACACTCTTGCATAATCCATTTAAATGATTAGTGTTTAAAAGACAACAAGATGCAGTCGAAGTACAAATACGTTTTTAAAATTGAAATCAAAATATTCGTATATCAACACAAAGACATCAAGATTTATGTAAAAAAATCAATTAATAGTTAGATTTTAATTACATTTAAAATATTTATTGAATTTATGATGAATTATGGTACGAGTACGCAATTGTTTTCCTAAACATCCGGAGCAATTTTCATACCTAACAATAAAATTAGTGTAGAAATTGATTAGTTTTTTTGTAGTCAATCACAAATTTCAATTCATAGTGCTCAAATGGAGGGGTGTACGTAGTATGTGTATGATGCTAAATAAGAGTAGTTGTGACTATAATTATTAGACACCTCAACAGGTTGAAATATGGGGGTGAAGTATGGGGGTGAACATGATTGCGGTTCTTGAAAGATCAGGGATGCGAGACTCGATTATGTGGACTCCAGTCGTTCGAGTCGTGCAACGGGAATTGCCTCGTTCTCTCCAAAGTCCAATACTTTGGAATATTGTGTTCACTCTATTACTAAGTACTTGTATATTGGTATGTGGGTCATCATTTCTTACCTGTCCCGTCGATGATGTTTGCAAATAAGAAGATACGTCCGTCTCGATCATACAGCTCCTTAATGTGTCTGGTATAAACATACCTTGAGTCTTTTTATCATTGAATTCTTTATTGTATGCACTTCATCGAAAAATATCTTAAATGGAGAGTCGGATAGCTATCTGTGAATATCTGAGTGGCACGTTATATGCATAATACATGCATACGCATATACATATATGTATATGTATAGTTAGCTGGCTTTCACTTACCTTAGTTACCGTCCACCTTCCATCTAGTAAAAATGCATTATAGCTCAATTCTACGATGTTCCTAACATTCCAATAAGCAACTGGTTTTATTTTCGCTCTCTCCCTCTCTCTGAGTGTGTGTGTGGGTCTGTGTGTGTGTGTAAGTGTGTGTGTATGTGTGTGCGTGTGTAGGTGTGTTTGAGTTCGGTTTGAAAAGATATTGAATATTTACATCCGGGGATCTTGAAGCTGCCGTTCTATAATTCTAATTTGGGTTTTCACATTCCAGACATGACGGTATTTGCTGAAATATGAAATTGTGTGAAAGTTCCATTAGCCATATCATATAGTTAGACAACATGAGCTGTCTACAGTTAGAAGGAACAATAGCTCATCTGGATAGTCATTTCTTCTTCTTTTTTTTATCGCACACAGACAGACACACGCCAGACATACGAAGCACGCTTAAAATGAGGCGCACGTGGCGGATGATACGAAGTGCATGGCGCATCACGCATATTTGCACCCCAAATGCAGGGATAATAATGTCGATTAAACAATAACAGTAGACATTAAATGTAACGATTCTACTATTACAACCAACATTTCATGCTGTGTGTGTATGGTTTTGTTCTTCCTTCGCACTTGCACATATTTTCAGTTTTTAGATGCAATAACGTCGAGTTCCGTTATGGTCCGGCCCATAACCATGCCCATGCCTATGTCTATGCCCCGTTCGAGTTCACGACAACAAACAGTGAGAACCAAAACAACAACAACAACAACAACAACAATGACAGAAGCAGGCGACAACAACAGCGACAAAATGGAGGAAATGAGGTTGCGATAAGTTAGACGAATTCCGTCATGGGTTGGCCAAGTTACAATCGCAATATTACACAATGTCTATGTCTACGGCGTATTCTGATTCTGTCTGCGGCCGGGATGCATTTTTTGGTTATCTCGTTTCTTTTTTTTTTTTGTTCCTTTTCTTTTGAGAGTTACACAATTCGCCAGAATCCGATTCCGATTTTGAATCCGTTAACAATTGCGCAGCACACTACACTATCTATGATTAATATTCAAAAGAAATGGCAACTCGTCGCCGAATGTTAGCCCAATAATATGTACATTTTTCTGCAATTAATGACTATTTTGAGTTGAGTTCAGTTGAGTTGGTTGGTTGGTTCGTTTGGTACATGTGTGGTATGTAGGTATTTATACCGTAAATACACTATATACGTTATATATATATATGTATATGTACATATGTAGGATGTATGTACATACTTTTCAAGCACACAACACACAACCAAATTGAGACAGAGTAGGTGCGTTGTGCAAAGCGAATACCTTTCGACTAAATTTAAAATTGTTACTCTAAAGCTAGTACTGCGCCAAAAGTTCTCTACTCTCGCCGGATTCTCTTCGCAATGGCCGAGACCAATACCAACACCAACGCCAACTCACTCACCAGCCCGTAGGCCATTGCTAGCCAAAAGTGTCTAGCTTGGGAAATGAAAGAAATGAAAGCAGTTCAGTTCTAAAAATGGATTCCTCACCGTGCTTGCTGTGCTTCAGAACGGCCAACGAGAGGCCCCAACATCATCATCACAGAGAGCGGGATAATCGGAGCGCCTCGCAAGAGAGACTGAGAGAGAGAGGTGAGAGTCAACTCTGACAATGTCTGCCTGCCGCATGCCTGCAAACTTATTAAAATTCGTAATGCGCATGTGGCAAATGGCCTTACGGCTAGCTCTCTTCAAATCAACACAAGGAATTGCAATACGCTCGCAAAGACCCGCAATGAACCAACACCGACCCCCCTCCTCCCCTCCCACTCCCTCCCAACCATCCCTCACCATTGCACATGCGATGCATAATACGTGACTATGCCTCTATAGCTCTGCCCATGTCTATGCCTATGCCTATGTCGCCTCCATACTTGCATGCGTATTTTTATAGCCCCCAAGTATTGGAGCATGCCAGCTATGCTGCCAGTGGGTGTGCTATTTATGCGCATATTCCTGACCACCACCCTACCACCTACTCCCAACATTCGTTTCGGTCCAGCTCCGAACTCGCCCCCACATATATATTACCTGCTTAGTTAATATAAGCTGCTCCAAGGATCAGTTTTTGACCAATAGACTAACCATGAAAATAAAAGCTGTGCAAAGCTAGTCTACGATTCTCGATACTCCCCACTAAAGGGTATTTTTTGTATCTGCATAGACATAGACTCAACCAAATGGGCAGCAATATTTGGCCCTGCCTCAACGTCTTTCAAAATTAATCCACCCAAAACTTATCTCATCTTTTTTAAAAATCATGAATCATGAATTACAAGTAATGTTCAATGCGATTGAGTTTCCCTAGTTTTTAAACGGTTTCTTGTATGCTAATACTATTAATACTTAGTAATTAAAACACAATTTCGTTTTAGAAAGCGTTTTATTTAAGTATGCTATATAATGTACGTATTTCTCATCGATTTCTCTCATTCCTATAGTATAAGGAACATATACTATATATATATATATATATATATATATATATATATATATACGTACAGTTTTTAAATGCCTAACTCTGTAAAAATTAAGTTTCCAAATATTTGTAATGCTATGTACTTTGAATGAGAAGTATTTATAGGCTCGGAGACAAAAAAAATGCCACTCTATTAATCTAGTTACATATGCAAATAAAACTGTGTGTCACGACTGACCGATTCATCACCAGTTTTATTTGGGCTTTCAAATTTAGACACTGGTCTGGTATGCACAAGACGGTGTATTAGGAAGTATGGTCACATACTATTTTCCAAATACTTGACTTGAATTTCAAAATGTCTTCTTTTGAAAATTATAATTATATATATATAGTGTCTATGGATGAACTTATGCAAAAAGCTTTGCAGAATGCTCTGTTGTAAGTCTTGTTTATACCGAAACGATTCTTACTTCTTCTATGCGGGAAAATTATTTTCTTTTGATTTGTAAAAGAACAGTGTTGATAGAAAAAAAAATGGGAATATTGGTAGCTGCCCTTGGATGGTTGAAGGAACAATTTGTATGATCTATGTATATGCATATATGTATATACTTGCATTAAATGCATTTGAAGATGATAAATTTGTCAAACCTAAAGCTGTTGACAAAAGAAATCAATCTTGAATGGATTTTGTCATTTTAATATTTTCTCTAAATCATATACTCATATGCCACTGTTTTGGGTGTTTCCGCAGGACATTGATGCGAAGCACACAAGTGTCCCAACAGTGGTTCCAGGACCAATGGCTCGCCCCCAGATCGTAACCCAATTGAGAACCGGTGGTGCAACGTACAGAAGGAAATTGTCAAACCCCGACCAAGTAATGTTTTACAGCTTTGGGAAGGCGGTGTCGAAATTCACAAATTCATAATTTATACCTTTTTTTATTCAATTCAGTTTCAACACGATTTTACACGATTTTGATATAAAACGGTTTGAAAATCCAAAATTGCATATATGTATATTTCTTTAGAGATAAGGAACCAATCACCTATTTTTGCAAATGATCATGTCTTTTTTACACGGTTGTTTCTGGAACTAATCTACCGCGTAAAAACAGAATTAGGTGTAACTTTAAACGCAGCTGTACTAGTATGTATGTACATAGTGCTTAGAAGATGGGAGCAACAAAAGTATTCATTAGTTTAATGAAACACACTAGCCTACCAAATGTGCATTACAGATGCCACAAGATAAGGGCATGTACATACATACTAGTATGTTTGAATATACGAGTATGTACATAGACTTGTATACATACATACATACGATCATACACAAAAACACTTATATTTGAATTCCTCAACTACTTATAATTAAATAATTTCTCTGCTGCGATATGTATGTGTATTATTAGTAATAAGTAGTGTACGGAACGAAGAAGACGTGACAATGCTTGCTTAGAGGTTTACGGGTATGTGTAGTAAGTCTAAGCTGCCCAGACTGTATTTAAAATTAGTCGCTTCCGTTTGACGAACCGTTTTGTGACTTAAGACATCTTTCGAGCTTGCGCATATATTAATTGAAGTTTGGTTTGGCATGTGTTGCGTTGCCTTGCGCTGCGCTGCAGCGACTGCAGCAGCGACGTCGACGTCGTCGTCGTCGTTGACAGCGACAGTGACAGCGACAGTGACGCCAGCGACGACCGCACAAAAGTCGCATTGGTCACTTTTTTGTTTTGTGTAGTGCTTGTATGTAGATGGCAGATGTAAATACAGTGTGAACTGCCTAAAAAACACAAGTGGCTATATAAATATTTATTTATTTATTTATTTAGAAAATCAACAAATAGTGCTGTCGATACATATACAAAAACTATGATTTATATTATTATATAATATTATAAAATAAAATAAAGATATTTAATAACATAACGTTATAATTCCAACTTAAATCATAAGAAAGCCCAAGAAAAAACTATACAATAATGTCTACTAATGGTGTTTGGCTCACCTCTCCGCTGGTAAACATATTAATTAATTAACAAAACAAAGTAACTTACAATCAATCATTTAATTATATACATACGAGTATGTATGTTTTTAACGGTCAGTTATCTGAAATTGAAGGGCATTCAAAACAAAATTCACACTGTTCATCAAACGCTTGTGTTAATTAACTGCTTAAAAATGTACTAATTAATAATATCTCTCGTTTAAAGTACTATTCCAAGCTGCTTTCAAAAAAGTCAACTATCTATGATTGAGTTGTTAATCAAATTATCACAAAAGAGAGGCATACATACGGACATCTGCATGTGTAAAAGCACATTCATTATATTATATTTTAAATTACACAATAGTGCTTCGCAACTGTCCAACACTCTTGCCTCGTACCCGTCCTATTTCGACAAATGAGATTAATTACAAATGTCCTTTTTACATTTTCCAAATTTAATTTTAACATAAAATGATAAAAGCTTTGGGAAAAGGGTATTACGAAATCGTTTAGTTTTGTAACATCGAGAAGGAGGCACACCACAAAGTCTACAGTGTACATACATTCTTGACTTTCTTACCAGGACGAGTCGTTCCAGACACATTCGCGTGTATGAACGCAAGGATTTCTGAGGGTATAAAAATTATAGTCTATTTATCGAAAAGTTTGAAATCTACAAAAACGAGATTTAAATTCATCTAGATCCAACGAGGGCATGTTTATCTTTTTTTCGATGCACCTCCCACCCACCACAACTCTTTTTTGTTTATTCTTCGATCTCAAATTTCTATGTCACATTTTGCTTATAAATAAATTGTTCAAGAAGTAATGGCTGAGTATTATTTGGAACGCGACTCTAGCATTCTAATCGTTTTAATTAGTAATAACCGTACTTATGTAAACGAAATATAACGTGCATGCACATACATATGTACATACATAGGTATATGTATGAGTGCATATTTATGTATGTCGCAGCACACTGTACATTATACAGCTTATGTAATGCTAGTATGTATGTATGTACATACGTACGAGTATGTATGTAATTGCTTATTTGTGGGATGTGTTTGCAGCAAACACACTTGTAGTGACCACACACACGCGCACACTCACACGGACACACACTTGTGTCACATACATAGATACATATATGCAGGCAACAACACCAACAGAAACAAAGCTGTGTTGTTTATTTATACACACATACATACATACATGTGTGCAACGTAAACGTGGATACGTACATATGTGTGTATGATTGAATGAGAATGTGAAAATGAAAATGAATTTCAATTTACGCTTGTTTCGTTTATTTCGTTTAATATGCCCGGCGCAAGCGCAGCGGCCAGGTTGTAGTTGGGTCTGCCACCACCACCACGACGGACGGTCACTCAGCACCAGCCAGCAGCAGTCGGTGTCGATCGCATTTCGCGCCCTTGTTTGGTGTTTCGTTTCGTTTTGAGTAGAGCTGTGCGTTTTGCTGCTTTTGCCTGTTGTTGTTGTTGTTATTGTTTTTGTTGTTTTAAGTTTCTGAATATTTATTGTTGTTGTTATTGTTTTTATACAATTCGCTTAAATTTCGTGAATACAGTGCGACTGTCACCCGTCCGTGCATGCCAAAACGTCCAATCGGTTCAGTTCGGTCCGGTCCGGTTCGGCACGGCTCGGCTCGGTCCCGTACGATCATCGCCGATCGTCACCCAAACCGAACAAACCTAAACGCGAGCCCAAGTAGTAGTCCGCAAGCAGCACTCTGCTAAATTGTAAATGAAACACGTCCTAATTAAACTCAACATCCGCATAATAATAAATTTTACTCGTACCTACTTAGAGCTGCCGTTTTGGTGCTGCTGTTGTTGTTGTTGTTGCTATTGCTGTCACTTGCTCTCATTGTTGTTGTTATTGTTGATATCGTTGATATGCTAACAATATAACGTCATTCTGCGTAACGGTTGTATTTGTAATTCGAATATTGACGTTGACGTTTGACGTTGTCATGCGTGCAGGCACACACATACACACACACACGTATACACATGCATATGTATGTATGTGTTTGTGTGTGTGTGTGTGGTGCGCACATACTAAATAAACAAAATAAGAAATTTCTTTAACACTTGGCATAAATAGGAAAAAATTGAACATTACGTGTGTTTTAATAAATCCGCGCTTTGTTTTGGCGCTGTCCAATATCAGGTTTTTCGAAGCATAAAGTGAAAGTGATTAAGTCGCAGATGTTGTTGTAGTTGCTGGTGTTGTTGCTGCTGTTGTTGTTGGTGCTGTTGGTGCTGTTGCTGCCGCCGTTGTCGTTGTCGCTGTCGTTGCTGCTGTTGGTGTTGCTGTTATTGTGTGAGCCAAACAGAAAACAGTCAACGGCGGCGTCAACCGACACCGCACCACACCACACCACACCACACCGCACACACACACACTAACTATAGTACACTACACTCTCGTACTCGTAGTCGTAATCATTACACACGAGTTAGGCTTGTCCGATATAACAGACACACACATCTGTCTCTTCTGCTTCTGGTTGTTATTATTATTATGTTGTTGTTTTTGTTGCTGCTGCCTGGTGCATCGTTTGATCCGCAAAATCTGCGCAATTAGTGCTTTGCTCATCCTCCATCTGCTCACAATTGTTTTGCATTTTTTTCCCCTTCTTTCTTTTTTTTATTATTATTTTGCTGTTGTCTGTAAAAAAGCCACAAGAAATCATCAGCAACAACAGCAACAGCAGCAATAGCACCAGAGCATAAAAAATTGAAATTTATTTAATATCATCCGCCTGCGGAAGCTAGTCTTCATATTATTATTATTTTTTATGTGAATTATTGCGAAATCGAAATTGAAATCGAAGTGGAAGTGCTGCTAGTGCAGAAAGTGTGTGCCCTACATAGCGAGTAGTTTTGAAACCTACGAAAATATTTTAAAAATCTAAAGATTAAAAGTGTCTAAGGATCACAAAATAGTAAACGAGTTTTGCATCTGTTCATTTGAAAAGTAGCAACATGTATACGTCATCCAACGCGGAAGACTTATCGGCCATACAGCAATTGTTTTATGGATCCACCATATTTGTTACTGGAGGCACTGGATTTTTGGGAAAAAGTATGACAAGTGTTTTTTATTGGGAAAATGTGTTACCACAAAAAAAAAAGACTGTGTGTGTGTGTTTTTTTTATATAAATATGCAACTTGTTTCTTGTTTCTTTAGTTCTGCTCAATAAGCTCTTTACGTCATGCCCTGGAATAAATACGATTTATGTGCTTGTGCGAAATAAAAAAAATAAAAATGTGCATACTCGAGTGGAGGAAATATTTGAAGATCCGGTAAATAATCGACACATACACGCCTATACATGACCTATAAAATGACAAGCAGTTTATGCGCAAATACTATACACAACTACTATACAAGTATAATTATGTATGTAAGGTTTCATTTCCTTTAAATATCTTGGCTATGTCCCAGTTGTAAAAAATTTATATCAACGGCTTTGCTTATAACATTAAAAAGCAGTAATTATCGAAGTATAAACAGCGATGTCCACTAAACAAACGAAATTGTTGGCTGTAGATTTTGTACATTAAAAGATTATTGGCCAATCGTCTGAACCATTACTCAACCCAATGTTTCTGCATGAAATAAACATATTGACAATACTTTCTTATTGTATTTCTATTTGGTAAGCACTTAATAACGCAATCATACACATTGCCGATACAGTAATTACTTGCAAATAGAAGAGTCAATAATATTCGGGACTATATAAATTGACAATTCTAATCACTGAAGACTTGCCTTAGGTATAGATATGGTACGCAACCTAGCATCAATAAACTGAATTAAATAAGAAGTGAACATTTTCAAATGGGGAATACTATTCCTAAACTGGCGGATGGACGGACAAAATACTCAGACTGAGCCAGGCTGTTATAAATGCTCTTAAATGAGTTATATAGACTGGTCCAAAATACAGAAATACAAGTAATACTTAAGCTTAGGCCAGTATAAATAAATAAATACAATTTTGTATTGTAATTGCTGGTGCACTTTTATTTTTACAGATATTCAATACTTTGAAGAAGACAACTCCCAAATTTCGATTTCACATCCAAGGCATTGCGGGCGATTGTCTGCTGCCCGGCCTGGGCTTATGCCTGGAAGATCGAAAAATGTTAATAGATAATGTCAACATTGTTTTTCACATGGCAGCCACAGTGCGCTTCGACGAGAAACTGAAGACGGCCATGAAGATAAATGTGAATGCCGCTCACGACATTATGTTGCTCTGCAAAGAAATGTCAAATCTGAAGAGTGTGGTCCACGTTTCCACAGCCTATACGCAGTGCCCGCAGAAAATAATTGAGGAGAAATTTTACCCCCCACCGAGCGATGCTAAAAATCTAATGCTAATGACAGAATGTATACCCGACAAGCTGCTGGAACACATAACGCCCCAGTGAGAAGTTGGGAATGGTTTCCTACAAATGGCATATTTTTGATAATATTTACATATTTTCTCATTCTTTGTAGCTTGTTGGGTAAATGGCCCAACACATATACGTTTACAAAGGCCGTAGCCGAGGATGTTGTTAAGAATAGTGCCACAGATCTGCCTGTTGGAATATTTCGGCCGGGCATTGGTATGGCTAGCAAGGGTATTAACAATGCGTATTTCTCACCTTTTCAATGTCTCTCAGTTATTTCGACCTACCAGGATCCAGTGTGTGGCTGGATCGATAACTTTTACGGACCCACGGGAGCAATAGCTGGCGCTGGTACTGGCGTGATACGAACATTGCGCTGTGATCCGAATGCAGTGGCGAATATGGTGCCGGTGGATCTGTGTGTTAATAGCATAATAGCAACATCTTGGGATGTACATCAGAGATACAAGTATTAGGTTATTAGCAAGCCCCTGTAACGCGCTCTAAACTATATTCTATCTGTGTATTCTGTGCAGGAGCTTCAAAGAGAACACAGATGAAACGGCAAAGAATATGCCGCCGGTCTATAACTTTTGCACAGCCAAGGATAATCAGCTAACCTGGGGAGAGTTCACAACGAAAACAACAAAGTATGGACTCATGTATCCCACATTAAAGGCCTTCTGGTATCTCTGCTATTCAAACACTCCCAATAGAGTCCTTCATATGCTCTCCATAGTATTCCTCCACTATCTGCCAGCTCTGCTATTCGACATGTCCTGCTTGTGTTTTGGGAAGAAGCCGCGGTATGTGAAATATTTTCAGCATTCTACAACTATTGCTTAAATCGGGGCGATTTCAAATTCGCAGACTACTGGCGGCCTATAAGAAGATCCATAAGTTCATGAACGTGATTGCTTACTTTTCGATGCGCGAGTGGGACTTTCAAATTGATAATGTCCAAGGTCTTTGGAAAAGAATGTCTAGTTTGGACAAACGCATATTCTTCTTCGATATGAAACAGTTGGACTGGGAACTGTTCCTACAGCAGTACTTCCGAGGCATACGACAGTACTTGCTAAACGATCCATTGGAAACCATACCTAAGGCACTAGTGAGGTGGAAGAGGTAGGTATCCACGATGCTCGCATCATCTCCTGACCCGGATCCATGCTGAAAAGTACCTTCTCTCTGCTCTTTTCAGACTGTACTGGTTGCACCAATGTGTTAAGTTTGTAATCTATGTTATTGTTGCTCACTTGTTGTGGATTTGTTTCAAGAGTTATAAATAAACAACTGAAATACCAGCTGACAAAGTTCAGTATGCATTTACATACATACATACATACATACATACTCGTACATATGTACATATGTAAGAAGTATCTTTTGATAACCGACATCGGAATGATACGAGTGCTTTTTATCGCTGTGGCATCGAGTACATATTCGGGATAACACTGAAAAGCTCAGCTCGGTATTGAGTCCATTTCCATACACAGACAAATAAGTAGATATATATACACACATACATGCCATACATACATAAATACATGCGTGTGCTTCTCACCACAAAGTTTTCCGCTTTTAAAGCAACTCTTATAACGGCGACAGGAAGTTCTCCAAATACCGACCAAAGCGACCATGGAATGCACTATAAATGATTCCAACACATACATATCTCCCGTGGGAATCAATTTGTCTTATCGCAAAGCAAAAAACAAGCGTCAGTAATATTATTGGCATTTATCTGAAATTGAAATCGGTAAAAGCTTTGCTGTTGCAGCGTTTTAGGGGCTTGCTTTGCCGAACAGTTCTAGCACTCTATAAGAATATAAATATTACAGTTGAATTGTATTACTATGCACTTTCTATGCTAGTTCTATATTTTCTATTATTATTTGGATTAATATAATAATGCCTACTGTTTTTAGTATTAGTGGTAATAAAAAATTACTATTATTATTTTCATTTTCTAACGCATACATATAGTCTATATTTTGGCGTAGTTTTGGTTTTGTGACTTTTTTATTTTTAAAATTCTTTTTTTTTATTATGAATCGGCCTGTAGATTTGGGCCGTAACATAGCACATAACATATGTACATATAAAAGGCTAGAGTTTTCCAATTTTACATTAAATTATATATTTTTAAAGCGAAAACATTTCATTACTTGGCTTCGTTATCTACCCTTTGGGCGAGTTTTGTGAATGAGCTCAATATTTTTGATCCTTCGATATGGCATTTAATGTTGCATGTTTTCGAAAATTAATTTTATTTAAAAGCAAAAAATCCCCTTTACATCTGTAATTGTACCCAACGGATTTGTGATAACGTTTTAATGTATCCCCATTTGGTTGCCGGTTTCGCATTTGGAAAGAACTGAAGTAGCCTTTTAGGCGCATCGACTGGTGCAGAGTATAAACACACATGCTCCTATCTGGACATGCGCAGTGAATCAGGCTGGCGAGCTTTCAAGCGTAATGCTCTATGGGAACAGACGACTTTTGTAATTACAAAAAGTCCATTCAATGTATTTTCCTTGTTACAAGTGCCCGAGCTTCTTCTTTTTTCCTACATAAAACTCCAATAACTACAAGCTAAAAATAGTTGAAGTATACCACATGAATTTCCGAAAATTATCCATTTAATATACATAGAAACGTGTCAAGAAAAACACTGTGTGCTTTCTGTGTTTAATAAAATACGAACAAATAACAGACAAACTAACATTATGTTTCCAATATCGCATCTTCCTCTCACGGACTACGCGCTTAGTGTTTCTCTTTAGGGCTCGGTTGCTGTTATATCGTGCTGCGCAGTCACTTTTACTTATACATACATAAGTCATCTGAAGTATAGTGGTTTAATGAAAATAAAAATAAAAAAATACAAATAAATAAAACCGAGCAAGGAGAAAAACAGCTGAACAACAAAAATTATGAAAAACATATTTATTAACTAATATACAATATTCGTCGCGAAAAAGATGAACAGACTCCGTACATGTGCCTAAAACTCAAATCATATGAAAACTAATGCGAACAAGTGAAGTTGCAGTCCTCGCCTATTTAAATGATATACACATTTATATGAAAACAACCACAGGGTAACAAAAAAGAAAAAATGATTATGGCTTATATCAATAATTCCCACATCTCCAACATCAGCCCCTATCCCTTACGACATATACACATACAACTAAACAGAGCCCCTTCTTTCTGTGTGTGTGTGTGTGTGTGTGTGTGTGTGAGTGAGAGTGTGTGAGTGGCGTGCATAAATAGGAAAAGAAGTGAAAATAAACGCATATGCATCGCTATCGCCCGATACACTGATACACAACATCGTATGGTAAAGTCTGATAGATAAGTTATTATGTGCAGTTCCTTCATCTCACTCCTACACACGCATATATGTATATCCATATACATATATAGCATATATATGTACATATAAGTGTATGTGTGTGTGTGTGTGTGTGTGTGTGTGTGTATTATGTATCTGTAGATGTGTGTTTGGTGAAAAAACGAAAGCGAAAAAACTGTTAAACAGTTGCTGCATACAACAATATCCACATCGACCTATACAGAGATAAAACTACGAGTATTACGCAGTTAACTATTTTTGGTGCTCCAAACGGCCAAGTCGACTGTGTGCACATTTCCACTCCCGCACCCACACCTCCTCTAATTGGTCCTCACACCATATACATATATGTACATGTATTGTATGTGTGTGTGTGTGTGTGTTTCTCTCTGTGTGTGTGTGTGTGTGTGCCTAGAGGCAGCAGCAATTGAATGCGGCGGTGTAATAATTTTTCATGCAAGAAGATACCTACTTATATGCTTAGATATTGCCGTGGCAGTCGTGTCGAGTATGTACAGTTTTCAGAAGTACCCCCAAAACACAGAAGCACGCACACATACATACATATGTATATATGTACATATGTATGTAGGAAACACAAAATATCCTTCGGCCCATTTCCTGTGACGGTGTGTGCGCGTAAAAGTAGGGGGGTAAAAAAAAAAACTAATATTATAAATGCGCCCAAGACCCCAAAAGGTGCAATATGTGTCGTATACGTTTCAATTATGCATGCGCTATCGAATTAGCCGAAGGATGTGCCAGTTCCGCCCCCGGCTCCAGCCGGAGGCCCTGCCCCGCCCCCACCAGTCCGTCAGACAGTCAGACACCAGTAATCATGCTCGTCAAACAAGCAACACACAAGGAGAAGAGAAGAAGAATTTGTGACCAAGTTTCGGGCACAGCCTCGACCCGACCGACCGAAGCTTGCATAACCATAACATTTTTTTGTTGGTTTTGTTTTTTTTTTTTTTTTGTATTTTAAAAAGAGAAAAACAAAAATGATTATAATAAAGGAAGACAGCAGAAAGAAGAGAAACCATGCAGTGCGTCATTTAAGTCTCACCTTAAGTTATGCGGCTTTGTAGTAATTAAGAAAACGCTATGGCAGACAAAGGCCCAGAAGGTGCACGCGACGTGTTTACATCAGATTGTGAACGGCTTAGCCATACCGTCGTATTACCTACATATGTATGTATATATGTATGTATATACATATGTATGTATGTATGTATATATACACACCCCAATTAGTCGCTTATGGCAATGACAGTGACACTGGTAGTGGCAGTGGCAGTGGCAGTCGACTCCGACTACGACTACGATTACGACTACCACCCCAATAATAGTAACTCCTTGGCAGGCAGTTCGTAACGGGTGGTAAACTGTTCAACGTTTCTCGAGTAATTTGTTTTGCTCGACAGGTTCCGTGTTCAAATTGATTGTTACAACGTCATTTCTATTTTACAGATATGGCGAGCATAATATTAATAGCTTGCCTCGCTATCTTGGGTTTAATCATTGCGATAGCCTTGTTTTTAGCCGGTGGATATCTGTGGTGGAGACATAAACGATCACAGCTCCAATTTATTGAGCCGAACGAAGATGAAGAATCCAGTAGTTATAGCTTGAGGTAAGTCCATACATACTTACAAATATATACAAGTAGTATGTATGCAACAAAAAAACATACGTTGATTGGTACTTCAATATATTAGATATATATGTATGTACGGAGATCTCTGAGGATGTCACATTGCTAATCAATAATAAATGTAGATATGAATCAAATAATGGCATCTCAAAAATATTGAATTGAATTTCATTTTCAATCAGTTTGAATAAATCAATTGAATGTGCTATATTTTCTTCTTGGATCCTTTAGAGCTACCCAGGAAATAGCTGATTCAGCAAATCCACCTAGTAAGCCTCCAGTGCCGGTGCCGCAAGCTATTACCACTCCTCTGCAAAACAACATTAATCGGAAACTAAATGGTTTTTTGAATCTAAGAACTCCTTTAATTGGGTGAGTATCTCAATAGGTGTGACACATCTGAGTTTCTTTCCAGGTCTTTGCTGAAGGTTCTAAAATATTTCTAGTACAGATATTTACAGCTATAGAATAAAATTAGTCCCCTTTTTCTAAACAGCGGCTCCACAGCCACACCAGTTAAGTCATCCAACACTTCCACACCTGGAGGTGCAAGCGATGGTACCTCTAAAGATGCTGCGGTAAGAAACACAGTACCATTATTCTTTATTTGGGATAGCAGCTATACCCAAATTCTTTGACAAATTCAGTTATTGTGTGATTTGTGACATTTTCATTTTCTGATTTTTGTAGAATAAGAGCATCTCCATGACAGATATGTACCTCGATAGCTCAGACCCAAGTGAAAATGTGGGACAAATCCATTTCTCGTTGGAATATGACTTCCAAAACACAACATTAATTTTGAAGGTTCTTCAGGGCAAAGAGCTGCCCGCAAAGGATTTAAGTGGTACTTCAGATCCATATGTGCGAGTCACATTGTTACCAGATAAAAAGCATCGCCTAGAAACTAAAATAAAACGTAGAACGCTGAATCCCCGATGGAACGAAACATTTTACTTTGAAGGTTTTCCAATACAGAAACTACAGTCGCGAGTAAGTTTCGGTTTTCCACAAATAGTACAATATATGTGTTATATATCATATCTATAATATTGTGTCCTATCCCATCCCCTGTGATCTCTCTTTTTTATAGGTGCTTCACTTACACGTCTTTGATTATGATCGATTCTCCCGTGATGACTCTATTGGTGAAGTATTTTTACCGCTATGTCAAGTAAGTAAATAGTAATCTATTCATGAGATGTAATTATCTTTAACAATAAGCGATGAAGGCATCTAAAGTTAAATACACTATATTCGTATGTAGTATAACTTTCGAGATATTTTACATAATATTAATTTTATTTAGGTTGATTTTGCTGGCAAACAATCGTTTTGGAAGGCATTGAAGCCACCAGCAAAGGACAAATGCGGGGAACTGCTATCTTCACTCTGCTATCATCCTTCAAACTCAGTGCTAACGTTGACATTGATAAAAGCGAGGAATCTGAAGGCTAAGGACATCAATGGCAAGTCTGGTAAGTATCTGTTGAATCGATAATTGGAAACAATTTTAACATTCGTAACGCCCATTTCCAGATCCTTACGTAAAGGTGTGGCTTCAGTTCGGTGATAAGCGGGTGGAGAAAAGAAAAACGCCTATTTTTACGTGTACCTTAAATCCTGTATTCAATGAATCATTTAGTTTCAATGTACCATGGGAAAAAATACGCGAATGTTCTTTAGACGTTATGGTTATGGATTTTGATAATATCGGGCGAAACGAATTGATAGGCAGAATATTACTAGCTGGTAAATGAAAATGATTAACAACACTTATATGAATCTCTAAATGGGTAATTACTTCTTGTTTATAAACGTGTATTTCTATATATTTGCAGGTAAAAATGGGTCAGGTGCTTCGGAAACTAAACATTGGCAGGATATGATTTCGAAGCCCCGACAAACTATAGTACAGTGGCATCGCTTAAAACCTGAATAAATATAAGGGTGAAAAACAATTAAAATACATTTTAACATATAACGTACATAATTGTATATTAATATATACAAATGCGAAAAAATGAGAATATAAGTATATGTATAGCCACCACTATACATATAATTATATTTCCAGTTATTGAAATGGGTTTATACAAATAACTTTATTCATTATATAACAAATGCGGAAATGGAAAAGAAAAAACAATTTACCAGTATTTAATACAGGCTGCACACACACCTTGCACATATAAAGCATATTTGAGAGTAAGAAATACATAAATAGGGACACAGACACAGCAATAATATTTAGAACTGTGTAAATTACGATTTTTGCTATCGTTTCAGCGCATTGAAACAGCAACAAAAAACAAAAAAGGAGAAAAACCAAAAAACAAAAACATATACAAAACAAAAAACCAAAACGATAACGAAAACAAAAACTAAAACTGTTATGTAGCTGCGATTTAACTCATTGTTCATTGTTGTTGAAAATTGTAAGAATTGTCTTTAAATTTCTTTTCATGTTTAATTTGTATAAGTATTAACTTAAAGCGATTAAGCTACTTTCAGCAACAATTATTTGACTATGTATTACGTACTCCCCATGTATCACTTTGTCTAACAAATTGGTGTACCCGTTGCAGATAAAGAAAGAGAAAGATTGCAAACAGAGATAGTGTGTGTGTGTGAAAGGGAGCAAAAGCGAGAGAGAGAGAGAGAGAGAGTATATGTATGTTTGTTGTCACCTTGTGATGTTTATAAACGCACAGACAGAGTCGCGATAAAGCGTAGAAAGTACGAGTATATAAGTAACCTGTAGCACAATTTTTGGGCCAACACTTATATACAATGATATATACATATATATTATATACAACATTAATATATACATATGAATTCCTAATTAGCGTGACGATCTACTCATGTTCGTTATTCTGCATGCCGAATCTAGAAATTTTGCCTTGTTTTGTTGGGTTCTACTACTTACGTATAGCAGTCCAATAATTATATACATACATACATATATACATACATTATATAGTTATTGTAACACACACCATGCTGATGACGGAGGTCGTTTATTTTGGAGATGGAGACGCGAAGAAATATTATTAATTCTTAATGAAAATAAATACATACATAGATCAAATGCACAAAAGAAATGTATATAATACAAGTTATTTGTTAAAATTATTAGATTATAATATTACCTCGTAAAACGACATTGTTACCAGTTACTTAAATGCGAATTGTTGTTTCTTTTACAATAAAAGAAAAAAGTGCGAAAACGGTCATGTTAATCTTAAATATAGTTTAAAACAGAATCTATTTAGTATGATAGGAGGTAGGTTATATAATATTTTACTAGAAGAAGCAATTAGCGAATAAACATTGAAAGTTTAAATAATACCTATAAAGAAATTAGCCAACCATTGCCGGAACAAGCGTCTACTGAGATGAAGTGCGAACATGAAATATGAGATTAAAATTAAGAGTTAAACAATAGAGAAATTTATAATTGATAAAGTGAAACTGAGTTTAAAAAACGAAAAATCGAAAATTCAACCCACCTTGAAATTACATATTTGTTATATACCTGTTAAATTATTATTAAAAACAATTTATGATAATTACATAGCTGCAAATAAAGCATTTTAAACCTAGCGTGTTTTCAATCACATACATATATTCTGTGCGGTGAGAATTTAAATAGGGACAAGATTTTATTAGAAGGAAGGGGAAGGAATTACGAATTTGTGGCATAGCATGATTTTTGCTGAAGTAAACGCAAAATCAAAACATAACAACCTATTTCAGAGCACTCTGATATATTGAGCAGTTCTCTTTTCAAAACAACAGTTCCAGAATTCAATTTGATTTTATTGGCGCCACGATTTCCAAGATATGTCAAACAATAAAAAGTTATCGAAACAACCGTGATACTGTCCTACCACCATTTGTCATCGCATTGCCCATCAAATCGATATACATAGTTCAACAATCGCTATCGCACATCGCTAATTTGCAAAATAGCTTTCTCATCCTGGAAAGGTTTTGCCTATCTAAAAATAATTCATAGTTCATAGAAATCATCTCCAAACTTAAGGAGATCCAGCATAAGAATACAACATGATTATCACCGTGAAAAATTTGCAGCAACAAACTTTTACCATTGATTTTGACCCGGAAAAAACAGTGAGTGACACCACGGCATAAAACACATTCATGTGTACACCCATGTATTTACATTAGTGCATATGCATACGCATACACATGCAAACGCGTGCATAAACGGAGCATCAAATTTTGCATCCTTTTTTTAGGTTTTGGAACTAAAAAAACAAATATACAATGAACGCGGCGTGGAATACATAGTCGAGAAACAAAAATTGATTTACGCTGGTAAGCATCGTTGTGTCTGTTCCCCCTCTAAGTGCGCGTTGCATGCTCACGTTTTTTTTTTTTCTTCCATGCTTGTTAAAGGCGTCATTCTGACAGATGACCGCACCATAAATTCATACAAAGTTGATGAGAAGAAATTTATTGTGGTAATGCTGACACGTGACATCAGCGGCGGTGGCAACAACAGCACAGCTAGTGGATCGAGTGCTCCACAGCAGAAACAAATTGACGAGGATGCCGGAAAGAAGTCGACAGAAATTCCTGTCACAACCACAGATAACCCGCAGACAGACAAGAAGCCTGACACTAAGGAAGGAGAGCCGTTGGCAGAGCGAAAGACTAGTGACAAGACAAGTGAAGCTCAAGCGTCGAGTGCCGAAGCTTCTGCTCCTGCTGTAGGAGATGACGCTGCCCAGAGACCATATTCGAGCAACGATTTAGTCGGCGAATTGGCCAATGCCTCTTTGCAATCTCGTCCCGAGTCCAATTTGCTAGTGGGCGAGGAATATAGTCGCACTGTTGCCTCCATGGTTGAAATGGGTTATCCCCGTGAACAGGTCGAGCGTGCTATGGCGGCCAGCTTTAATAATCCTGAGCGCGCTGTTGAGTATCTCATTACCGGCATACCGGAAGAAGAAGATTCATTCAATCCAGGTGCTGTTGATGAGCCAACCAGAGCCGCAGATTTGCGCAACGCTTTGCGTGATATTGATCCTACAGGAGAACCCTCAGGCGATGCTTCGGCTGGTAAGAAATTCCATATAAATATCACTAGTTCACCCAAAATGTTTATATTGAACTCATTTTCAGACCCCTTTGAATTCTTGCGTAGTCAACCACAATTTCTACAGATGCGTTCCCTAATATATCAAAATCCTCATCTTCTACATGCCGTCTTACAACAGGTAGGTCCATAGGCACATTAATTTAGAAATGGAACATTATTTTTCTTTCTTAATATTGCTTTGCAGATCGGTCAAACAAATCCAGCTTTACTTCATCTTATTTCTGAGAACCAGGATGCGTTTCTAAACATGCTAAATCAGCCACTAGAAGGCGAAGCGGGTGGCAATGCTCAGCGCGCTGCTCGCACACAGGCTGCCCCACGCCGAATAGAGAATTTAGTTGCCTCATCACTTGCTGATGCAGGCGCTCAGCGTACTGCCGCTGGTGGTGAACAACAGTCTGGCGGCTCTGCCACTGCAGAACGCGAGGGAGCAAGCACAGGTGCTGCTGATAGAGAGAGCGCTGCACAGCCAGAGGGTATGCCCACCATTCGTCTGACCACCCAGGATCAGGATGCCATAGAACGGGTACTTATCTAGATTTGCACTTATTTAATCAGAATTTGAATTGAAATGCGTCGATTGCAGCTTAAGGCGTTGGGTTTTCCGGAAGCGCTTGTTTTGCAAGCGTACTTTGCTTGCGAAAAGGACGAAGAACTGGCTGCGAATTTCTTACTATCTTCCAGCTTTGATGATTAAACTGGTCAACAACTAAATTAAAATTATTGGTAATGAACAACAATGTACTGCTAATGGAGAAAGACGATTCGTAATAAGATATGATAAATTACGAAATGCGATGTTACACACAACTATATACCGAAATCGTTACAAATAAAAACCGCGGTTATTCTATACCCCAATTTGAGCAGTATCGGGATCTGGGATAAATAAGTAACACGCCCCAAATAATTCTATAGTAATCATTTTTAATGCGAGAACATTTATTTAATTGACATGCGTACACACACACACGCACACACCTACATACATATGTATGGCTTAAGGAATGAATTTGATATTTAGTTTTTATGTACCTCTATCTATGCATATTTCGTTCCATTTTTGTTTTCGTAAATATATATATATAATTCAAGTAACCATTAACACCGCTGATTCGCCATCTATTCCGATCCGACTGGCTCGCTATCTGGCTAATTGGACTTAGCCCCACTTCTGGAAGAGACCCATGCGCTGACAACGGCAATTGCTGCCCCACAAATTGCATCGACAGGAGCTATTAAAGCAGCAGTCATTTGGGCGATTGTCGCAGGCGCCACCTCGATGAATGCAGCCTCTGCGGTACATATAGATGCGGGAAGAATGTGACCGTCTAAAATATAATAATCATAATTTTTTTGTTGTTGTCTGACCGTTCCCAAATATTTGAATTATATTAATTCATTAAGGTTTTCTTTCGGTTATACTGAATTGGATTTAATTTCTCAATTAAATGCATATATAGATAAGCACGCTGTGCTTTTTCGACTTTATTACTCACTTTGCATTGCCAATATTGAAGTCCTCAGGTACCTCGTCCATTTGTCGGTTCCATTGCCGCTCTGCCGTTCTCAGCTCCTCAGAATTCAGCATCGGACCCAAGCGATTATTGTTTTCTGTGCGATTGGATATTGCCAAGAATTGAATGGCATTATTATATAAGTGCATAACTAAATACTTGCAGATACGTACATAATTTATGTATATATAAATATATATAGTATCTACATATGTATGTACATGTATTAAAAATGTGTGTGGGCGGGTGTGGATGGGTGTGCGTGTCAGTTTTTATTTCAAACGCCCACTCACCAAATTCCGCATCGAACGCATACTCCATATGGTCAGGGTTTATGGTGTCGGGATTGTCGTCGAAGTGGCCTCCTTGCACGGCAACTGCAACAACTTGTTGCAATACCATTGACAGAATGGCCAAGTTAAGCATCGTAACTGAGCGCTGCCTCAGTGCCAAGCCCATATCGGAAGCTCAGCTTCGTTTCTGATGGATAAATGAATTGCGATGGTACTAAATAGTAATGAAGTAGCTGCTACCTTCACGCTTGCTCCAATGGGAGTGCGACGTGCTCACAAAAATCCCAAACTTCCAATGCTGGTATCCGTCAACGACGCCCGCTTTTGTACGGATATCGCTTCGTGCGGCGCAGCCGAAGGGGCGACTGCGCTGCCATTAAACGGGTGCACTCCGCCCACGCCCACACAATTAAGAAACGTCTACACATATATCTCCTTATCATTAACAACTATCAAAAGTCGGTGTTGTTTTAACCTGTTTTAAATGTGTTGCTGCTTGAAAGGTATTTTTTTAATTAAAAAATTACACTCATTGTAGTATCCTTTCAAGCTGATTTATTCATTATACAGGGTGCGCCATCTTTTATGTCGGTATGTAAACATTGAATATCTTTGAAAATAAACAACCGATTTTCAAGTATGAGATATTTTTATTTAATTTGGTTCTGTACAATTTCTTCAGACTAATTTTTGAAAACAACATCAATCAAGTCAATCAGTTCACTAATGACAAAGTTATTCAATATTTACATACCGACATAAAAGATGGCGCACCCTGTACTCCTTTTGTCTACTGACGATGATCACTACTAATACATAAACATTATTTTCGAACGCTAATTTGACTTGTTTTAACATTTAAGTATTTATACATTTATTATTACCTTACACCTACTTATGAAATATCAAAATGGCGCAAATTACTTATCCTTGCAACTAATAAATTAATCAAAATGTTCTGCAAATTATTATGTACAAGTATGTCATTTTTTCAGCTAAAATGGTGGAAGAAGAAAAGGGCGGTCCTGTAAAAAAATTATTCAAATAAGAATTTAAAACAGTTTTTGAAAAATAATTAAATAATAAAAAACCACAAGGTTAATAATAATAATGTTCCTTAGTAAACTGTAGCTGATTCGTGTATGTTTCCATTATAGATTAGATTGTGTGAGTCATAAATGTGTAAAGCTTCAAATATTATTTCGCTAGTGCATTAGTAGTTGTACCATATACATATTTACATATACATAGGTAGTTTTTCTTTATTAGACTTATTGCTGTTATATCCTGAAATCTCCAAAGATCTAATGATAGAAATACACACATTCAATCAAAAGCAAATTGTCATAGTTGACATTAATCAACTTAATGTTTTTTATAAAGCGTTATGTCAGAATTGACAAACAAATTTTTTACCTTATTACAATAAAATCAGTTTGAAGTGTAAATTACAAAGAAGATAAAGAAGGTGAATAGAGTTTTTATTAATCTTTGATTAGTTGGTAAGTACTAAGTTTTCTTATATTTCATTTGTGAAAGTAATTTCCGCTTTCGTTGCAAATATAGTTACGCATATTTTTGCAGTCTGAACATAGCTTAAGGACACTTCGTGTCTCTGCGCGATTCACGAGAGCGGCGCGCTGTTGCTTTGCAGTGCGGCCCGCTGGCCGTAACGGAGTCTGCGTCTCGTTTGCTAATTTGTCAGTCGCATCACATCTAATAGACACAAGATAAATTCCAGCGAAATTTTTTTCTACAAAACTCATTTTTCAGCAACAAGCAAGCAACTTTTAAGAATATTTAAGCGAGCTTTCCTTATGAAATAGGAGCAGGGCTGAGCACAAACAGCGGAGAGACCAACTAATAGCTGGGTTTTTGGGCCCGTGGATTCTGAACAAGACGTAAAATAGACAAACTCCATCCGCCGAAAATAAATAAATACGAAAGAAGGCATTACTCATTGTTGTATATACACATAGAGTTACAATTAGTAGGGTTCTTCAAATCTTTGGCAATTTGTAAAAAGTGCAGTCGGTGTGATGGAAGGGAGCTGGAAAAAGTTTGCATTAGTAATTAACCTAATTTGCATTCGTGCGTTATTTATTGTTTATTTGAATTTAACTTTCACAAAACATTCAGACACACACATGAACATGGGTAACTGGGTATGACCATTAACGCCCATCAACAGCCTTTTTGAGCTACAACTAATTGTATAATGTATATGTGTGTATATATAATATATCGTATATACATATATTATGTACATATGCATATGTTTTTGTATGTATATATTGCAGGAAAGCCACATTATTAAGGTATCTTATTTACAATCTAAGGAGTATGTGAAGAAGGAATGATAGCGAGAGATATCTATTTGATTCTTCTGCATACTGGACAAGGTATCAATGCTAATGTTGATGTCCAAACGTAATTACAAGCGGCAATAGCGCACCACATATCAAGATCACAAGCTCGCTATATCGCAGACCTTGTGTATTGTGCGACTGAGACAAACTGCTGCCGTTCGTCTCATTAGTGGTTCCATCACGAGATTCCTCTAGGACACGATACTCATATTGTCCGTGAGTGGTGGTTTTTTGCTGATGATGTCCGTGGCCTCCTTGTGTCAGTTCAGCGAGTACATGTACTGTGGCAACATACAGAAATGTGCCTGCCGAGAATAGCATTGCGATGCCCGTGGCATTTACAGAATTCAGTGTCTCCTTTTGCTCTTGACCAATGCCAAAATATGTGAGAATTGTTAACAGGGGTGCGGATAATGAAAATACGCCTAAATGCCTTCGTATTTGTTGCCTCTCGATCTTTTCGTGCAGAAGAAAACTAACGAGTCCAAATGCTGCTGGTGCTTTATGAAGCATAATGGCCAAAAAAACAATTATCTCAACGTCCTGGTGGCTAGTTGTTGCAGCAGCGCCCAAAGCAACACCATCCGCTGTGTTACATCATAATAAAAGTGAAAATGTATTAAGTGGTAAGGTTATATTTGAATAATATAGGAAACACACACCTGCTGCATGAACCACCAGTCCAAGAGTGGCGGTTATGTTCTTGTCACTACCATTGCTGCCATTGCTGCTTTTGTGTTGCGAAACCTGATCTACCAGCATCATGAAGACGAACCCCAACACGAGAGAGAGTCCAATGGTACGGGAATAATCTGGCGTCGTTGGAACCACCACGACAGCCTCTGCATCTGCTCCAGTCGAGGATTTAGGTGCTGCTGCCACCACTGAGCTTCGATCACTGTCCATATACAATGAGCGTATGCCTTCCGGTATAATGACGGTTAAAGCAGTACCTACCAACAAGCCAGCGCCCAACACTGTAATAATTTTTAATTTCTCCTGATTGAAAAATAGAAGTGATGCATTTAAATGCTGACGTTAGATCTTATATGGTTATTACCAACCTCACTTAGCTTCATCACTAGAGGAATACTGCCGGCTATGTAAGAACCAACCAGCATTACGACCACCAGGAGTAATAAAATCACTGTCTCTTCCTCCATGCTGAAGCCTCTTTCCAATTGGAGTCCTAGTTATTTTGAATTGGATATTTAGCTTTCGAAAGTTATTTACATGTTTTGCCAACGCAAATTTCTTCTTCTTTTGGTTGTGAGTTCCGTTGCTGTTTGTTTAATAAACAGGTGTTTTTTAACACTGATCTCAAATGATGATTTTCGATAAATGCAGTGGTATAACGAGATAAACACAGTGTAATACACTTTAGCTGTATGTATCTATATTAATGATGAGAAATAATATAGCTTTTAATTGAATGAATTATTAATAGTATAGCAGAAAACGTCGATGGAGTACATATTTTGGACTTCCGGTGCACTTTCCAGCACTGCAAAATTCGATTGATTGACAACAATTGAAGAAGAAGATGTCACGTCGGGAAGTGCAGCAGAAATCGACGACCAAATACAAATACGCAAACAATACACATATAAATTTTTAACAGAGCAATTAACGAATGTAACTGTGACGACATAGATACAATACTTAAATTTACATTTGCCTTTGAGCCTTGTCCTTGTATGTTAAAAGTGATTTTTACCAAACGGGACGTACTCTTAGGTGGGAAACAAACGCAAATCTCGAAAAGTTTATCTACATGTACCTCTCGTATATGTACAAAGATATACATATATACAAATGTATATCTTCATACATATGTATATGCATATACACACACACACACACTCACGCAATAACAATTTCATTGTTCATATTGCAATGTTTCTTTTTCTGTTTTGTCTTTCTTGTGGCAGGTGCAGCAGGCCAGCTGAGCAGAAAGTGCTGTAGGATGGGTAACTGCCTGAAAATGAGCACATCCGACGACATTTCACTTTTGCGTGGTAGTGAAAGTATGAGTGTAAGTGGACAGGATGTCAACAGTGAAATGTTTGCATCTGATCCTGGTGGTGGTCCCATATTCCAGGTACGTCATGCAACGTTTAGATACCATACATGTACATACATATTTTATAAATACATATGTATATGAAATTGCGTATAATTTTCAGCATGAATCAATTCAGCAAGTGTTCTATCCAACGCCATCTGTTAGCCGTCCAGCCAGCACAGAGGACGAGCAGGTCAACATTAAGAAAGCCAAACGGATGGGCCTTATACAACATCTGCCCGTTGGCACCTACGATGGTAGCGCCAAGAAGACGCAGGAGCGCGAGTGCGACATTTGCATGGTAGAGTTTTGCGTCGATGAGGCAGTGCGTTATCTACCGTGTATGCACATTTATCACCTGCACTGCATTGACGATTGGCTGATGCGCAGCCTCACTTGTCCCCGCTGCTTGGAACCTGTCGACGCGGCCTTGCTAACGAGCTACGAAACCACATAGCGCTTCATCCCAATGGATCCTTTATAGCTGTGCATCGCTTTTTGTTTCTGGCCTCCGTCGTGGATCGTCGCCCAATTACTAATAAAGGGGATCGGGTTCGGTATCTTTTAAATCGGAACAAATTGGCTGAGATCAACACATACCCACACATATATAAATTATTCGAGATAAATATCATCGTTGAGGAGGAGAGCTGTTTTTAAAATTGCTACTACACACTGTGCAACACACCCGCAACAAGCGTTTGTAAAACGACGAGGGCGTCGGTGTTCCTCACATAATGGTCACGTAAATGTAAAACCGTTGGCTGGTCATTTTATTAGTTGTTAATTTTACAAAAATTAAAACAAAACCATTTCAAAAAACACTGATATTACATCGGCGAAACGAAATTGCAACCAACAGCGGCAGCATCAATATGTGTACATACCTACATACATATATAAAAATCAACAATGTTGTAACATCTATTTAATGCGTAGGTGTAAAACCATAACGTAATTACTAGTGTAAACATAAACATATTGTACAATATTAAATAATTATACATAAAGATATATAAAAACAAACACAATTCAATTTGTCCAGCAAATTATTTTTCCAATTGTCCAAATGTAAGACGATAAGGGAATCACAGCATTGAAGAGGCGACGTATTTACATATCTAGCTCTTTTCAAGAGTGTAACATCATAGCTGAACTCTTTAAATATAGATCTGCTGGTGGGGCAAGAACACTTTCTTTTCTGATTGATGGGAACGTCTTCAAATGGTGTTGAATATATTGGTTTTATTTTTAAAATATTCTTAATTTGTGTTTTGCGAGATCTTCTGGACGGATAAATAAATCAATGGACGTTGACAGTGACTGTTTTCGGAGATCCATCCAAAAACTTCAATTTTTGTGGCGATGGCATTTTGCAACCTGATATACATATGTACATATGTCTATCCATCCGTGCTGTAAATACATAGTACTCCTCCCCACCCATCATCTTTCCGCTCCACCCGACCATTATGAAACAATAAAAACAACAATACATCGTTATTGACTCATTTATTCATTATATGTATGTAATAATAATAATAATAATTAATGGCTTGAGTATACGCGACTTGACTTGCGTCGCTTGTGTTCGTGTGTAGATGTGTGGGGGAGTAGAGGCATTTTACATCATGTATGTATTTTTGTATTGTATGTATTTATTTGTATTTTGTTGAATCAACTTTCAGTATCTTTAGGCCACTCGAATTTACGATAGTTGTTTTTTTTGCTTACAGTATAGATTTTTCTTTGTATGTATTGCATTGCATATGTCTATGTATGTAACTATGCCCACTACCTCACAAGCTCCCTTAGATGGGAGCGGAAGTTTTTGTTTTTTCTTTTATATTTTTTCACCATTATCATTACCACCACCATGCGTACCTGGAGGACTCCGAGCGGTTGCTTTGTTGGGTTTTTATTTTTTTAGTTTGTTTGTTTTTAATTTACTTTTATTTTAAATCTTATTTAGCAAGCCGCATGCAGATTGTTGCATTGGCGATGAGGAGAGCACACACACGCACGCACACACACTCTCACACACACACACACTCAGGTGTTCAATATGCATGTGTGTTCGGGCAATGCGCGGAAGAATGGCGGCCAATCCAAAAACAAAAAAAAACATTAACTTTAACCACCATCATCATCATCATCATCATCATGATCTTCATTCACCATTATCATCATATATTACCACAAGCTAGACCCAAATTTAGTTGTGGGGGTTGGGGCTGGTGGCTTTGCCGCCGCCTTCGTGGTTTTTCGTATTAGACGCCATTTCGTCGCCATTTTATTTTTAGCTCTTAACGTTGGGTTGGCAGTTCTGAGAACTTTAACTATTTCCTTTGGAGATTTTATTTTAGCCCCATCGATCTTTTTGGATTGGTAATTTGCGCATGTGTGTGAACGCCTGTTGTTCTAGTTGTTGTTGTTTTCGTATTTGTTGAAGTTGTTGCTGTAGCTGTTGATGTGCGTGTGGTTCAAATTTTGGATGCATGTTGTTGCAGTTTTTCCCTTCAGTAGGTATGTAGTTTGTATGTTTGTTTGTATGTATTATGTAGTTATTAATATTAAGTATTCATATATGGTACGCATTTAATGTTTGTTTGTTTCTTTCATTCTTGTTTTTTGTTTGATACGGATCATGTGTATGCATGTATGGGAGTACGTGTAGGTGTGTGTGTTTGTGAGTTGATGTGGGTGGCTGTGGCTTGGTTTTGGTATTTGTGGTTGGTTGGCTTTTAGACAGCAGTTTCGGTGTGACTGTGGGATGATAACCGTTCGACATCGATTTCTGGTATAGTCAGCTCATCGGGTATATTATCGGCATACTCAATGGAAGATGTCTCCGAAAGGCGTTTGCTCAGCGAAGTCTGCTTGCGCAGCACCTCAGCCAGCGAAGTGTTGGTGTGCTCACCGTAACGGGCGTCGAGGCCTTGCCGGAAGGCGTTTACCACGCGAATCTAAGCGCAAGTCGAGTAGAAAGAGAAGAACAACACCGAGAACAGTGACAAGAGAGAGACAGAAACAACAGTTTAAGGAAGTACAGTTTTTTTTTTTGTTGCGATAAAAAGTTCCAAAAATCATAAACAAAAACACAAATGTTGTTTACATACACAAAAAACAAACGCAAACAAAAACAATACACAAACACGTTAACAGAGTGACAGTTACGGTTACAGTTTACAGAATATGTTAATTATTGTTAAATGGGATGCAAAATAGTTAACGGTTACGGTTACAGTTTCGGATGCGAATACGGATGCACATGATAACAAACAAACAAGGTAACGAGAGAGAGAGAGAGTGAGTGAGAGGAGAAAGGGGAGCCGTCACACAACGACGTTATTGGCAAGCAGGCGCAATTTATTCGGACGGACACGGACACACACATACATATGCATTAATTCAACGATTTAGGACAAGTAAGTGTTTTAGTTCGTCGCACGATTCCAGCGCGAGGCATAGGCGGGGAAAACGGGCGTCAAGGCGTCGGCATAGGAACGGAGGAAGCGAGGCGCAAGCAATTAAACAAATATTATTATTTTTTAAACAATAAACCAAATGCCATTCACATTAACAACAATAACATGGTTATATATGTATATTCAGGTTCGTTGTTTAATATGTCCACGTGCAAAGTTCGAGAGTCGAAGGAAAGCGAAAATGGAAATCGAAATCATCATAAATTGCAAAGAAATGAAAGCAAAAAAAAAAAAAAAAGAAATACAAATATTAATAAATTTGAATGTTTTCATCTTAAACGAGATTTACTACAATATTATTAACTACAGGATGTTTGCAATAATAAGCTACGTATACTAAACTTAGTTTTAGAAAAAGCCTATTGTGGGTACACATACATTTCCAAAAAATGAAAGCAAAAGGGGAAAAAACAAAAATAAAGATTAAATGTGGAATGATGAATAATAGGTACTCTTAGAGAGCAAATGCGTATGAATTTTGTATATTGGCTCCGTACATCATTTAATATACGGATCCGAAGGCTTCCATTGTTCCTAGATATCTATCGGAACAAAGTGAATCTCAATGAAAGGCGAAACATTAAAGCTTTGCCCTTAAAGATATATTGTGTTCTAGGTACTGTTCAATTCCATTTCTATTATATTCTATAGTTGTGTCGCTCACACCGACCGGGTGAACTATACATAAGGCCTCTATATCTTTCAACGGGTTTCTCCCCATTGAGATTTTCTTTGTTCCAATGGATTGTCAGTTCATTATACATACTATATATCTTCATGCTCATCTCGACCATTTCGTAATAAGTAGTATGTATGTAGATCGGAATGATTCATTGATACCCAACGCCCTTAATCTACCCACACTATTTACTCGCCTCTATAATCGTACTGATGTTTGAGTCGAAGGACCGTTAGCTCTTAGATTTAATTGCATTACTTGTGATAGTAGTACACACCATCGAAGAACTAAATTGCATGCAAAGCATTAAAAAATATATTGGAAAAACACAGTTCTACGTGCAAACGTTCTGTGGCAGTGTTCCGGGACCTTGAGCAGCGCATTCCTGATTTCTGGAATCACGGCGCAGCCAAATGTATCGGCGATTAGTGTAAAGCAATAAACGAATTCAAAACTAGTTTCCAAACTGAGCGCAACAACAAAAAAAAAAAGATAACCACGAGGGGTAGGCAACACAAAATCAAAAAGTTGGTTAATCGAAATTGTAATCGAAACCAAAACAAACGAACAATTGAACGCACCAACGAACGAACAAAAAACAAGATTTGCGTTGACAGTCGTTAATCGTAATTAGCTTAATATTAACAACTCCATTTGCAAAATGATGTTTTTGTTTTTCATTTTTTGTTTTGTTTGTTATGTTTTTGTTTTTAGTTTGGTTGTGAGTTAAAATCGTATTGTGTGTTGTTCGTTGCTTTTGGAGTTTTAATTGGCTTAGTTGTAGTTGTTTTGGCTTTGTGTGTACATAGGTTTGAACAAAATAGAGGAAGGCTTACAGCTTGATCAGTGTTGCTCTTGCTATAGGGGACCGGAATCAAGCGTTCTTGCAATTCGCCGCCTATTACCTTTAAAATTGGAGAGAGAAAGAAAAGTAAAATGGAAAACAATAAGTGGGAAGAGAAATTACAGGTTGAATTCAGTTGAGTGTTGCTGCGATAAAAAGTTGCTACATAGATTTCAATCAAAGATTTCTTTCGAGTAAATTACGAATAAAGTACAATAGAATAGAAATAGCGTAAGACTACGGTGTGGAGGAGGGTACGGATATATTTGGATCGGGATTCTAGGGCTTACATACATGGGGTTTCATTGGGTATGGTTAGTGGGGATTGGTTGGCATTGGCTGGGCTGGGGTATTTCATTATAATTTCGTTCGGATAAGGGCATTTAATATTGGTTGGTTATTAAATTTATTGGTTACCAGGTGTTTGTAGATGGTTGGGGAGCCAGGCTAGATGTATGGTAGGTAGTTTTTGTATTTAATATTTTTCGTTTTTTAAATATAGTAATAATAATAATACATCAAATATGGAGTCATGGGCTCAGTTTTATTTGTAGATTCAATATTAGGTATGTAAGTACATATGTATGTATGTATGTATGTGATAAGTGATTTGTGATAGGAGGTTTACGAGTATACTATGCAAGGGATGTAGGTGTGTATGTATTTAAACAGACACTTGTGGTTTGTTCTTCTTGCTGTTGTTGTCGAGTCTCGAAAGGAAATCCACATATACATAGTATGTGTTGTTCTTGTTGTTTTGCTGCTGCTGTTGTTGTTGTTGTTTTTGTTGGTGTCGTGGTTGATGATGTATGCAGGGATATACATACATACATACATCGATTCTAGACGTAGCCACACACAAGTGAACCGACCAACTCTACTTACTAGATGCATTATACAGATAGATATATAAATAGAAAAGGCACGGTACGCACTTAAGATAAAAGCTGAATTTATAAAAAAAAAACATATGCAATATTTATGTACATATACGAAAGACAGTAATGGAAATTATAAAACACAATAACAACGAAAATGAAATGGAAAACAGGAGAGAACAGGGGGTTTTACAGAGAATAGTAGTGTTTTTTTTCTTTTTAAATAAATAAATATATTTTCTTTTTAGAGACTGGCGGCGCCTTCGGGCGAGTAATACACGATTTGTTTTTTTTTTTTAACAGCCGCTCGACGTCTGTGTATAAGTATGTGTGTGTGTTTTTTTATTGTGTTATGTAGATGTGTTTGTTTTGGGGGAGTTAAAGGGTCGAATTATGTAATATATTGCGTAATATATAATTTGATATTATTTCGTTTTTGTTTTTTTTTAACTTTTTTTTTTTTAGTCCTAACCCTATAAAAAACGAACTCACAACAAGAGACGAGACAAACAAAACTTTCAGTTCGCCTCCTTTGTGTTATCATTTAGCTCGGCCCAGGCGGGCCTGATGTACATACATACATACACCTACATACATATTTATGCATTTCTGTGTGTGTATGTATGTATGCACGTATGTATGTTTATGTAGCTTTGTATGTTGATCTCTTTAGAGTAGTAAGTAGATTGTTGCTGTAGTCTGTGAAGTCTGTGTAGACAGTACGGCTTGTGTGCGCGTGTGTGGTTGTGAGAATGTCGTCCTATGATTCAGGTACAGGTGTTGTACCACGCTCTTGCCCTCTTACCGCTCTCTCGCGTGTGATCGATTTAACGATCTTGTGATCTCAGCAATTGGTGATCTCAAAGATCCCCTACTAATTTGTGGCTCATTGCTAATTGCTTCAACATTCATACACGCACAAACGCACGCACGATCATTAACATCATTATCACCATCACCATAACATCATCATCATCATTAACATAATCAATAATCAATTACATGATCATCATTGAAAATTCACACGCACCCAACGTAGTTGTACTAAGTAGGCAAATAAAGATGCAACGCTTGTCGTACAGGTAGTTCATAATACGAGTAGCACAGTATTAATATTAAATGTACAAATAAATCAAAAAATATATAAAAAATCATGCGTTTAAATAACATTTGCTAAGTGTTAATTATTATATTAAATTACAATAATTATCGGGGATGCGGCACACACTCGGAGAAAGCTCTCTTCGTTTTCGTTTCTCTTCTTCATTTCAATCATTTTCTTATTTTTTTTTGTTTGGTTTTTCTTTCTTGTTATCAATTTGCGTATGCGTTTGTGTGCATGTATTTGTGTATATGTTTCTGTTTAAGTGTCTGTTTCTGTGTGTGTGTGTGTAGCAATGGGTATGTGGGAGGTTTTGGGGGTAGAGGTAATATTTGTATGCACAGCTGCAGCATTGGAGACAATGCGCAGGTCAAGAGGCCCCCCTTTTGGAGAGGGATGCCAATAAAATCAGTTGATTGCGTCGACGTCGTTAAAATAAATGTACAGAGTTGCTCTCTTAAGATCGCTCTTAAGAGCGCGCAATGTCATGGTCCGTACATGGTCTGTCTGTTAGTTCCGTTAGTTATGTGGGTGTATCAATGTATGCATACGTGTATGTATGTATGTATGTTAGGTTAGTTGTCAAGATGGGGGGCCCAAGTATTAGGCATTGTCTTTAAGTGCATTTGATATAATTGGGGACCATCCTAAATTCGTGTTTCGTTCTGTCCGTTCTTATGCTGGTCTTGTAATTTTTTTTGCATGTTATACGCAACATCGGAGAAGGTGGTGGGGGGCGGGGGCGTGCGTCCGTTGTTGTGCGGTGTGCGCTGCTGTTGCGGATCTTCGTCAATATAGGAAATGTCAGACGGCAGCGTTGCATTTGGATGCGCATGCGTCTGCTGCGGCTGATGCGGCTGATGCGGCTGCTGATGGTGCGACTGTTGCTGCGACTGCTGCTGTTGCTGGAGCTTGCTGCTATAATTTGGATTCAGCAGATTCAGATTGTACAGCGGATAGCCACTGCCGGCCGGCATGCCCGTCCGTGGACTGCGGAGGCTATGCAAGCTGTGCATCGAGCGGCGTTCGTTAAGGTCTTCCAGTGTCGAGCGGAATGCACGAATCACGCGCAACTGAAACAAACGAAATTAGACAACAAACGAACAAAAAAATGGGAACGTAAAACAAATAATAAGCATAAAAATTGGTAACAACATTAACACACATTACAACATACTAAATTGAATTCAAATTCAAAAACAGAACCAAAAACGTACGGTATTCAAATTCAATTCAAATCCAAATTTAAATTCAATTAAATCAAGCGGTCAATCAATTAATCAATCAATCGATACCCATATTTAATAAGTGTGAATATTGGAACATAAGCAAATCATAACATAAATCATAGAATTAAATGCTTTCAAGCTGGTTACTTTGCAAGCAAAGGAGCTAACAACGGGCCTTGGTCCCAAGGCTGGCCCTCACCATTGCCTTTTGTTTTCTTTTGGGGTGGGAGGGGTGTTTTGGCAACAATGGCAGCATGCGTTTCAAGCGGAGGGACACTAACGGACCAAAAAAAATCTATATATAATAAATATATATATGATTATGTATATGCTAGACTTTATATGTGGGCACATATCTCGGAAGAGACTAAAGGAAAGTAACTGAAAGGCAAACACATACACGTATATACACATATCATTTAAATAGTTAGATAGCGTTTAATAATAATAAATGAGGTAGGCACAATATTGGATGCAATAGATGAGCCATAGCAGTAAGTTAGGCTAATTATAATAAAATGAAGCGGCGGCAGCAAGATTCTCAGCCCACTGGGGGTCACCAAATGCCAACAGACAAGCGGACAGCGTGTGCTTAAAACTGACCGGCTGGCGTATATATGTACATATGTATTAACTGCCTCTTACGATCTATTATCGGTTTCAGTTACTCAGACATGTGCTGCTCATAGGAAAAAAAGAAAATAAAATAAAAAAGTCCCAGACTGCTAGACAGCTTTGGGGACAGTGGTTGGGAGATGATTTGGTTGATGGGGTTGTTAGAATCAAAACTGGGAACAGCACAACATTTATGGTTACTTACCCAGCAGCGAGGCCATCTTAACAAAAGGACTCGTCTCTACATCTACATACATACAATAACATATGTACGGATAGCTTATGATTTATGATAATTGATGGCGTGCTTGCAGCAGAACAAAAAAGGACGAAGGATATGAGCTTCAGGCAAAAGAGGCAGACTCATGTTAGTATTCACAAACTGAACAACAGAAAGTATAACACAAAAAATAAGGAACAAACGAACAAGCAAAAACAAACAAACTTAAACAACAACTGTTTAAGAGTAACCACAATCGCTTACACACACTCATTCACACATACACACACACAAGCACACACACGCACGCTCTAACGCGCTTACAATCAGTCACACAGTCAGGAACATTCATTACAGCACTATTCGAATTCACATACAAGCAGACACTCATATGTATTCATTTCTACACTCATAAACACATCGTCGTTCTTGTGCGTTGGAAGAAACAATCATGCAGTATTGGTCTAATTATCGAAACGAAGCTCTCGCATCAAAGAGCGGGTGGGATAGAAAAGAGTATGTTGCAGAGGTATATATATATATATATAGAGAGAGAGGGAGAGAGTAATAGAGCCACTATTCTTATTACGATCCCCTGCCACCAAGCTCATTGCGTATGCAACATGTTCCTAAGCTCCAACACATACTCATTTCTTCCTAGGCTTTGCAAAATGTTGCCGAATGAGCTTCTTTATTTTCTGACTTATACTTGGCAACATGCAGCCGAGGCAGCTTTCTTTTCAATGCATTTTTCTTTTTTTCTTCATTGAGCTCAACATGTTGCTGATTCTTGCGACTCAAGCGGGTAACTGTGAGTATCTTTTGAAAATTCGACGATGGACTAAGGGGGGCAGTCGTTTCTTAATAAGTATTATTTATTTCTATTTTCGATGTGGTTGTTCATACTATAGTTGCCTGTATACAATAATTTTGTTATTGTACATACATATATTAGATAGATAGATATACTTGTATGTAGTATGTAGGTAAGTAAGTACGAAGGAAAGCATGTTGTTG